GGATATCCGCAGGTCGGGTAAACTGTAGGTCGGATAGAAGGAGGAGTCGGACAAACACGGAGGCCTTTGATCAAATATAGGGGGCGGTTGATATGGAGGTCGGCCCAAGTGGGGTCGGGCGAAGAAGTAGGTCGGACGAAGGACGAAGTCGGGCCAAAAGAGCGGAAGGTCTGTAGTTGGCTCAAGGAGTGAAATATAGGGATTTTTGGTCTGCTGGGGACACGTGTCAGCATAAGAAAGGTTGGAAGACGGTTGAGAAGGAGACGTTGTAACCGTTCGGGTGACGGTTTTCAGTACGGTTTCCCAGGGAATATTTAAGGATTTGGATCATCATTTGGCAAGGCATCTTCAATCAACTTCAACAAAGCAAAGTCAGATTTGGGGATCACCACTTTAAATTTCAGTATTTTATTTTCCAGTTTAGTTTCTGTACGTTACAGTGTTTAGAGATTCCTAATCTCAGGCACTAATTAATCAAGTTTAAGGATATTTTCTATGTCTTTGAATTTTACTTTATTTTTGTTGAAAAAATACATCAACAATATATACATATAAAAGGGGATAGTTAGAATGCCGAATTGAAAAAAATCAGTATCACGCTGATTTTTTGAACTCATTGTGGTGTGCTGCTGTTGAGACTATAATAATTCGAGTGGAGCTGAGCTAAATTTTAAGTGTTCGTTCGTTAAGCTTTCGAACTCGTTCGTAGTGTTCGAGTTCGACTCGTTAAGAATTTTTGTTGTTTTAGCTCGTGTTCATGTTCGGCTCATTTAGGCTCGATTAAGCTCGTTCGAGCTCGTTTGTCTTATTTTTTTAAATTTATATATAAATTATAAAGAAAATTTAAAATTATTTTATTTATATATTTTAAATTAATATTTTATTTATTTATAAATTATAATTTTATATGTATATATAATATTTATAATAAATATATTATTTAAACAAATGTTTGCAAACAAAATTTGGGCTCGTTAGTTAATCAAACGAGCCTGTTTATATTGTTCGACTCGATTCATTAACGCTCGTGAACGACTCGATTCGTTTAACAACTCTAGGGACATGAAACCCATCCATAGTCCTTGCCATATGCGATAATTATGTTGCCTAAGGCATGAATTTATTTTTTATTTAACATATTATATTAAAACAAATTATATAAATTTAAATTAACTGTCATATTAAATATCTATTTATATTAAATTAAATTAAATAATTATTAAAATTAATTCAAACCCTAAATTTGTTGTCTCAACAAAATCCTTGAGGCTCTTGTAGAAGAATTTTGACTCAATAATTAATAGCAAAAAATTTGAAACAGGGAGAGTAATAAATAATGAATTTTACAATCTAACGGTTTTTTTTTTATTATTTTTTTCTTTTTATGATATTAAAAATTATAATCGCTATTTTCCGAATGCATTTTAGAAAAAATTTTGATTGAATTTTATAATCTGCAAATTAAGCCAGTAAGATAAATTATGCTAAATAAATCATGTGTGACATACAAGATCTAAAAGTGTCGGAATATTTAGTGGCCCTAATTCTTGGACGTGTAGAATGGGTCGATCTTTGTGGTAGGTCTTCTCAATATATATATATATATATATATATAATATCACTATCAAGGGGTTGTAATAAGCTAGAGCTGTACACTAGAGTTTCATTATTCATCCGAGCTTTTCATGACATTAATTAATATTCATAAAATAATAAATAATTTTTTAAATGTGATATTATTTTAAATTAAAAATAAATTTAAATATGAATTATATTAAAATTTAGCAACTTCTACTATGGATATATTGTGTGTCCTTTGTTTATTTGAAATTTATTTTTTCTTTAAAAACATCAATTGTAACTATCAATGTCTTCAAACAAGATTGATGATGTTACTAGGAGTATATATGTAAAGGGCAAATGAATTTTAGCAAATTCCAAAAAAATAAAATAAAAATGAATAAAATGTCATAAGTATGGATGTGTTCGTATGGATTTGTAACAAAATTAAATTAGAGTAGTAAATTGCGTTATATAAGTAGGTATTTAATATTTATTTTAGATGTAAAATTAATTTTTAGATAATATATTAAATAAAAAAAATATATTTAATTTTCATCCAAAATCGTGTATAATATATAATCAACACATTATTTTCTTTAATTTCGTATTTTACATGACACAATTATCATTTTGATCCTTCAAATAAAGTGTATATATATATATAAATAATTTTATATTACTTGTGATTTTACAGTTACGAGTTCATTTTATTTTATTTTATTATTATTATAATTATTAATTGAGGGCATATTATTTATGTGACGTAAGGTACTGATGAGACCACGTAGGGACGAAGGTGTGTCGAGAGATGAGCCTTTTAAGGATTGAAAGGTACACAAACATCCACACCATTTTCTTCTCCTCAGCCACTTATTCTATTTAAATAATAAATATATAATAATAATAATAATAATAATTACTTTTACAAAAATTAAATTAAATCACACATATATATATATGTATATATAACATCTATATATCTATCTATCTCTATCCTATCACTCATTAATGTTAATAAATATTTGCCTTGCGATTCAATACTTTGCCTTTTCGAATAATTTAAACTTAGTTTAGCTGGAAATTTAAAGGCATGTTTGTTTTCCAGATTAAGAAAAAAAAAAAAAAAAAAACATGAATATTATTCATAATAGATTTTAAATAAAAATATATTATTTTCTTTTATAAAATATTATATCAAAATACAATTCAAACCAAAACTTAAATAAGAAACCTAATTTCAAATAAAAATCGAACTAACTATTTATTTTTGGAATTTAAAATGTTTTTGAAAATAATACTCCCTCCGTCCACACACAAAGTAAACATTTATTTTTGGCGCGATATTTAAAAAATAATAGTATTTTAATTATAGTGGGTAAATAAAAGTAGTAAAATGATATTTTTGCCTTTACTTTTTGGTGTAAAAATAATAATGTGATATAAAATAAGGGTATTTGTGAAAAAAAAAATTCAAATCAAAATATAAATCAAATAAAAATTCAAATCAAATGACATTTTATAAAGAAAGTTGGAATGTTACATTTAACTATTATTAAAATTATAAATAAAACTAAAATCCAACATATACAAACTGAATAGTAATGAGATAGGAATTTTGTTAATACGAACAAAATTGAAAAAGATATCATCTAATGTACTTTTGTATCGATAAATGTCTGAAATCTTTTTCACTTTTTTGGATCAATATCGAAATTTCTATTTATGGGATTTATATTTAAAAGTGAGAAATAATAATAATAATAATAATAATAATAATAATAATTTGTGAAAGCATTTAGTTCGACGGTGGAGAAATGATCACTTAATATTGAATTTATTTTTTTAATATATATATATATTTTAATAAATATATGTTAAGTCAACAAATATTTATTTTCTTATTTGATGTATTCTAACAAAAATATGTTTTGGGAGTTTGGAATTTTTTGTTTAAATTTTGAATAATCAAATTTTGAATTTGAATTAATTTTTCTATTAGATAAAAATAAATATTAATATTATATTTTAAATAAAAATCAATTATATAATATAAAAAAAAAAATTATTTTAATATTTTCAAGGGAAATTTTAATTAATAGTAAAAATCCTTTTAAAAAAAACCCTTAACAAACACACCATAATTATTTGTGAATTATTTTTACGTGTTAATAGGTTATTTATTTTATTTATATTAGACTAATATAAATATTGTGTTTATATCTTATATGTACGTTGTGATAGTATACATTTTATGTTGAGATATATGCTCTATTATTATAATTGGTGTCATGCATTGTAAGTTCATGTACAATATTATTTGTCTTTTTTTTTTAAAAAAATAAAATATTATTATATATTTTAATTATTTTTTAAATTTTATAATTTATACTTTTTTAGTCATAATTAAACTATTTAGAGTGTGTTTATTTTGTGAGATTGTTGGAACATATATTTTTTTATATGAGATATAGAGAATCGTATAGAGAATATAAAAATAGTCAATGTTTATAGTGTATTATTTTTTTAGAAAACGCGTGGGAAGAAAATTTGAAAGAATAAAGCCTTAGTTATTTTGATTTTAATTTATAATTATTTTTATGAATAATTTTTTTAATTATTTACTAATTATACTTTATGTATCTACAATAATAAGCCCAAAATATCTGGACAAAGTGAGTAACATTTATTACTGTAATTAATTAATTTAATTCTTAACGATAAATTTTAATTTCTTATATTTCAATTTAAAAGTATTTGTTTCATTATAGTAAAGATAATAATATATAAATATCAAAATTCATAAACCCATAGAATACTACTATGCATTCTTATTCTATTGTAAAGACAAAAAGAATACGTTAAATTAGGATGAATAAAATATAAAAATATGTCAAACTATTTAAGAAACTATTAAAACCACATGAAATAAATTAAATTGCATATATACTTTTTACTTTTAATTAAAAACATTATTTCTACACCTTACAAACTCTTACAACCTGTAAAGGATTACTGGGTGGTGCAGGGATTGGACTTGTGACCATGAGATCATGGGTTCAAACCCACACATAGTTTGGTTCGCCCAGTGTGACTTTCTCATTGAGCGGCTGTGGTTTGCTACGTCATAAGAAGCAATTAAATTCACAGATCCAAATTATTTTAAATATTACTACATTATTTTATTATTTACAAAAAATGATAAACATGGTAAATTGTTGAGAAATGCACATTTCCCTGTTTGATCTAATTATGGCATAAATTTATTTATTTATTTACATATGGTCAGTGGTCACGCAGCAGCCACCATGCAACAGTAATTATTATTGCCTAATCAAATTATTCATCCATAATTAATCCTTTTTTATTGATTTAATTTAATTTAATTTAATTATTATTATATTATACGCCAGCTTCGTGCATACGGATAAAGTTATTGCCTTTCTGATGTTGTTCTTAGATTGCAAAAAATCCCCAATTCTCAGAAGGAACCCTATTCTGATGCTCGATTAATAATTCCATATGAATGGGAAATGAAAAACGCGAACACCACTCCAGTCGCCGGAACAAATCCAGTTCCGCCGCCGTCCGCCGCGGCTGAGGACGACGACGACAAAGCCAGGTGCGACTGGAATTTCAACCTCTCCGCCGTTGTCGCCGCTTCTCCGACGGGATCCTCCGACGCCATTGGAGTCGTCGAGTTCGACCACAGGAATTCCCTCTTCGCCACCGGCGGAATCGCCCGGAAAATCAGAATTTACAGCCTGCGGAAATTAGTCGGAGAACATTCCGGCGAGAGGAATACGACCGAAACGACGTCGTTTTTAGACCACACCGCTGCATGCGAGTACTATATCTGTACGCCGGCGAGGCTCAGCAGCCTGAAGTGGAAGCCCGGGTCGGGTTCCCGGGTCGTCGGATCCGGGGACTACGACGGCGTGGTGATGGAGTACGACCTGGAAAAACGGGTCGCCGTATTCGAGCGGGACGAGCATGGCGGGCGGCGGGTATGGAGCATGGACTATTCGTATTCGGATCCAAATTTAGGCGGGTCCGGGTCGGACGACGGGACCATGCAAATGTGGGACGCCCGTTGCGGGGGCTCGCTCGCGCCGGTCCGTCCGGACCGGGCCGGTGCGAGCCCGGTCTGCAGCGTGGAATTCAACCCGTTCGGCGGGCATCTCGTGGCCGTCGGATGCGCGGACAGCAGGATCTACGGCTACGATTCGCGGAGGGCGGCTGAGCCGGTTTTCGTGCTCGGCGGCCACCGGAAAGCCGTGACGTACACGAAGTTTCTCGACGGCGGGACGATCGTGTCGGCGGCGACCGACGGGTGTCTGATGATGTGGCAGTCGGAAAATCAGAGCCGTCCGATTAGGACGTACAGAGGACACGTGAACAGCCGGAGATTCGTGGGGCTGTCGGCTTGGAGAGACGGCGGCTTGTTGAGCTGCGGCTCGGAGGACAACAGAGTGTTTGTGTACGATAAGAGATGGGGCGACCCGATTTGGGTCCGCGGGTTCGGGGAATCGGCGGCGGCGGAGGACGGCGGCCGGAGTTTTGTGAGCGGCATTTGCTGGCGGCAGAGCGGGGAGGAGCGGCGGTGCACGCTGGTCGCCGGCGGGTCGGACGGCGCGCTGCAGGTGTTTGAGGGGGAAGAAAGGAAGGGATAGAACAATTTTTATTTTTATTTTTATTTTTTTGAGGGGGATTTAATTAATTTATTATTGCAATCAAAACTAATTAAAATTGGTTGAATTGTTACTTCAAATTTTTAACTGAATTGAATACAGTGACAGAGTGTCTTGTGGTCTTCCTTTTTTTTTCTTTTTTTTTTTTTTCCAAATTTTTAAAATAAAATAGTATTTTTAATATGACTAACAAATTATAAATATGTTTCTATATATGTTTTGTTTAATCATAAAGTAATTTTAAAATTATATTGGATGCGTATGATTTGTATTTATCTATAAAAATTGTTATGATATTTTATTTGAAAAAATAATATATATTTATAGAAAATCATAATGATTTTATAGTAAAATGTTAAAATAAAAAAGAGAAAAAACAAATACAATATTGTCATTATTATGGTTGTACTTGTGTTCTTTGTATTTGTAATTTTTTTTTTCATTTTCATATTTATATTTTTTAAATATCAAATTTAAGAATTATATTTTATATAAATATCAAATTAAATTATCATTTGTAAACAAAAATTACAAAATAAAAACACAAGAGAAACATCGTATACTTCTATTTTATCATTTATTAAAAGATAAAAATGACCTAATTGATCATTAAAATTACTCAAGTGTTTGAAAGTGTTTGTTCATAAAAATGGTAAATGACAAAAGACAAAAAATAATAAAAACAACCTGAAATATTCTTCTAGGTATTCCAACCTTATCCTGTTCATCATTTATTTTTTATTTTTTTATGGCATGGAAACCACAAATTGCTTACTGGGTAAGCTTCCGATCGAACCTAATACCCTGCAAAATAGGCCGACAGGTGTTCATCATTTCTATCTTATTTATATATAGGATGGTTACGTAGTGATATACAAACAACACATATTAGTATTACATACAACACATGCTGTGTATAATAAAATTATGTGCTATTTTTTAATAATAACAAGTGTGATGTATATAAGTATGTCATGTGTTAAAATTAACTGTTGCGTATGTTATATGAGACTATAACATGTGTTGTTAATTCATGTGCTATATTTGTATTATATTAACATATACAATATATTGTTTGTAGTAATATTGTGTGTTGTTGAGACTATAACATACGGGTTTTGTTCATATGTTATATTTGTATTATATTTATATATACAATGTATTGTTTGTAATAATATTATGTATTATCTAATAGCACACGGTGTATTGTTCAGCAATGTAATTACATACTTATATATATGAATTTGTTTGTTTAGCATTTTAATTTGAAAATTATATATTTGTTTATGTAAAATATAATAGATTATATTGATACTATCAAAATATATTTTAAATATTTAGTATTGAACATACAATATTATTTTTTATATTATTTATATAATATTTTATATCTCATATAAAAAAAAAAACAAAATTATTTTTGGTCCCATTCAATATCATAATTATCAATTTTGGTTTCATTCAAAAATTTTTTTATCAATTTTACTCCTAAGATGGTTGACTGAGACTGAACACGGCCGTTTTTAGTCCCAGTCAATCATTTTGAGACTAAAATTGATAAATTTTCATTTGACTAGGATCAAAGTTTATAAATTTTTTTGAATATGACCAAAATTGATAATTATGATATTGAATTGGCGCAAACGATTTTTACTCAAAATAAAATTTAAATAAACAAACTCAAATATTCTGATGAATCCAAACCGTCAGATTTTTAGCTAGGTAGGCCCTACACTAAATCGACGGCATGGATTGATCGAGAAGTAGGGTTCAGTGTTCACTATGCACGGGACAAATACGTGGCTATCGAAGGGTCACGCAATCAGCAGTTACGCAATAAATTTGATCTTTCAGACCAATTAAAATTAACTGTCGTCATTACGAGAACACGTTTTATTTTAATTTTGGTGGCAATTGAGCCAAAAAAAAAAACATCTTCAAAAACCCAAAAGACGAATCTTTAGGGTTTGTTCGTTTGAAGGATTCTACCAAAATTCTACTATTCATTTAAAATTTTTTTTCCAAAAATATCAAATCAAATACCTATTTTTCATTTTTTATATTATACTAAAAATTAATTTTACTTTCAAAACATCACATCAACACTTATTTATATCACATCATAGCACTGTTCAAATTCAAAAATTTTACTATTCAAATCCCAACTCAAAATCCAAACCCCCAAACAAACACACCCTAAATATATATATATGTATATCTTATCAGTAATGACACATGTTTTTATATAACAAAGTATTAAAGTCCCTAAGTCCCAGTTCTAGAAAAGATACCTTAGTGGGACACGAAAATAAAAAAATAATACTATATTCGTCCAGCCACAAAATATATAGTAAATTTTTGTATTGATCTTTAAATATTAATTATTATATTAAAATATGGTATAAATAAAAAGAAAATTATAAAAATACATCTATTAGTCTCTTGTAATACAAATATAATCATATTTTGGAAATAAACTATACAAATACAAAGATATTTTCAATGTTAAATACAATGGCGCAAAAACATATGTTTACTTTGTGGCTGGACGGATGTAGTAGTATTTAATTGAAAGTTATATAAAATAGAAGATAAAAGACTAAAATAAGTAAATTATAGTAATAATTATGAGTAATTTAAAAAAATATGAATAATTTTATTATAAAATGAGAATCATGATTACTAAATAAGGAACCAAAATAATTATTTTGAGACAAATGAAAATAAAAAAACAAGACAACTCTATTAGAACGGAAGACTATAATGTTATATAATAATATACATTATTCTAATTTGATTCAATCAACGCACTAACTACCGTTGGTGCCAGTAACACGATTCAGGTCATTTGTAATGAGTTTGTTTCACTTACTGTTTTTTTATATCATAATTTTCTATAAATATTTTTAAAAAAATGCAATATAGATACAATAATACAATATATAATATATATTTTATCTATTTATAAAAATTAATATAAAATATAAAATATTATTTTTTCTGTCTGGACAAATTATGTCACTTTGTTTGGACACAAAAATTAAAAAATAACGAAAGATTAATATAAAAGTGAAATAGGTAACATATAAGATAAATATATATCTCTTTAAATATAAATTTTTAAATAAGATGGTTAACTAATATGATTCCAGGTAAAATAAAGAGTTAGTAAAAATACATATTTTATAATTTTGAAATAATATTTAATATTATATTTTCTAAAAAAAAAGTATCAAATATCTTCTATGTATTTTACAATATCATATAGCATATGCTAACTCCAATCCATATTCTATGCTTTATCCTTATCAACTAACAATCTCCAAGTGAAATTTTGATTTAATTTTTGTATTTAAATAAAATTTAATGTGATTATTTTTCAATAATAATAATAATAAAAGTGTGTATATATATACAAATATATTTTTTGAAAAAGTAAAGTCCAATTACTAAAAATTAAGGGAAAAAAAAAATTCTACTTCTAACATACAAGCCCAAATTAAATAGCCCAAAAGATTATGAGTTAGTTTTTCTTAAAAATCTGATTTTGGCCTCAAAATATTCACTAGAATTATCATTTAAAACTTAATAGCAAATACTTGTTTTTATATAATATACACTTATTTAAAATTTATGTTACCTGCTTTTTATTTGAATAATAAAATTTTTGAATTAAAATACTTATATGATGTCGTATAAATAATTGTTCATATAATATTTTATATGTATAATTAATTTTTAATATAATATATAAAATATATTTCTTGCATATCCCGTCATATTCGCTTCACAAAACCTATGGGTGTGATTATTTTGTAGATAATTTGAAGGAGAATTTTTAATATAAGTCATGTGGACAATATAAAAATAATAAATGTGTATGATAAATTAATATTTTTTAAAAAAATATATGCATATATATATGTTTTTTTAAAAGAACAGAAAATAAAATTAGGACTAAATAAATGATGAATTAAACACCAAAATTCGACCTCATATTACAAAATTTATTACCTCCTAACTTTTATTCATTACATCTATCAAATTTAAACATAAATTTAAATAATAAAAAAAATAAAATAAAATCGATAAAGCCTAAAAAAAATCCAACGGGGAAAAACAGAGTAGACTACAACAGTTGTAGAAATATTTATACCTTCCATCACAGTCCCAAAACTTATACGTAATATCAAAAGCACCCCCAAAAATTTCCCCTCTCTGCTCATCGAACCATCGTCTTCCTCGCTGCAATTCCTGCAAAAAAATTCAGTCCAAACCTAAACCTCCATTACCATCAAGAACAAGATAGACAGCAACAAAATAACAAATTACATAACTAATTCAAATCGGGACTCATTTCCCTGTCACTGATGACTCATCCACGAATCAGACAAAATCCCCTTTTTCCAAAATTTGCATAAACCCTAATTTCACAGTTCAAGAAAGAAACCCCCAAATTATTCAAAGATGATTACAACATACATACAGATTGATACATATATATATGTATGTATGTATATATGTGTTTGTTTGTTTTGTTTGTTTGAGATTTGAAATTTGCAAAATTCGAATCTTTTTATTTTTTTTATTTCTTTCCATCTCCAGCAGCAGCAGGTTTCTTGTCTTCTGGTTTATCTTCTTTCTTCGAATCTCCCGCAGGTTTCTGAACTTCTTTCTTATCCTCCTTACTGTCGTCTTTCTTCTTCTCCTCCTTCGCCGGCCCTACTAAAACTATATCCACTTTTCCGACGACTTTCTTCAGCTTCTTCACCACCGCCGCGACGTCCATTTCTCCGACCACCGTCAGCTTCTGCTCCCTCACATCAGCAGCAATTGAATCCACTCCTGACAAAATCCCCAATTTTTCAAAATCAATCTGACCTAAAAATTAAATCACTGAAATTGAAATTAATCAATCAATTAAATTGAATTGAATGGGTTTCCATTACCCAGAATGTCTGCAGCTGCTTCTATGGCTTTCTGCTTCGTCTTGTCGTCCGTCATCGTCCAAACCCTCATCACCACTTTCTGCTGATGGATTAACAGACAGATTCCGATTTATGAATTTGTTTTTGTCAATTGATGATTATGATTCGATTGATTCTGCAAAAAATTATTTAAATTTTCAGACAATTACCTGCGCCATTAGAGAATCGGGGAAGAAGACGACGAAGCGTTGGAAGAGAGGAGAAAGTTTGGGACTTTTGTTGAGTGTTTATTTTTTTTCCCTTTTTATTTAATTTTCTGGGGGTATTTTCGTCATTTCGATGAAGTGACGTGATTTAAAAAATAGAAAATAAAATTGATATTTGAGATTCAAGTATTAACTGAAACTATATTAATTTTTGACTTTCAAATCAGCAATTTATTTAAATTCCACTATTGAAAGCTGACAATAATTGAATTAAGGCTCGTTGTATTGATTGTGTATTGCTCAATTTTATTTTTTGCGTTATTTGAAATTTATTTATTTATTTATTTAGTGCTTTTTGATTTGATGGAATAATTTACTAAATGGGATACAACTTGGCCAGATTCTTTTCACGTTTCAATAATGCACTTAAGTTGATACAATGCACCAAATTTAGTTGTGCAACATTTTATTTTATTTTAAATATTTTAAATTTAATAAGAACATAAATGATAATAATTGATATTACCATAATAAAAATTATGAAATTATTTTTTTATTAAAAGAAAAATTACATATATATATTTTTGTTTATAGAGTTACTTTTTTACTGGCCTAATTGCCCGACTAGTACGATTCGGTCGAAAATTTATTTAACATATACTTGAATGGTAATAGTTGTATGTTCCGAATTTACTAAAAAATAAAAATATTTTTTAAAGATAGCAAACAAAATTTCTTGTTTTTCTAAATTTTTATCAATATTGTTTATTTTAACAATTTTTAATAAAAAATATTATATTATTTTTTTCTTATAAAATATTATATCAAAATAATATTTAAATCAAAACTTATAAACAAAACCAAACAGGCCTTAAGGTTGTGTTTGCTTGTTGTTGTTGTTGTTTTTTTTTTTTTTTTTTATAAAGATTTTTAAATTTTTAAAAAATATCAAATCAAAGATTTATTTTTAGTTTTATAGTATAATATTAACAATTAATTTTATATTTAAAATATTACATGAATATCTATTTATATTACATCAAATATTCATTTAAATAATTGTTTAATACGATATAGATAAATTGATTTGAAATTTTGAATATAAAATTAACTTTTAATACAATAAAAAATATTTAATTTAATTTATTTTTGAAAAAATAAATAATAAAAATCAGATCAAACCCCTACAAACAAATCCAAGTATATTGGTAAATATTCAATATATATATGTATATATATATATATGAATCATTCAACTATAGTTCTATATAAATATTCACACATCAAATTGAGTGTAGATTGTAAAAAATAATTAATTTTTGAATTAGATCTAAATTCTAATCCAACAAAAATAAAATTTTCATCGATATCCAATCAAATCAAATCAATTTCACCAATCAAACAGAACTACAAAGAAAATGACTAACCGGAATAATTAACAACTTCAAACGGCTGAAAATCGTACGTCAAAACGCCGTAGAAGAGAACGAAACTCACGAAATGAAACATGTTGTAACAATCTTACAGAAAGAAGAGAGATCGTAATAATATATATACACACAACGGCGCAAGGGTATTTCAACAACGATCGGCTGCTACTATTCTAAACCTAAAAAATGATCGATTTAAATAGGGCGATCGAATTTGGGCTTTTTGGACAAATCATAAAGGATAATTCAATCGACAACGGGTTTCGCTTAAAGCCCATTAATTAAAATTCCGACATATTGTTTATAGCCCCTACATAGTTTCATAAAATTTTATCGTATTAGTAAATCGTGTAATTTTTACCTGTTTTTTAAAACGTCGAATAAAATCTCTTTATAATTAAATTTTAATAAAGAGTGTTAGATAAGTGCCATTAATGAGACGATAATTATGAATTTGATATAAAATAATCGTAAATTGGCCAATTTTATATTTTAAATGGAATATTAGAAGAAATTACAAATCTTACGTGAATTCCATTTTTACGAAATCTTTTGGATAAAGTTTAAAAACAAACCCATGTCAATTAAAGTTACTTCATTTGTTAAACATAAAATTGTTTATATTTTTCATTTTTGTTCGTCACATATAATTTTGTATTTTTTTTTCTGGAAATATAATTATATATTTTAAACACATTTTAAATTTTATAATTTTTAATTTTTAATCTTAATTAAATTATTTAGTTATCTTAATTTATAATTATTTTTATTAATATATTTTTTAATTATATTTTACCCAAACTCTCGTATTTGCAATAACCAAGACAATTTATCTGGGAATAATGGAGTATATCATAAACTTTACCTAAAATTTTAAATAAGACTTAGGGAAATAAGTTGTCAATATTGTCTATTTTATAGAAAGTTGTATTATAAAGTTACTATTTTTATTTTCATTCAATACAAAGTTATTTGCATAATAAGTATGTTGTTTTAAGTTGTTACTATATATTACAAAAGTTATATGTAAGATTTTATTTTAATATAATAAAATTTAATACATTAAATAAGACGCGTAGTATTATGTATATTTTATTGATTGCGGAGATATTTAATATAATTTCTTTTTAAATTTATTCGAATGTCTTCTTTTTTTTTTTTTTTTTTTCTTTTGTATTAATTTTTTTTTTCATACAAAGTATTCTATAGATATGTTTGGTTTTTCTTTTTCATCTAAAAATAATTTAATATAATATTTTATAAGAAAATCGACATGTTTTGAAAAAAAAAAAAGGGGAGTGTATAGTTAAAATATTAAATATATGTAATAAAACTTTATCCATTTTTTTTTTCTAAAATAATTTATATTATTTATTATACAATCATTTCAATTTTTTTTTATATAAAATATAGTATTTTTATATATAATAGAGGTTAATCGTTTTCATTTTTATTTTTAAAATTTACATTCACTTTTTTTACTATACAATTATCTCAAACTTTTTTTTGTTTTAATAAAAATGTATAGTAATTTTTTTCCATATAGATATTACCGTCAACTTAGTCTTTAGATTAAATTTTCAAATCGAAACCTAGAAATACACCCCTTGTTTTGATTTTATTTTTGTATTTTAAAATTTTCGGGATAAAATAAATATCAAATTGTGATACTTATAATAAAAACATACTTCATCCGTCCCAAAAGTATAGTCTTATTGTGTTGGGCACAATATTTAAGAAATATTGATATTATATTGGTAGTGGGTAAAAAGTAAGGATAAATAATTTTTTTTGTCCTTGTGAGTATATTAGTGTAAAAAGTAATGACAATTGTGTAATAATAATGAACAAGTAGAGATACTTTTACGGTGATATGGTTATTTATTAAAATGAGACTATTGTTTTGAAACGGACAAAAATGATAAATAAAAATATTATATTAGAACAGAGAGAATATAAAATTTTAAAAACTACGTAAGAGAGTGTACTATTTAAGTTTTCAAGTTTTAACTCAAATTAATATTATTCAATTTATATGAGTTTTAATTATGATGTATTATATTTTTTTTATAAAATATTCTATTAAAATAATATTTAAATCGAAACAAAAATTACAATTTAAAATTTAAATAAAAAATAAACAAACTCTGTATAATTATAATATAATAAAATAATGATAAAAAAACAATCTAACACAAGCATATAATAATAATATGCAATAATTATAAATGTCACGCGTACCGAATTAATAATGCTTGTTTGGTTCTCATATTTAAATGTTTCTTTTTTTTCTTTTTTCCAATCTATTTTATTCATTTTTTTACATTTTTATTAATAAAACTGGCTTATATTATAATTTTATTTTTATAATAAAGGATATAATTTAAAAATACTTTAATATATATTTAGTGATATGACTCGCTTAGATCGAAATTTTGGATTTGGATTTGATTATTTTAATAGTAATTTGAATTTAAATATATGTTTAACATGATATAAATATATGTTAGATGTGGCTAATATTTTTAATATAAAATTAAATTTTAATGTAATATATAAAATATTGATTAAAATTTTTTAGGAAAAAAAATTATTTTAATAGTGAAAAATCTTTAAAAAATCATAGAAGAGTACGGGTTCGTTTGATTTGATTTGATTGAATATTTAATAAAATAAAATAATTTTATTTTAGTAATAACCGTGAAACTCTATAATATATATTTTATAAATTATATAATTATTGGAGAGATTATAATAAAATTTATTTAAAATATATTAAAATGACAAAATAAATACACTAATATTTAAAGGAAAATATAACTGAATAAATTAAAAATTCCAACACAACTACCAAATAATCAGACAAAAAAAAAAAAAAAAAAAAACATATTAAGGGTTGTTGATATTATTAAAATTTTGGTTTTAAATCTTGATTTGGAAATTGATTTAGGTACTTTTTTCCATTTGGATATGCGTTTTAATTAGGGATGTCAACGGAGCGGGTTTGGAACGGGTTCTGCAGGTCCTGAACCCGCCTCGCTAGAAAAATATTAGGCTCTGAGACTCGCCCCGCCCCGCTTCCACCCGGCCCCAGGACCCGACCCGCCCCGTCCCGAACCCTCCGGGTTGGGGGCCAACCCGGCAAATCCGTTTTTTTAAAAAATATATAATAATAAATATTTTTTTAACAATTGAATACTAAAACAAATAGCATTAAAAACACAAAAAAACAAATATATCTAAAAACAATTAAATATTTATTCATAAAAATAAGATAAATAAATAAATAATATATTTTTATTATATAAATATATATATATTAGGTATAATAATTTTTAAAAATTATTTGGAGCAGGAGACTAATTAAATTTTATATTTAAAATTATTTAAGTAAATAAATAATATATTTTTATTATATAAATATACATATATATTAGTTATAATAATTTTTAAAAATATCCGGGTTCGGGTCCGGTCCGGGTTGGGGCGGGTTTTTAGTAAAATCCGTGACCCGCCCCGAACCCGGCCGGATTTAAAATTTTAAATCCACAACCCGCCCCGAAACATATTATTTAGACCCGAACCTACCTCATTAAAAGCGGATCCAGTACGAGTCCCCTGCTAACCCGCCCCATTTGACATCCCTAGTTTTAATTAAAATAAATAACATTTTTTATAGTTTACTAATGTGAAGATATAATAACAAAAATTATTTAAAATAATATAATAAAAATGATAGAATGAATAATAAAGTAACATTTCATGTTAGTGAAAAATAACATATATATATATATATATATATAAACTCAAAGAAACACGTTTCAATAATAACGTTTCAATATATATATTTTCATAACATATATAATACTTTATTTGTTTAAATTCTATTGTCCTAATTTATACTCCTTCCGTCTCAACCACCCTGTAATATTTTCCTTTTGGTATGTCTCAAACACCCTGCAATATTTCCAAAATAAGAAATAATTAATTATACTTAATCTCTACCCACACTTTGTCACCTCAGATAGTCCAAATAAAAAAATAAAATATATATTTCTCTCTCCATCACGTCACCTAATTTCTAAATTATTCTACTTAAGACTACCCATCTAAAAACTCGTGCCAAAAATAAATGGTACACCTTATTTGAGACAGAGGGAGTACAATTTTTTAAATAAGTACTTTTCGTTAATTAAATAAAGCGTAAAAAAATAAAAAAACAATTATAGAAAAAATAAAATAAAAAAATACACATTAGTTTATGAATGAAAAAAGTATATATATTTTACTTAATTAAAAAAATTAAAAAATAAAAATTCAATACAAAATATTAATTATATTCAGCATATGATCCAATTTTTGAAAAAAAAAAAAAAAGAAAAAAGAACACACTCATTTTAAAAATACAAAGCAAAACTCAATATGTTAATACAAACGGTCAAATAGAGTAACAAACCCCTCAAAAAAAAATAAGAACAAAAAGAGGCAAAAATAAATAAACAAAAAAAAAATTAACTAACGGCGATCACATGACTGCACAGGCGTGAGGGTTTTCGTCGCTAAAAAGTCCGGCGACGGTCTCGTCGGCGGCGACGGCGACGGAGTAAATCGCCGGCGTGTGGAAGAACGTGTGGACGTTAGGGGCGGCGACGTTTCTAGAAGATTCGTAATAATGAGATACGACGTTGTACGGATACTTGTAGAAATACGAGAAATGCGTATGTCCTCCCGGATAAGGCCACGCCTCCGCCGCCTTGCCGCTGCGCTTAATCGCCTTCAGAACTTTCCTTAATTCCACCGAATAACCTCTTACTGTTATCTTCTGAATCTCCATGTCCACCTCCACTTCATCCACACCTGTTGTAATTGCAGGAGAATAGATCTCAGCCCTTCGTTTTGATGACCTAAATTGAACGGCCACGATTTGATTGCTTAATTACCTTTGAGTTTGAGTATGGCTTTCCGTAGCTTTGAAGCGCAGCCTTCGCAGTCCAGATTGGGAACTCTAACTTCAACCATCTTATAAATTAATTTAAATAAAAATCATTAGGAAACAATTGTATTTGTTAACATTTCTGAATTAATGTTACATTGTATTTATAATTGCAAAATGGAATTGAATTAAATTAAATTAAATTAAGAAAGACTTACTGCAGACATGGTGTAGCAAGAATTGATCTACAGCTCTTTTCTTTATTTTTTTCTTGCTTCTTTGAGGCCAAAATATGAAGAAGAAGAAGAAGAGAGAGCTTTTCAGAGTGTCGATGATAATGTGGACACCTCCCTTTTTATATACTTATTTATTTTTCATTCATGCATATGTATGTATAGGTTCGGGTGTAAATTCAAATCTCACATTAAAAATTGAGAATAAAATTTCAAACATCATAAGTTTCATACGAAGAATCTTTTTGAGAAAGTCCAAAAACAAATTCATATGGAATCGACCCAAAGCAGCAGAATATCATACTAGTTGTTTGAATTGACCCAGTGTCAACAGTAGTAGTATTAGAGTTTGATAATGAAGTAGACTGGATAGTATTGGGCATTGATTGTGATTGTGGAAAACTTTCGTAACCTGCAAATATGTCTTGTGTCGAAAATTTTCTGGCATTGGATCAGTCCCAATAATTGTGATTGGTGCGAGCTCAAATTGATAATATCATAGTAGCATTGAATTGCCATAGTCCCAACATACATATAAAATTCTAATACTTCAAAATTTGTATATGCAAAGACGTATTATTGACTCACGTATAAATAAATAAATAAATAAATAATTAAATAAATAAATAATGCGTATTCTTTCAAATTTAAGCATAAAATATTAAGTGCATCAAAATTCACAATTAAATATACAATAAATATCCCAATGGAATTGGAAAGGAAGGGTGCTTTAGGGGAAAGAAAATGAGATTTTTGAATCAAGAAAGCATAGAGGTCAGGCGTGGGGTGGGGTGGGGTGGGGGTGGGGGAGCGTGAAGTTGATATATATATATATATATGTGTATATATGATATGATGGCTTTATTAAAAAGAACAACTTTTTGATTCTTTCCACAGTACTGTTGGCTGTTCCCCACACAACAGAAATTTTTGGTAGGATATATATATATATACACACTCAAATCGAGCTGTTAAATTAATTAATTAATATTCATATTCAATTTAATTTGTTAATACATCGATTTGACTCAATTTATGAGTCTTCAACTCGAGAATTGTCATTTATATAAACAAGTCGAGCTCGAGCTCAGCTTGCATTCTGTTCCATTGAGTTAGTTATTTAGTGATGATATATTCGCAATATTTTATTACAATAAGTTGTAAATAAAATTAAAATATAATATTTAATTTATATTTTTAAAATATATAATAGATATAAACTACGAATCAAATTTGAATTTGACTTTTACGAGTCGTGCTCAAAATGAGCTTGAGCTTAATTTAAATGCTAAGTGAGCCGAGTCGAATTTTTACTCACTCTTTTTAATAGTCTCACTGTCAAAGACTGTCTTGAATGTATTTTTTAAAAGAAATTTAATATTTTTACCATTTGTCTATAAAGATTACATTTACTTTTTTGGTAACTGTATTTAATATTAAAAATATTTTTAATTTAATTTTATATACAAATATTATTATAATAATATTACAAAGACACTAGTATAAATATTTTTTTTATTTTCTATCATTTATATTATATTTTTATATAATAATCAATATTTAAATATTAATATGAAAAAAAAAAATAAATGTGGTATTATTTATTAATAATATTTTTATTGAAGCATATTATTATGTTATTTTACTCAAGTGGTTTGTGTTTGGAATGATGAGTGGTGACATGATAATAGCTTTTTCTTTTTTCTTTGGATTACAGTTACACATAAATTTTGAAATCTTGCAATTGAAATTGAAATGTGCAGGCTGTTTTAACTGACTGATACACAGGCCTGGGACCAGAACACCAGATTAATCTGGACCAAAATTGATGGTCAGGATTTCGGGGGCGCTGGAGTACAGGGACCTTGTCAGTATGAGAGCCAGACAAAATTAAAAAATTATTTAGAGAAAGATATAGGAAAGAAAAAAAGAAGACAGGAAAAAACATCCTTTTTCAGAGAAAAAAAAATAAAAAATTATAATAACAGGTCAGAAGTTAGAATCTTCTTTAATTAACTGAATTGTCCTTTCATTTATATTATAATCACTAGTATCCGTCCCACATAATTTGTTCCTATTTTTTATTTTTATTTGTCTCATATAATTTGTTCTTTATATTTTTGAAAATATAATTATACACTTTAATCTCATTTTAAATTTTATAATTTTTTTTTAATTTTAATTAAACTATTTACTTATTTTAATTTTAATCTATAATTATTTTTACTAAATAATAATTATTTTAACTAATACATTTCTTAATTACTTACTAATTATACTTTACCTAAATTTACGTGTGTACAGTAATACACCCGAAGGGAGTATGTTTCTATATACTTCCACATTCCAATTACAAATTGTTTTTCTAGTAGAGATTAAAAATTAGAAAAAAAAAAAAAAAACGTCCCATTGAAATAAATGATAATTAATTTTAATACTAATATAAAAATTTATCAATTTTGACTCTATTATGAATAACTGTAATTTTATTTTTTTATCAAATCATTGAAAATCTAACAAAAAATACTAACATGAACGTGACAATCCGATGAGAGAAATTTAAATATACAAATAATAATAATAATAATAATAATAATAATAATTCCCGGTCAAAAGTAAGGGTTTAAACTGAAACTTCACGCTACTAGACCATCCTTACGGAACAATTCACCGCCATAATTTTTGGTTCATGGTGTAATGAATTTATGATAATTTAATTTCTATTAGTTAAACTTCATAAAATTAAAATCATTTAAAATTATATTCCCTCGGTTCCATTGAAAGATTACCATTTTCCATTTTCGTCTGTTTCAAAACGAGGTTACCATTTTCTAATTTAGTAATTGTATTACCTACTTAACATAATAAATACTCTTTCAATTTACAATATATTATACAAATATCATTACTTTTCTATTATATCATATTAATAGAGGTGTTTTTGTCTTTTTTACTGAAAATTTAATAAAATATTAATATTAAAAAATTTACGTGGAAAAGGAAAAACAGGACGGAGGGAGTATTTAAGTTTATTGGGCTCAACCTGTATACTTAACAAGTCCACGGCCTCAAGGCCCAAAATTCAATCTTGACCATTAATAAAGCTCAAGCTCAAACTCCAGCAAATCCAAACAAGCTCAATTTAGAAAGTGTTTGAGAAATAGCTTTTTGAAGAGCTTTTAGTGTATTGAATAATATTTTAGCTGTTTTATTAGTCAAAAACTTAATTTATGTGTTTGGTAATTTACTTCTTTTTTTTTTTTTTTTTTTTTTTTTTTTTTTTTTCAGAGCTTTTTGGACCAAAAATGCTAATTTCTGAAAAAGCTAATCTACCCAACTTTTTGAAAGAGTTTTTTAATTTAAATTTTGGTTATTTTTATTTATCCTTAAAATTTAATTATTTATTTTATACATATAAATATATTTTTGTAGCAGTATTCATTAATTATTTTTAATATATTTAATTTATTAAATTATATTTTTATTTTTTAAATTTAAAATAATAATAATTATTAATTATTACATATAAATCTTTAAAACTAAATTAAATAAAAAAATAAAAATTATTAATTTATTTATATATATTAAAACAATAAGTAACATAATAAAAAAATATATACGAAAGATTTATTATTTTATATTTTATATAATTTTAATAAAAAATTATTATTGTTTTTAATAAAACTAATTTTCTCAAATTTAAATAATAAAAATAAAAATAAATATTTTATAATATTTTTATAATTTTCAATAATTAATAACAAAAATTCTCATAAATTTCAAACTAAAATGAACAATATTAACTATTTGAAAAAATAACGTATCAGTATCCTTAATAGTCATTTTATGTATAAACAACTAATGTCAAACAGTTGTTTTACCAAACACTTTAATACAAATCGTTAATTGAATCAATTAGTCAAACAAGCTAATTCAATCAACTAACAACTAATTGAATCGACTAACAGTTAAAAATTATTTGCTAATTGCCAAACGCACCCTTAATATATGCCCAAATTATTCATTTACTAATATTGAGAATTTGAAATACAGAATACTACTCTATTTGTTCAATAATACATTTTTCATTTGTCATGTTAATATGTCGAAACTATATATTTTTTTAAGGAAAAACTAACTATTAATTATATATCAAAATACCTTTATTATTATTATTTTATTTTTTACACTATTTTGGAAGAATAAAATGAATATTATATTATTTTATTTTTATCTGAAACCACGTAAAAAAAAGAAAAGTCAAATAAAAAATTTATTAGTGAACGAAGGAAGTATTCGATAGGTGGATGTTTGGTTTGATTTTCTCATGTGAATTTTTTTTTTTTCATATTCTTCTTCTTTTACTTTCACAAACCAAATAATGGAGAAAAAGCGTAAAAAAAATAAGTGTATTGTCGGTCATTTTTCAAAATTTTATTTGTTAACGGTCATAGTTCTAGCTAATTTTATATTTTGAATGTAAAACTATTATTTAGATAATGGATATTTACTTTGATATTTAAAATAATTAAATAAATAAAAAATCATTAAAATCTTCAAACAAACACATCCTAAAATTTTACATGAATTTTGTAATCAGGTAACATATTACTAGTTGTTATAATATAAGGTGCCATTATTGACTTATAGTAACTTTTATTTATTAGAACCATCCTCGAAATTAATATAAATAATTATCACATTATAACATTATAACGTAATAAATAAATTAATTATAACATATTATTATTATTATTATTATTATTATTATTATTATTATTTTGAATCTCAGTTTTTGTTTCTTTTGTAATAATTTTTTCACATTTTATTTTTTAAAAAATCAATATTTTAAACAATTTTATTATTATTATTTTATTATCTACACACTTTTTTTATATTTTACAATAAAATAATTTTCTTTTAAACCGATATATAAAACAACCCTCAATTATTTTCAACTCTATTATCTCATCATGATTGCATAATAATAATAAATATAATAATAATAATAATTGGCTTTTCATTAAATACATACTAAAAATATAATCTCTCTTAAACAATTATAAATCAATTTAATAAAATTTCTAATATATTAGACATAAAACTCACTCAAAATTCAATTTTTATGTTTCTTTTAAATAAGTAAATATTTTTATCTATATTTAAAATTCTTTATTTTTCATAAAACTAGTTTTAGGTTTTATTTATTTTTATTATATAAAATTTTAATTCTCTACAAAATGATATTCATATTGTATATATTTTATTGAGATATAATGCTAAATGAATACTATTTAAAATACCAACAACACTACTCATTAAAAAATAATATCGTAATTTATTATTAATAATTTACTAATTTATCCTACTTAAAATATTGTGTCTCTAACTAAATATGTCATCCGGACCGAGCGGAAGAAGTACAATACTTCCATTTATATAATTATATACAGTCAAAATTTTCTGACTATAATTCAATCTTCTCTCCAAAGTTATAATTTCTTTATTTATATCACTCCAATAAAGAAATTTATTTATATACATTTAAACTATTTTTTCTTTATCTTTTGAGAAATTATAAATTAAATATGATATTATATAATAAAAATAAAATAATTAAATAGCAAAAGAATGGAATTTTACTATATTCAATTTATTAATTTTTTTATATAAAATATTAAATCCAAGAATAATTTTAAGTTAAAAATTATATATAAAAAAACATCACACAAATCCTGAAAAAGAATAAAAATTTAACGAAAATAGCATGCATATTAGGGTGTGTTTGGTACAGAGAATTGGCAGCAGAAAAATGGAAATGTTTCTATTTCTGTTGTTTGTTTGAGTCAGAGAAATGAAAGTTAGAGAAATAAATCATTTCTATTTCTCTATTTTCATTTCTCTCATATATTCAGAGAAATAGAGAGAAATAAATCCAGTATATATATTTTTATTATTATTTTTTGTAATATTTAATTTTTATAATTATTTATATTATATTATTTTAGTTTTACAAAAATTATTTTTAATTTATCATTCAAGTATTTAATTTTTTACAAAAACTTATACTAAAATATGATCTTACAAAACTTCGTATATAATTTATAATTTTTGTCTTAAGAAAAGTCACCATAAATATTTTTTCATGATTCTCACTTGCTAAAACTCTCTTTTGTTAGATTAATCATTTATTCTTGTCCAATCAATTCATTTTTTTTTTATATTTCTCAACTGAATTCTATATTGTACGAAACAAGAGAATTAATTCTCATTCTCTCTTCAATTTCTTTTCTCTGCAATTCCATTCTCTACTTTTATTTTTCTGCAATTCCATTTTTTGTACCAAACGTCCCCTTAGTTTAATTGGTTGTTTGAAATTGATTTGAAATGAAATGTTAATTTAAAATTTTGTTTAAATAATATTTTGTGAAAAATAAAATGTATTTTTATTAAAAATTAGTCAAATGAATAATATTATTTTTTATTTAAATCAGTAAAAAAAACAAACCCTAAATGTTGGTTGGAAGTTGGATTGTTTTTGGAATAAAATATTGTTTGATTAATGGTTATATTATAATATAATATATATATATATTTAAAATATATTTTGAATATTTTAAAATTTATAATTTAATAAAATATTATATTTTATTTATAAAAAAAATAAAAGTTTATATAATATAAAAATAAATTTTAATATAAAATAAATAAATAAGTAATATTATTTTATCTATTCATACACCTGTTTACCTTTTATACATATTTTTAAATAACATAAAAATTTATAATCGCTATTTTGAAATGCATTTAAAAATATAATTTTAATGTGACATAGAGTATGTTTATCTAACAAAAATATTTGACATACATTTTTATTAATTTTACAAAACAAAATAAATACTCCACATTCTATATATTCACGAAAATATTTCAAAAATTGGAAATTTTAAAAAAAAAAAAAAAAACACACAAAAAGGAAAAATATTGATTTAGTCCATTTAATATCAATATAAACTACTTTTCGTATCATTTCTCAACTCAATAATGGAGTTTTTTCGGCCAAACAATTTTATTACTAGCCGTATCACGGCAATGTAGTCAGCTTACGGCGTCTACAAAGCGACCATATTTTGCAGCTACAAAGTCTATGATATTTTGTCCTGTAAGGCATCCTGGTGATGTAGGGGTTGGACTTGTGATCGTAAGGTCGTAGGTTTAAATCATCGACGCTTCAGGTCACATGCTACACATTGTTTGCCTAGTGTATCTTTCTCGTTGGGCCTGATTTGCGGAGTATTAGGTTCGGTCGAGGGTTTACCCAATGCGCACTTTCGAGTGTACTCATAGGTTTTGCATTCTTCATATTGAACTTTTTCAGGATCTTCTTCGCATATTTTATCTACGAGAGATTCAACATCCTACTATCACGATCTCATATTTTTCTCATGCTCAAAATCGAAGAATCGTGTGAATAAAAAAAATTTAATATTCGATCAGATTGTATCATGAATTTAATCGTATATTCAAATGACAATTTTTCAATAAGACAGAGGAAGTATATTATATATATATACACGAGGAATCGTATCAACAAAAAATTTAATATTCGGTTAGATTGTACGAATTTAATCGTATGCTCAAATGACAATATTTTAATGAGACGTAGATAGTAAATATTATATATATATATGTGAAAATTCATGTCAATAAGATAAATTATTGTATGAATAAAACTTAATATTTGGTCAATTGTACGAATTTTAAAAATAGTAATTTTTAATACATAATAATAATTTTGTCAATTGAAAAAATAAAAATACTCATGTAATTTAGATTTAATTTAAAAAATATATTTAATGATATTATTATAAATATTTTAAATTATAAATATTATTTGCCTAAAATAATTACATATACATATATTTATGACAAATTATCATATAAAATAAAAAAGATATATTTGTATCATATTAAAGAAGCCCTTCCTTCCTCAATTAATTTATTTCTATTTTTTTTTCTAAAAAATATAAACTACTTTATTTAAAATAAATAATTTTTACACAATTCGCAAATTAATCAAATATTATTCACTTTTTAATTCATTATAAAACAACAAATGTATACCTTAAATAAATATAAAAATATTTATTAAAATTTATATCTAACGGGTGTGTTTCTTTTTAACACTTAAATCCATACTTCCACCGTCTATAACAAAATATCTATTTTTTCATTTTAGTCCGTTGCATAATAAAGTATATATATTTTTTTAGTAACTGTCTTATGTACTAACATTACAAATACCTTTACAATTTACAATATATTACATAAATGGCATTACCTTTGTATCACACATACTAAGGGTATTTAGTCATTTCTATTTTATTTTTACTATATTCTAATATAATACTAAAATTTTTAAAATTTGTTCAAAAAGTAAATGGATATTTACTTATGGAAGGAAGGGATTAATTATTATTTGAATTCATCATATTTTTTAAATTATAATTTTCTTTCTTTTTAAAAAAAGTCTCAGTATACGCTTATTATAAGTTTGGACTTAAACAATTTTTATTTATTTATTTATTTATTTATTTTTTTTAATTTTAAAAATTTATCAAGAAACATAGAGTGAATTCTGAGAGTTTGTAAAAACGCAAGGCCAAACACGGCCTAACGTTTGTCCCAAATTAGGGGCGGGTGTCACGTGACACGAGCACTTCCCAGCTTTCATTTCACCGCCTTGTTCAGTTGTTCATCTTCCTCTTGTCCTTTTCTCTCAATCCTCAAACTTGTGAGAATTTTCATTTTCCAATTCCCAGCCGAGATCGATGCATACGATAAGCTTCTTCTTACCTCCTTCTTCGTCGATCCGTTCGTTGTTGTCAGAATCATTTAATTTTACTCAATAATGATCGATCGGTTTAATTAAGTCGTTGATATTTAATCAATCAGTTGGACAGACTGCATCTCTGCCCCACCATTTCATATCAGGTAATAATCCACACCTCTTTTTACCATTTCAGATCGCCGGATAAATACAAAAATTACCAATCCTGTAATAATCCTATTGCAATAATCTATATATGTATATGTATGTGTATATATATGTTAGGACATGTATTTGACTCTGAGGTTTAACTTTTAAGGAATTAGGTGCTGGAGAGACATAGCAGCAGGTTTGGAGGTGCAGTTTAGTTTCCAGACCTGGTAAGAGACCGCCGTGTCGGTTCAGGACATCATTAATTGATTCGCCGTTTGTTGAAAAATTCAGGTGCGAGCTACTGATCGATTGCGACACGATTGATTCTTGTCGGAAACAGATCAGGCGTTTAAAGAAGAAGAGTCGGAGAGGCGGCGGCGGCGCCACCGGAATGGAGGCGGTGCTGCGGCGGCTGCCGGCGAGGTCGTCGTTGGTGGTGCTTTTCTTCGTCGTTTTAACCATCGGCGCGTACATCTGCACGCGCTACCTCGACTCGTCCGCTACTGTAAGTTCTCTACGGTTCTATTTCCTGCTTTTGCATACAGTGATCTTTATATTTTTTTAAGAATTTTAATTTGAATTTTCTAATACCACCAAACAATCTGACATTCTTGAGGTTTGCAGATGCATTCAAATCTTCCTCTGTTCTTACACACTGTTGGGAATATTTTCTGAATTTTTTATTAATATTTCTTTACAACTGTTGCAACGACGTCGTTCTGTCGTCCATTCTTGACTATGAAATGCATTATTTAATTAGTCCTTGATTTAGACGTACCCTTTTTTTCTTGGGTCCTACATTCAAATTAGGGTTAAGGGTACGTCTGGTGTAGTTTTCGTGTTGAATTATTAATTACTATATATATATTGCAAAATAAAATCCTATTATGAGATTGAAAATTTCATGTAGTGAAAGTCAAATTGAAATTTCATCAAATAATGTGTTTGGATTTTGATTTTTTTTATTTATAGTTTAGTATAGATAATATTTTATATGAGTAAATAATATATTTTTTTTTTATTGAAAATAATAAAATATATAATAATAAAAAACTAAAACGAGCTGAAAATAGAAGAGGGCATTATTATTAAAGGGAGTTCTTGAAAAATTGTTGCAAAATTTGTGCAGGAAGCATTATGATTACACATTATTTTGGCATGTAAAATAAAGCAAGAAATTTGTTATAATAGTCAAAAGCTCATATATATATTATATATATATATGGAATCATTTATTTGGCGGTGTGGGTTGTGAATTTGTAATCATAAAGTTTATAGATTCAAAACTCTAATACCTTTCATATTATGGTAATTTTTAGAATTTTTGTTTTGTTAGATGTTATTATCGGTATGATATTTTTTATTATTTTTTTATTACTTAAAAAATAGGGATAAAATAGAAGAAGTGAGCTAAACTATTTGGTTAAACAGAGGATTCGTGAATATTTAATCTTTTATACACTTCTTGCTTATCATTTTCTAACATTTCTATGTTGACTATCCTCTTTCTCGATCTATCCTGTAGCTTATAGATCGAAGTTCCTCGGAAGATTCCATCTCAACCGTTAAAACGGCTCTTAACGATCATCCGGAGGCCAAAAACAACGGCCAGGATTCACCAAAGAAGATCGTCGAAATTCCGTTAAATTGTTCCCTCAGCAGCCAGCCCCGGACCTGCCCGGCCGGATACTACCCGTCAAAGATTCCGGCCGAAGTTAACGAAATTTCTCCGGCAGCGTCGTCGGCATGTCCCAATTATTTTCGATGGATTCACGAAGATTTATGGCCATGGAGGGAGACCGGAATTACTCGAGAAATGGTGAGTCGTGCGCGCCGGACGGCCAATTTCCGGTTAGTCGTAGTCGATGGGAGAGCCTACGTCGAGACGTACCAAAAAGCCTTTCAGAGTCGGGACACGTTTACGATATGGGGAATCTTGCAACTGCTGAGGAGGTTTCCGGGGAAAGTCCCAGATCTTGATTTAATGTTCGACTGTGTTGATTGGCCAGTCGTCAAGAAGGCGGACTTTGCGGGCCCGGGATCCCCGCCGCCGCCGCCGCTGTTCCGGTACTGCGGCAACGACGACACCCATGATATCGTGTTTCCCGACTGGTCGTTTTGGGGATGGTAAGTACGTGTTTACTCAGTGATTTTTCTTGAGTTTTGTTTAAACGGTAAATTGAAAGTGATATTTTGTATGAAAAAATCTAAAATGCTGTTAGAGTAAAAAAATTATAATAGCATATTTGTAAAGGGAGGTAAGAATGAGGTTAAATTTGTAATTGAATAGAATCACATAGATTATTAATACAAATATATTTCATCTGTTCAAATTCTATTTGTCCTAAATCGTATTTGTATAATTTTTTTAGGTAAGTATTTTTTGTTATAAATTGACATTTTTACTCGTTGTGGTAAAGTAGCAAATATATGCTAAAAAAAAAAAAATAGTTATTAGATGTTCCAAATAAAAAAATAGGACATTAGAAATACTTTTTTTAGGTGACACAATGTTAAATGATAAGTCGGACAATACATATGAGACTCAAGATATATATTTTTATGAATAATTGTGGAGAATTACATAGTACATTAAAATGACTCTTAGATGTGTCTAAAATTGTAGTGTACGATGTTGTCTACCCAAACTTATTGACTTGTCTTGTTAGGCCTGAGATCAACATAAAACCGTGGAATGAATTATCGAAGGACTTGCAAGAAGGGAATGCGAGGAGCAAATGGATAGACCGGGAACCATACGCGTATTGGAAGGGGAATCCGACGGTTGCTGAGACGAGGATGGATTTACTTAAGTGTAATGTTTCGGACAAGCATGATTGGAATGCTCGCGTCTATGCTCAGGTGACCTCTAATTTTTATTTTTTTTTTTAATTTTATTTATTGTATTTAGTTTTAGTTTCTTTAATGTATTATGTTATTTCTAAACGTAGTAAAAATAATTTTCAGGATTGGCTGAAAGAACAAGTAGAGGGCTACAAGAGCTCTGACTTAGCGAGCCAATGCATTCATAGGTCGGGATCACACAAATTATTCGCTATAAAGTTTCTCGCATAATTTACTTCATTGTTCGATGCGTATTTATGACTTAATGTTAGGTTAAACGACGGCTCCTTCATTTAATGTCTCTCGTGTTATTTTTTTGGTTGACAGGTACAAAATCTATATTGAAGGTTCTGCTTGGTCAGTAAGCGAAAAGTACATTTTAGCGTGCAATTCACTAACATTGCTCGTGAAGCCAATCTACTACGACTTCTTCACCCGTGGCTTGATGCCGTTGAAACACTATTGGCCCATCAAAAGCGACGACAAGTGCCGATCCATCAAACACGCCGTCAACTGGGGAAATACCCATCAAAAAGAGGTAAATATTGACAAATATACAACCTTTTTTTTTTTTTTTTTTTCACTATTCAGTATGTCAAATATATATATTTTTTCTATAAAATATTAAATCAGATACTCAATTTCTTACTTAATGTTAGAGATTTTCAAAATTTTAAAACTTCTATCTAAACAGAGCCCAAATAAACTCGTCTTACGTTGTCGATCCGCAAATGATATTTTTTTACGACGGAATTTGTAACGCAGGCGCAGGCAATCGGGGGGGCGGCGAGCGCGTTCATTCTGGACGAGGTGAAGATGGATTACGTGTACGACTACATGTTCCATTTATTGAGCGCATACGCGAAGCTCCTCAAGTACAAGCCGACGGTGCCCAAGAAAGCCGTGGAGCTTTGCTCGGAGGCGATGGCATGTGCGGCGGCGGACGGGACGGCGAAGAAGTTCATGATGAATTCATTGGTGAATGGGGCAGCCATGGCGGAGGCCTGCAGGATGCCTCCGCCGTATGATCCTGTGGCTGTTTATTCTGTTGTCGAAGGTAAGAAGAAGGGAATGAAGCAAGTAGATACTTGGGAAAAGGAATATTGGAATATTAATAGTAGTAATAATAATAATACATAGATATATATATATATCTAAGAGAGATGGAAGGATTTGGTCGGTTTTTTTTTTTTTGTTAATGTTGTAAGAATTATATATATATATATATATAATTAGTGTATACAAATGATTGGAGATGTTGGTTGAATGAATCGTGTATGAAAATAATACTCCATCCGTCCCACATACAATATCCACATTGCCGTTTCTGTTTGTCTCATATTTCATGTCACTTTTTTTTAAATGATTATACACTTTAATTTTATTTTAAAATTTTAAATTTAATTTTTTTTAAAATTTGAATTAAAATAATTAATTATTTTAATCTTAATTTATAATTATTTATATTAATATATAATAATTATTTTACTAATATAATATTAATTATCTATTAATTATATTTATCCTAAATTGTGGTATCAATCGTGTATGGATGGAGAGAATAGTTAGATGTAATAATTTTGTAATAATTAAAAATAGCGAGGCTGATGGGTGAGTTTGGGATTTGATTTAATTGTTGGCTTTGTTTTTTTTAATGAATATTATTAAAAAAATATACTTTTTTTTTTTTCCCTTATCACATGATTATTTGAAATTTTGTAATAAATTAAAAAATAATAAAATTATTTTATTGATTAGTGAAAATATGTAAAAAATTTTATATGTAATAATATATTTGTAATTTAGATAAAAGTTAAGAATAATATTTTGATATTAATGTATTATTTTTTGTTTTTTTTTCTTTTAAATAAGAAAGTGATATTTTGAAATATTGTAAGAAAAATACTTTGAGGTGAGACGGATGAAGTAATATTTTTTAAAGTAGTCTTCTGAGATTTTATGTAAAAAATAATACTCCTATTTTATTAATTAGTGTGTAAAATTTTTTAATATTTTTGCTATTTGACTTTAAAAGTATAAAATAATTATATGTTTAATGATATATTTATAATTTAAATAAAATTTAAAGAATATTTTGGTATTAATATATAATTATTTTTACTAAAAAAATACTTTTAAGTGAAAGCTACGAAAATAATAAAAATAATATTTTAAATTAAGATGAACGAGTATAAATATGCATAGTACCAATTTCCATATTTAGCATAAAAAAATGTCTCAATCTAAAATATTAAACAAATACATTGTGTTTAAATAATAAAATTTTTTGAAGTCTTAATTTTTTTTAAAAATTAAATAAATAATAAGAGGGAAAAAAAATTGAATATTAAAGTTGTTAGCAAAAGTTTAAAAAATGCATGTGTAATAAGAGATAAGAGAGAGCCAAATAATTGATTACAGCTAAGATGCAATAAAAATTGGAAATTTCCATTTAAGCAACAAAATTGCCTTTTCACACTCTCCAACGGGTTAGTAATATTCAAATGCACCGGCGCGTATGCTACACCCGCATCCCAAGAGCGTGGCCCCCGAAGCTCCTTCCTAACGTTCAAAAAATTTTCAAATTTCAAATCCCTCTCCAGAACCTTCTATTTAAATCCCCAATTGAATCGCAAAACCCTAGTTTGCTTCTTCCCTGAAACTGCCGCCGTTCATTTTGAATTTCAAAATTTCACAGCCGTAGCCATGCGTGAGATCCTCCACATCCAAGGCGGCCAGTGCGGCAACCAGATCGGTGCCAAGTTCTGGGAGGTCGTCTGCGCCGAGCACGGGATAGATTCCACCGGCCGATACAGTGGAGACAACGATCTGCAGCTCGAGCGCGTCAATGTCTACTACAACGAAGCCAGCTGCGGGCGCTTCGTTCCCCGCGCCGTGCTCATGGATTTGGAGCCTGGAACTATGGATAGCGTCAGATCTGGTCCGTACGGACAGATATTCCGGCCGGATAACTTCGTCTTCGGACAGTCCGGCGCCGGAAATAATTGGGCGAAGGGACACTACACTGAAGGCGCCGAGCTGATTGACTCCGTTCTTGACGTCGTCAGGAAGGAGGCTGAGAACTGTGATTGCTTGCAAGGTAATTTGCTGCTTGATTTCTGGAAACTTCTGTAAATTGTTTGGACTGCGTGAGTCATTATTTCATTTTTCATTTTCTGCTAGTCATTTCGGAAGGTTATTTGCTATTCGATATCTGGAAACTTCTGTTAATTGTTTAGACTGGGTGAATCCTTATGTTTTGAAGTTAATAGCTATTCAATTTCTGGAAACTCTGTTAATTGTTTGGACTGAAATCTTCTTCTTAGCTGTTAGTTGTTTCCGAAGGTGTTTTGTTGTTCGATTTCTGGAAACTTCTGCAAATTGCCTGGACTGCGTGAAACATGTTAATCTCCTTTTCTGTTCATCGGTTTTTTTTTTTTTCCTATTGTTTGGTGAATATCTTTTGGTGTTGATTGTGATAGGATTTCAAGTCTGTCATTCACTTGGAGGAGGAACTGGATCTGGAATGGGAACTCTCCTAATCTCAAAGATCCGAGAAGAGTATCCCGACCGTATGATGCTAACCTTCTCTGTTTTTCCATCGCCAAAAGTCTCCGACACAGTTGTGGAGCCTTACAACGCCACATTATCCGTCCACCAGCTCGTCGAGAACGCCGACGAGTGTATGGTGTTGGACAACGAAGCTCTCTACGACATCTGCTTCCGAACTCTCAAACTCACCACTCCAAGCTGTAAGCAAAAATTTCACCATCAAATTTCAACTAAATCTTTCAATCAAAATCCTAACTGAATCAATGAATTTTATGCAGTCGGAGATTTAAACCACCTGATTTCGGCGACAATGAGCGGGGTAACATGCTGCCTCCGATTCCCAGGGCAACTCAACTCTGATCTCCGAAAACTCGCTGTCAATCTGATCCCCTTCCCGCGGCTCCATTTCTTCATGGTCGGTTTCGCCCCTCTAACATCCCGAGGCTCGCAGCAGTACCGCGCCCTCACCGTCCCGGAGCTCACGCAACAAATGTGGGATGCAAAGAACATGATGTGCGCCGCCGACCCCCGCCATGGCCGCTACTTAACAGCCTCGGCAATGTTCCGCGGCAAAATGAGCACGAAGGAGGTCGACGAGCAGATGCTGAACGTGCAGAACAAGAACTCATCCTACTTCGTCGAGTGGATCCCTAACAACGTAAAATCGACAGTCTGCGACATCCCTCCGACTGGGCTGAAAATGGCGTCTACGTTCATCGGGAACTCGACATCGATTCAGGAGATGTTCCGGCGGGTCAGCGAGCAGTTCACGGCAATGTTCCGGCGGAAGGCGTTCTTGCATTGGTACACCGGCGAGGGAATGGACGAAATGGAGTTTACGGAGGCGGAGAGTAATATGAACGATCTGGTGGCGGAGTATCAGCAGTATCAGGACGCGACGGCGGAGGAAGAGTATGAGTATGAAGAAGAAGAGGAGGAAGACGAAGGTGTTCGCGACTGATTTTTAAGGTAAATCTATTTTTACCTTGAAATTTTTATCTTAAAATTATCGAAGAACTGCAATTATTACCAGAACTTTTATTTACCTGAAAAATCTGTTTACTGTTCAAGGAGTTCTGTAGTGGTAGTAATGTGTGTAATGCTTTCTGGGCATTGTTCTGAATCTTTTCTCTTTTCTTGAATTGTAATGAGTGTTTAAATGAAAATAGTCATTACAACATTTGTGTTTGTTTGTCTGATTTTCGTTGCAATTGCAATTTAAGTTTCCTTCATTCAATATTTTTCTTTTTAAAAAGGATTTGGCAAAATAGTGGGCTAATTTTTTAAATTTCTTAGTGCAATATTTGTTGGGCTTAAACTGGGCCTAAAAGTTTGGGCTGGATCAGGCAAAGTTGGGCTAAAACAGGGTTGGGTTTGCCTTGGTAATTCTTCTATATATAAATTATATATATATATGTATAGGGTGGGTTTGTTTGGGGGTTTGGATTTTGAATTGAGATTTGAATAGTAAAATTTTTGAATTTGAATAGTTGTACGATGTGATATAAATAGGTGTTGATGTGATGTTTTGAATGTAAATTTGATTTTTAGTATAATATAAAAAATAAAAAATAGGTGTTTGATTTGATATTTTTTGAGGGAAAAAATGGGATGAATAGTAGAAATTAAATCCAATCTCCCAAACAAACACACCCATAGTTGATTTTTGGAATTATAAAATTATTAATATATTATATAATTATTAATATTTTACTCTTTGTAAAAATATTGATATTTGTAATTACCTTTAGACCATTTTTGTTTCTTGTATTTTAATTGATATTTGATGAGAAAATAATAAATTTTGCACGGAGTTAATCGTGTTGAATTTTAGAATAAATAAATAATTCACGCACGGTCAATATGCTAAAATAATAAATTTATGATATGCGCATGATATATTTTGTTAAGATGATAATTTTAAAAACAAAAATGATAATTGAATATACATCCAAAATATTTAATTGCATTTTCCCTAAAAAAAAAATCATCTTACTTAACATATTATTTATTATTTGTATATTATGGAGTCAATCAGCATGCGCTCTCACATACAAGGTAAATTTATGTCACATACAAGTTTATACGTGGACAACGACGAATGAGGAACAAGATGTATTTACGCTACATATGAATCGTGCTTAGAGCAACAACGAATGGGGGACGTGAAACTAAAGTACGTTACGTTCTAATTTTGATAATATGTTAAATTCTCATCTCATTTAAAAGTTTAAACTTTAAAAATAAGTATCATTAATTATTAGAATAAATTTTTTCTTTTCTTAGTCTTTCGTGTGATCCCCTTTATTACTTTAGAACTATAAGTGAACCATGTATATAAAATCAATTTTATAATTTAAATATTTTGACAGAAATAGTTCTTTGGTACCGTAGTTGTATATGCGACACTCTTGTAACTTCCGGAGCTGATGTGTTCACACAGATAGCCGTGGTGTCGATAATTTCGTATTATTTTAGGATTTTAAATAATTATGTGACACTAATCACAAAATCATACATGCAACTTTGTTACAATGAATTATTTCTACATAAAAATTTAAATTATAGGATTATTTTCATATAATTCTAAAATGATAAAAATAGCTAAATGAGGGACTGGAAAAATATATTACCTTAACTATTATATAGTATGGATTCAATCAGCACATACTATATAAATAAATAAATGTGCAACTAAATTTAGAAGACTTTTATTTGTTTGGATTGTAATTCTATAAGAATTTTATGACTTAATGATTGAATCTTATATAACATCGTATTAATATATTATTTAAATTAATATTCAAATAAAAAATTCATTCCCAATCACAACCCATAGAAGTTGTTGGGGTTTTATTTTGTAGGATTTAAGTTATTGTTGTATTTCGATAATGTAAGCTCCAAATTTCGATTAACTCACAGAATATAAAAAAATATTTACTTTAAAAAATTATATATACAAATTCACTCAGCACAGATTTATTTTTTGCTCTCGAGTCAGATTACAAATACATATGCAGTAACGCAGTCAAGATGTTAACTCAATTTGGCTACACCAGTCTACATATGAGAGGTTTCAACTTAAGCGTAATTCACTGTCGAAATCATTGAAATATGACGATACAATGATTGAATTTTCATTAGATGTGTATTAAATAAAGAAAAAAAATTATAACTTATAAATATATTATACTCACTTCGTCAACTCACAAATTTTAAATATGTTTTTTTTACTTTGAATTATTTAATTATAAATTATAATTTTAAAAATACCACACTTCTTTATACAAATATCTATATTTTATATCGTATCATTATTTTTATACCAAAAAAATAAAAGCAAAATTATTATTACATTATTTTTAACTATCCACTATATTAAAATACTACTCATTCCGTCCCAATACAATAGTCATGTTTACCATTTTTTCCGTCCTAATACAATAGTCATGTTTACCATTTTTTTCGTCCCAATACAATAGTCATGTTTACCATTTTTTCCGTCCCAATACAATAGTCATGTTTACCATTTTTGTCGTCCCAAAACAATAGTCTCGTTTTCATAAATAACCATATCATTATAAAATTAACTTTACTTTTTCATTATTACTACACAATTGCTACTATTTATTATACTAATACACTCGTAAAGGCAAAAAAGCTTTTTACCTATAGTTTTTACCCACTATATCAATATTCATTAAATCCGTGTCAAACACTAACCCAAACTATAGTTTTAGAATGCAGAGAGTATGATTTTATAAATTTCGCATAAAAAAATATTTACTTTTATATTTGGGGAAATAAAAATATATACTGATTGATGCAAATCAACTCCGATCCAATCAACATGGTAACCATTCAAAAATAAAAATAACAAAACCAAGAATCACACCTAAAGCATGCAAGAAAATTCTAGAAAGAAAATGTCTTATTCTCAATAATAATAATAATAATTATAATAATAATATAGTAATAAAATACACGTTCATTTGATTTGGACAATGACACCAAAGTTTGAATATTCAAAGCTCCAAATTTTGTTTTTATATATGCACACGAAAACCATATGCTTCCTTTGACATTCAGGGCTTGTTTCTTTAAGCAAGGTTTGGACATTTTTACTGTGTAAACAGCGGACTGTTTGTGTTTTGGGGACAAAGTCTGAAAAGGCTTTGTCATTTTCTATTTTTTTAATAAAATATTTTTTTTTTCAAAAATTAGCGTTCTATTTTTTTATTTGAGACGTTCAATAATTATTATCCTATTTTTTTTAAATATAAATTTTTTATTTTTACTCTCTACTATACAATTAAGGACAAATTTGTCAATTCATAACAAAAGACAACTACCTAAAAAATCGTGTAAATATACTTTAGGACAATAGAAATTGGATGGAGGGAGTAATCAAATTTTTAAAATTATAAATATAAAAAAATTACTTCCTCCGTCATCTAATTGTGTGCTCATTTGACCGGCACGAGTTTTAAGAAAAAAAAATATGAAAAAATAGAAATTTTTACTTTTGTTGGTAAAGAAAAATGATATTTTTTTTACTAAAAAAGGAAACGAGAATACATTTAGATGACAACCAAAAAAAGGAAAGTGAGAATAAATTTGGATGACAAATGGAGTATAATAATTATAATGGAATAAAATATATACAATATATATGTCATTTTGTAGACAATAAAATTTTTTATAATACAAATAAATAAAAATTTATCAATATTTATGTATATATAAAATATATTTTATATAAATTAATACACATCTATATTATTATGGATCTGTTTTGACTTTATTTTTAAAATTAAAATATAATATATGTTTCTTGGTTGAGTTTGAGAAATTATAGTTTGGGTTTGGTATTAAAATAATATTTGATGAGATGTTTTATGAAAAGAAAAAATATATATTTTTTTTCGAAAAATGTATAGTCCAAATAGTAAAATTTAGAAAAAAAAAATATATATAATATATATATCATTTTGTAGAGAATAAAATTTTCTATAATACAAATAAATAAAAATTTAATATATATTGGGTATAATATATGTTAATAATCAAATCATACAATATAATTTTCATCAATTAAATCTGCTACATCTTTATATTATTTTCTTCATTATCCTTCAAATCAATTCACATCAAAACTCTCAAAATCCCAACCAAACTCAAATATAAAAAAAACAACAAAATTCAACCTCATCTCAAAATTCAAATAAAAATCAAAATCAAACCCAAATTTCCTCGAACCCCTGAAGAAACACACCCTTAATTAATTAATAAATATATCTTCATTAAATAATTTTCTTATCTTTCTTTGGGAACATATTTTTAACTCCATTTTTTATTTTTACCAAATTTTTTGTTGCAAATTTAAATATGTTAGTCTTCTATTTCTATTTTTATTGGAATGGATATTATGCTAATTCAATATAAATGAATTTAATCTAATTATTAAAATAAAATAAAAGGATATTATATAATTTACTATAGTATATATATATTATATCAAAATATTATTTAAAAAAATATATTCAAAGAGAACCTACTCCTGTGTGTAATTAATTTTTTAGTTCGCTAATGCAATGAACGTTTGGTTATATTTTTAGAAAGTTTAATAATAATAATAATAATAATAATAATAATAATAATATTCTCTATTACTTTAAAATAAATACTTATTTAAAGTTAAAATTTTATATTCTCTATATTCCGTTAGAAAGTACACATATTTTTATTTTGAAACGTAAGTAAATATTTTATTAAATATTTTACTTTTTTTATAAATACCCTTACTTTATATCAAATCATTACTTTTACACCAAAAAAGTAAGGACAAAAATATCGTTACACTGTCTTTAACTACCCACTATAATTAAAATACTATTAAATTTTAAACACCACACCAAAACTAAATGTATACATTGTATATCGACAGAAGGAGTATTATACTTCTCTAACCCATTTTAATGGACACATTTTTTTAATTTTGTCCGTTCCATAACAATTGACACTTTTTATTTTGAATAAAATTTATTAAATCAAAGCGTACTTAACAAAATGATATTCATATGACATATATTTATATTATTATATATTATTTTAAAATATTTAAATACATATTCTAATTTTTTTATTATATATATTAAATTTTCTTTAACACTGCTAATATTATTAATTATATATAAATAATAATATAATATTTTAATTTCATATTATCAACTAACTAAACATTGTTATCGGGGACGGAGGGTTTATTATATAATATTTTTTTACTTAAAAATAGGAGTATATCAAATACTTATCTTTAGTTATATTTTCTTGTAATTATTTTATGATAAAAATTGTTTAATGGGGTATAATATCTTTTTTAATGCAAATTATATATTAAATATGATAAATAAAAAATTTATTTGATTGTAATTTAAAATTAATTTAAAATATTGTATTAAGTTGACATTTTTTATTTAAGTAATATATTAATGTATTATTAATAATACACTTTTATAAAAGACTTACGAAATGAATAGTAAATAACCGATTAACTTCCATCATCACCAAGTCACTTTTAGCTTATTAGACTATTCTGCAATTCAATTTCAATTTCAATTAATACTAAGTATGAATTGATTATGACACTTTTTTTTTTTTTTTTTTAGGACATACTTAAAAGTCAATTTCCTAATTAAGATTGTAATTTCAATCATATAGTATGTATTATTTGTTTATTTATTTATTTATTTATTTTTTTTTATGGATAAGGGGTTTGAATTGACCATGCGTTTATCAATCATTCTATTGTCTCAATTAGACTATTCTATAAAGATGTGTTTGTTTTTTTTGAACATATATATATATATTTGTTTGGTTGTGATTTTAATTTGGAATTATTAATATTTATTTTCTATAATTTTTAATAAAGACATACTCCCTTCGTCTAAAAAGTATAGTCTTGTTGTGTTGGACTTGAGATTTAAGAAATATTGATATTATATTGGTAGTTTGTAAAAATTAAAAATAAATGACTTTTTTGCCTTTGTGAGCATATTAGTGTAAAAAGTAGTGACAATTGTGTAATAATAATGAAAAAGTAGGGATAATTTTATAGTGATATGGTTATTTATGGAAATGAGGCCATTGTTTTAGGACGGACAAAAAATGGTAATCAAGACTATTGTTTTAGGACGGACAAAATATTACTCCCTCCGTCCACTTACAATGTTTACATATTTCTATTTTGAGACGTCCAATTACAAAGTTAACATTTCATTAAATACCCTACTTTTTTGTTTCACAAATACCGTTACTTTACATCACATTATTACTTTTACACAAAAAAGTAAGGGCAAAAATATCATTACACTACTTTTAAATACTCACTATAATTAAAATACTACTCCCTTCGTCCACCGATAAAGTATACATTTACTTTTGGCGCGGAGTTTAAGAAATAATAGTATTTTAATTATAATGGGTAGATAAAAGTAGTGTAATGACATTTTTGCCCTTGCTTTTTGGTATAAAAGTAATGATGTGATGTAAAGTAAGGGTATTTGTGGAAAAAAATGGGGTATTTAATGAAATGGTTACTTTGTAATTGGACATCCCAAAATAGAAATATGTATACTTTATAGCTGGACGGAGGGAGTATTATTTTTTAAACACCGTGCCAAAAGTAAATGTAAACAATGTAAGTGGACGGAGGGAGTATTATTTAAACTAAAATTCAAACAATTACCCTATTGCAAATAACAACCAAACAGACCATTGTTTGCTATTTATTGATAGAAACTAATAAAAATAAACTCTTGTTTACATTTATTTTTTCAGTAACTTTAGATCATACCACTAATTACTAATATTTCTTTTTTCTACTTATGTTAACCTTTTTACTCCCACTTTATTATATATTTATATATAAAATAAGAACAATTTGATCCTTACAATATTATATCTATTCACTACTATTAAAATGCTAACATTCTTAAACTCGTATGCAAAAAGCAAACGTAAATTTCAGTGATTGAACGGAAGGAGTATAATATTTTATAAAAATAAATAAATATATTTGAATAGGGTGTGGATAATTTATCTTATTGTTGTTTGATCAAGAAACAAAAAGAAAAATTGCAATGGTTACTTAAAATAGTTAATTTATAATTGAACAATTCAAAATAAAAATTTATATATTTTATGAGTGGAGGAAAGAACTATATAATTTTTTCTTTAAAAATAAATAATACTTCCCCAGTCTCAATACAATAGTCTTATTTACAATTTTTGTCCGTCCAAAAACAATGGTCTTATTTTCATAAATAACCATATCACCATATAACTACCTCTACTTTTTTATTTTTATAACACAATTGCCACTACTTTTTACACTAATATACTCACAAGAGTAAAAAAGTCTTTTATCCATACATTTTACCAACTACCAATATAATATCAATATTCCTTAAATCCTGTGTCTAATCCAATTAAAACTATAATTTTGAGACGGAAAGAGTAGTAAAAAAATCTAGATAAAATCAACCAGAGAAGACAAACCACAACAATTCAAAAGTAATCTAGACACATCAATTTAGACATGATTAGGACTGTAATTAATTTTTCGTTAAAATCGACCAAACTATTTTGAAAGTGTTGGACGGCCGAGTAAAAAACACAACCTTAATTATTTTTAGCGGCATATATAATAAGTATGTCTACATGATATCTGAAACGTTGACTATTTGAAGAAACACGGAAGTCAACCATGCACAAATTATTCAAACAAACATAATAATACTAGTAGAGACAGGCCCGCCGTTATTATTATCATTATTGTTATTATTATGTCTTTCAAACCCTATAAATATGTCCCCAAGTAACATGAAGTTTTATATCTTACATAGCCTGTACAAAGCAAGGGTCAACCACTTACCAAAAATGGAAAGTTCCCTTTTATTTGTGGCAATATCTGCATTTTTGTTTGTGTCGATTTTGTTCTTTAAGTGGTGGGTTTCGCCATGGCTTATTTATAGAAAGCTTAGATCAAATGGATTTTATGGGCCAAACCCTAATTTCCCTTTTGGGAATTTGAATCCAATCAAGGACAAAAAAAAACCAAATGCCGCTGCCGTTGCCATCGCTGCCGCCTTATCTTCAACCCCTACGAGAGTGTCGAACGATATCCACTCTACGGCGTTCCCTTACTTTGCCACGTGGCAAAAATTCTACGGTATTATTATCTCTCATTCAAGTTTATTATTATTTTTATTTTTTTTAGTTGTTATCCAAATTTATTTTTATTTTTATTTTAATAAAAAATACCATTTTTGTCCTAATTTCTTTCCTATCATAAAAATAAAAAATATTTATTTTTATTTATTTTTCTTAAAATTTGTGTCCAGTCAAATAAGAATACAATTATACGACAACAATTCTAATCAGCACAACTACTTCTCAATCGGGATATGTATTGTATTGATAATTAATATGTGCTATCAGTTTATACATTGTATTTATATTATATTTATATAACTTTTATCCTAAATTTGATCATGATATATAATATATAAATTATCATCATTTGGTGTCAGATTTTACAGCATCTACTGATTACGGCTAATCAACGCTCCAACCAGCAATCTATTTACCATCATTACGTCGGATAAAAAATAGTGCGCAATGGTGTATTAACTAATCTTTTCTTAAAAGTAAAATAGATCGATAGATTTGTAAGAGAAGATAGTAACATATTAGTAATTTTAGGTGAAATGTAAATATATTTTATTTTTGCGTAGGATAATATATCTTAAATTAATTATATTGATATATTAACTGACGATTCGATTGTTTAATGTCAATCTTCTATTATTAAATTTAATTTTGTGGTAATATTATTTTTTGTAGGGAAAGTTTTTGTGTATTGGATTGGGACCGAGCCATTTTTGTACATCGCCGAGCCCGAATTTTTGAAGAAGATGACTGCTGATATTAGAGGTAAGAATTGGGGCAAAGCTAGTGTTTTTAATCGCGACAGAAAACCTATGTTTGGAAATGGCCTTATTACCATTGAAGGCGACGATTGGGTTCGACACCGACACATCATCACCCCGGCATTCTCCCCTGCCAACTTGAAGGTATATTTTATCTTAGGTCCCGTTTGGTTAACTGAATTTAAATTTGACGATGAGTTTTAAATGAATGGATACTTTGCATTTGAAATACTTTATAATTAATTAAAATCCATCATTTTGTTGTATAAGTAATTGAAATTATGTAGAATAAAGAGTATATATTTAAAACGTTAAGGAATGAATTTGGAATCTATAATCAATTAATTTTGATTAACTTTATAGTTCTGTTATATTTGGAGTTTTAATTATTGATTTATTGATTTATTTTTATTTTTGTCCCACATATTGAACATTATGTGTCTTCGTGCAACGAAGTTAAAACGATTCTTGATATATTATTGGATCATACATAATTAGCTGTATTTGTATTTAAGTAGTTGTTGAATGTGAATTTTATAAAAATAAATAATACACTCTCGCCTGTTAAAGTTAGATCAAGATTTTTATTTTTTTATTTTTTTTTAATTTTTTTATAAAACTTATTATAGTCTATTAATAGTAAAATACTTTATTTACCACAAATCTATTATCATTATTTTAGTAAATACTAAAATTTTTGTCACTATTATTTCTACTTAATCCACCATTTTCTTTATCAATTTCGGATAGCGACTGCGGGTTCTCACGTCATAAAAAGAAACTTCTTAATAAATTTATCATAATACATAAACTTTACTTTTTATTTAATTTAATTTAATATTAAAATATTATTTCTTTTTAATATCCGTGTCCAATAAAACCTATATAAAATTTTCAAACCGTAGAAGGATATTTGTAGAAAATCATGATATTTGTATGACAAAAAAAAATAACCCTTAAAGTAAATAGAACTTGAATAATGCAAAAATATGAATAATTTTGGATTAATTAAAATTCAGGCTCCATTTAAACATGCTTTTTAGAAGTTTTGGAAAATTTGAAAAATAAAAAAAAGAATTAAAAATTCAGCGTAATATTTTACAAAGAAAAAAATATCAACATTTCACGTAATATATATTTTTTTTTATAAATATTATTGTATTGAATTTTTAACTGTATGTAAAAATAGAGAGTGATCAGGGCTTTGTTTAGACAAGTTTTTGGAATTTTGGAAGTTCGGAAAAAATACAAGGGAAAAAGTTTGTTTGATGTGATATTTTTTGAAAAATGAATAGTGTCAAATGAGTAAAAGTGTGTTGTGTACCTGATTGTTTAAAATTATTTATATGAAAAAGTTTACATCGATTTTCCAAATGGCGTAGGCGATGGCAAGTGTAATGGCGGAGTCGGCCGCTGGCATGGTCCGGCGGTGGGGCGAAATGATAAACTCCGGCGACGGCGAGGCGGAGATCGACGTCGAGAAAGAAATGATCCGAACCGCCGGCGAGATCATCGCCCGGTCGAGCTTCGGCATCAGCTACGACAACGGGAAACAAGTCCTGGAGAAGCTACGGTCTCTTCAAATCACGCTTTTCAAATCGAACCGCCGGTTCGTGGGGGTGCCGTTCGGAAAATTCTTAAACCCGGTTCAGGCAAGGCGGGCCAAGAATTTGGGGAAGGAAATCGACCGTCTTCTGTACAAGATAATCGAGGACCGGCGCGCCGGCGCCGGAGGACCGCCGGCCGCCGGAAAGGATCTCCTCGGATTGCTGGTGGCGCCGGAGAATCAGAAGACGGCGCTGACGACGGCGGAGCTGGTGGATGAATGCAAGACGTTCTTTTTCGGCGGTCATGAAACGACGGCGTTGGCGCTGTCCTGGACCTTGCTTATGCTGGCCGTGCACCCGGACTGGCAGGTCCAGCTCCGGGAGGAGATAGCACACGTGATCGGGGATTCCGAGGTTATCGATGCCACCATGGTTTCTGGATTGAAGAAGGTAATTAATATAATAATATTATACATATCTGTAGTTCAAATTTATTTATATTTTTTCTCTTTAGTATCATTTAAATTATTTTCATAGTAAAAAATTTTATTTTTTTAAATTTTTTTTTATTTTTCTTAAAACACATGACAGTGAAATGAGAGTAAATTTTGATATAGATAGAGTAATTAATTTTAGTTATTTGTTAATAATATTGATTTCTTTTATATTTTAAATGGACAAGACAAGATAAGTTCTCTGACGTGGCTGAACCGCCGTTCTTGAAGAATTTCTTTGACCTTTTTGAACGTTGAATTATTTATGGTTGACGAGTGTTTCAATTAGTCAACGGCTTCAGGTTCAGTCTGATGCCCGACAAGTAGGTACCAGTAGTCAACCCCCTTGCTATCATTTGCATTCAATCTAGGATCCTTTTAGGGTGTTTTTGTTTGGGGAATTGGATTTTAAATATATTATTCATTTTTTTTTTAAAAATTAAATTAAATATCTATTTTTTTATTTTTTAAATTATACTAAAAATTAATTTTATATTTAAAATATCACATCAACACTTATTTATATCACATTATACAATTATTCAAATTTAAAATTTTTACTATTGAAATCAAATCAAAATCAAAACTCCCAAACAAACACAGTGACAGTTTACGAGACTTTCTCAAATTCTACTCCTATCTATCAAAATGTTTTCCTAATAAATATAAAATGGAACATCTATTTTTTTTCTAATTTTTTTTATATTATATTAAAAATTAATTATATAATTCAAATTTTTTTAATATACATATATATCAATATACATATTATTGTGTAGAAATAAATTTAATACAGTATAACAATAGTAAAAAATTTAATACAATTATAATAAAATAAAAAAATAAAAATTTCTTAGCTATCTTGTATAGATACTCAAGAAATATTTTTATTATGTGCAAGAGGTTTTAATATTTTTGTCATTAAATTTTAATTGTATGTATAATGATATATTTGTAATTTAAGTAAGAGTTAAGAGTATTTTAATATTCGCGAATCATTATTTTTTTAAAAATAAAAAATAAATACTTTAAAGTGGGACAGATGAAAATAATAAAAAAAATATTTTGAATAGGATGAAGAGAGTATTTTTTCTTTCGTAAAATATTATGTTAAGTATTTAACTTTTTCATTACTTTCATCCAAATCTCTTAAAACTTTCTTATTTCATTATTATTTTTTAAAATTTTCAAAACTCTTATCTACTCGGTGCCTTAATTTTCTTGTTTTGAATTAATTTAGATGGGATGCGTGATGAACGAAGTGCTCCGACTGTATTGTCCCGCGCCGAATGTGCAAAGGCAAGCAAGGCATGATATTAAAGTCGGCGACCTTGTGATCCCCGACGGCACAAACATATGGATCGATGTTGTGTCTATGCACCACGATCGCGACCTATGGGGCGAAGATGTGCATGAATTCAAGCCAGAAAGATTCGAGAATGACATATTATACGGAGGGTGCAATCACAAGATGGGATTTTTGCCGTTTGGATTTGGAGGGAGAATGTGCATCGGTAGAAACTTAACCAATCTTGAGTACAGAGTCGTACTTACGTCGATTTTGTCTAAATTTTCATTTTCCCTTTCTCCTAAATATCGTCACTCTCCTTCTATAATGTTGTCTCTTAGGCCCCAACTCGGGCTTCCTCTTGTTTTCCGACCACTAGTTTAGATCGCTTTGGACAATATCGGGTTCAGTAAGGATGTTAGTAAAGTTTTAGTTGTGTTTCGACTATTAGTTTGCTAAGTTTTTCAAGAAATTTATAATTGTAATAGTGACCCTATGTGATTATAGTCATGAAATAAGAAGTTAGAATAATTTAAACTCTTTATATATATTATATTCGTTTTAATATGATAGAAAATTTAAAATCTCTTTATCAGATCATTTTTTCTATTTTTTTTATTATTTTATTTTAATGTGTTATGTGCCAAATCAGAATAAAAAACTTACAATCATATTCACTTCGTCTGCTCATAAGAGCACTTCCAATTAAGAGTTCTTATGGATTGAAGAATTCATTTAATCCTATGTGGCATAACTACATAAATGATGTATATATCTAATAATTTAGGCTTTTAGGTGATACAGTTATTTAAAGGCTAAACTGTTTTTTTTAGTTCCGTAACTGGACCCCCTTATCATTTTAGTCTCGTAAGTGGAGTATGTCGCAAACTAGTTCCATAAGTGTCGCTGTTTTAGTCCTCCGGCACCGGAGATGCCCGCGTGGCTCGCCGGAGGTGACGTGTCCGCCAAGTGTCGTTGACCTCGCGGACACGTGGATTTTTTTATTTTATTTTTTCATATTTTTAATTTTTTTTTAAAAAACTTTTTTAATTTATTTTAAATTTTATTTGTATTTTTTTATTTTTTTTATTTGATCCAATTTAAAAAAATAAAAAAATAAAAAAAAATGAAAAAAAAATAAAAATCCACGTATCCGTCAGGTGTCGCTAACCTGGCGGACACGTCACCTTCTGCGAGCCACGTGGGTGTCTCCGGCGCCGGAGGACTAAAACAACGAAAATTTCACTTATGGGACTAGTTTACGACAGACTCCACTTACAGGACGATAAAGGGGTCCAATTACGGGACTAAAAAAACATTTTACCCTTATTTAAATTATCTAGCATGAATCTACAAAATTCAAATATTTATTATTTTTAAAATCCAAACCCAAACTTTAAAATCTAAATGAATAATACATGCAATATAAATTAATAGTACAAATTTTATATTAATATAATAAAAATGTAGCATTTAAAACTAATAGTGTTTTATAATAAATTATTCAATATATACTACATTTAATTATTCATTATAAAAATATATGTTCATATGTACACTTGTAAATATTAAAGGTTAGCACATAATAATAATAATAATAATAATAATAATAATAATAATAATATACAACACATATTATAAAAATTAAAGTCGTGGAAGAGTCCATATTTTATGTGCTAATTAAGATTAACCCACACCCTAATTATTTTCATTATTTTGTTATTAAAATCCATACTTTTAATTTTAGACGTAAATGCAAAAATGTGTAAATTATTAAATATTATCAGAATTATTGAAATGGTCAGGTACCCACTAATTTTGTCAGATATTTGATTTATCCAATATCTCATATAAAAGGATAAAAATGCAATAATTCAAAATAAAACAAGATTCAAAATATCCCATCTACTACTCTCTCTGATTCAAAATAAGATATGTGAAGATTTTGAATACAAAATAATTTTAGAAAAAAAAAAAAAAAAAGACTGTTCAATACTATCCAAAAAAAATTACTCACTCCTTTCAATTGGAATGGTGACGTTTGCTTTTTATACGTAGATTTTTGAATATTAGTATTATATTGAATTATAGTAAAAAAAGACAAAAATACCCATGTTAGTATGTTGTAATATAAAAGTAATGATATTTGTGTAATATATTGTAAATTGAAATAATATTTATTATGTTAAGTAGATAGTACAATTACTAAATTAGGAAATAGTAACCTTGTTTTGAGACGGACAGAAATAAAAAATGGTAAACTTTCAATAGGACAAAGAGAGTATTTTATTTACAACTAACAATAAAAGTCGCTAATTATATATTGATTAATTTGATCAAATTAACACCATGATGTGATCGAATCCGCATGGATCCATACTCATTCAAACTATTTAATAGTTTAATGTTATATATATATATACCGTGACAAAATTACCATCTGAACTGCGGGGTCAAAATATTATAATTTATTTAATATTTAACTAATAATTTTTTAAAAAAAATAATAACAGAATTATATATAATTTTAGATAGTTTTAAAAGAGCAATTTGTATATAAATACATAAAAATTAATATTTTAACAGTTTCAATCATACAATGTTTACATATTTTATTTGGCATTTCTTATCATTGAACAGTCATGATATTTATATTATTGTATTTATATATATAATATATTTTAAAAGAAATCAATATGTATATTACTCCCTCCGTCCAAGCTAAAAGTTTATAATTACTTTTGGCGTAGAGATTAAAAAATAATAGTATTTTAATTATAGTGGGTAAGTAAAAGTAGTAAAATGATATTTTTGCCCTTACTTTTTTTTGTATAAAAGTAATGATGTGATGTAAAGTAGGGGTATTTGTGGAAAAAATGTGGTATTTAATGAAATGGTTACTTTGTAATTGGACGTCCCAATATAGAAATATGTATACTTTCTGACTCGACAGATGGAGTATATTATATAGGGTAAACTGTTTTTGTAGTCGCGTAACTGGACCCCTTATCATTTTAGTCCCGTAAGTGGAGCATGTCGCAAACTAGTCCCATAAGTGAAAAATTTTCGCTGTTTTAGTCCTCCGGCGCCGGAGACGCTCGCGTGGCTTGCCGGAGGTGACGTGTCCGCCAGGTGTCCCGCCGGAGACGCTCGCGTGACTTGACGGGACTAAAACAACAGTTTACCCTATTATATATATATATATATATATATATCAACTTGGGCACAAAATTTGATTTGGCCCTACTACCCATGCCCAGGGATGGGTTAGCTTTATACAATTAAGCAAATTATTCAATAATATATAGGGCTTTAGGGTTTAGGGTTTAGGGTTTCAATTCGTATTTTTCGGTCGTATTCGTATCGAGTTGAACCATGGGTGTAACAAAAAATTGTTAATTCAAACTCAATCCGAATTTGAAATATGACCCGAAATTCTAGATCCGAACACGACACAAATTTTTTCAGGTCAGGTTTAGGTCAACCTGATTTATTTATTTATTTTTACAATTATCATCATTTATATAACATATATATTTATAAATTATTATATCCAAATTATTATTCAAACTAAATTAATTAAATTACAAAAAACTTCCAAAGAATTCATTACTTATCGTATTATTGCTTCATTCACTTAGGACTTAGTTTATATGAAGAATGGAATGTGATTATATAATATTTGTATAATGTTAATCAATATGTACTTCTTATTATATAATCCTATCATATCAAAGTATAGTAAATACAGAATTTTGAATAGTAAAATTTTGAATTGAAATATTTGTTTGATGTGATATAAATATGTATCGATATAAATATTAAAAATATCATATTCAAATTATATTAAAAAAAAACAAACTCCAAGAGAACCGTCTCCAAAATATAGATTGAGATGAGCATATCGATGAAGTGTAAGTTAGTAAAATATTTATTTATTTGAGTTAATAACAAGTACCAAATTAATAAAAAAAAATATTGAATGGAGAGATAATTACAAAATGGATTAAAGCATATGCCCGAGTCGTGCATGTCTTACATTGTCTTAATTTGGCATTATTCACGTTGCCATCAGATCTATCATACCTAATTGTCATAACAAAAAATAAATTATCAAGATTTTTGCACCAAATTCACTACCAATAAATAAATAAAGATTTGGAACCCACTATATTATAAAATCTCCAACAGCCCTCAGAGGATCCGATGCAAGAAATTGATTGAAACCTGCAAAGTAGATATATATATCGTCAATGGAGGATTATTTGGTAGTCTTAGGGTTTGCCATTTCTACATATTTCTTCTTGTATTTGTTCTTTCAATGGTGGATTTCACCATGGCTGCTTTACAGAAAGCTTAGAGCTAACGGGTTTTTTGGGCCAAACCCTAATTTTCCTTTAGGGAATCTGAATCAAATCAAGAACCAGAAACCAGATTGTTCTAACATCTCATCATCGGATGATCTTACAGCAATATCGAATGATATACATTCCTTTGCATTTCCCTATTTCGCTACATGGCAGCAATCCCATGGTGAGCCATCTTGATCGATGCAATCTTGTCGATTTCTATTTGGAAGATTTATTTTTAGCGACTTTTAAATTTTAAAATCTATAAATACCTAAGACTTTATTTTTTATGGATTTTTTTACGAGAGTTTTACTATTCAATTTTTGTTTTTCTTAAAAAATATCATATCAAATAATTATTTTATATTCAAAACGCTATATCAATATCTATTTATATCATACCAAACAACTATTTAAATTTAAGTTTTTATTATGTGGTCGACTTGTCTTTTCTTTTTCTATGAAATGTTTTCAAAATTGATCGAAGATTTCTCTTTTATTGAGCTCTCTCAATTCATGCAATTAGCATCACAGCTAGCTTATTTGCAATTAGGATTTTATTTTTACGAAGTTTTAATTTTTTTGTCACTTATTGATGCTATCTTTAATTTATAGGGAAAGTATGGGTCTTCTGGATTGGGACAGCCCCATTTCTTTACATTGCAGAACCTGAATTCTTGAAGAAAATGTCTTCGGACATTAGAGGGAAAAATTGGGGGAAAGCAGATGTTTTCAGACAGGACCGAATGGCGATTTTCGGCAAAAGTGTAGTAACTAGTGAGGGCGAAGAATGGGTTCGTCGCCGCCACTTTATTACGGGCGCGTTCTCTCCACACCATTTGAAGGTAATGTCTACTAATTTTATAGCCGTAGGAAAAATAATATTTTTTAGTCACATATATGTTCTTTAGTTTCGAACTACTATTAATAATTTTTTAAACTATCGAATCAAATATATGATATATATATATATATATCTTTCATTTAATATATTAAAGAAAGAGACTGATCTTCTTATTCAAAATATCACATCATTCATATTTATTTATATCATATCATCAATTCAAGCCAATAAAAGAGTCCATAAAGCACACTTATTAAATATAATACATGCTCTTATTTCACAACCATATGTACTTTTTGAAGTCTTGATCAATGTTTTTTTTAAGTTTTAATCGGTGTTGTCTGAAAAATTGATTAATAGCGGTCATGACACTTATACAGTATATTAAAAATTATATAATCAATATCATACTGTATACTAAAATTTAAATATTAGATACATATTTTAAATACCGTACCTAAAAAATATTGCATACATAAACTAAACTTAAAATCCCTAAATAGCCCTAATATATTTAAGTGATAACATATTTAAAACATAATTAACTAATAGTCATACAAATTAAACACGATTCAAACTATAACAATGTACAATTTTGAAGGCAACGGCAACCCTAATGATGGAGGCAACGGCAAGTATGGTTCTCCGGTGGTCGGCGCAAATATGCTCCGGCGAGCAAGAAATCGACGTCGAGAAAGAGATCATCTTCACCGTAGCCGAAGTCGCAGCCAAGACAAGCTGCGGTATGAGCTGCGAAGATGGGAGACAAGTGCTCGAAAAATTAAGAGCTTTGCAAAGAGTACTTTTTTATGGCATCGGGCACGTGGGAGTGCCATTCGGAAAATTCCTAAGCCCAAAGCGAACAATGAGCGCGAACAAATTGGGCAAAAAAATTGACGATATTTTATACTCGGCAATAAAGAGGAGTTGGGTAGACGGGAGCAAAAAGGACCTCGTCGGGACATTAATGGCGCCGGGGGGAGGCGCAAAACAGCCATTGGCGCCGGAGGAAATGGTGGACGAATGTAAGACATTTTTTTTCGGAATGTACGAGACGACGGGGCTCGTGCTGACGTGGAGCTTGCTGCTGCTAGCTGTTCATCCAGAGTGGCAAAGACAACTAAGGGAAGAGGTTGGAGAAGTGGTTGGGTTTGGGGAGATTAAAGATGTTTCCGAGCTCTATGGACTTAAGAAGGTAATGAAATTCTTGCGTCTTACAACTTAGTACAAAAAGTACGGGAATTTCATGGCGATTAAGTCAAATCAGTATATCAAATTACAAATTTTGCCTTATATGTGAAGCAAATTATCATTTAGATATACGTTTATTTTTTTGGGTTTCATATCTTAGGACAATATCTCAAACGTAGGCTTTAATTTTGTTCTTTGACGCCAAAAAAATAATATACAGATCATATAATCCTATGGATTGCCCGTGCTGAGGTGGATGCTGAGTAGCATCGCCGAAAAAATGCTACCTAGCGTCCACCTCAGCACCGGCAATGCCACGTAGGATAAAATTAAAGTTGGTAGTCGAGATATTGTCCTAAAATACAAAATTAAAAGAATGTCTAAAAAATAATAATTTGTCTTACATATATAGAGCAAAATTTACAATTTTTTCTATATATTATCTATCTTTATTAAATATGTTGACCGAGTCAAATCTTACAACAAATTTAATTTTTATGTTTAAATACATAAATTTTAGTCATGTTTATTCTAGGTTATCTTATAATGTAAATGTTATGAGGGAAAATATATAATAATTTTGATCATTCACTAGGAATTGTTATCATTTTGTCACTTAAGTAGACATCATATAGAAATAGTTCTACATGTCATTTTCACTTCAATAGTTAGTTATACATATGAACATATATACACATACATATAGATATAATTGTTTAGATACAAATTTCCAACATTCAAAAGCAAAATACTCGAAAGATCATAAGATGAAGTTGTAAAGTAAAATATATAACTTAACACAACATTTTTTTTTACAGATGGGATGGGTGATGAACGAAGTACTACGTTTGTACGGACCGGTTCCGACTGTACAAAGGCAAGCAAAGCACGATATTAAGGTGGGCAATCTTGTGATCCCAAATGGCACAAACATATGGATTGATGTAGTGTCGATGCACCATGACCCAAACTTATGGGGAGAAGACGTATACGAGTTTAAGCCAGAGAGATTTGAAAACGATATACACGGAGGGTGTGCGCACAAGATGGGGTTTCTTCCATTTGGATTTGGAGGAAGAATGTGTGTTGGTAAAAATTTAGCGAATCTTGAATATAGAGTCGTACTAACTTTAATTCTTTCTAAATTTTCCTTCACTGTTTCTAGCAGCTATTGTCATTCTCCTACTATAATTCTCTCACTTAGGCCTCCCGATGGAATACCTCTTGTTTTCCGGCACCTTTAAAATACATTTTTTTTTTTTTTTTTATCTTAGATATGTATGGTCGAGTATCACTTCTATTATCTAGTTTTGTAGGGATGTACTTTGATTATATAAATAAATGTATTTCATTTTTTTGTTATTAATTTTAGACTTCGTTCATTTTGATTTTTTTTTTCGAAAAAAATAAATTATTTATGTACAAAAGTTTATTATAAACTATAACACGATCGGAACACAAAAGTTTGCTTATATAGTTCAGCCGATGCAAAGGCCTATATGTACGAAGGATTCCAACCCATGTCCATTAAATAAGATTCAAACATTTTATGAATAAGTTACAACTTCATAAATTCCATATAAAATAGCAACAAAGAAAACCATCAACATGCAAACCAATTCAATGATTATCAAATGCAATAGTGAAGTTTTCATCAAAAGTATATTCACAAAAGCCTCAACCTCAAGTTCTTATTCTACTCTTTAGAATGTTTCAATGGCAACTAGCACTTCTCCCTTAATGTAAATATTCTTTAGTAGTAAACAAATCAAGAGAATGGAAATATATCACTCTATGACTCACTGAATAAAATTTTTTAGGGGTGTCAATTTGTGTTTTCGGGCCGTTTCAGGTTGAGTCATAAGAGCGTAACAAAAAAGCTGTCAACCAAAATTCGAAATTTGACTCGAAATCATGAATTTTTTTTTTAAATTGGGTTCAGGTCAAACTGATTTAAACGTCGGAGTTTGAGTTTGAACTAGTAACATCACGATTAAGAATTCCTTTCCACACCATCGTATATGTTGTCCCTTACGGGACAGCAAACATAGTATTTTGTTTGGACGGATTACGTTTACGCAAGAGAAAAACTATTTTGTTTATTTTTCTTTTCAAACCACATCCAAACAAACATGTTTTTACGCAAACAAACATAGTTTTTCTCTTGAAGGGATGAGGTAATTTCACTAGCTATGCATGATTCCTTTCCCAACTGATCCACATTAATTAAATAGTTTTGAGTGCAAACCTCTTAATTACATGCCATCATTTTTATTTTTAGGGTTTATGTATAATTAAGAATGAAGTTATAATAAAATAATATAAAATAAGTTTAATGATAATGTTGATATATACATCTAAATATGTATACATATATATAATTTTTGTTTTCAGCATAGCATTTAGTTTAGAAGAAAATGAGAAACTTAAGATAATATAAAATACTCCATCCATCCGTCAAGCGACAAATGACTCATTTTCGTTTTTTTATCCGTTCCATAAAAGATGATCTATTTTTATTTTTAGTAAATTTATTCATCTTCAACATACTTCACAAATATAAATTAATTAAATTAAATTTTTAACTTCATACACAAAGGATCCACTGAAAACCTTTTCATTTTCATCTCTCTATTCAATAAATAAATATTTTAATATGTATTTAAAATTTCTATTTTTTGTAAAATTAGTTTTAATTTAATTATAAATAAATATATATTTTTTTATTTATTATTATATATATTCTATTGAGATATAATCCTAAAAATATTTAAAAATATCAACAACACTACTCATATCGAAAATACTAAAATAATATTATAACTTATTATTAATAACTTATTAATTTACATTACTAAAATATCAAGTCTAATAAAAAAGACTTATCTCTCGGAGGACGAACGGATTATTATCTTAAAATCGGATTATTATCTTAAAATAATTAATATATATTTATATCTTTTTTTCTTTTCTAAGATATATATATATATGCAAGAAATGATGGTTACTTATACCACACTAAAAGACAATACTAATCAATGTATGGATAGGGGCGAATCCATGTTATATTCAATGGTGTGGTGGCACGTATGAGTGATTTTACTTTATCAAAAATTAAAAAAATAAAAAAAATAGAAAAAAATATAGAATTTTATAACTATGCAACTATTAAAAAATAGAATTTTTTGTTTATTGAAATATCATATAATTTTGTTCAATAAACAAAGAAAAAAAAATCAAATAGAACACGTCCATTAAATTTTGGTTATTTCAAGTATGGCATATTTTCTTTCTTTTATCTAAGATATTTTTCTATTTAAAACAATAAATTTATTGATAAGATCATTAGGATTCTTACTAAAAATAATAATAATACAAAAAAACTATTAATATTTATATCAAATAATTTTATTTAGAAAAAAAAATCTTCATTGATAATTTTCAATTTATTGGTAAGGTTTTTTGGGTTGATTTTGGTTTTGATTTTTTTTTAAAAAAAAGTAAATTAGATATATGTAAAAGGAAATTGTGTCTTTTTATTTATAACAAAAAAACACAATGAGACTTGGGTAGTAGAAAAGTTGAAATAATAATAATAAATTTAATGATAAGATCATTATTCATACTAAAAAATAATATAAAAAATATTTGAATGTTTATCTCAATTAATATTATTAAAAATAATGATTCAATTGATATTCTTTAATTTATATAAATTGTTATTTGCTAATGTGTGTTTGTTTTGTAATTTTGAATGACTATATTTTTTTAAGATATATATGAAAGATTATATATGCCAATATATAAAAGATAATATTTTACGATGAATCATTTAAATTTTTTGAATAAATAAAATATGTTATATATTGTATATAACTATGAGTATTTATTATATATATATTTTTTAATACACCATCCTTTTTGGCTTTGATTATTTTAGATTTTTTTTAATGAATTGTATATAATATTTTGTGTTAAAAAAATTGTATGCTTTTACAGAAAATTAGATAATTGCAAAGAATTTTTTTTTTTAGAAAAATCACATAATAAATAAAAAATTTATAAATGTTTGATCAGATATTATGATTCATACTAAATATAATAATATTAAAAAATAAACTATTGAAATATTTATCTCAATTAATATTATTACAACAATGAGTTATTTTCAATTTTTTTAATTTAAATTTTAATATAAATATTATTTAATTTGATTTAATGTTTTATTAGAATATTATTGATAGGGATGTCTGGACCTGCTTTAGATAGAGTTTTAATAGGGCGGGTTTGAATTTAAAAAAAAAACATACTTCGAGGCAAATTATTGGTTTTAAATTTTAAACTCGGCTAGGTTTGGAACGAGTTACGAGTTTTACTAAAAATCGCCTACTCAGACTCGGACTCAGACCCAATCTAATTTAATTTTTATTAGTATTAATATATATAATATAAATTATTCTTATTTATTTACTTTAAAAAATTTTAAACATAAAACAAAACTGTAATTTCTAAATTAAATTTGTTTTCGCAGTTGTTTCTTCTCCAATTTTCTTCACAATCGGGATTACTGTGGCTTCGCCTGCTGCCGACCGCCATCACTGTTGATCATCGCCATCATTTATTTTTTTTTGTTGTTTGAACTATAACGTTTTGGTATTTTAACGGTTATTTTTTTTTAGGATTAGATTGTTAAAATAAATTATATTATATATATATTTTTTAAGAAAGTGACTTTTTTTGGTTGGCCGTGAATCCGAAAAGTTCGTAGATCTAATATTTTATAGTGGAACAGATCCCGAGGCTTGCAGAACTCGTCTCAAATCCGCACCATTACCATCCCTATGTATTGAGAATTATGTAACCTAAATTGTAGTATTAAATTGGAATAAATGATGCAATATAAATTGGAATAGTCTCAAACCCTCCCTAAACCCTATACCCGCAAGATAATTATCTACACAAGATCTACATTTCAGTTATAAAATTTACAATTATTAATTTATTCTCTTTATGAAAAATTTTCAAACATTAATAATTTTATTATAAAAATATATTACTCTCTTCGTCGAGTTCTAAGGGCCCAAATTTATTTTTTGTATGTTGATATTTAAATATTAATTATTATATTAAGACATAGCACAAAAGAATAAAAATATTTTTATTAGCGTCTTATAATACTAATATAATAATATTTATGAGATATTAGACAAATATAAAAATACTTTTAATATTAAATACGAAAAAATAGTAAATATAATTCGCGGATGAAAAAAATATTTCCTAATAAAATATTATATCTAAAATACTGATTAAATTAAAAAAAGAAAGTCAAAATTAAGGACGGAGCTAACAAGGAGCCCAGGCTTGTTGCCCCTACCCTTAACTATTTCTATTTTTTCTTTTTATTATATGTATATTGATTAATAAGGCTTTGTTTAAATAAAGGTTTTGAAGGTTTTTGAAATTTTGAAAATTTAAAAAAAATAAAAAATAAATATTTAATTTGATGTTTTGTAAAAAAAAAAATATATTTAATGTAATATTTTTTTAAAAAATAAATAATGTCAAATGAATGAAAATATATTGCGTAAACAAAACCTTTTTAATAGCAAACCACAGTAATAAAGTAATAAAAAAAAGTTATTATTGTAAATATTTAATTTAATTAGTCAAATATACTTATTCATATGCTAAAAATCAAATTTTCAAATTTTTGTAAATTTTTTATATATTAGTTATAAAAAAATTAAATAGCCCGACCAAATTATTATTATTTTGTTTTTCTCAATCACTGATAAAAAAAGAAAAAAAATAAAAAATGCACAAATCCATAGTAACCTAGCGTTGAATTGCATACCAGATCACAAAAGAAGCAGAAGTTGAACGGTATCATTACATCATCAACCAGCAAATCAAATCAAATCAAACTCCATTCTATCATTTGATTTCACACAAAAATGATTAAATATATAGCGGTTCGGTAAGAGATGATCTTGTTGTTTGGGGATAAACTCGTGATTACGAAATTATATATTTAAATCCCGACGCACCCTAAGGATAACAGCAACGAACGAGTTTTTACATTATAAAAAATATATATAGTGCGTTTATTTCATAGAACAAAATTATAATAATGTATTATTCTAATAAATTATATAATCATAACATACTTTATTCAATGTTTACTTTAATTAATTATTATATAAAATCATTAATTTTGCCTAAAACATCTTGAATTATACGAAAAAATTTAGCACCGTTGTTCATAATTATATGTGCTAATTTTATTTTTTTAATGAAGTGGGCACCCGCAGCTATCCGAAAGTGCGTACTGGGTAAACCTCCGGTTGAACCTAATATCATGCAAACTAGGCCCGACGGACAAATACCCATAACCTCATGGCCACACGTCCAACCCCTTCACCAACAAACCATTCCTTACGGAACAGTGTGTTATTTGTTATTATATGTTGTGCTGTTAATTTATGTATCTTATTTGTATTATATTAATATAAGAGATGTACTATCATAAATAATATATTGTGTTATTTGTTATTACATATTGTACTGTTCACCCTATGAGTATTATATATATATAGTATTGTATTTTTTTATATATCATATATATATATACTGTCTATATATATACCCAACACCTATTTAATCCCTTTGGATTAATGAAAGAAACCCATCAGTCCAAAACTAAAACCCTAGTATTGTAACCAAAAAGAAAAGTTGTTAGAAGAATATGGGATCATCTTTTGAGTATTTGGCAACCCTATTTGGTTTTCTCTTAGTTATGTTTCCTTTGTCGATTTTGTTCTTTCAATGGTGGATCACACCATGGATGTTCTGCAAAAAACTTAGAGCTAACGGGTTTTCAGGGCCGAATCCTAATTTCCCTTTAGGAAATTTAAATCAAATCAAATATCAAAATCCAGACACGGACATTTCCAAGCCATCATCGGTTCTTACCGGAATATCGAATGATACACACTCCACTTTGTTCCCTTATTTTGCCTCATGGCAAAAATCCCATGGTTAGTTAAATATATTTTTTCTTATAAGATATTATACTAACTCCGTCCGTCCGACTCTAAGGATTTCATTTATTTTTGTGCGTATTAGTGTCTTATAATACTAATAGAAGGAAATTTGTATAAAAAATTATACAAATATTAGAATATTTTTAATATTAAATACAATGACGAATAAAATAAATGTAACCCTTAAATATGGATAGAGGGAATATTTAAATTACTGTTTCAAATCAATAATATGTTTTGTATGAAAAAAAAAATAAAAATAGGGAAAGTATTCGTCTTTTGGGCGGGAACGGCGCCGTTCCTATACGTCGCGGATCCCGAATTCCTCAAACAAATGTCCGGAGACATCAAAGGGAAGGATTGGGGAAAAGCCGACGTTTTCAAGCGCGATCGAACGGCGATTTTCGCAAAAAGCCTTGTCGCCAACGAGGGCGACGAATGGGCTCGCCGCAAGCACTTCATCACTCCGGCATTCGCAACGTCGTCTTTGAAGGCTACGGCGGCGTTGGGGGTGGAGGCGGCAAAAAACATGGTCGACCAGTGGTCGGCGCTTATAAACTCCGGCGACCGCGAAATCGACGTCGAGGCCGAGATCATCCCCATGCTCGGCGGAGTTGCGGCGAAGATGAGCTGCGGCATGAGCGTCGAGAACGGAAAACGGGTGTTGTCGAAACTCCGGGCTCTACAATGGGTCCTCTTCGAGGATCTCGGCCATGTAGGCGTGCCGTATGGGAAGCTCTTGAGTCCGATTCGGACAATGCGGGCGAGAAAATTGGGGAAGGAAATTGACGAAATTTTATACTCGGTGATTAAGGAGAGAGTTTCGGGACGGGGGAACGGCGGCGGCGTCGACTTTCTCGAATCGATGATGGCGGCGGACGGAGGCAGAATAAGGCCGTTGGCGGCGGAGGAAATGGTCGACGAATGTAAGGCGATGTTCTTCGCGGCGTTCGAGACGACGGGGCTGGCGCTGTCGTGGAGCTTGCTGCAGCTGGCGGCTCATCCAAAATGGCAAATTGAGCTAAGGGAGGAGATTAGAGAAGTCGTTGAAGATCGGGAGATTGGTGACGTTTCAATCTTACATGGACTTAAGAAGGTAAGGGCTGGGCCAGGCCGGTCTAATTTTATATATTAAAATTAAAAATAATAATTATTATTTTTGTCCAGACACTAATTTTGAAATTCACTTATAATCTTATGATTTAATACTATATACTATATGATTTAAAAAATATATTACTGTTCCATATAATTTATTTATTTTTATCTGTCTCACTTTATTTGTATTTTTTTATTTAAAAAAATATGATTATAAATTATAATTATATTTTATATATATTTTTTAATTTTAATGAAATTATTTAGTTATATTAATCGTAATTTATAATTATTTTTACTAATATACTTTTTAATTACATATTAATTATATTTTATGTAAATTATGGTATTTTACTTGGGACGGAGGAAGTACTTTCTTATTTCAATATATATACTTATATTTTAAATTTATTACGGTTCAGTTACCCTATCATCAATAAATTATGTCTCTTGTTTATTGATCAATCACCTTCTCTCATGTGTATTTTTAAAATAAAAAATTTAAATACACATAACCGAAGGTAAGATTGGTACAACGAAAATTGTCAGGGGTATGATAACTGAACCCATTAAATATATTTACTCAATTGTTCAATATATTTATACTATGATTCAATAATCCTTCAACTACTACTTAAACATTGTCATTTTTTGAAAATTCAGATGGGATGGGTGATGAACGAAGTTATCCGATTGTACGGTTCGGTTCCGAACATACAAAGGCAAGCGCGGCACGACATTCAAGTCGGCGACAAGGTGATCCCGAGAGGCACCAACATATGGATAGACATCGTGTCGATGCACCACGACCGCACCCTTTGGGGCGAAGACGCGAACGAGTTCAAGCCAGAGAGGTTCGAGAATGACATATACGGAGGGTGTAACCACAAGATGGGGTATTTACCGTTCGGATTTGGAGGTAGACTGTGTGTTGGTAAAAATTTAACGACTCTTCAATATAGAGCTGTGCTCGCCACAATATTGTCCAAGTTCTCGGTTTCCCTTTCGCCTAGATATTGTCATTCTCCTACTATAATTCTCGCACTTAGACCCAAATATGGAATCCCTCTCATCTTACAAAATCTCTAAAACTTGCTCATAGCAATGCTTGTATTTGTGTATTATATTGTAAGAATAATCTCGTTGTTTCTATGTAGAAAAAAATTTTTGCAAAAATAATCTATTTGTTTATATATATACATCGCATCTAACTTACTATTTCTGATATCGATATATATATATACATTAAATATAAATTCAAACTCTTTGAAAAAATCTTGCAAGATTAATTTTCTTGTTTCTATATACATCAAATCTAACTTACTATTTTTTTTTTAATATACCGATATATATACATGTTAAAGTTAAATTCAAAATCTTAAAAAAAAAAAACTTTCATTGGCGCTTTATAGTCAACCAATCACATTGTTGCTAGTGTTGCCACAAGCAGGAGCGATCTAGCTTGGGGTTTGGGGGTCAGCTGAACCCCAGCCCTAAATTATATATATATTTTTAGTGTGAAAATAAGAAAAAAAAATTATATATTTTTGGTAAAATGCCCTTCCTCCCGCCTTATTCAAGCTATTATTTATGTCTTTTCTTTTCTTTTTTTTTTTCTGATTTTTCCTTTATTTATTTATTTTTTTTTTGTGTTCTTCATCTTGATGATGTTGCTTCAAGATGAATTAAAAATAATAGTATCTTATGAGAAGAAATAAACCGGTATCTCGTCCCCCAAAAATCGAACGATGGTTCTGTCACTAGCCACAAGGATACGCGTAGTCGATGTCTTTGCAACTTATGCGTCGACTAAAGTACCAATCACCAACGGCTTCCACTACCATATGTAAAAATGGTCGAGTAAACTCCTCGACTTGAGCTAGGTTGGTGTAGTTAGTAAAAAATCGATTTCTAATTAAATATGGTAACGAGATTGAATTGTTTTAGATATTATAGGGGAGATCAGCACCCTATCTCTCCCGATATTATAATTCAATAAATATATTTAACATGAATATTATTTTTTAGAAAATAAAATTATATGTAATATAAATAAGAAATATATATATATACATGATCAAAATAAATTATTTTTATAAAAATAGAATATATGATATTTTAAATATATATTTATTTAAGAAAGATAAAAATAAATAAATATATATATTTAAGAAGAAAAAAAAGTATTAGATTCAATATTAACCAAAGACATCTAAAATTTGATTGCACCTCATCATTGAGTGGTTGTAAATAACACTAAATCCTAATGGCATCATTAATTCATATTTTTCGTTTATACAGTTTTAACTATAAAAATATAATTGATATAGCATCTTTTTATTTTGAATAATAACTTCATATTTCACTAATATTTTTCAAATATGAAATTGTATATATTATTTTAAATAATTTTTTATATTTTTTAATTTACATTAATTTAAAAACCAAAATAAAAATATTAGAACTAATTTAAAATAATTAAATTAAAAAAAAAAAAACGTCAATTTTTGGTATTGTACTATAGTAACATAGAAAATTTGTGTAATATTGAGCATCAATTAAAGTAAATCTACGGCAAATCCACTAATCTAACGTCATTAATGGCGCTCGATTTAAGACGCCCTAAACCCTAGACACCATTAATTAATGTATAGATTGAGATATCAAATCGCAATAGAATAAATATATATATATATATATATGAGCTGTTAGATTGTTGGGGTACAAATCCAAGTCCCACATAAGAAGTTGAGAAGAAAATTTCACACTTTATAAGTCTCAAGTGAACTCCACTAGTACGAGGCCTTTTTGAAGAATATCCAAAAACAAATTTGTGCGGGCTCAGCCCAAATCGGACAATATCATACTAGTGTTAGTTGACCCAAGCATTGGTTGTGGTGGTGGACTCGCTCTCGTGACTTGCCTTGTGTCGATTTAATGAACGGTGACTATGAGAGTATTTATTAACACTAATGAGCATGTGTGCGTGACTTTGAATTAAATTTATACATGTTGTGTAGATTGTCATTAAATACTATAGTTTTGTGTCATTAATATATATATTTATGTTGAAGTTAATAGCTGCATGTGTTGCATGGGATATTATAGTGTGTTATTAATTCAGATTCTGCCGCGGCCGTTACAATGCTAATTGGATCTAATTAACACTATACTGAATTTGATCAAATTAGAATACTAACATGAATGATTTGTTGAATTTAAATGCCCGATCATTTAAAGCGGAAGTGTACCTGATGAAGCCATATACAAATTTTGGGTGATTAAAGGTTTGGTCTTCCAAGATCAGAGAGCCGGCTTCTTTTCTGTACTTGACGGGTGAGAAGCAGAAACTGCAGGGAGAATCAGATTTCTTTTACGGCGTGCTGATCATGGGGACCTAACCCTAGCCTATTTATAATAGGGCAAACATAATTGCAATTACAATTATGCCCTTAATTAATATTATTAATTTGTCACGTCACCAAAATAATAATATTATACGGGTAGCTGCACTTTCATTCCATACCAATCAAACCTATCAGTCAATAATTAATTATATTAATTAGATCACTTAAATAATAAGACTGAATAAAATAATGACTTTAACAACATATTCGATACACATATTTGATCCCAAATCCAACATGATTATCATTTCATTACAAGACAGATAACATATAATTAAGTTAACAATTAGTATTTCATCACAAAGCATATAGTATATTTTGTGTTATATAGAAATATGTGTTATGTGAGTTATATATTGCGTTATGTTGTATAATTTGTTTATTGTGTTGAAATCACAATATATTGTACTATATAATTATATAATGTGCTATGAAAATATGTGATATACTCCCTCGGTCCCATAAATATAGTCTTAATTGGGTTGATCACGAAATTTAAAGAATATTAATATTATATTGGTAGTTGGTAAAAAGTTAGAATAAATTATTTTTTTTTGTCTTTGTGGGTATATTAGTGTAAAAAGTAGTGACAATTGTTTAATAATAATGAAAAAATATGAATAGTTTTATGGTGATATGGTTATTTATGGAAATAAACTATTATTTTGGAACGGATAAAAATGGTAAACAATACTATTGTATTGAGACGAAAAAAAGTATAATATAAGTAGATATTTCGAGTTGGAAGTATTCCGCCACAAGTTGGTTTTCTGATTTTTTTTTTCCAAAAGAAATTGGATTTGAGGCCTACATTTCTAATTTTAATTATATTTCCAGTCTGTTCACATAGTGTTTTAGATGAATTAATTTTTTATTATAATATAAAAAATTATATTGATGATATAAATAATAATATTTTATATTGAATTGTTGATTATTTATAAGTAAATAATATATATTTTATATTAATATGTGTATATTTATATTGTTTTTAATAATATTAATAGAGAATTAATTGTGCAATTCAATTGTGAAATTCAATCTCTTCAATTTATTATTTTAAAATTAAATATATATATGTATAGTAATATTTGTTTGGTTGTTTTATTAAAAATTAATTTGAAATGAACTATTGATTTAATATTTTGTTTAAATAACATTTTGAGTTGATAATTTTTTAAAAAACAAACTATTTGTTTTTTTTTTAATCAAATTTATATTAATAATGTATAAATGTGTAGATATATATATATATTACTTATCTGTATTATATAAGTATTTTATTTTATATAAAACAATATCTAAATTTAATATATTTTAGCATGTTGCTTTTTAAATTTATTTTAAATTATATATTTTATTTTATTATCTCGTTCAAAAATCAAAATCACTCCAAACTGGAGTACATACTAAAATTTGAGACCCCAAACAAAAGCATCTTATATTTGGTTTGTGGTTTAGGTTTAATTACTATTTAAATAATATTTCGATACAATCTTTTATTAAAAAACTAATTATTTTTATTAAAAACTACATTATATAAAAATTGAAATTAAGGGCAAATAGTAATAACAACCAAACTACAACCCATATAATTTTGATTTTATTTTCACGTAATATTGGTTAGGGTAGAAATAGGTTAGATCATGCTTTAATTAAATAAACCTAAGTTTTTTTTTGAAAAATTAGGATCATATCTCTATTAGCATTAAAATAAAAATATTTTATAAGATATATAGGTCTGCCTTAAATTAAAATCTAACCTTATCTATATATATCCAAGACTTAATTAATCCCTTTTGATCAATCAAAGGAACTCATGCAAGAAAGAAAAAAAATAAAAAACTAAAACCCTAATATTCTAACCAAAAAAAAAAAATTGTTATAAGAATGGGATCATATTCTTTGGAGTATTTAGCAACCCTATTTGGTTTTCTCTTAGTAGTATTTTCTTTGTCGATTTTGTTTTTTCAGTGGTGGATTTCGCCGTGGATGCTTTACAGGAAACTTAGGGCTAACGGGTTTTCAGGGCCGAATCCTAGTTTCCCTTTAGGGAATTTAAATCAAATCAAGTATCAAAAATCAGATACGGACATTTCCTCGTCTTCATCGGTTCTTACCGGAATATCGAATGATTTGCACTCGACTTTGTTCCCTTACTTTGCCTCATGGCAAAAATCATATGGTTAGTCAAACACCTTTAACTCGATTGATATCATCGTGTTTAGCTTTGATAGTTTGTTGGCTTAATTTATTAACACTTTTATTTGAATGAGTTTTAAGTTCGATGAAATCTAAACTATGGTTCATATTTATTTTTATTTTTATTTTTTGCTTTTATATTGTAAAAGTCAGCATTTTTTCTTCTAGCAACATTTTTTTTTTTTTTAATTTTGTTACTATATATTTTTAAAAGCATCACATCAAATAATTATACAAATGTAAAATATAAACACCAAAAATAATTTTGAATTGTATTTGAAGTTCAATTTTATAGTAAATAAATTAATTATTAAACATTATATTTGATTAGAATTATATATATATAATATTATAATTAATCGTGTCAATAATATAAAAAATAATATTTATAAAATAATAAAAATATATATTGACAATCGTATCGAAAACAAATAAAGCATACATATATTCATCATTATTATAATTATTTTAATATTAATTTAAATTAAACAAAATACATTCAAGACATTATGCTGACACCACATAAGATAGGGCTTAGACCTCACACAATATAATATATTAACATAATATAAATATAGCACGTAAATTGACAGCGCATAATAATAGATAATATAATTTGATACAATAAATTTATCATTGATGTTAATTCATTCAACACACCTACAAACATAAACTATAAGTATATGCAATTTTAAATTGTCTGCGTATTTTACACATATTAACAGCAAATCTGTACTATACTAATTTTTCACAAATAAATGTATTTTTCAAATAAATGTTTAAATTAAATTTTATTTTAAATTATTTTAAAAACATGATATTTTATATGAAAAAATAGGAAAAATATTCGTCTTTTGGGTGGGAACCGCGCCATTTCTGTATGGCGCCGATCCCGAATTCCTCAAGCAAATGTCCGGAGACATCAAAGGGAAGGAATGGGGCAAAGCCGACATTTTCAAGCGCGATCGAATGGCAATATTCGCGAAAAGCCTCGTCGCCAACGAGGGCGACGAATGGGCTCGCCGCAAGCACTTCATCACTCCGGCATTCTCAACGACGTCTTTGAAAGCAACGGCCGCGTTGGGGCTGGAGGCCGCAAAAACCATGGCGCGTCAATGGTCAGCCCTTATAAACTCCGGCCACCACAAAATCGACGTCGAGGCCCAGATCATCCCCTTGCTCGGCGGAGTCGCGGCGAAGATGATCTGCGGCATGAGTGTCGAGAACGGAAAATTGATGATAGAGAAACTCCAGGCTCTACAACATGTCCTCTTCGCGGATCTTGGCCATGTCGGCGTGCCGTACGGAAAGCTCTTGAGCCCAATTCGAACAATGCGAGCGAGAAAATTGGGGAAGGAAATCGACGAAATTCTATACTCGGTGATTAAGGAGAGGATTTTGGGACGAGGGAAGGGGAACGGCACGGACTTTCTCGCAGCGCTGATGGCGGAGGATGGAGGCAGAGTAAGGCCGTTGGCGGCGGAGGAATTGGTCGAAGAATGCAAGGCGATGTTCTTCGCGGTTTTTGAGACGACAGGGGTGGCGCTGTCGTGGGGGTTGCTGCAGCTTGCGGCTCATCCAACATGGCAAATTGAGCTAAGGAAGGAGATTAGAGAAGGCGTTGGAGATCGGGAGATTGGCGACGTTTCCATCTTGCATGGACTCAAGAAGGTAAGGGCAATATTGTCATTTTGTTGATTCTGTGTTTTCAATTATTTTTTTTGTCCATTCAATTTATTCTTCTGTCACTTAAATTTAGTTAATTACAACAAAGTTAACAAATTTATATTTAATTATTACCCTTCATTCAACACTACATACCACTGTATTACATTCTCTTTGAAAAAATTGCAAAAAATATCCTCATGTATACCTCATTATCATTTTTGTCTAGTATTTATTTATCTGGTAACCTATATCTTACATATTGGCAAAAATCGTTATTCTTATCGTTTGGCCGCGCGTGACATTCATATCATGTGAGATATATTTTACCAAAAGTGATAAAAAGATATACACGTGGGACATTTTTTTTGCAATTTTTTCATTCTATTTTTTCCTTTACTATAATTTCTAACTAAACTTTCAACAATACATTCCCGTCACTTTTTCAATAAAATATTTATTTTTTTTAAATTTTGATACCGGATCGAAATAGGCTAATTTTAATGGACAAATAGAGCATAATATATACATACAAACATGTATATATATTACGTGTATATTAGAGGAAGTAGGGAGCCTGGGCAGTAGGCGGAGCTGAGGATCCCTGGCAAAGGAGTTTATAGGCTCAAGATTCTTACACCTTTCAGATTTTGCCTTAAAAAAGTTTTGGGTGTCATAGCAGATCCAATCATCATATGATTTTGGATTGTAATAATTATAAGAGTGTCATGTTTTGAAAATTCAGATGGGATGGGTGATAAACGAAGTAATACGATTGTACGGTACGGTTCCGAATGTACAAAGGCAAGCGAGGCACGACATTCAAGTCGGCCACACGGTGATCCCGAGCGGAACAAACATATGGATCGACCTTGTGTCAATGCACCACGACCGCAGCCTTTGGGGCGAAGACGCGAACGAGTTCAAGCCAGAGAGATTCGAGAATGACGTATACGGAGGGTGTAGCCACAAGATGGGGTATTTACCGTTCGGATTTGGAGGAAGAATGTGTGTTGGTAAAAATTTAACGGCTCTTCAATATAAAGCCGTGCTCGCCGTAATATTGTCCAAGTTCTCGGTTTCCCTTTCGCCTAAATATCGTCATTCTCCTGTTATAATTCTCGCACTTAGGCCCGAACATGGCATCCCTCTCATCTTAAAAAATCTCTAAAATTGGTCATTTGCAATATTTTGCTCATATTTATGTATTGATGTGCAAGACTAATCTCCTTGTTTATATATATATATATATATAGCATCTAAGTTACTATTTAAGAAAGTAATATATGTATATAGTGCGACCACATGTTGAATTGAATAGCACATTGGTCTGCTACATAGTATTATCACATACAGCAGACAATATGCGTTAATATAATACAAATACAATACATCATATATTCTCAGATATTACATACATTAATTACATTAATTGATTTGATGATGTCGTTTTTAAATTCCACAGAGTAAAAAGAAGAAAAATAAAAATATGGGAAAGGATTAATCGCTTGTGGGAGAATTCAACAAAACTATATAGATTTTGATATTTTCACTTGAAAAAATAATTAAATTAAATTAAATTGAGGGGCAAATTAACACATAAAAGTTATATTGTGTTTTACACTATTAAAAAAATAAAAAATAAAAAATTGAAGAGCAAATCAATAAAAAAATACATAATTTTAGCATTTTTTATACTAAAATATATATTTCGAGCAGCTGTCCTAGCCCCTTAGTAGTACCGTCCTCATATATATATATATATATCTACACATTAAATATAATTTCAAAATCTTGGGAAGAAAACTTTCATTTGCGCGCTCTAGTCAACCAATCTCGTTGTGGCAAGTATTATCACAAGGATACGCGCAATCGATGTCTTTGCAGCTTATGCGTCGACTGAAGTACCAATCGCCTACAGCTTCCGCTATCGTCTGTAATAATGGTCGAGTAAACTCTTGGACTCAATCAAGGTTGGCATAGTTAGTAAAAGATCGATTTCTAGTTAAATTTGTGACGAGAATGCGAACCTTATTGTGAACTCTCGGAGAGTCAGGCGCGTACCATGTATCTTGTAATTCGCTTTGGCAATGCGCGAAGCACGAATTTATGAACAATCCTCCTCTCGTCGCGGTAACGAAGAAATATCGCAAAGTTTGAAGCATGTATTTTCTGAATCCTAAGTTTCCATTACAAGAAAATATATATATAATATAATTAAAAAAAAAAAAAATCGACCGCTGTCAATTTAAATAGAAAAGTCGAAAATCCGTAACAATTTAAAATGCGGTAAGGAAGAGGAGCAAACCTTGCAAAGTACTTAGCTGGATTTCGTTGCAAGCCGCCGGATTTTGCTTGCAATGATACCAATGTCCGTGAGGATCGGCTGCCGGAGGGACTAATATGTGATGAAACTGCGATTGATCGACAATATCAATATTTGGGATTTTGGTTACGAGTTTGAAAGTTGTTATGATAAATAAAGAAATATAAAGTAATGGATAACAGAATTCAGTGACCCAGTTCGATCAAATTGATCTACTTATAGCCAAAACTTTCACTATACAATAACTATGTAACTCGACGATGAGTGCAAAATATGTACACAATATATAAGATCATAAACTCACTTGGAATACGTCGTAGGCCGAGTTCAAGATGAAAAAAGGTGTCCTAATATACGGCAACGAATATTGAGGGAAGAAACACTGCATGAAAAATATATATCGAGAGGAATTGTGAAGATTGTAACTCTAGAGTTTAATCAATGTGGCTAATGAAAATTCGAAAAGAATATCGTACGAGTTCAGGAAATGGCGAACTTGCGCAATTTGGGTTGAGATTCTTCTCCACACCCTGTTCAGAAAAATATTTATATCAAATCAAACAAGCTGACATTCTAGATTCCATTATATTATATTTTTCCATACCTGAAGCGATACGAGGCTTTTGTAGAAGTATCTCATGCTATGGTTCATACTTATATCTCTTCTGCACCATTGCAAAAGCATCGTAGTTACGGTTAGCTATGCATCGAATTCAAACCAAATTTGCTAGTTCGCACTTTGAGAAGGAAAAACTTACGCGTCGAGGAAGAATCCGGCATCGCTCAAACATTTTACACTCGCATTTTTTGGCAAATAACTTGTGAAGTTGTCGCAATGAAGAAAGGTAGCCAATCCCCCGGCGGAGCAACCCGAAAGGAGAGCCTAATATGCCGAAAAATACCATGATAAAAAATATATACCGTATCAAATATTTAGACTTTTTTTAAAAATTTTAAAGTTCACAAAGAATTTTAAAAATTACTTTTGATTAATAGGGTTAAAACTTTTTTAAAAAGTATGTGTAGACGGAGGAGACCGTAAACATAGGCTTTCAGATAATTTTTAGCATTATAATTTATCTACGGTAATTCTTGTAAAAAAAATATAACATTAAATGTATATTTTCAATTAAATATTTACTTGGAGTTTAGTTTTAATTTCTTTATCATGTAATTCTTACCATTCTTGATAAAAATATATAAATTTTTTCTTATAAAATATCAAATTAAAAATACTGTTAATTCAAACTAAAATACAAGATTAAACCCCAAATAATTAAGCAAAGTAAAAATTTTTCATATAAAGAGATTAATACCTTATTTGCCTGATCCAATCCTTTAGGAAGAAGATCATGAATAACTGCTTGCCAAATTCTTTGCCCTCTGAAATACAGCAATGATGTCTGTAGGGTGTAAGAACACACGACACACTAATGATGCAATTTAAGGATTCATATGTTTAAAATGTAATTTGAAATGAAATATTAATTTGAATTTCTTTTAAGAAAAAATAATATTATGATATGATATTTCTAAAAATATATTTTTATTAACAATCATGGAGTCTCAAAAGAACAAATCCTATAATTGATTATGATCTTCAACGTTTTTTTTTAGAATGCAATAAATCAAATAGTATAGAAATAATATGAACATGTAGGAAATTGTTGATTGATTCACTTACTTTGTTTTGAAAAATTGAATCTCCGGCAAATGACGCTCCGTCGCAGTATCGCAACTTGACGCGATTCCAATTGTAAAAATCTGCCGATTCAATGTTTTATGTTAACTATTATTAGGATGAATAAAAATAATCTATCGAGAGAAGTCATTTTGTACTCGAAATTTAGGAAAGGGTTCTCTTCGGTACCTTCAATTTTTTAAATCGATATAATTTAAAAATATAATTTGCATGTGTATGCTCAAACTAAAACAAATCAGTATGTATTGTGTAAATTAATATTGTTAAGTTCATACCATAAATATATATCGTATAAATATATTTCGAATTATTGTGTAAACTATTATTAATTTACCTTATTATTAATTTTGACAAATTTTTCGCAAGAAGGTTACCATGGTCTTTTTGCGTATTGATCTTTGAATATTAATTATTATATCAATACGCAGTAGAAATCAAGAGACCAAGACAAAAATACGTTTATTAGTCTCTTATAATACAAATACAATGATATTTGCCGAGTAAATTATTCAAATATAATAATATTCAAATACAATGTTAAGTACAATGACGCAAAAAATCAAATGGCAACCTTTCTGCGGGACGGAGGGAATATCAACTCTTACCATTCGTTCAGCATTTATTTACTAATAAATGTCACTATTATTATCACACATCATTCATATTATCTTATTCTTTTTAAATTTATATAAATACCTTCAATTGTTTCATATTTATATTTTTCAATCTATGTAGGACAGAAAGAGTACTAAAGGAAATAAATTTAAAAAATATGTAAAAAATAAAATGTCGTAAATGAAATTTTTAAAATTTTTGTGGAATAAAAATAAAATAAAATCGAGGGAGTATTATTAATAGAGTGATATTGGGTAAAATTGAAAAGGACCAATCTATTTTGTTTGTGGGTCTGTGACTGTGTGTTTGTCTGAAATGGGCTTTTAAAGTTTTTGTCTTTTTTGTACAGAAGGTTTAATTACTATACGAATACGACATAGGAAGATTCTGTTTTATCTGTCGGAAATTGACAATCTAATCCAGCTGTCAGAATATGGCCTTCCCCATTTCTCTTTTTTTTTTAGTAATTTGTTTATTATACAATTTTAGAATTAATTTTCATTTAAAGAATTATCAAATAAAAATATAGAAATGAATAAAAATTTCAAAAGATCATGACTCCTATATTGAATTAATAATGCCTACAAAAATATTAATGTAATGAATTAAAAGTATATACTCCCTCCGTCCCGGTCCAAGTGGGTCTTATGAGGTTTTGTAGTAAATTAAAAAATAATACTCCATTCATTCCACATACCATGTTCACGTTGCCGTTTCTATCCGTCCTACATTTCTTTTTTGAAAAATAATTACACACTTTAATCTCATTTTAAACTTTTTAATTTATTTTTTTTAATTTGAATTAAACTAATTAATTAGTTATCTTAATCTTAATTTATAATTATTTATATTATAGTTTAATTGTTTTCACTAATACATTATTAATTATCTACTAATTACACCCCCTCCTAAAATACTGTGTCTACAGTGTAGCAGACACGGTATGTGGGACGGAGGGAGTAGTATTTTATTATTAAGTAGAAGTGTGCAAGAGATTTTTACATTTTTACCCTCTGACTTTATGAAAAAATAATTGTATGTGTAATGATATATTTATAACTTAGGTAAAAATTAAGAGTATTTTGGTATTAGTGTATAATTACTTTTACTAAAATAAGAAAGTGATACTTTGAAGTGGAATGGACGAAAATAATAAAAATAGTACTTTGAGTTGTGACAAAGAGAGTATATATATATATACATATATATGCAGTTATTATTGAATATGTTTTATATAGGGTGTGTTATTTTAAAGATTTTATACAAAATTATACTATTCATTCAATTTTCTACCTCCAAAAAATATTAAATCAAACACCTATTTTTTTATTTTTTATATTATACTAAAAATTAATTTTACATTCAAAATATCGCATCAACACTTATTTATACCACATCATACAACTAGTAGAATTCAAAATTTTTACTATTCAAATCTCAATTCAAAATCGAATCCCTCGAACAAACCCACCCATAATAGACTATCCAAAATTACACTATTGGTGATGATATATCCTAACTTTAGATTTCTATAAATAGTTCTTTCTTCTTCGCTAAAAATATATTTAAATTTTTGAGCAAATATTTTAATATATAATTTATATTTTATTATTGTTTATGATAATAAAAAATAAAATAAAATTAATATAGTTTTTTATTTTAAAAAATAAGAATATTTTTAATTAAAAAGAAATATACAAATTTAAGTGTTAGAGAAATAATTTTTTATAATTTCAATCTACCATTATAGTCATATAAATTGAGTATCATGAATGCATCAACTACATAGGCTATATCCAATTCTTTTTTATTATGTAATTTTATAATTTTTCTACAAAATCATCTCATTCAACAATCAAATTTCTTATGGAATATATATATATGTCATATCTAACAATAATTTTATCCCAAAACAAATTTTTTTAAAAAAAAAAAAAAGTTGTAAGAAAATGCAAGAAATGAAGAGAAGCATGAATATCTACCTGGATTTAAAGAGGCATTGTTACTTAAAATTCCCGAGAAGACTTCGTTTTTGTTCATGTAAAAAGTCGATCCTCGTCGAGTCGCCGCTCTTTCCCAGCAAGACTCTACATCATTGCACCAACCCCCTCCCTGCAATTTATAAGGCTTTCGTTCATATACGTACTTTGAAAATTTTGATACTATTTATTCATAATAATTATTTTTAAAAATATATTCTTTTAAAAAATTATTTACTATTACAAAACATCACCTTAACTACTTGTTACTATTTTTAAAACTTTCTAAAAACTCTAAATATATTGATCTAAACGAAACCTAAATTTAACCCTCCGTTATATATCATCCATATCAGTCTATCTGACTGATAGTACATAATTTCAATTAATACAACATATATTAAGTAAACTATTACTATGTATTAACATAATACTATATTTTATACTAAAATCAATGATAGTATTTGCTTTATAGACTATTTTTATGTACGGTCAGTTTATGTATTATATTAATATACGCTATGTGTTTTCGATTTCTACCTCATTTATTATCCGTCTATATTCGTATGCTATCCTCCATATATTATCTATCTATATTTTATCTATTGTCAGCACAGTACTGAATAATCTCAATCGAATACAACCGACAACATCTCTTAGCCTTGAAAAAGTACTCATTAGTCTTTTGTCCTATAGGAATTGGGAACATGCAATGTCTCTCAATAATATGTTTCACTCATTCACTCCAAATATAACTTTAAAAAAAAAAAAAAAACAACAAGCTTTATAACTTACATATATTATAAAAAAATATATATATATATAACTATCATTATTCAATTAAATTGTCTTTTTTTTTTTTTTTAGAAAGTATTTTTTTATATATATCTATTATACCACATGCATATATAATGCTAAATTTTAAAATATATATACAAAAATTAAACGGATACATACAAATTAGACAAATGGGATATTATATATATATATAATGATATTTATGCATTTAACAAAGAGATTAGAAATTATAAAGTATAAATGATCATGCTATATGTATATCTTTTAAAAATATATTTAGTTTAGATAAGAAAAGATGTGGTGTTTTATAAAAATAGGAAGTTATAATAATTGTATTGTAAAAAATAAAATAAAATAAAATTTTCAAAATAGCATAATCATTAGCAAGGGACAGTTTCATGACTTGATAAGATGGATAGATGAGTATGAAAAATGACATCTAAGATATAAAAATATCAACAAAATAGGATAAACAATAATGAGTTTGAAAATTGACATCTTAGAAATGGACACAATTATTATTAATCATGACAAATAGGATAGAGAAGAACTTCCAATTATTTTGAATATAAATGCATGATATTTTAATATATATATATATATATATATATAAAAGCAGAAGCATGTTTGATTTTGGATTTGAATTAATTAAATTTCATAAAATCAAAATTTTCTAAAATAAAATATATGATTTGTTTGGTTGTAGTTTGAAATCAATTTGAAACATAGTGTTAATTTGAATTTTTTTTATTTAAATAATATTTTAATATATTATTTTGTGAGAATAAATAATGTGTTTTTATTGAAAATTATACAGATAGTGTTGATTTTAATTTGAAATTACAAAAGAATAAACTCGTGCTTAAATGTAATAAAATTAATGTGCTTTTTAAATTGTAAAATTATGTTTAAAAAAACTAAATTATCTATATAGATATATTAATTTGATATCTCAAATATAAATTTTAATATGGTATAATATATAAATTTAAATTTAAAATTAATATACTTTATATGGTGACGAGCGACAACTATGAGGTGGAAAAAATGAAGGACAAAAGATAAAATTATTGCACTTTTATTATTACTATTTAAAAATAAAATACTCCCGCCGTCCCACTTACCATGTTGCCCTTCCCTTTGTGTCCGTCTCTCATGTCACTTTCTTTCTTTCTTTTTAAAATGATTACCCATATTAATTTTATTTTAAATTTTCTAATTTAATTTTTTTTTTTATTTTAATTAAACTAATTAGTTATCTTAATCTTAATCTATAATAATTTATATTATAAATTAATTATTTTTACTAATACATTCTTAATTATCTATTAATTATACTTATCATAAATTATAGTGTTACGGTGACCAAGATAGCCAATGTGGGATGGAAATAGTAATAATTTTGTATTTTTTTCAAAAATATCCCAATATACTTCTAAGAAAGCATGAGCTTCAATTCTTTTGGTAAAAAGTCAGTTCAAATAAAATCAAGTAATTTTTTTAAAACAAAAGTCAATTAAGCTACATATAGAAAATAAAAATAAAACTATTTAAGTTAAATTAATTTAGATCATATTAGATTAAGGTTGTGTTTGTTTGAGGATTTTAAATTAAATTTTTACATGAATTTTTTCTGTAGTAAGATATAAATACTATATTTACATTTAAGTATTAATATCTATTCATATCCAATTATTATTTAAATTTAAAATTCAAATTTTTTTAAACAAAAAGGGAAGTATAAAAGAAAAGAATATATCGTACAGTATGCAGATTGTAGAGGCTATTTTTTATCAATTAGGATTAGGTCCCCCCAAAAGGTTAATTTTATTTTTACAAAAATAAATAAAGTAAAGTAAAATCCAGTTTGCGTAGTGCATGCTTCAAACTTTTAATCATGTTTTGCCCTTTTTGCCCCCAGAAAGTGAAAAAATTACCTCAAACTGGAGGAGCCAATTCCGCGTGCCGGCGCCGAATCCTCGGTCCAGATGATACGCCGGCGGACTTCCGTCCAAGCAATCTGCAACCGCAAGTTAATTTCCGGCGTGTAATGTGCTCCATCGTCGTAAGTAATTTCGAAGAAATTATATATATATACATATATACATTAATTAATCAATTGAGGCACTATATATATATATATATATATCATCGAATTAGTTCACGTTTAATTAACATCCTATCTAATGGCGGTTACTTACAGGCTCCGATCGACGAAGCATTACGGACGAGAGTCATGCTCACCAGGCGAGGCGCCGAGTGAATCCGCCGCGGCGCGCACGATAGCAGCACAACCACCAAGCTCAATGCGGCGGCCTCCATCTCCCTCAGATTCAATTTCTCAACCTCAACACAACTGAACCGTAGCAATTACATATGTATACTTACTGGATCGAAATGCAGTTAGAGATATCGAGGAATCGTCTGCATCGTCATCTGAGAGTCCTTAGGGATTAATTTCTGGATGAATTGATTTATGCACAAGTAATTAATAGAGTGGGGATTTGGAAAGGCTCATAGGCGAGGAATGAAGGAAGGAAGGAAACGGAAGGAATTTTGGATTATTCCAAGAGTAAGAAAGAACAAAAAGGGCTCCAAAGTTCTGACCCGTGATGAGACTAATTTTATATATATATATATATATATAATTAGCTGTCAATTGATATTGTAACCCGAGAAAAAAAAAATTCAATGAATTAAAAATACTATTTCTAAATTTATAATATTATATAATTGATATTAAATTATTTTTTTATGTTATGATTAGCTCTATATATATTATATTTAAGTGTTATTATTAGCTTCATGTTTCTTTCCATAATCTTTTGTGTTGTATTTGTGTAAAAGATGTAATAGAAATATTTTTCACTTGTAAATCCCAAACAATTTGGGTACGGTCAACACATTATTTATTAGTTTTGATCAACAGATGGAAATAAAATGTTCATTACCTATACTCAAATTAAGACAGCACCTCTGGTATAGTTTATTAACATATAGTACCATGTAATCTGATCAATTATAACATATGTTTGTAAACTATTGTTTTTTTTATTAACACCCAATTGTATGCTAAAAATCAATTATATATATAGCATATATTGTGTCTTTGATTGATTAAAACTAATCAGCATTCTAAGTGTCATTATTTAGTTTATTGGGAGTCAAGTCATTTCTTCAAATTGCTCTATGCAACCAACCTTTTTTTAATTTCATTTCTTCAAATTGCTCTATGCAACCAACCTTTTTTTAATTTTTCTTTTTTGTACAATGTTATTACTTACATAGTAACCTTATATACTTCATCCGTCTCAGATACCATGTCCACGTTGCCGTTTCTGTCCGTCCCACATACCATGTCATTTTCCTTTTTTGGAAAATAATTACACACTTTAAGGATAATTATTTTCACTAATGTATTCTTAATTATCTACTAATTACACCCCTCCTAAAATACCGTGTCTACAGTGTAGCAGACACGGTATCTGGGATTTAAAAATCTGTCATCACAAATTTTCAAAATCAATATCAATTCCAATTTTTGCTTGTTTACCCGTTGAACCCTATTTTATACTGCATAAACTAAAATAACATCCTTTATTTTCCATCTAAGAAAATATTATACATTATTTTTTAAAAAAGATATATATACTATCCAAAAATTGGACGTGTGCGTGCATTTATATATATATATATATATATATAAAAACCGAACCATAGACAGGTAATATTAATAAAATATATCATCAATTTTCTATGTATCTTAAGAATGTTTTTAATTTAAAATTTTTAAAATAAAATATACATTCAGAAATGATTTTTTTAATTAAAAATAAATATTCGATATAATATTTTTTGTAAAATATATAGTTATAATAAATATAATTTTTGTTATAACTATATTGAAAATACTAAACATAATCCCTAAGCCAGTAAGACGGAATTCCTTTTTTTGACTGTCGTGCATTGTCTAAAAGTCGTGTTTCTAAAAATGTAACGACAGTAAAACATGTTATATATATGTAGATCTTTGTGGTGCAACCGAATCCAACATGTTAAACCGCTAGATTTGGACTTAACCTAAACCTGCCAAACCACGTTAGATCACGTGAGCACCACGTGACCCCATGAAAGTGGCGCTGCAGCTGCAGCTGCAGCTGCCATGCCAGATCAGATCAGATCCAATTGGAACAACTGCAAAATCTGCTGTGAAATCTGGTAATGTTAGATGAAATAATTCGGGCTAATTTACAACATAAATAGAAAATCGAATCATTTTTTTGAGATAAAATAAAATTTAGAAAAAAGATAAAAGGATGCAAATAATTATAGTGCATAAAATTGTGAGTAGAGATGATCACGAATTTTGTAGTACTCCTCGGATAAGGGGCCTTCAAGAATGATGTATTGAATATTGCCACCACCCTACACAAGAGCTTCAAATTAGGGAAATTTATTTGTATAATTTTTATTTCAGTACCTTTTTTCAAAAAAAAAAAAAATTGAGAATTTTGGTATCTAATTCATTATCTTGTTAGTTCAACGAAGAAAAATGAACTGGAGTACAAAATTGAATTAACAAAAAAATAAACGATCAAAATGATCGATTTGAAAATAGGACCTAAAAATCACCAGACCTACCTTTTGGCTGGAATCTCCGACTTTACGTAGAGTCACGTAGTCCCCACAGCGCAAGGCTCCACCGGCAAATTCCACCTGGAGAAGGGTACATTGGCATCATTTATATGTAAAAAGGCTACTAACACCACATCAAATATACACGGAATACACAATACAATATAAATGCAGCAATAGTCTACACAGCACATAACATCATCAGCACACAGTTTGTGTATAATATAATGCAATATATGAATACAATATAAATGCAGCAATAGTCTACACAGCACATAACATCATCAGCACACAGTTTGTGTATAATATAATGCAATATATGAACCGACAGTACAAGACAATAGTCCATATAGCTTATGCCACCATTGATCTCCGCACATATAACATATATAATCCTTTCTCTGTCCGCCAAAATTATATAACTATTTATTTTTTGTCGTCTCCTAAACTTATGTTCAATCAATTTATAGTAAACAATTTTATCCACTCACAATTTTATTACCTTTATTTTACAATAATACCTTCACTTTACTTTACAATCTCCACTTTAACAATTAAAATATCATTATTTCTTAATCTTTGTACCAACTAAACTTACAGAATTTTACTGGACCGAGGGTGTATATAACTTAAAAGACATGCTAATGATCTACGCAACATATGCTTTAATAATGTGTTGTATATATATCATTACCATTTATTGATTAGCTTCAATCAGCGTTATAACCAGCCAACGTAAAAAAAATATATAAACCGTGGTTGTTTATCGGCCTACAGTTGTGCCTTGTATAATCTCAACTAATCACGTGTAATAAATACAGGAATATTATTTCTTCACACAAAAGAAAGGAGGATCAGCCACGAAAATCAAGATGGTGAAGAAAGCGTGTAAGCAAGCAGTACTAAGTTTGTTAGAAATTCAGAACAGTTATAACAGAAAGGGAAAAAATACCTGGAAACCTTTGCTTGCAAGAAATTGCTTGAAATCTGCCATTTTTATATCGCCCACCAAAACTGTTTTATGTGGCGGAGCAGAGGCGGAGAGAGGAAGCAAAGACAATGTACCGTTATTTGTCTTTCCCACTTCGGCGTCAACCCATGCTATCTCATAATCGCCAAGCTGTATCAAGAAACTTGCACAGGTTAGACGGAAGGATATATTATACATTTTGAATGTAAAAATACATTCGTCCCCAGTACCTTCTTGAACAGAACATTGCTCATTAATTTCTCAGAAAGTTGAACCTACCAGAAGATGAAAAGAATCTCAGACCAAGAAATGTTAGGGTGAATAGTCATACCAGAAATAATGTAGTCCCATGGGAGCTTTTGAATTATTTCAAGAAACTTACTTTGTAAGCACATAAATCAGAAGTGACATCGATTGATTCTTCAATTTGAGGAGCATAAACATGCTGACAGACGGATTTTAGACAGTGTTGCTTCAAATGTTCGGTTGCTTCTGCAGATCCGTGCACCAAGACCTACAAGACAGAAGCCAACACAAAATTAAACTTTCTACGAAAGCGGTAGACAATTTATAAACATTGAAGTAAGAAGACATTATTGAATATTACCAAAAGAATTACAAACAGCAGATTATTCAACATAGTGTCTATAGAGCTATTTTCCCAAATGAACTACGAGCATATATGCTATGTCCATCATACAGCCATTGTGTTTGTATTTATACCGTATTTTATTTCTAACATGACAACAAATTGACAGCATGTAGAATGAAATCCTGAGATAACAAAGCTATATAGATATAACATGTAAGATCGAAGTCTTCATAAATACAAGTACAAAACCATATTAACGTATCAAATGGTACGGAAAAGTCCTCACAAGTTTTAATGGGGAAACATGACCAAGAATCTTTTTGATTGAGCTGCCATCAGAGCGGCCTTCAAAGTCCATATAAAGCAGTGAGCACTTGACATAGACCTGCATTTGACAGAAGAAATCAATGAAGGACAGAGAAATCATACCAAAAATATACAACACTCCGACGATCAAGAAAAAAAAAAAAAAAACTAACTGCAATGAAAGGACAACCAATTAAGTAATACAAGAAACCTAAGGAACTTGGTTTAGAACCTCAGACTCATGTTTTGAGCTGAAACTTAATATCAGGTAACAGTTAATAAAATCCAAGGCAGCGTACCAAAAAGGTTTTGTTGGCAGTGAAAGACAAGCTGACATTTAGGTCTTGACACAACAAAGATTATTAGATTCATTTATATAACAAGAGTTAAAGAAAAATTTTGACATACTGTTTGTTCTGAAGACACTACTTTCGACGGTGTTGTATCAAGTAGCAAGCTTGCTGATGCTTCATCAAGCTTTCCATTCAGGTCACCATCAACCTACACATGCAATTGTGAAATACATATTATAGTTATCTTATTAAAGATAAAAGTAAAAAGAAAAATAAAAAATAAAGGAAAGGTAACTGATTAAGGCACTAAGATCACAAATGGCATAATATACCACAGACAAACATTCCGGTCTGCCTTCTTTGTTTGGATTGCCCAATTAAAAAATATATTCATTTTTCTTTTAATCTATGCTTCTTTACGAAATTTCAACTTTCTTATTAATCTTAATATGTTGTTCCGTAGAATATATCAATGAACTCAAATAAAACATCCACTTCCATGTTCTCAGTTCCATCCCCCAATCCCACAATATAATGAGTACATATCTTAGATGTAACCTTTCAGGCCGCGACAAGCAGTAAGCCGTAGCCCTCAATCATACTCCATTTTTCCTCAACACAACAAACCATAGAACCATATTACAAGGAGTTTGATCGCTGCTGGCGTAATTTGAACGAGCATACAAAATCTCCATTTCAATTTGGGTACACCAGTTAATACCATCATAATCATAGTCCTATTGTTGAATCACTACTTTCTTCCAGAAATTCTTTCTATTGTCACGAATTAAAAAAATCCAATTTGTCATCACATATATCAGTTATATTTAGAGGCGTTTCTGGATAAGGGTTTACAAAAGACAGGGACAAAGTATACAGAAGAAACTCACCAGTGTTGATAACTGGTCCATATCTTCATCCTTGATAGTGTACTCATCGGGGTCGATCACCTCACCAAAATCATCCCATTCAGATGACTTGTCATAAAAGGGGAACATAGGCCCAGCACAATTTGGGGGAGGAACAAATCCATCAATCAGCACATCTCTGAATGCTCCGGATTGCAAACTAGCAGCTACAAGTAGACAGACTTAGATTAAACATGTATTGCATACACAAATGATATATCACTCTGTAGGAAGCTATGATTCACAGTACAAAACAAATGAATTAATATCACATTCGTAATTTTTGTTATTTTCTTTTTTCAAGAAAAAGGGGGTATAGGAAAACTGTGCATGCATTAAAAATGCAATCAAGTTTAAGAGTGTTACAGCACTTGCCAATGCAAAGAATTTCAAAAGACTTAAAGCAGATCACATAGAAATGAACTGCCCTGGTACAAACTTCAACAATGAGCAAGATTTCAATGAACAAAGTCTGCCAACACCTGTATATCTGTATATACTACCTCTTGAATAAAATTGAATTTATAATTATAATAACAGATGGGGCAAGAAGTTTGCATAAAGCATCCAATAATATGCACCACAAATGCACAAATCAACATAGACTACCAGGGCGTGCACTTGGCTGAGGGAATAGGATAGATGAGCATGCCAATCTTCATGTGGTAGACTAGGCACCATTTATAAGCTTTTAACATAAATGATAAATAGGTTTTCCAAATGAAGTTTTTACTCTAACAAGAAATCAACCATAACAGAGAGATGGAAAGAACATCATCAAGCACATAAAAATCACCAAAAAAGAGTCAAAGGTAAAGAATTACTCGATAGCAAGAGTGTAAGAATACCATTAGATGATGGTTGTTTCTTAGTAGTGTCCACGTCCATAGGGTCTCCTGCTCCAAGTTCTGCATCCAAAGTTGGCTTTGATTCCTCTTCTTTGATGAGAGCAGCTTTAAGAGCTTCTTCCTTTCTTTTTCGATTTTGTTCTTCTTCATAAGCAGCCAACTCCTCTCCAACTAAGGGAACTCTCTTTGACATCGTAACTTTAACAGCTTTAGGAGGAGGATCTGCCTGGAGCATTCGTGCCAGTGTGGCAAACTGCAACGAAAAGAAAATAGAACAGATAAATAAAAGTAAATTTAGGAATTGGAAAATGAAGTACAAGTTTTTTTATTGGGGAAAATAACACCATTGAAAAATGAATACATAATAAAATAGCATGAATTCTAGGGAAACATATTGGACCTAAAATGCATCTGATGGAAAAAGTATTAGGAAACAAATACTGAGTTTCTTCGATGATACTCAAGGTTCAAGATATAATTGCTCTGCATGATCATGTGAGCTTCATATTGCAAAATCTACAAAGAAAAGCATCATAATTGCTGCATAATATAAATATTAAATCTCATGTCAAACCTGGCCTCTCTCAGTAAAGAGTACAAGATTCTTTGAGTCTGCCGCCCATTCAACAAAAATATCATGAGAAAATCCAACCTCTAAACTTCCCATGGATGATAAGACTATCTGATACAAGATCAAACACAATCATGAATAAAAGATAATAATAATAAAAGAATTATATCAACAAACAAGCTTATAAAGTAAGCAGTAACCCAAACCTTTGGACCATCAGGGACCTTTTCAAGCTCAGCCTTGTTGACTAAAAGTGTTACATGTCTGCAAAATTTGCATCACATGATCAATGAGAACTGTTCAAAAGATTTCCGATAACTTTTATTTGAAGAAACACATTACAAAAGATATCTATTTCATAAGCAAAACTTACACAGAATAATATTAATTTTTATCGTTAAAATGATACAAGTTTACTGAACAGGTTTCCAAGTGAATCAGATCCTGTTCAAAGACATAAGAACAGTGGGGATATGAAAGGGTGTAGCTGAGCTAGTGGCATTATTTCATCCAATGTTATTTCATTCAATGGTAATGTGTTGATATCTTTGTGTATTTTATCACAGCATCCTTCATGTAACTATGCATAATTGCAAATCACTGGAATGAATAAACTAAAGCTGACAAGGATATACATCTTACTTCAAAAGAAAAGCATTGTCTCTGGTGTGCTCAAAGGATTTTGCTATTGAGTCGCTCATCCACTCAAGAAAACTTTTAGCATAATCAATTGTGCTTGATGAAACATATGTCAGGAAGAAGATAGGATATGTTAAGTTGCTCTGCTCCCAGTACTGCAATGTATATTTGATATAGACATTAGTAGCAGATAGACACACCCAAGGGAAAATAGTTACAAAGTCCAATCACCTGTTCCAGAATTAAAAGTATCTCCAATACTCGACCAGCAGTATCTACAGGAAGTAATACTTTTCCATCTGCTCTCAACGTCTTCACTATGACATCTAGTATGCAAAAGTGTAAGGAAGAAGATAGTTCATATCGATCAATAATTCCACAGATTCTATAGAACATTAAGTGGATGTGGATTCCATGGAGAAAAAAGATAGTGAAGATTGAATTGTTTCAAACAATTTACTCCCTCAGTTCAGAATGTTATGTATCCATTTAATTTTTGTAAATGGATTAAAGAATATTAGTATTTTATATGTGATGGATAGTGTATAAAAATATATTGACAAAAATGCCCTCAAAAGTACAATAAATAAAGAGTAGTGTAGTTGTAATTTTAGGTGAAATTTAAGGGTGTTTTATTAGTGTGTGGAGAGTCTGGAGACCATAGCTACTACATTAGTAATGAATACATTGATTGTAGAAGTGAGGCATGACCAACACTTGAAATTATTATAATTAATTTGAAATCTCTCTGATCAAAAAAATAAATAAACAAATAATTTGAAAACTCTCTGTAACACTTGATCTGGACAGTTGCAAAGCGCAAAAATGGAATTTCATAGTAACAGTAATATTCGGCTTAGTACATGGTAATTATTACCTAAGAATTGCTGGTCCTTTTGACGCCTCGGAGGTTGATTACTCAGCAAAGCATTGAACGAATCTGTTATTAAAACAGCAGGGCGCACAAAAGACTCTAAAACTGTCCCATTCAAATGCCTGGTGGAAAAAACAGTGAAATTAGTTAATTCTCCTTATGTATTACAATCCCGAGTAGAACAAAAATAATTATCATCAGAAAGAGCAACCTTTCCTTCCGATGATTGAAGTCAACAGCATATATAACATCCTCCCCATCTTTTGTGATCTTCCAAACTGTCCCCCCTAAAAGGTGACCAGCTGCATGGGGAGCAATAACAATTCCTTCTCCTTTCCCTAATGTAGGTATATGAATGGAACAATATGAGATTGATACAATAGAATCATTATTGATAATCATGTATAAGATATTAAGATGCATTCATAGAATAGGACAGAATCATAATTTCAAATCATGGAGTAACACCCACAAAACTCGTGTGCAAGGAGCGACATTAATTATCTTTTATATTCCTAATAATCACATTATTTGCAGATGCACTTCAAAGTAATACATGAAACTGGAAAAAAGCAATATCAGTTGAGAATCAACCTAATTATATGAAATTAGAGGTTCAACAGAAATATCAGAAACAATAATCCAACACACATATATAAATTATAATAATTTGAAAAAATAAAACACGAATCCTCCGCTGCATTTATATCTCCCCAAGAAAAGATAATACTATAGATACACACACATATATATACTCTATACACAAAGTGCACAAACTATAAGAAGCTTACAATGATAAAACAATAATTGTAAGTAATAGATCAACATAAATGACACGAAATATTCAATATTTCTTAAATCATTAAACTAAGCAATATAAACTCACCAGACATATAATAATTTTGAGAGTAAGTCAATCTGGTCATGTTTTGAAATGCAGAATCAATATCATCCAGTGTAAACAAATCAAACTCTGACACTTGCTGCAAAGAATTAGATAATATTTCTTAATATACATGTATATATATTCCTTGAACATATGACACTTTTAGGAAACAAGTGATGTAAAAAATGGAAAACCAGTTACAGACTTCCATATAGAATGAGATTATAGAAAAGCTTTAATGTGCATTCCATGTACTTGGTTCATGCAAGTGGGAGTGAACAATGTCAACTCCGGGTGTCATGCTGGAGCTAAACAAACATCAGGTATCAAAAGGGATAGACCTGAGTAATAAAAGAAAGTTGGGAAACAAGAGAAATACTTTTACATGCGAGAACGTTTGTATATCTAAGTTCCATAACAATATTACAAGTCTGCTTACACAGTGCAGCTTTAACTTCAGCTTTATTCTTATTTCAGATCAACTCACCAAGAAAGGTAAGGCCTTTGCCTTTCCCTCCTCATAAGACATTGACAAGATCATATATACTAAGCAACTATATTAATACAGAAAAGTAAGGACAATACTACCATGTGCAATATATGAGAAGGAAAACATCCATCAAAAAGTTTAAATATTTTAAAATTTCCTGCATAATATATTCTAAATTTAAGTAAAAGAGCACGGAGCCAAAGTTGATCCTACTAACACCCCAATACATGAGTGGACTTAGTTCCAAAATGAAATTACTGCCCTCTAGTCAAACCAAGGATCAGCAGCCAGTAAATTAAGCAGCATTCAAAGCAACAAATTCGTGGGATAGCCTAAATACCAAAACGAAGATCAACCAGGCTCGATCATATCAAACTCTGACAAATAAAATTCACCTTTCGCGACAGATAGTGATCATACATGGTCAGGAGTCCCAATCTGAACACAGGCTCAGTTGCAAACACAGGGGCACTTAGACCAAGCTGCTTCATGGCATATGGTAAAGCACCAAGGTGCAGCGTGTCGGGGTGTGATAGCAAAACAGCATCAACAGTTGAAGCTACCCTAATTTCCAGAAAAGAGAAAAAAAAAAAAAAAAAAAAGAAGATATCTCATCATATACATGGGAATTCGTGATGCCAGAAAATTAATTCAGAAGCACGGAACTACTTTGAAAGAGAAATCTTAAATGGGTAACCCATAAGCTCCTTAACTGGGTAAAAATATCCTTCCAGAAGTGCATTCTCCATCCTTTCCAAACCTCAGAACTTAAACAAAATCTTATCCAGATACATCTATGGTTTCAAACATAATTTTAACTGTTGAAACAAACTAATTCTCAAAATTTCCTCTTTTTCAAATGCACCTCCACTAGGAAACCAGAAGTTCTTTAATTCCATAAACCAAAAAATCAGTACACCAAAACTTAACAAAAATCTCTCAAACTTTTCCATAAGCTGGACGAAATACGACACCTACAACTATTAACAGGAATAAATTATCATTTATACTTCATACTTCAGCTGAACAGCCAAAATCAATATTCCGAACATATTTCAGCCCTAATCAACACCAATACTAACTATTCAGCAAATACAATTCCAATACAATAATTAACCCTAGTCGCGGTGGTAAACTATAATTTTGACGTAACAGCAGCAAGCACTCTACTCAATCTACAGTTCTTCCTACTTCAAAATCAAAATGCTTGCAATTCACTATAAGAAAATTAATAATCAACGAAGTATGATTCCGAATACCTGGAGAGTGGCTCGAGCAAGGAAGCATCGAAATGGTCGTTCCAACCGCAGTCGATGAGGAAATTGAAACTGTCGACTGAGACCAAGTAGGAAAGTGGATTCTCGTTGTACACTCCACAGAGCGGCGTCACTTGCACCGAAGTCCCCATTCTCAGCCTCCCTTCACCTTCTTCGCTCCTCAATTCACTTTCCTCAGTGACCTGTGAAAATTGCCGCAGGGTTTTAGAAATAGAACCCCAATTTGGGATTGTCCATTCGGTTTCGAACCGGCCGTCTGAACCGCCGGTTCTCCCATTTCAAATAGGTGGTTTCGGTTCCTAAATTTCCGAACCGGAAGTTGTCGGTTCGAACCGCCGTTCACCATTTTTATTTTTAAAAAGATAATATGGAAGAGAAATATCAAATATAATCTCATTAAAAAAACTAATTAATCAATATTGGTCCTAATAAAAATAATTTTAATTAATTTTGATTCTGATTTGCCATCCTAACCATACGTTGATTTTCTACCCAATTTTGGGATGGAAGGAAAGAGTATTTTTTATAAATATTACTTTAAAATTATAAATATTATTAACCATAACAAAAATAATAAAATACCATTAATAAAAGATAGTATTAATTATGTTGGGCCGAACTAAATATTTTTTTATAATATTAGTTAAAAAAATACACCCAGTACTTTTTTATCCTTTTCTTCAAAATATTTTTTTATTTTAATAAAATAATTATATATTAAAAAGATAAATTATATAACACAGTAAAAATACAAAAAATACATGTAAAGTTTAAGCTAAATAAAAAGAGCAAAATATATCAAATTATAAAAATAAACGATTTCATGCAAATTTTCCATAACAAAATATATCAAATTATAAAAATAAACGATTTCATGCAAATTTTCCATTAACATAAGAAATTTTGCTCAATAAATAAAACGCAGAATATTTTGTGCATTTTAGTAAAACACAATAATCTATTATATAATTTACCCCATATTAAAATCAAACAAATATCAAAACTTGTTATCACATTTTTATTGATTTTTATATAAATTACAAATATATTATTTTATTCTGCTTAGAGTATCAATTAATTTGTTGGAATATTAACTATTCCAATATACTCCATTTAAAATAGCAATCCCAAACGAACATCCACCGTAAAGTTAATTTATTTATATAATGCCCAGGTAACAGCAACACTAACAAGCACCAACATGCGAAATGGCAACAATTATCAGAAAAAATATGTATAAGTTCGGGATTATAATTTCCAATAAAAACTTAAGGAAGTACATTCAAACTTTTAAGATAAAAATACGTTCTGATAATTCACTACGAAAAACAGAAGCCAGTGTTGTGTAATTCACTTCACTTCTTCTTCTCGCCGCCACCGGCAGCCCTGCGCAAATCATCGAACTCATCAGCAATACAATCGAACTGATTGTAGCAATTTGAAAGGAAATATATAATTGAGATTTTATGTCATGTCTTGTGAGAAGAAAAACCATAAAAATAAAATTTTCGATGTGATGTTTTTTTTGTTGAAAAAATTACGATGAATAAATAGTAAACTCACCTCATCTTGCGGAGTGCGCTCGACATCTCCTCTCTCTTCTTCTTCGCCCTCTTGTGTGTGCCCAATTTTCTCTTGGCTACCTTTAGCGCACGCTTGTCCTTCCCAACTTTCAGAAGTTCGGTGATCCTCTTCTCATAAGGTGCGAACCCGGCGACTTCTCTGATAAGGCTTCTTACGAAATGAACTCTCTTGCTTGTTTTCTGTATGACAAAAAAATAAATAAGCCACAGTTTATGAAAAGTAGAATTCCCATCGTTCTTAATTCATTTACATATAACTAACTAAAAAGAATCTCTGCAAATTACTAAACCCAAAAAAGAAAAAGATTATCAAGCTCGGCAGCGGTAGATTTTGATTAGCAGGCACTATAGTGTAGTCCATAAGAAGATACAATAGCTTGACACAATGGATTACTTTGTGCACTCAAATAGTGATCATATACCTTCCGATCAAAAAATAATAATGATAATGATCATTTACCATTGTTGATATATATTTTAATTTTAGATTTAGTAGTTACTATCACTGCTACAGAAATTTGCTATTTTTATTTAGCAAAATTATCCATAACTCTCCCGTAGTTTCAAAACTCGCCGTATAAAGCCTTATATTTTAAAAATTGCATAACGCACCTTATACATCTAGAAACGTTGCATAAAATCCCTTTTTACATTTTTTGTGTAATGAGAAGATTTTTAATCTATATTTTTTGCATGGCAGAGGGTTTCATGCAACGTTTTTTAAATTATAAGAGAGTCTTATGCAATATTTAAAATACAAGCAAGATTTACGCTGAATTTCGAAACCAAAAAGGAGTCATAGACAATTTTGCTTTTTTATTATTTTAGTTTGTCTACAATAAATATACTATATTTAGTAGATAAAAACTTATTCCTTTACAGTTCTACCCCACTATTTTTTCCGTATTTACACCATTGCCGCTAACAACACACCTAATTCAAAATTTACATAACTAACCCTATAAAAACTCTAATTTTACATTTACGAAAGGCATTAAAACAGCATTACAAATTTTTTTAATCTCCGTGCCTAAAAATTTTGAACACAATTTAAGAAACAAATGGAGTATTATTTAGAGATATTGAATAAATTAGGATGTTATTACTTTAAACACATAACACATAATCGAAGCCTATGCGTATACAAACTTCAAATAAAACCAAAAGTTTTACTCAACGACCTTGACGAGACAAGTTGCAATTTTTTTACCAGACAGCAAGTAGCGAATTTCATTAAACAAGCTGAAACACTAAATCATCTAATAAGACAAAACTCCTTAAAATTCAGCTAACAATAGCCATTAAAGAGAACATTTACCCCTTTCCTATCCGATGGACGCGGAGCCAGCTCCTTTGGTGTTACCACATGCCCTTTCTTCAACCCCACAAATAGCCCACTGTTTGGCTGCTTTGGAGCCATACCTAAATTGCAGCCAACAAACGAAAACACAAATGCTTCATACCTCATCACAAATCTTCAGAAATAAAGAAAGTTTTTGTTTGTGATTTATATATTGACATCCAAAATCTACTTTACGTTCAAAAATCTTCCAATCAAAACCACCACAGAACAATCGGCGCCACACAAAAAATAAATAAAAACAAAAATTGCTGTAGATCTCTCAAGCACCATTAAATCAAATAAATAAAGCCATTTTCCACTAATCGTTCGATCTTCACATGAACAAAATATATACATAACATGAATCAACGATCGAATGTAAGCTCATTGTTAGAAAAGTTGTTAATGATTACTGTGGAAAAAACACAAACACATACAACTTTTAAGTAATAATCATACGCAAAGAAGCGCAAATTGAAACAGGTTACGAATACAAACCTTCCTCTCCAAATCTGGTTACAACTCTCTGCAAAATCTGAAAAGGGCGTGTGAGGGAAGGAAAACTAGGGTTTATAGAACGCTCTTATATGTAGTGGTTGAGGACAAAGATTGGGCTTTTCAAACTTGGATCGGACGGTCCATATTGGGCTTTTCAAGTTTTGATCGGACGGCCCATATTGGGCTTATTAAGCTTGGATCCAGGGCCCATATTTCAAGTTTGGATCGGACGGCTCATATTGGGCTTTCAAGTTTAGATCAGACGGCCCATATTGAGCTTATATCTTGGATCGAACGGCCCATATTGGGCTGAATAATTAGCCCAACAAATCTGTCCAATCATTGTTTCTGTATTTACTGACTGTATCTTCTTCCAGATGTGAATCTGCGCAGCCATTGGTGAGTTGTTGACTAGCGTGCTGCAGGCTATGGCTGTGCATAGCGCGATTTTCCTTTAAGTTTAATGGACCAAATCTGTCGCTATAATTGTTATATTCCATTATCGTCTCTTTCAGTGGACAACTGTATTGAGGATGATCGGATGGCGATTTCATGTTCTTTGGTAGGATTCTGTTCGTTCTGGAAAAGCGCCATTAATCGCCATTAATGCTCCTCCCGCCATGAAAATTGATACGCGAGAGCTGCTTTGATGATTGGTAGATTTTGAGATTCAGTCATTTACTACTATTGCGGTTTCCTTATTATTTATTTTTTTTCGTGGAATTTTGGCTCGGATTTGAACTCGATTATCAGAAATGGAAGTGGTTGAAATCCTGCGATAATTTGTTAAGGATTTTGGTTTCGTTCCGCTTTACCTGTTTGATCCCTTGCTTCTGATGTCTGTTTGAAATAGCTGTTTCTCTCCAATTGAATTGAATCAGTTTTGTGATCTTCGAAGAAATTCCGATTCGATAACGTATCACTCATCGGATGTCGTTCCATTTTCAAATGCTCCTCCTACTCGGAATTTCATTCGATTTACCTGTTTTATCTACTGCTTTTGATATCTGTAGAACATTGTTGTTTCACTCCAATTGATTTTGAATCAGCTTTATGATCTGAGAAAAAATACCGATTCGGTACCTTAATTCTCATCGAATGTCATTCCATTTAGAAAAGCTCCTACTACTCGGAATTTCATTCGATTTACCTGTTTGATCTGTTGCTTCTGATGTCTGTAGAAGATTGCTGTTTCTCCCCAATTTGATTTGAATCAGTTTTGTGATCTTATAAGAACTTCCTATTTGATTTGAATCAGTTTCTCTCTAAATGCTGCTGATGAATCCAAACCCCAAGCTTAGCTGTTAGTCCAGATTTCGAAAATGTCGATTCTCTGTGGATTGCCGATACTCGAGTGTGTATACTGCCTCGGCTGCGCTCGGTGGGCATGGAAGAGGTGCCTACACAATGCAGGCCACGACAGCGAGTCATGGCCGTTAGCCACAGCCGAGGAATTCGAACCAGTGCCTCGACTCTGTCGATACATCTTAGCCGTATACGAGGATGATCTTCGAAATCCTCAATGGGAGCCTCCACGAGGATATGGCATCGATCCGGACTGCTTACTCACGAAAAGGACGTATAAGGATACGCAAGGGAAAGTGCCACCATACTTGATATTCCTTGATCACAAAAACGGCGATATAGTTCTTGCCATAAGAGGACTAAATATGGCGAAGGAGGGCGACTACGCGCTTTTGCTCGATAATAAGCTTGGGAAGAGGAAATTCGACGGGGGATATGTTCACAACGGGCTGTTGAAAGCCGCGGGGTGCATTTTGAACGCAGAATGCGACGTTTTGAAGGAGCTAGTCGAGAAGTATCCCGTCTACACGCTGACGTTTGCAGGGCATTCTTTAGGGTCGGGCGTTGCAGCCTTGCTGACGATCGTCGTAGTGCAGAACCGCGACAGGCTCGCGAATATCGACAGGAAGAGGATCAGGTGCTACGCGATCGCGCCAGCGAGATGCATGTCGCTTAATCTCGCAGTCAGATACGCAGACATCATCAATTCCGTTGTTCTTCAGGCAAGTTTTGTAAGATTCGTGTTTCATTTATAGCGTAATGTCGATGAAAACGTTTGAAACATCGTCGTTTGTTGTAACAGGACGATTTCTTGCCTCGAACAGCGACGCCGTTGGAAGACATCTTCAAGTCGATATTCTGGTAAAATAAAAAATATTCCCTCCGTCCGTCTCTAAGGGTTATATTTACCTTTTGCGTCATTGTATTTAACATTAAAATCACTTTTCCTTACTTGTACTATGTTTTAATATAATAATTAATATTTAAATATCACCACGTAAAAAATAAATATGACCTTTAGAATTGGACGAATTTAGTAAAATAAAATTGATCTCGATTCAACTCAATGTCTCTATTTACTTACAAGTGTTTCTATATTCAAAATTGTTATTTGATCAGTTTACCGTGCTTACTATGCCTGAGATGCACGAGGGATACGTGCATATCGGAGGCGAGGATGCTCAAAGATCCGAGAAGGTTGTACGCGCCCGGTCGCCTATACCACATTGTTGAGAGAAAACCTTTTAGGTCGGCGAATTTTGCACACTAGTATGATATCTTCCATTCCATCATATGGTTAAAAGAGTTATAAATGTCTATTCTTTTGAATGTAGATGCAAACGATACCCTCCGGTTGTGAAGACCGCGGTGCCCGTGGACGGAAGATTCGAACACATTGTACTCTCTTGCAACGCGACATCCGACCATGCTATTATATCGATAGAGAACGAATCCATAAAGGCCTTGGAAGTAAGCATATTTTTACGTACCTTTTTAAAACTTTTGATGCTATTCATCAATAATTATTTGTTTAAAAAAATATCACATTAAATACTTTTGTTTTGCTCATACAAAATACCAAATCAAATAGTTATTTTTTTATCATTTCTAAAACTTTTCAAAGTTTCAAACTCCCAAAACTTCATCATTTTTTTTGAAATTTTGGTATTACAAAAATCATAGCATCCAATATATTATTTCTCTTGCACCGTATCTTATCGAATATTTAATATTTTTTTATTTCTAAAAATTCTTACACTTCCAAAAACTTCTTCATTAGTTTCTCTTATGTTTACGTAGATATTTTTAAATTTTTTTGAACAATTAATGCTTAAGGTCGTTTGGATAGGTATATGAAAAATGATTTTGCTTATGCTAAAAACACTTTCAACTCTATTACATATCCAAATTTTTTTTTATTATGATTCAAAATATAAACACAAATTTTTTATTTCTACTTTTGACTTCTGCATATTTTTTAAATCAATCCAAACAGACTCTTAATTTTTTTTCTTCAACATACAGTTGATGCGGGATGTGGACAATGCGTTAGAAATTCCTCAGAAGCAGAAAATGGAAAGGCAGGAAACGATTGCGGAAGAGCACCGGGAGGAGCACAACGCGGCGCTGCGCAGAGCCGTTAGTCTATCGGTCCCCCATGCATTCTCGCCTGCTCAATACGGAACGTTCAATGAGAAAGACGATAAAGAATCCGAGGAGGCGGAGGAGGAGGAGGAGGAGGAGAAGGGTGATTCTTCTTCGAGGAGAAAGAGAAGACCTAGAGAAAATTGGGAAGAACTGATCGAACGCCTCTTCGAGAGAGACGAAAAAGGGCAGAGAGTGGTCAAGAAGAACCTCCATGAATATTGAGAATATACATTTCATTTGGCAAGGTGCGTATCTATGATTCTATCTATCTTTTGTTGTCCCGTTCTTGCCTTGTGGATCTTTTGTTGTCCCATAAGGGATAATCTTGGTTGTGTGAGGAGTGAATTTGAGTCGATGAAGTCATAGGTTTAAACTTTTACCTCTAATATTGGTTGTGTGGAGAGTGAATTTGAGACAATGAGATCATAGATTTAAACTCTGACGCCTAATATGACTAATTTGCAAATATTAGGTCTCGTTGGACTGCAGATTTAAACTCTGACGCCTAATATGACTAATTTGCAAATATTAGATCTCGTTGGACCGCAGATTCTCGTATTAAAAAATAATAATAAAAAAAAATAAATTGAATATTCTTAATCTATCTCTCTTCTTCATTTGTGAGAATCAAATGTGTTCTTTTGCGCACCTCATATGGAATATTTAACCTTTTTTTTTAAAATGGAATCTTTAGGGCCTCTTTGTTTTTCTTTTTTCTTTTTTTTTTTTTTTTACCAAATCTGCAAAGTCATGGAATCTTTAGCTTGGAGATTTTAAGTGGCACATTGTTTTGTGTTTTAATTTAAAAATAAAAATAAAAATAAATTGATGAATACGTAATATATTAATTTTCTTTTTAAACAAAAAGTTTATATGTCTCAATCAAGAGACACTTCACATACATTAGTACGTACCCATTTTTTAAGATTCCATTTCAATTTTCATCAACTTTAAGTTTAATATATATATGCACCATTTTTCATATGTTAATTATCTCCGTCCATTAAAATTAATTTATTTGGGTTCGGCATAAAAATGAAAAAATATATATTATTGAAAAAATGATTGGTATTTAAAGATATTTTTGAAAATTTAGTTAAAAAGTAAAATAAATGAAAAAAGAACATGTAATAAAGTTAATGGTATTAGTTGTAAATAAGTGTCGAATGAAGGTTAATAATTAAATGTTGATTTGTTGACCTTGTCAAAATTAGTAATGAGATAAATTTAGTAGACTAACTAAAAAGAAAAGTGAGAATAAATTTGACTGACGGAGAGAGTATTTGTTATGATGTATTGTATAATTTATTTTATCTCACATGTATAATGTGTTAACATGTCTCAAGAATTGAAATGATAATATATGTAAATATGTATTATTGTGATATGCTACAAAAAAAAAAAAAATATATGTGTTGTATTTATATTTTATTTATATGTATTATATATTTGTATTTGGCACATCCTATATATATATATATTTAATTGATGATGTCAGCTGAAAAGAATCCATAGGAGGTAGTGTTAAACAATAATAATAACAATAAGCTACCAAAATCCAAGGAAATAACATAATCATCAAGAAGTAAAGAAGCAGCAACGGATGGATGGTGCCGTGGAGATTGAACTTATGATCGTGAGGTCATGAATTCAAACCCCTGACACCTCAGGTTACTTGCTAACGATCAAATACCGATACCTCTATATATTTCACATAGGAGCAAAAAGCAACTTTGTTGTCCTCAAAGCACCAAAAGAAAGAAATCGAAAACCAACTCACATTTTATTGTAGATGCAATTTTGACATCACAAACAACATTCCCTGCAGACTAGGGAAAGAGAAGATAAAGAAGACGAGTTAAAAGGGCTCCAACATTGGGGCGAAACCTGCAAAAGCACTGGTTAGATTAGCTGTTTAACCTCAAATAGAAGAAGGGATCGATAGGTTTTCGCATAATATCAAACAACACAAGTTTAGGAATAGTTAAATGTTTTTGATCATGGTAAGTAGTGTTGGACATAATTTAGATATGCAAACCTAGTACAAATTATATATATATATATATATATTTTTCGACGATTCACAAGACAGAGATCCTCCTACCTTTTGATGAAAAAACTCAAACTCAAACACAAACTTAAGTGTCATGAACAACACAAATGCAAGAACAAAATTAAGCATCGAAACCCTAAATTAACACAGACTTCCCCAGATTCAGTTCACCAATTTGCTCATGAGTCATGGCTTCATCCACAACAGAAAATTATACAAGAAATATATATATATATATATATAAATATACAAGTGGTTAAAACATATAATTGCGAATTTAAAATAAGTCAAAATCTTCATAAAGTCATTCAAATCCTTCGATCCAGAACACATCTAACGTCGAAAGTCACAGAAACTAGTCAAACATTTCACTAAGACATGAATTGAGCAGTATAACAGGAGAGGCCATTCCCAAAACTCAACTAAAAATTTTACAGAATCGTCAATTTGAGGATTGATTGGAACCGTCGGGCTTCTTCTTAACGGAGCACGAGTTTCTGAAAGCCTCAATTTGCGAATGGCACTTTCTCTGATCGCCGTTATTCTCCTCCAAACACTTCTTCAGAGCCTCAACGTCACACGGAGACATTATCTTCCTCGCACTATCGTTTCCATTCTCGTTGCTTTCCCGATTCGCTTCCATGATCGGATCAATCCACCATGAAATTCCACAGTATTTGATGGATTTATCGACCTCTGGCGGTGGTTTTCAGAGTTCTAACCTCTCCCGGAAAGAAAAATATAAAAAAAACTAGGGAAATACTTAGGGCCCAAATTTAGGCCCAACGAACTTCTATAAATGTGTTCTTTAAAATTTTCAAATTAGGGCAAAAGTGCTAAAAAAAATTTAGCTCAATTTAATTTTTTTTATTTTACATAAAATAAAACCTCTGTTATACAAAAACTATAGATGAAAAATCATCTCTTTGAACTTGTGACCGATCATAGGTAATTTTATAAAAAATAAAAATAAAAATGTAAAAGAAGATTTGATAAGACATTAATTTTACATTGAACAAGATATAAAATAGATGCCCACATGATACTCCTCATAGTGCATTATTGAAACCTCTCCGGAATTTAGGTTTACTATTTTTCTCCATGATCCAATAATTTAAATATACATTTCTTTTTTAATTTTTTTTTTTTTTTTCAGACAAATGATTCGGTGATGACTATTACATACAATCTTGAAATATCATCTCCCTTTCATTTGAACTTGTCGAAAATCAGTATATTATATATATAAGTTAGCACATCCCCTACTCACCCTCACTTCACCCCTTCAGTACCCTTTCCATTTCAAGAAACCCAGTTCGCCGAATCGACATCGTCGCCGGAGATGTCTACGAGTGCCCGGAAGGGGGCGGTGTGCGGCTCGGGACGATTCGAAAACCAGCATCCCGACCGGGAAAGTAAAAACGACGGGGACGTGATCGTAGAGTGGGAAAAGAATGTCAGCACGATGATTGATCGAAACCTAGAGGCGATGCGACGGCAGCGGAGACAACGGCGGCAGATCGAAAGGCTGGTTGAGCTCGACAACGGGATCCCGGAGGAGCTGTTGAGATACTCGATCAGCCGAGAGCGTCGTCCCAAACTGCTTCCCGAGCGCGTCGTTGTCGTACGACGCGAGTTCCCGGAAGGCGTTCGATCCCGGGTGGACGCCTCGGAGAAGGTCGGGATCCCAGTAGGATATCGTGTTGGCACAGGGACTGCTGCACGGCCGCATTGGCGGGTTCGAGTTCCCAAAACAGTCGTGCGGCGGCATCAGTTGGCTGTGGAACGGGACGGCGCCGATGCCTCCGGTTAGTGGTGTGGAAGACCCAGATGTCGTGCGAGGGCTCGACATAGGCGACGGCGACATTCTCCCGCTCAGGTGTTGCGGCGATCTCGGATGTAGCAGAGGGCTCCCGACGGGAGAGACCGGACACGATATGTTTCTCGACATGTAAATGTCGCTGGAACAACAAATGATGCATTAATTTAACAATTTCATCGATTTCATCCAGGGAATTTATTCGATAAAATGCGAGGGAAAGAGATAACGAAACCTCGAATGAAAGTTCGATTTTGAGACTCGGGACGAGTGAATAGCGAGTCGCTCCGTATCCGGCTGCTGAGAAATTCTTGTGCTACCGACGCCCTGTAAATTATTACGAAGTAAAAACACGACCGGGAACTAGTATTACTAATCTGTTTTAAAAAAATTACGACGAACAATTTTCACAATCGGAGACGAGACTCAGCTTCAGAGTAATACTAAAACGGAATGGTTTTGATCTGAATTCAACCGAGCAGCCAAAATCAATCTAATGGCATTATTGTGTGAAAAAATTAAGTAAACGAAATGAGATAAAAAGGGGAAATTACCCCGGATTTGACGGCATTCAACACTGCCGGATGATCTGAAGGCGCATAACTCGGTAATTGTTTCTCCAAAGGCGCGGCGCTCTTAACGAAAGGATGCTCCAAAAGTTGAGCAGCCGTAGGACGCTGCAGGGGATTACGTTGCAAGCATAGTCGCACAAATTCCTTCCCTTCATCCGAGAGGTAATTTGGGATCGACGGGAGTTCCTTACTGTTTCCAATCTTGAACATAGCCGCAACCTTTAATTCCGACACAATCTATTAGATGCCAAAACAAGAACACAGAAAAAGAAAATCCATTACGAAAACAGAGGTCAGAATTCGAACCCCTTCATATTGGCTCCAAGGTGGTTTTGACGTAGCCATTTCTAAAACAGTGCATCCGAGACTCCATATATCGACTGCTAACGTACATCCATTCAAATTTCTTATAACCTACGTCACGATTAAAAAAGCAACTCGGTTATGGAGGAAGGAACAAGAACCGTATCGTAGAATAACTAAAACCAACTAACCTCAGGTGCCATCCAGTAAGGACTGCCCTTAAATGATAAGGGACAAGATTGCCCCGTAATCTACAAATCGATTAATTAAAAAGCTTGAATCAATAATCGGCGGCGAATATCCCTAAATACTACCATTTGAAAACATTCGCTAGGAAAATTAAATAAATAAAATGAACTTATTCGGACACTTACATGCTTTGCCATCCCAAAGTCGGCCAACTTAACACGACGACCGTTCGGGTCCACAAGTATATTGGCCCCTTTAATATCTCTGCCGCGTACAAGAAATATTCAGTTGGATTAGATATTCTCGTAAACAAATGCATGAATCGAACCAAAACTTTTGACAGAAAATCGAGCTAATCCGAGGGAGCATATTACCTGTGCACGGTATTTTTAGCATGTAAATATGCAAGCCCCGACAAAATCTGTTGAGTGTAGCTACGAATGGCTGATTCTCCTAGTTTTCCATATTCTTGGAGAATTTTATGGATGGAACCACCCGATACATATTCCAAATAGATATATAATTTATCGTCCACCTGGTAAAGGAAAATAAAGCAAGAAACTTAAGAGAAATGGTCGTCCACAGCTTAATGATCAACCTTTAAAAGTGTCGATAGGCATTAATATTATTCAGAAGATTTTTCAAGTATATCAATCATCCGATTTCTAGGCCAATAACATTTTAAATATGGGAATTTCTGAATAAGACAGGGCCGGAGCATGACTGACCGTTTCCGATCCATAGTACTGCACGACATTAGGATGCCTCAGCCGGCTCAATAGTGCAATCTCCTGCAAGTAACACAAATCACCAATTTTACATCCCGTAAAAATAAGCCCGCACGAATCTAAAGATTTTACGATGCTTACTTGTGCTAACTGTTTGGCACTCTCCTTCGACTTTGCATCATCAGCAAATAACGTGACCTCTTTCATGGCACACATTTCACCTGTTTCGCTAAAATCAGCACAACCAAACCGATTAATCAGGTATGAACTCCAAGAATAAACTGCTTGAAAATTATTCGGCACCAAGTTAACAGAAAAAAGAAAGATGTGCTAATAAGACCTGCGCACCTATTAAAACCAACATATACATGTCCAAATGTGCCCCGACCGAGTAACTTCCCTTTTTTCCAACGTGAACCAGGAGGACTCGGGAGATTCTCAGCTCTTCCAGGACTACGGGGCACTGAAGGTGAAGTTGCCGCCGAATTCTGATGAGAAAAGGGAGAGTTGGAAATCACTAGAGGAGGAAGGGGCAGTCGGTGACTCTGTTGCTTCGCGTCGTCAGGCCAGTTGCTCTGTGATTCCGAATGCACTCCTCCTGATCGAGGGTGAAGAGGTGTTACAGCACCACTGTGAATTCTTGAACTAGGGCCGGGACTCACCATTCTAGGACTAGGATTCGGGGAATATTCCGGGCTCCCCCTACTCGGCATCCAAAATAGCTGCCCGGACATATCTCCTCCCATTGAATTATGACCCGAAGTCTGCCCTGATCCTGGACTGGAGCATTGGCCAGATCCCAGAAGGGGAAAATCAGGATATATCTTTCCAGTAGTAAAAGCAGTATTTGTAACTTGCTCATAATAAGGAACTCTCATTGGACTTCTAGAAGGGCTTGACATTGAGCTATCGGGAGCACTGAAAAAGGCACCGTGCGGTGGAACCTGTAAATTAGGGACTTGGCCTTTCAATTGTCGTCTTCTAGGAGGTGAAGCCGATACATTTTTAGCGAAGGTGAGGTTAACGGATATCGGCGACTCCCTCGAGCTTACAGGCGCAACAGTGGATAGATCCTTCACAGAATTGCTTTGGGGAAAAATTAAATTAAGTTAGTAAAACCAGCTATTATAGAAAAATCGGAAACAAATTTGGAAACTAACCTTGATGAGATGTCTGCAGCTGCCCTACAGCCGTTATCGTGTTGCGAATCGATTGGATCGTCGCTGTCATCGGAACCTTCACTGAAGACTGAAGCAACGGCAGATTCGCTGTGCAGGTCGGTATGTTCTGGCCGGCAACGGATGCATGAAGGCCTGGAAAAGGGTCGGAACAACGATGATTTGGAAACTTTCTCTTGTTTCGGTTTCGCCGATTCGCTTATTCCGGAATCTGTACGGCTGACGTTGGCAGGGCGCCGGGTGGGAAGCGGAAGCGGTTGAGCTTGGGGTCTTTCGGCAAAACTCTGACATCGTGCAACATTTTTGGAAGGGGACGGAGACCTCGACTGGATTCGCGACTGAGAGCCTCTCTCAGAAACTGTGTCGCTCGTACGTCTCCTTAGAACTCCTGATCTACTAGAAGGTTTAGTTTCGGGACTTTTGAACTTTTTATGTATCGTGTCGATGAAACTCTCTTTGGCTGCTTTCGATTTTGCTTCCTTCGATGATGACTTCCCCCACCATGAAGGCATATTTTCAGAAGCTGAATATTCTCGAACAAGACTCAATCACGACGACAATGGATGCGCACATGAAAGCAAGCTAACTGCAAAAAAAAAAAAAAGTGTTGTTCATGTAAAATTATTCAAGATCTTCATAACACAAGCTCTGTTTGGAGGGACATTTTTTTTAAGAAAAAATCGCTATTCATCAATAGTAACTTTTTCAAGATACATAAATTTTTACGAGCATAAAACTTTTTATTTCAAAAATTTTTCAAACAAAGCCAAGCTCAAATCTTTTCCGAGATTCGCTCAACAATAAATAACAGCTAGTGTAACAAATCCTATATAATCCTTCAAATGCTCCATGTTTTCCATCTTTTTGCCATAGAAAAGGAAATGACAAGAAAACTCTCTCTCTCTCTTCTCTCTCTCACTCTATACATATATATGTGTGTGTTCATTCTACTCAAAACAAACATGATTTACTCAGAGAAATTGTGCTTTAAACAACAGATATGAAACATCAAAACTAATCTGATGCCATTGTTCTACAAGAGACGCAAAATAGCCAACAAATTCCTGCAACTTATTTTAATAGATTCCTTCTCCTGGCTTTAATTTTCCTAATTTTTCCCAATGCTCTTCTTCTTCTTCAACAAAACTATACTTTGTTCAAATAAGTGAATAAAAAGATACACATCTAACAGAAATATCCAAGATTTTCCCTACCGAAGCCATTGTTAGTGAATCATGCCAAACTTCAGAATCTTCAAATTTCCAGAGCCAGCAAAATTAAATACTAAAAATCACAGCACAATCACAATCACAGGTCCTAAAATCTCTAATTTTTCCCTTCAAAAATACCAATAAACAAGCACGAGTGAACTTCAAGTAACCAAGCACAAAAAATACTTCAAAGTAACTTACACAACAGATCTAAAAGCACTCCCCCAAATTCCACTCCCAAAAAGGGTCAAACTTCCCAAAATGCAAGTGATTAGACTGAAAAACTTACTCAGAATCTCGCCTCAACTCCTCAGCTTCTCAAAATTCCACCAAACATACCCAACCACCCATTTGTTCCGCAGAATCTCCCCCAAATTGACGCGCTCGGTGCTCGACAAAATGCCCTGCACACAAATGCTTAAAAACTACGCCGTAATCATCCAACCACGCGTCCGTGCTCGCGATTGTGCATCCAAATTCAGATTATCTGTCGAACAAGATCGCGTAGATGCGCCGAGATAGAGAAAGAGAGAGAGACAGACAGAGACAGAGAGCAGAAATGGAGAGATGTCTGAGTGAAGAATTTAATAATAGCAGCAATTATTGTAATTATTATTTCATTAAAGAAAAAGTGGCACTGATTTAATATCAATTTAGTGGAATAATAATAATAATAATAACTAAATAAATAAATAAATAATACACCTATTAATAATAATAATAATAATACTTTTAAATAATAAATTTAATTCAACCAATTTACTGTATATGTAAAAAAAAAAAAATTATAAAGTGTATCTTTTATTCTTTTAGCTATATTTAATTTGGAAGTTTGATTTTTTTTTTATTAAAATACTCTACCCTCCATCCAAATATATTTTTATTTACCTTTTTCATTCAAATTTATTTTAATTTTTTTTAAGTAAAAAATATTATATTTTTTTTACTTTTTATTTTATTCAAACAAAGTAAAAATTTTATTTTACGTATTTTTTTAAAACTTGTGTCTGATCAAATGAGCACATAATTGAACAAGGATGAAGTAAAATTTAATATGATATTATATAAATTAATAATTTTTAAAAATAATACTCCATCCGTTAGTTCAAATTTATCTCACTTTTCTTTTCGATTGTCATTGAAAAATATTTTCATTTTGTTTTAAGTAAAAAAATTATTCTATTTTTATACTTTTTTTATTATAAAAGAAAAATTAATAATTATTATTCACTTTTATTAAAATTCGTGTCCGGTCAAATGATCACACATTTAAACGACGGAGGGAGTAATAAATATGGACTTTAAATAGTAAAAAAGGTGGAAAAAAAAATCATAAAAGAATACATTCTTGGGCTTCATGTAGACATAAAAAATTTGAATTTTGAAAATCTTAAATAATAATAATAAAAAAAATTATTTACTGTTATATATTACAAGATAAAATAGATATTTAATTAGATGCGAACATAGCCTTGATTTCTTTCTTAGTATAAAATTGTCATTTAATTTTGACAATAAATAATAATTGGAGTAACATTGTACTATGAATTATATTCACATCTTTAATGATGTAAAAATTAAAGGTTGGTTTTTTTTTTTTTTTTTTGTCATTTAATTTGTCCGAAATGAACGTGAATGTTATTAAATTATATTCATTTATTGGTATTATTATTAAGGAATTGTGATTGGTAAATCGAAAAAAAATAATGATAATGAATTGGACAATCATGGGAAGTAAATATGAAGCTTTATATTATTAGTAATTCGTGTTATTCGATAATATTTCGATAGATGAATAAAATATTGTGTTTGTATATTATAATTACAATTAAATTAAAAATAGAATTTCTAATTAATAAATTGGATAATAAATATAAATGACCGAATTATTAGCTATGGTAATTATTAATAAATTATTCTATTATTATTATTATTATTATTAGCGGTAGCATATAATTGACGGGACCCCCAACCTGTTCTGCCTTTTGAGGTAAATTGCTATCCACTCCCTAACTTTAAAGATTCTAACAAACCAACCCCTCAGATATTACGAAAATGGACATCGGCCTTCCCAGCGGAATCGATTGACCGAATTATAAAATTACCAAAATAACCTTGTAATATACACTGTACTTGTTGTACATGATGAAATCTGGTAAAAGCGTGAAGAGGACAAACAATAATATTTGGAGATAATATATATATTATTTAAATAAATTTTAGTTATGACTATATTAAATATAAATTTAAATACAATAAGCAATTAAGAGTAATCGTCATATATCAACAAAAGATGAATGGGTTATGCTGAAATTCAGGAAAAGGGGGATGTATTTTAGCTACGTTACAAGCCAAGATGGGATAATACAGTGGCAAAGTCAGAATTTTAAAGTTTTTTTTTACATTAAAAAATTAGATATTCTTCATTATTTCGAACAAAAATGAAATAAAAATATTTATTTTAATGTACTTAATCAATATAAAAATATTAATTTGATAAGAATTAATCAAATTGAAACGGACAAATGCCTATATAATCGTAACGGCGAGAACGACGGCTCCTAACTTCTAAAGCTCCGACACTTGATGATAATAGTAATACTCTATGATAGTATGATACAATAAATCATAAATTTTAGTCATACTGCATATTGTATCCAATGGCAGATCTAGTCTCTTAAGTGAGTGTACAATTTAATAAATTATCATTATAATATATAAAAAATAAGTAAATTACAATTATCTCTTATGCTTAAAGCGTTCAATTGCATTATGATTTGTAGATAAAATTTATGAATATAATTTGTTTATAATTATTTAAATTAAAATAACATAAAATAAATAGTATATATAAAAAAAAACAAGGAATCCTATTACCCCACTTTGAATAAATGAATCCCACAAATATACTGTACCGAACCATTTGGTATACCTCGATATAAAAATTTGAAATAAAAAAATATATATACATATTTTTTAATAATAATAATAAACATAGTTCAAATAATAAAATTGAAGAGATAAAATTAAAAATAATAAATATGTATAATATATTAAATTTTTTTGAAAAATATTTTTTGAAATTTTGGAAAAAAGAAAAAAGCAAACAAACCCATAAAGTAAAAGAATAGAAAAGGATTGCTAAAATAAGTGCAACAAGTCGTTCAACATAACACAAGACAGAATATTACATAACACAGGTAAAGAGAGTAAAAGAAAATAAATTGCTTTGTTTCGATAATACACCTTTATGATTTCCGATATATAATTATGATCATAAATAACCCCTCTTAGTAAAAAAAGAATTCAAAATAAAATGTTCCTAAGGTATATATGTGTATATATATATATATATATATATATCGGAATCCTGTTTTTCGTCGAAGAAAAAGTTCTAGACAACATATACCATGTCGAAACCCAGAAAGAAAAGATGTATGGGATATAGAGGTACCTCTTTTGAGAGAGCATGCAGAAAGATTCATCTAGATTATTGGAGGATGTGATATATATACATGTCCGTCGTCGCCGCCGTCGTCATCGAGCTTCCGAGCGTAGCATCGGGAAGAAACTCCAGCTATTCCGCGGGCTTTCCTCGTTCGTCGCAGCTGTGTCATTAGTCCACCACTCGCATTCGACGCTCGATTTGTCGGTCCCCGATCCCTTTGCATTGTTAAAGTTGAAATCTTTACTCGAACCAAGCGATATGGTACGGCTCTTCTGATCTTCTTCTTCGGCATATGACGGGTTCGAGGGAAGTTCAGTAACATTTTCGTCGTTGAAGAGATCTTTAAGGTTGTCTGTGTTCGTAGTACCCGTAGGATTATCTTCCTTCGCATCTTGTCCCGATGCAACCTGTAGATTCCCGGCGAGGTTGTTAAGCGGAGGGATTGGCGCACTCACCGTGCACGTCGGGATGTCTTCGCCGAACAATTCGAACGAGACTCTATGCCCAACCACAGCATCGTCGGAGTTGACGAGCACTTTGACCTCAGAGATCTTGCCGTTTCGGGTTGGGATTTCAGCTTCTCCGCCGCCATTGGGCGTCAAGGTCCCGGAGCCCAACCTCGAAATCCCGCCGTTCGGCGTCAAAGCTCCCGAGCCGAGCCTCGAAACGCCACCATTCGGAGTCAAAGCTCCAGAACCGAATCTCGAAATTCCGTCGTTCGGCGTCAATGACCCGGAACCAACTCTCGAATCCCACTTATAGTTAGGAAAATGCTCGTATCCGATAATCGGGCGCTTGTCGGGGAATGGCGACGAGGTACCCGAAGTCGAAACCGCCGACCCCGGCGATCGAGCATGGCTGCCGGGGCTTCCCGGGTACTGATAAGGCTTGTACTCATATTGAGACAAGTATTTCATGCTCGTCCCGCCGCTCCTCCGGCTTCGAGCGAGTGAAGAAGACAAGAGCTCGGCGAATGGGACTTCCGGGGAAGAAGGTGTAGTCATCTGGTGCACGGGTTCGGGGGGTGGGGTGAAAGAAGCGGTCGACGGCTCCGTGGTGAAGGTAGAAAACACGGGTGGCGAAACTAACTGGGTTTCATGAGCATACGGGCCGATCGTAAAAATCGGCGCAGTCCCTCCGGGAGATTGGACATGAACGGAGAGGGACGCGAGGGAGAGTAAACCGGAAGGCGATTGAATGGACGACTGAGGGTCGGACTGTAGGAAAGAAGCTGGGGAAGAAGGAGGGGCTACAAATGGCAAGACTATGGTAGAAGAATGGTTACCGTTTTCGGCAACTGGAGGTACGACGCCAGTTGGAGCCGAGTCGGAGACAAGAACAGCATGGCCGATTCGCTTGCTTTGTTTGTATGATCCGAAACACCAGTAAATGCTCCAACAGCTACTCCATCTCCTCTTCTGAAATCAGACAAACAAGAACAGAATCGAACATTTCAGTGACGGCAAAGAACAACCCTCGATGAGAATGAAAATATAAGGCCATAAGAGCTCAGAATCGAACATTTCAGTAATGGCCAAGAACAACAGTATGAAAATGAAAATATAAGGCCATAAAAGCTCAATATCGAACAATTTAGAAACAGGCAAGAACAGACGTATGACATCAAATAAATGTAGTTTTTCGTATATAAGAAACAAATCAATCCCTTCAGAAATCAGACCAAAAAAACAGAGTCTAAAATTTCAGAAAAGGCCAAGAACAACCTAATGAAGATGAAAATAGAAAGCCATAAAATCTCTGAATATATTAGCTTATGACATCAAATAAATTTAGTTTTTTTATATATGTAAGAAACAAATCAATGATCAGAGGTAGTATAGCAATTAATAAAGCTAGTTCTTGGCAACTGACAACCATAGTGAACTTCTCAGGTAAACCTAATTTAGATCAAGAAGAAATTCAAGATTCCAGAGGATCATTAACCTGTCCCACAACTTTTTGAGGGATATCACCAATCATGAGATGTAATTTTTCCTCATATAAATTCTATCCACTTGTAATCGATTCTTACTTTCAACCAACCTAATTCAGGCACATATTGCACCCAAAATGAAGCCTTGACCCTACCGTTCAACTATAAAAAGGTTCTGTTGATTCTCTTGTCTACAAGAAGCTGACCACTGAGTGTTTAAAAAAATCAAAAGAATTAGGATAACTTGATTCTCCATTTACTGTCCCTACAAAGCTTTCCGAGAGATGCAGAAAGCCTCACAAAGTTGGGTAATTATTACTCTCAGTGATCTCATACACAGAAAAACTTCAACCAGTTCCAGCCTACAATTACAGGAGGAAAATCACTCACTTGCTACATCAATAGAGAATCTATGAAAAAATTGAGGTATTGTGCTTAAAGTAAGTGAAATTAGTCTTGAGTATCTAGATCTAATCTCCATCTGTTTCAAGGAGAATCTCAACATTATAGTAATTTCCTTTTTTTTCTGAAAAAAACGATGATCTAGATCTAGGTATGCTTATACTTGAGAACCAGAAAGCAGAAAGATGTAAAGATGCTTCCAGTTCAACATCAATTATAGAAATTTTTTCTCGTCAAAGGTCAAAATTAGGTGCCCTACACTGTTCCAATCGATGAGAAAAAAAGAAACACCACTTTATATCGCTTCCTTTTCGGATTATAGACCGAAAAAGTTACTTGATCCGCTACACAATTCTCTAGGATCACCACAAGCCTCCGCTTGTGAAACGAAAGCAACCTCTCTAACCAAAATAAAAAAATAAAAAAATAAAACCGCTCCATGATTCCATCTCGATCCAAAAGAGGAAAAATAACACATCAGAATACCAACAGTTCTCAATTCGTAAATTGGAAAATCCAGAGCTATCCGCCACAAATCAAACAAAAACCAGGCATCTAGAAAACATGATTCGCAATCCAACCGCGCAAAGGCAAAACAACAAAAGAATCACGATGCAAAAGCAGTTGACTGAACTTGGAAAATTATAGATTCCTTTCGTTTTTCTCTAATACCGCGATACACGCACCTGAACGACATCTGGTTGCACTCTGCTTTCAGCCGCAACAATGGCGGTTGCAGCCGCATTCACAGTTTCAACACTGTTCCGTACGCCACTCATAGCAATTCTCCCAAGCTTCTCCGACAATGCTCCTCAGATTCCGACGATAGCGTCCGGATTGACGTCGTTTTCCGATAGCTTCTGCCGGAAGTCAATCAGAGAGAGGAATCCAATCCTAGCAAGATCACATGGCCTATTGCCAGAGGCTCAATCAAGCAAGCAGAGCTGGAGAGGGTGACTTTATAAACGAACCCACAAACTAATTTTTTATTTCATTTTGTGCCCCTACTTCTTATATTATATTTACATACAGTCCAAACTACCGAAATGTGGCTTCTTTTATATACTAATCCCTCCGTGGCTACCGTGTCCCATTACCGTAATGCAAAAATATAAAGGATATAATTAATAAATAATTAAAAATATATTAATAAAATAATTATGGTATAATAAAAATAATTTTATATTAAGGGTATGTTTGTTTGGGCTTTGAATTTTGAGGTTGAATTTGAATAATAAAAATTTTGAATTGAAATAGTTGTATGATATGATATAAATAGGTGTTAATTTAATATTTCGAATGTAAAATTGATTTTTAGAATAATATAAAAAATAGAAAGTAAATGTTTGATTTGATGTTTTGAAAAAAAAAATTCGGATGAATAATGAAGTTTTTTGCAAAATGCAAAATCAACATTAAAGATAACTCATTAGTCTAATTATAATTAAAAAAATATAATTTTAAAAATTTAAAATAAAATTAAAATTTCTTTTTAAAGAAAAAAAATGACAAAAGAAGTGAAAATACATAAATAAAGCCTTTGTGCTTTTTTTGAAATTTGAATTTTAAATAATAAAATTCTAAATTCTAAAAACTATTTAATACAATATAAATAAGTATATATATAATATTTTAAATAGAAATTTAATGTTTAGTAAGATATTTTATCTTTAAAATATTTATATATCTTTCAAATTAAAATTATTAAAATAATTTTACATTTTTAATTCATAAATCTTTTTAACTATGCAACTATATATTTCGTCTATGTTGAAAATATATTTATTATTAATTTGTTAGTCTCATTCAAATATATATTTTATATTATAGAAAATATAATGGCACATTAATATCAAAATAATTTTAATTTATTACATACATATAATACAAATAAAAATTTAAAATACTATTTGGAATAATATTTAAAATATAAAATTATTTTTTAATATAATATAAAAAACAATAAAAAAAAATAAGTACTATTTGATTTAATGTTGATTAATACTAAATTTGATACAATTTGATAAAATACATCCTTACTGAACTATATTTTTCTTAAATACCACGTACTAATAAGAAGCGTCAAAAGAGTAATATGGATGTGTTTGTTTTGTGTCTTTGTTTGATTTTTTTTTTTTTCTTTCTTATATGAGCTGTAAAGAATTGTGTAGGTAATACAAAATACCTGGTGTGTAATATATTATTTTTTTTTTAGTAATTTGAAATTAATATTAAATATAAATTTGTATTTAAACAATATTTTTATATGATATTTTATAAATAATAATAATAATACATTTTTATTGAAAAATATACATTATGAATAATATTGATTTGAAGTTAAAATAAATTTGTTCTTTCTATAATTTTCTCCCACAAATTTTTCTCAAAAAATTACTTCCTCGGTCCCACATAATTTGTCCATATTTTATATTTTCGTCCGTTCCACATAATTTGCCATTTCTTTTTTTGAAAAATTAATTATACATTTTAATCATATTTTAAAATTTAAAATTTAAAATTTAATTTTTTAATAGTAATTAAACTATTTTGTTATCTTAATCTTAATCCATAACTATTTTTACTAAATAATAATTATTTTTACTAATACACTTCATAATTACTTACTAATTATATTTTACCTAAATTCTCGTGTCTACAGTAATACACTCATATTACATGGAACGGAGGGGATAATATACTACATACTTTCATTATTTTTATATTTTCTACACAATTTTATATACCTCATATTAAAAAAATTTACTTTTTAACAATACCACAAAACAAACAAAAAAAAAATAATAATAAAAAAATCTCACATCAAATATTATTTTCATTGAAAAAATTTATGTTACTTTCTTTGTTTATTATTAGTATAGAAGCACATTAATTATTTATTCCTTCTCTCGAAATTATAGGAAGTAATATAATTTTAGTGGAAGAAATAAATAATGGAAGGTAGCATGATTTTGATTGAAATAATGAAAAATTAATTTACTTCAATAATAACATTTCATCTGTCATATAAAAATGATAAAATACTTATTTTATTTTTTAAGTAATAATTATACTAATTAATTTTTATTTTTAAAACTATTTTCTTTTAATTCTCTTTCTACGAAAAATAAAAGATATACACAATATTTAAATTTATGCACAAATTAAATAAGCATATTTTAATTCGACGGACGGATGGAATAATTATAAGCTGGCCTGCCTTGATTAATAATTCTATGGCTAATATTGGCTGTTGGATAGGGAATATGGTAGGTTAGAGGAGTGAATTTACATTACAGCCCTTGCCCACAACCGTATTTACGAAAGGATAACGTGCGTGTTCAAGCGTCGCGGTGCATGTTAGAATGATGAGGTTATTTATTGCAAAAGTGAGCCCCAGGTGGCGGATGGTACGCATTTAATGTGAGGCCGTGAATGCGTCTCACGTGACCCCCGTGACATGTCGCAATGCTTTCCTAACTCATTTTAAAGTAGAATTTTTATTTTAACAATTATAAATGTAAATTAATACTTCCTTCGCCCTACTAAATACGAAAATTTAAATAAAATATAATTAATAAATAATTAAAAAATATATTAATAAAATTAATTATAAATTAAAAGTAAAATAATTAAATAATTTAATTAAAATAATTTTTTTATAAATTTTTAATTTTAAAATATAATTAAAATGTATAATTAATTTTAAAAAATAAATAAATTATGTGGAACAAAAGAAAATACTCCCTCATCCCATAAATATAGTCTTAATTGGGTTGGGTATGAGATTCAAGGAATATTAATATTATACTGATAAGGGGTAAAAAATATTGATAAAAGACTTTTTTGCCCTTGTGAGTGTATTAGTGTAAAAAGTAGTGACAATTGTGTTATAAAAATAAAAAGGTAAATGTAGTTTTATGGTGTTATGGTTATTTATAAAAATAAGACTATTGTTTTGGGACAAACAAAAATGGTAAATAAGACTATTGTATTGGGACGAGAGTATCAAATATGGACAAATTATGTTGGACGGAGGGAGTATTATTTTTTTATAAAATTTTAACAAAAATATACTCCCTTCGCCTCGTATAAAGAGTAACGTTGTTTGCACTTAAATTTTTTAATATTAATATTTATTGGGTTATAATAAAAAATATGAAAATACCCTTATTAGTATTGTATAATATAAAAGTGGTAACATTTATGTAATATATTATAAGTTGAAAGAGTATTTATTATGTTAAATAGGTAGTTCAATTGATCAATTAGGAAATGGTATCCATGTATGTTTTGAGACTAACGAAAATAAAACCCTTTTTTATGGGATTGAGTGAGTATATAAATTTTGTTCATTTTTTTTACTTTTGTCTGATAATAATTGATATATTTATATTTTGGATAAAATTTATTAAATTAAAATATATTTAACAAATATTCTCTCATTCTCCCACATGACTTCTTTTTTTTGTCGGTCATTATATTACATCATACAACTATTAATATTAAAAAATTTAACTATTCAAATTTAACTCAAAATTCAAACATCCAAAATAATCACGTCTGTAACAAATATAAATCAATTTAATTAAATTTATAACCTCTTACACATAAAACCTACTCAAAACCTTTTTATTTTGATATCTCCCTTCCGTTAATAAATATTTTTATTTACATTTTTTTTATTTTTTATAAAACTAATTTATATTAATATTTGATTTGAAATAAAAAACAAACCCACCTTAAGAATTTACTCTTTCCGTTATTCAATTTTTTCATTTTGGTCAATCTCACTTATTCGATCATTTTATTTTTAAAAAAGAATTATGCATTTTACTCTAATTTTAAACTTTTTATTTATAATTTTTAAATTTAGTTAGACTAATTAATTATTTTAATATAATATTATTTTTATCATAAAATAATTATTCTTATTAATATATTTTTAATTATTTATTAATTATATGTCTTCTAAATTTTTTGTATCTACAGTAAAAGAATACCTTAACGGATTGAGAAATGTTTAATTTGATTTGAAACTGGAATGATAGTTTAAAATTTAATTTAAATAATACTTCATCCGCCTTACGTATAATATCACACTTTTCGTTTATGTCACATATTATAGCATTTGCTGTTATTTTGGAAAAATATTATCCACTTTAATTGTATTTTTAAATTTAAAATTTTAAAAATTTTAATTATAAGTATTAGTTATTTTAACTTTAATCTATGATTATTTTTTAATATATTTTTAATTATTTACTAATTACCCTGCTGGTACTAAATTCTCATGTTGTATGTGACACCGTATCCGAGGAGATACTCTCTCCGTCCGTCTCTAAGCGTCACATTTATCTTTTACGTAATTGTAATTAAAATTAAAAATATTTTTATATTTATATAATTTTTTGTGCAAATGACCTTCTCTTGGATTATAAGATACTGATAAACTTATTTTTGTAATTTTTTTCTTAATTTGTAATAATTTTTTATATAATAATTAATATTCAAAATCAATAGAAAAAATAAATGAGAGTTTATAACCTACTAGAGGTAGTAAAATATATTGATATATTTTTATTGTTAAATATACGAAATAAACAATGAAAATTTTATTTTAAAATAAAAGACAAAACAGTTAGGGTGTGTTTGTTTGAGGATTTGGATTTTGAATTGTGATTTGAATATTAAAAATTTTAAATTTAAATAATTGTATAATGTTATATATATAGGTGTTGATGTGATATTTTGAATATAAAATTAATTTTTAATATAATATAAAATATAAAAAATAAATATTTAATTTAATATTTTTAAAAAAGAAAAATAGAATGAATAGTTTATTTAAAAGCTAATAGACAAACACATCTTAGTATATATTTGTATATTCATATATTTATTTATCATTATCCTAATAATGCAATGAGATAAGGAACAAAGGAGATTGCGTTCAGCACGGAAGACCACGAGATTATTCATAGGGGTCCCGGGATCTGAACTCCGGGAGCAACTCACACCGTCCCACCCTTGTTCCATTTCCCTTCCGTCCGCGTCCGTCGAACGTCGATCAACCAGGAACAGTACGCTCCATGGACCTCCCAAATTCCACAAACAAAATCTGCAAACCCACCTCGAATGTTCTTGCTCAAGAAACCAGATATAAATACCGCCCCCAAATTGTGTCCCCAGATCACGTTTGGGCTGCACACTCCACGCTCCATTATCCCAAAACCACAAATCTTTTCGAATGCGAGGGAAAAAAATCTCCAGGATTGACGACGATAATCGATAATGGCTTCTGCAATTTCCATTCCGACGCCATTTCTATCCCGTTCTTCCGCACCATACATTGAGAATAAACCCTCGCCCTCGCTCTCGCTCTATTTCTCGTCCCCTAAACAAGCTTCTCCTCAATTGAGCTTCGCGCCGTACTCGCAGTGGGTTTTGAGTGTGCGCAAGCAGCTAGGCATAATCTCGATCCCCAAATTCTCCGCGAGAATGAGTGAGTTTGAGGATTTCATCGCATTTGTTGGAATCAATTAGTTTTTCTGTTTTTTGTGCAGGTTTGTGTATTGAATGTTGGAGATGGTTTGTGGTTTGTGTTTGCAGGAAGGAAGGGGAGAGGAAAGAAGCACAGTGGAGCATATGCTTCATTGTTTGGTGTCGGTGCTCCTGAATTTCTTGTTATTGGAGTTGTTGCTTTGCTTGTTTTTGGCCCCAAAGGTCTTGCCGAGGTGATTCTTGTGTTATCTTTATCTTTTTGTGTGTGATTTTGCAGTTCAATCACTTTAGATTTTATGAGGTTTCGATCTATTGTTGTGTATGTTGTTCATCATAGTTAGAGTTATTTGGTTTCGAATTATTCTAGTGTTATCTTATCTGTTTGTGTGTGATTTTGCAGCTTGATCACTTCAGAATTATTCGGTTTCGATCTATTGTCTTGTATATTGTTCATCATAGTTAGAGTTATTTGGTTTCGAATTATTCTAGTGTTATCTTATCTGTTTGTGTGTGATTTTGCAGCTTGATCACTTCAGAATTATTCGGTTTCGATCTATTGTCTTGTATATTGTTCATCGTAGTTAGAGTTATTTGGTTTCGAATTGTTCTAGTGTTATCTTATCTGTTAGTGTGTGAATTTGCTGCTCGATCACTTTGGAATTATTCAGTTTCAATCTATTGTTTTGTATATTGTTCATCGTAGTTAGAGTTATTTGGTTTCGAATTGTTCTAGTGTTATCTTAACTGTTTGTGTGTGATTTTGCAGCTTGATCACTTTAGAATTATTCGGCTTCGATCTATAGTTTTGTATATTGTTCATCATAGTTAGAGTTATTTGGTTTCGAATTGTTCTAGTGTTATCTTATCTATTTGTGTGTGAATTTTCCTCTCAATCACTTTAGCATTATTCGGTTTCGATCTATTGTTTTGTATATTGTTCAACGTAATTATAGTCATTTGGTTTCAAATTATCGTAGTGTTATCTACCTGATGTGTTGTGGAGCCCAAATTGAAGCCTCCCAAACAATAATTTTTGCACTTGCTTATATAGATTTTGGGCCCAAACTCATTATTGTTCTAGATTAACACCTCTGTGCTCTCTTAATAAAACTTAATAGATTTGATTTGGTCACCAAATTCTCGTCTTTTGTGTGTGTTCATTTCGACTTTCATTACATTTGTGTGTAATTTTGGAGGTCAATCACTTGAAATTATTTGGTTTCAACCTATTGTTTTGTATGTTGTTCATAGTAGTTATTTGGTTTAGGTTTTAGGGTTTATGGTTGTCTATCTATTTGCGCGTAATTTTGCAGCTCAAATCTTGTTTTTCAACGTAATTATCTTTATTTGGTTTCGAATTATTCTAGTGATCTCACTAGGTTTTTAGATGATTGCCTTGGTCTCTTAAAACCTAAATCGATGTATACTAGTGAAAATAATTGGCTTGTCTCCCTTCAAACGCGTAGTTTGATTGAACTGGTCACCAAATTCTCGTCTTTCATTTGTGTGACATTCATCTCGATTTCCATTACTTTCACTACATTAGGTCAATCACTTTATAGTTATTCCGTTCGATCTATTGTTTTGTATGTTGTTCAATGTAATTATTCGGTTTAGGATTTAAGACATTGATTTTTCATAATGATGCTATAGTGAAGGAGAGAAACATTCAATTTTGTGGGGTGCTTTGAATTTTCTCATTCGATCAATTCGATTGTGTAAGAAACTTTTTGTTTTATCTTTTCGTTTTCAAGATCCTAAAACGCTCGACTATGGACAGGCAGCTCGGAGCTTGGGCAAAACAATACGCTCATTCCAGCCGACCATAAGAGAACTCCAGGCAAAGCTTCACCACATTTCCTCTTCAAATCTCTACACTACGCAAGGTTGTTCGATTCTGAACCAGGTCGATCCTTGAACTAACCTCGTGATGTTTTATTACAGGAAGTTTCGAGGGAATTCAAGAGCAGCCTCGAGAGAGAAATCGGTCTGGATGAAGTCGACAGTCCTTCATCCAACCGATTCGGCTCTAACACCACTAGCTCTACATCGGACGAATCAATGACAAATGCAAATCAATCTTCCACAGGTCGTAATAATAATAAGAACTTGCCCTGATTCGCAACTTTGCCGCTGTCCATTCTCACGTGTATATCGAATTGCAGAGGATCCTGCGGCCGAAACCGGCGCTTACACGGCCGACGAATACTTGAAGGTCACCGAAGCACAGCTGAAAGCAGCTATGCAAGATCAGATACAGCCCCAAACTCCATCGGACAGTCAGTAATCATCGCAAAATTTATAGCTATATTTGTGTGTGTAGCTTTCTTACAGATGGCTGTGTCTTAATTCTGCCAGAAACTCCTCCAAAGCGTGGATCAGACAAGTGAAAATGTACGTGTATATGTGTGTGTATATATATATATATGTATATATAGGAGCACGAGATTAGGAGAGTGTTGAGTTTGTCTCAAACACTTTCCAGAGCTGTTTGTCGAGATAATTTGTTTTGACAGAAAATAAATTTTGAAAATAAACACTTTGCTGACAGTGCGGTAATGCAGCACGGTGTGCATTCCTATAATATATCAGTACATAAATTAATATCGCATGTTATAGTTTTATACAACACAAATAATATTTGATTTCAACAACACAAATACAAATTGTAAATTAACATCGTTATAGTGTTACATAATAGTTGATTTTAACATATCATATACTGTTATATAACACACTTATAACTATGAATCAACAATATATATTACACTTATAACTATGAATCAAACACATATAATATATATTACGGGTGCTAATTTTTTTAATTCAGCATAATCGTTCCTATATATTTATATAAATATATATTACGTTATTTCTTTACTAATTAAATTTGGGCTGGGCCAATATTCTCTAAAGCCCAAAAATTATTCTCTACTTGGGCTAGATTGGGCTTTGGGAGTGAATAAACGTTGCATGGTCATTATTCTAATTAATTTAAATATAGGGACTTATTTGTAAATACTGAACCACGAGAAACCCTAAACCCTAGCCGCGCTTCTTCCGCCTATATTACCTGCTGTCGCTGCTTCCACATTCGCCAATCAAACAAACAGTCGTCGTCCCTTCTTCGTACGCTCAAGCGGCAGCAGCCATGGTAGCAAGAACTCCTACTAGAGGTACGCTACATTACGCGGTTTTATATAGTAGAAAGGAATTGTGGAACAATTATTTAATGTGGATGCTTTTTTATTAGCAGGTCGCGGCGGAGGCGGCGGGTTTAGGGGAGGAAGGGGAGATGGCGGAGGCCGAGGCGGTAGAGGAGGCGGTAGAGGACTTGGTGTAAGGGGAGGAGGCAGTGGGATGAAGAGAGGAGGCGGGAGAGGAGGCCCGAGAGGCGGTGGAAGAGGCGGCGGAAGAGGCGGCGGCAGAGGAGGGGGGATGAAGGGCGGAAGTAAGGTAGTTGTTGAGCCACACAGACACGAGGGCGTTTTTATAGCTAAGGGTAAAGAAGATGCTCTCTGCACCAAAAATCTGGTACCTGGTGAAGCCGTTTACAACGAGAAGAGGATTTCTGTTCAGGTATATTATTTCCAGCAATAGAAATCCTATATTTGTTTGTCTGCAACCTTAGCATTGCGAAATTTGTTTTGTTCAGTCTTTTTCGAAAGATTAACGGCATTGTATGTTGTTTGAACTTGAATCTCATTTTACAGAATGAAGATGGCACGAAGGTTGAGTACAGAGTGTGGAATCCTTTCCGTTCGAAATTGGGCGCCGCCGTTCTTGGAGGAGTCGATAATATTTGGATTGTGAGTTTACTTTCTCCTAAACCCTTGATTTGTGAAACTATTCGATTTTGTCTTGGATGATATTCGCATCTGATTTGAAATGATGTTCAAATTATTTGATTCGATTCGAGTATTCATTTCAAATTTATTTGGTTTCTGAACTGCTGATTTTGGTTTTTTAAGAAACCTGGTGCTCGAGTCCTTTATCTTGGTGCTGCTTCAGGAACTACTGTTTCTCATGTTTCTGACATTGTTGGTCCTGTAAGTTTATATAATCTTATTATCTTTTGTTAGTAATATCTTTTAAAAGTGAATCCATTAAGATAATTACCTCATTGTTGCTGCTTCTTGGTAGGATGGTGTAGTTTATGCTGTAGAATTTTCTCATAGAAGTGGAAGAGATTTGGTGAATATGGCCAAGAAGAGAACTAATGTGATACCCATTATTGAGGATGCTAGGCATCCTGCAAAGTATAGAATGCTTGTTGGCATGGTAGATGTTATATTTTCTGATGTTGCTCAGCCAGATCAGGTACCATATTTCTTCGTTGAAAGTTACACAATTTGTTCTAATCATCATAAGCTTATGAGCTACAATCAATTTTATTACGTATCATTTCAATTGCAGTTTATGTTTATGAGAGCGTACTATAACGATTCATATTAGGGTGTGCTTGTTCGTGTTTTGGGTGTCTCAGGTTTGAAATCTTCTAATGGAAAATAGATTTTGGATGTAATGTTTTTAATAAAAAATGTGTTGGATCTGAAAAATGGGTTTAAAATAGAGCACACCCAAAGTTTCTTAAGAGAGTTTTTCATGTATTATATATATATATTGTGAGGGTGTGGTTGTTATCAAATTTAGATTTTTATTTCCTATTACACGAGCAAGCAAATGATGAGTTACTCGGATTCCCCTTCAAGACATCACGGGTGATGCAAAACCGAGCTTCTGATGCAATCTTGAATTCCTTATATTTGATTTTCCAAAGTTCCTTTTATACCTTATTCAATATTTAGCCCTTCTAAGGACACAGTTCTGTTTCTAATCCATTTGCTACTTTGCAGGCTAGAATACTTGCCCTAAATGCATCTTACTTCTTGAAAGCCGGTGGTCATTTTGTGATATCAATTAAGGTTAGACCTATCCACAATGAGATCCGCAAAACATTCCCCTATTCATTTCTCGCTTTCTGACACAATTTTTTCTCTTATTTCTTCAGGCTAACTGCATAGACTCTACGGTCCCTGCCGAGGCTGTGTTCGCCCAGGAAGTAAAGAAGCTGCAGGCGGAGCAATTCAAGCCTGCAGAACAGGTTACACTCGAACCCTTTGAGCGTGATCATGCCTGCGTTGTCGGTGGCTATCGAATGCCTAAAAAACAAAAACCCACTGCATAAAAAAGAAATCTTTTAACTTAGAACATGCTTAAACGTCGTCGAACATGGGTTTTAAGATATTTTTCTATGTATTCTATTTGACAGCTTCTGCTACCTTGTTTTAATACATGTGAGGTTTTGCCCAAAACTGTTGAGGTTAGGACATACAAATCCATATCTATTTTGTGCCCCTTTCTTAATTTAATGTGTTCTGATTTGTATTATTGGTTGTAGGAAATATCTGTTTTGTATGCTCATCATGCCTTAATTTTTTTTTTATTTATTTATTTTTAAATTTTTGTTCAACGTCATTTGTTAAATTTTTGATTGTCTTTAATCTTTTTATTGGGATAATAAGTGTACTTAAGGGTAATCTAATTATTTAAAAAGGTGTCGGAGTAATAATAATGTTGGCTAATCATAGTCATTAGGTAATAATAATGAGGTTTCTTGTTATTTCCGCAATTAACAACTAAATAGAGTTGGGGTGTGTTTTGGGGTTTGAGTTTTGAATCGAACTCACTGCATATTTACAATTGTCTTTAACTAATAATAATTGATTTTGTATTATTTTTTTATTGAGGGTTTTTTTTTTTTTTTTTAATACTTTATATTTTTTTATTTATCTACTTTAATATTAAACTATTATTATTTTTAAATTGAACCAAACTATGTAATTTTATTGATAGTAGTAAGTGTCTAATACAATGGATATGTGAATATACAAATTTAATCCTGAGTGAGTTAAAATATATGGTGACATTGGATGTGTTTTCGGATAAATTTTTTATAGTCGAGCAATATAAAATAATATTTACATTTGCCTTTTGTATCTATATTTTTTTAATATTAGTATTATATTGATTTGAAGTAAAAAATATATATTAATATTGTGTAATACAAAAGTAATTTGTTTAATATATTGCAAGTTTAACGATAATATTTATTATGTTCTATGAGTAGAATAATTATTAAATTGGAAAATTTTGTGATGAATTGTTAATTTTTTATGAGTGAATAAATTTATATTATAATTATTTCCATAACCAAATAAACCCTTTTGATGATATGATACTCCTTTCAAATACATAATTTTTTATTTTTTTTGGTTATTTTATTTAAAATTAATAATATTTTTATTATAGTATAAGTAATTAATATACAAATATTAAAATATTCTCAATTTAACAAAAATATTTTATTATTTTTTAAGACAAAATATTAAAATTATTTTATATATATTTTTATTACAAACTTTCTTCTATAAGAATAGTACTATAAATTTTTTTTTTTATGTTGATTTTTTAATATAAAGTGTAATATAAATTAAGAAAACATATATAATTATTTTTATTAGTCTTTTATAATACAAATACAATAATAATTTTATATTGGGAAAAAAATTATTTTTTAGTTTCAATATAAGCAAAATTCAACAATTTTGGTCCCAATATAAAAATTTTAAGAATTTTGGTCCCAATATAATCAAAATTCACTATTTTTTGTCTCAATATAACTAAAATTCATCATTTTTTTGTCTCAATATAAATTTTTTATCAATTTTAATCTCAATATAACCAAAATTCATTATTTTTTGTCTTAATATAATCAAATTTTATTTTTTTTTGTTCCACTGTCAACAAACCGATGGAAATGTTGACGTGAAAAGAAATCAAACCTTATATTTATATTCGAAAAAATTGCACAATCTTGCAAGTCCACGTCAATATTTTCCGTCGGTTTGTTGACGGTGGGGTAAAAAAAGATAAGATTTGATTATATTGGGATAAAAAATGATAAAGTTTTGGTTATATTAGAATTAAAAATGATAAAAATTTTATATTGGGACCAAGAATAATGAGTTTTGATTATATTGGGACAAATAATAATGAGTTTTGATTATATTGAGACCAAGAATAATGAATTTTGATTATATTTGGACAAAAAATGATGAATTTGGATTATATTGGGACTAAAATTGATAAATTTTTTATATTGAAACTAAAATTGATGAATTTTTGTTATATTGAGACCAAAAATAATGTTTTCCTTTTATATTAAATACAATGACACGAAATGATATATATATATTTTTTACTGGAAGTATAAAAAAATGAGTACAGGCGTCTTTCTATAAAGGGTGTGTTCGTTTGGAAGCTTTTGCAAAAATCTTACTATTTATCTAATTTTTTTTCCCCAAAAATATCAAATCAAACACCTATTTTTCATTTTTTATATTATACTAAAAATCAATTTTACATTCAAAACATCACATCAACACCTATTTATATCACATCATACAACTATTCAAATTCAAAATTTTTACTATTCAAATCCCAACTCTAAATCTAAACCCCAACAAACACATCCAAAGGTATTTTATTCGAAAGTATTAGTTTAAAACCCTTTTATATGTATTTATTAAGTAATAAAATATGTTAAATCTATTTTTAAATTTTGAAGTGGGCACAGAAAGATGGATGTGACTGTGACTGTTTTGGGGTCGAAAAAATCATTAATATTGCCTGTCTATAATGCAGATTTTTGACCCCTTTTTATTCTTGAAGCAATAATTATATAATTAATTTAGGGTAAATTGATAGAGAAAATGATAATGATATGATACTAATAATAATAATAATAATAATAATTACTAATATAGATTTAAATGGTGGAGTTGGGACCAATGTACCTAACATTAATTTAGAAAAAGAAAGTGCATATTGGTGTGTATTGTGTTTTGGTAATGTATTGGTCACTGACATAACTATTTTTTTTCTAAGGATGTTTTTTTTTTTTGTTTGGATTTTGAGTTGAAATTTGAATAGCAAAGATTTTGAATTTAAATAATTGTATGATGTGCTATAAATAAGTATTGATGTGATGTTTTGAATGTAAAATTGATTTTTAATATAATATAAAAAAATAAAAATTAAGTGTTTGATTTGATATTTTTGGAATAAAAAAATTTGGATGAATAATAATTTAAAATCCAATCCCAAAAAACACACCCTAAAAATATTTTTATTCATATTGCTTGACTGCCAAGATTTAATTTTTTTATTTAATCTTAGTGAAAATTTTTCATTATGTTTTTTCATCACTATTCATCACTTGTGATTATTCAAAAATAATAATATTTCCTCTGTCATTTAAGTTTATTTTTACTTTTATTTTCTTTATTATCATCCTAATTTATTTCTATTTATTTTTTTCAGCAGAAAGTAGTATTTTTCCTAATTCTTTTTACCTTAAAAAAATTCTACTTTTATTTAATTTTCTTAAAATTCGTAGCCGGTCAAAAAATCCTAAAAATATAATCTTTAAGAGAATTTCGATCATATATGAAAACTCTAAATATGAAAATTAATTTATATTTTATTAAAAAATAATAGTCTAAAATTCTCTATAGAAATTGATACGGCATTATTACTAAATCTACATAATATGAAATTTGTCTAAATTAATGATTATTATAATTAATAAATTATTTACCATTATATTTTAATCTCCACTACAAATTTTGACCGGCCATAGTAAAAGTCAATCTACGAATCAGATCAAATCAACATTTTCGGTAAGTGGTCAGGATTTGTGTCGGGTTGAATATTTTAAATGGAATAAATAATTTAATTTTAATATGATCTGTTTATTATTGTGTCAATTATTTTTTGTCATCTCGTCGTTTAGTTTTTGTTTATTTTAGTGCAATATGTACAATGAATTATATTTAATTATTTATAAGTGAGTTTAGTTTAAATTAATATGTGGTTTTATTATTAATTTATAATAAATTTATTAAGTAATATTAATATATTATAATCGAATTGTAGTGTCGGATTCGAGTTAACAGTCTCAATCCTAATCCGATTTGTTTATTATTGTGTCGGATTTGTGTACATATATATAATCAGATTGGCATTCTTGACCAAAACCCAATTATTTCATGTCGAATTGTCTTTTTTTTTTGCCAGTTCTATATGTAATATTCATGTGTTTCTTTATATCAATTTTTTTCTTTTTTTTTTTTTTTTCCAAATCTTACTATATAGATTTTTGTATTTTATTAAAAAGAATATACAAAAATATACTATCAACTATTATTTTAATATTAAATTCAAATATATTTTTTTTTCAAACTTACTTGCATGAAACACTATCCATGTGATTTGGGATTCAATGAATGTGCTAACATAGGGAATGGATTAAATATAACAGCTCCATAAACTTGGTAATTTTTAATTTTTTTTTATCATCATAATTTTTTTACAAAACTATAGTAAAACTATTCATATAGCGTTTGCTTTTTGCACGTAAATTTTTTAATATTAGTATTATATTTGATTGTAATAAAAAAAGACAAAAATATCTCTACTAGTATGGTGTAATATAAAATTAATGATATTTGTATAATATTCCTATTAGTAGGTAGTACAATTACTAAATTTAAAAATTGTAACCTTGTTTTGGGACGGACGAAAATGGAAAATGGTAACCTTTGAATGAGACGGATGAAGTATTTGATTTTCAATAAATTATTTAAAATATGATTAAATTGAAGACTTTTGTCTTTAAAATAAGACAATAATATATACGAGCCAAATTCACAATAAATACTCATATCAATAAATTTGGAGTTTTGTAATTTGTATTTTTTATGTTGTATTATTTCATGATACAAAAATTTGTTAAAATTACAAAATTAAAATATAGTAAACCATATGTTAAATTGTAGTGTTAATATAGGGTGTCATTTTTGTATTTTGAGTTATAAATTGTTATTATTGAATGTATTTTTCAAAAAAGAAATATTAATTTTTATATGTTTTTTTTTTTTAAAAAAATGATTCATATTTATTAATTATCTTACATTGAATAATATTCAAATATAATTATTTTTTAAAATAAAAAAAGAAGATCTTTAGGTTCTGTTTATTTTAATTTTTTTTATTTATACATACTTTTATTTTTTACATTAATTTTTTTATAAAAATCATGCAAAGCAAAGTGTATTTGTTTGAAAACTTTGGTTGCTTTGAATATTAATAATTATAAATTTAGATACTTATTTTATGTGATATTAATTGATATTTTAAATGTAATTAATTTATAAAATAATATAAAAATAAAAGATAAATTTTATCTCATATTTTTAAAGAAAAAATAAAATAAATGGTAGAAAATTATCAGATAACCAAACAGGAAACTTTGTTTATTCGAGGTCTAAGTTTGAAATAAAAATCAATAGTACTATAATTTAATCTACCATTTTAATAAAAAATTAAATTGAAATTCAAACTAAAATTAAACGAACCCATTTGGTCTCCCAAATTCTTTTTTTCAAAAAAGAAAAAAAAAAATCTAAAAAATATCAAATAAAATTCGTAATTATTTTTAAATATATTAGGAAAAAAAATCATTCCATTCAAAAATTTAAAAATCATATATCCATAAATAACAAATCCAATATTATTTCAATAATAATTTTTTATTATTACAAAACTTAAATCTAAACATTAAAGGAATACACCTTAATATCTAAGCACCTCAACTAAACGCGTGGCACATTACAGGTGGACAAGAAAAAATAAAGCGATTGGTGCCACTTAAATTTAATTTAAAAATAAAAAATAAAAAATAAAACGGAAAATATTCCTTCAAACTCCGCCAGCCGAGTGTACACGTCACGCGGGAACGCAAGGAAGAAATATCCACCGTCGATTTGTACACGTATGACGTATACATCCAACGGTTCAAAGAGCGACACGTTAAAACCCTTTTTTTCTCTATCGTAAAAGCAACAATTTTGAAATTCTGTAACAAAACCAACGCGAAGTTCATTCACGACAGTTGGAGGCCTCATTCCTCAATTTCTCTTTCCCCTTTTCTCTCTCTCAATCGCCGCCGTGAAAATCCGATCACCTCATCGGAAAATTCTGCAGCAAGGAAGGATATATTCTGCGGGAGAATGTCTTCTGGATTCTCCGGCGCTGCGCCGGATGTATTTGCCGCCGGCGGGAGATCTACAGGTAGTAATTTTGATGTTAATTTTAATCCTCAGCAGCAACAACAGCAGTTTGCGATTCGACCGCCGCTCTCAGGAGTTCTGCCGGAGACGTATGCTCAGATCCGGCGGCCGGATTTCGTCGGGAAGAGATCGGCGACGGAGTTTCAGCAGAATCGGGTAGGGCTAGGGTACTATCATCGGAACGTGAAGGCGAGGTCTAATTACCTGCATACATCTCCTATTTCGCCGCTCTCTCCGGTGGATATCTCTCCTGTTCCGTCCGGTTCGACGGAGGTTTCCTCGATTTCGAATCCTTTGGTTCCACGGTACGGTACTTCTGTTAATCGCCAAATTCCGGTGCAGCGTAGTGTTGAGAACACGCAAAATTGTTCGGGAGATTTGGTTGTTGAATCTGAGAAGAAGGTGATGATGATGAATCATCGGTTACAAGAGCTGGAAAAGGTTCTTCTAGGAGATGAAGAGGAGGCAGAGGAAGCAATTTCTGCTGTTAGCAACAACGACTTGTCGGACACGATTCAGGATCTGCTCGGACCTGTACGGCCGCCGGTTTCTCCATCTCCGACGTCTTCGTCTTCATCGTGTTCTTCTACTTCAGCTTCTCCTCCAATTTGCGCGAAACAATCCTTCATAGACGCAGCCGCCACTATTTCCGACGGTAAACCGGAAGCCGCCGTGGAAATCATCACGCGCCTCCAGCAGATTGCTAATCAGAGAGGCAGTCCAGAGCAGAGGCTCACGGCTTACCTAGTTTCCGCCCTCAAATCGCGCGTGAACCTCACGTCGAATCCTTTCTCTCCGTCGGAGCTTTACAGCAAGGAACAAACGCTGGCGATCCATATGTTGTACGACGTCTCGCCGTGCTTCAAGCTCGCTTTCATGGCGGCTAATTTATCTATCCTCGAAACCGCATCCGACCGCGGCTTCAGCCAGATTCACGTCCTCGATTTCGACATCGGACAAGGCCGACAGTACGTCCATTTGCTCCACGCGCTGTCGAGCAAGGCGTCCGCCGGCAAACGCGCCGCCGCGCTGAAGGTAACCGCCTTAGGCGATTTTTCATCTTTTAGCGAAGAGAATACGAGAATCGTCGGAGATCACCTCAAATCACTCGCCGCCAAAATCGGCGTACAGTTCAATTTTTCCGTCAGGAAATTCGCCATTTCCGATGTAAATCTCGACAAATTAGGTGTCCTCCCCGGCGAAACCCTCGCCGTCAACCTCGCCTTCAAATTGCACATGCTGCCGGACGAGAGCGTGACGACGGAGAACCGCCGCGACGAGCTGCTCCGCCGCGTGAAAAGCCTTTCTCCGGCGGTGGTTACGGTGGTGGAGCAGGACATCAACGCCAACACGGCTCCTCTAACCGTCCGTGTTCGAGAAGCCTACGCGCACTACGGCGCGTTGTTTGACTCGCTGGACGCCACGGCTTCTCGAGATAACGTGGACCGGGTTCGGATCGAATCCGCGCTGGGCCGGAAACTCGGCAACTCGGTGGCCTGCGAGGGCCGGGACCGGGTAGAAAGATGCGAGGTGTACGGAAAGTGGGCGGCCCGGATGCGCATGGCCGGGTTCGACCCGGTTCAGATAAGCCAAACGGTCGCCGACTCGCTCCGAGTTAAGTTGAATTCAGGGACACGTGGCAACCCGGGATTCACCGTCAGCGAGCAATCTGGAGGCGTTGGATTTGGTTGGATGGGACGAATCCTGACCGTCGCATCTGCTTGGCGTTGATTACGGTTTCATTGTTTTTTTTTTTTTTTAAAGCGATTCATTAATTAAAAACGTGACTAGGTTTTAACAACTGCTGTGTACTTGTGTTATAGTGTGCTTTTCGTTTTGTTGTCGAAAATATTTAAAAATTACCACAGGAAAAATAATTAATAAACCACTGTTCGATTTTAATTTATTTTAATTATTTTATTCTTGTAAGTCTTCTGTTTTAATTTTTAGATATGAAATCAGTTAGCTAATATAATGCGTGAAATTATTTAAATAAAAGTTGCTCTATCCAAATATTAGTTGAACATTATATAATTTATGGTATTTTTATTCCATAAAAATATGAATGGTAGCACATGTAGTAAAATAAGATTATTGAAAAAAAAAACTTATTAAAAAACTAAAAAATAATGAGAATTTACGTATTAGTGAAAATAATTATTTTATAATATAAATAATTATAAATTAAAATTAAGATAACTAATTAGTTTAATTAAAATTAAAAATAAATTTAAAATTTAAAATAAAATTAAAGTGTGTAATTATTTTTCAAAAAAGAAAAGTGACATAGAATGTGGGACGGATAAAAATGGGAACATGAACATGGTAAAGTGGGACGAAGAGAGTATTATTTATAAAAACAAGCGTGTTAAAATTACGAACTGATAAAATTACTTATTATAAATAAACATTGCCTAAATTTAGTATACACAAAAAAAATAATAATAAAAAAAATGACGGAAGTATGAGGACAAAAAGAGTATTATATTAACATAAATTGTGATATATGTCTCTGCTATGCTAACTATGATGTATTGATGTATATATATTCGCATATATATATTATGTGTATAAGTGAGATGGTAAATTATACTCTCTCCGTCCCTTAACAATCTATCTATTTTTCTATTTTGGTCCATCTCATAACAAAGTATCAATTTTTTTTTAGTAATTATACTATCTACATAACATTACAAATAACATTCTAATTTACAATATATTAAAATGTTATTACATTTATATCATACAATACTAATGGGTTAATTTAGTATTTTTACCTTTATTTCTATTATATTCCAATATAATATTAATATTTCTAAAATTTTGTGCAAAAAACAAATTGATATATAGATATGAGACGGAGGGAGTACTTTTATAGTTCAAAATTATATTTTTTTTATTTTTTTATTGTCATAAAAGAAATTTATTTTATAGTAAAAAATTACTCCCTCCATCCCACATCTCATGTTAACCTTTCCATTTCCGTCAGTCTCACTTATTTTGTCACTTTCTTTTTTTGGAAAAAAATTATACATTTTAATCTTATTTTAAAAATTTTAATTTATAATTTTTTAATTTTAGTTATATTAATAAATTATCTTAATATTAATCTATAATTATTTTTATTATATGATAATTATTTTCACTAATACATTTTTAATTATTTACTAATTATACCGCTTATAAATTCTCGTGTCTACAGTAAAACGGATAAAATATCCGGAACGGAAGGAGTATCATTTTTATTTACTATAAAAGAAAACAAAAAATTATCTTTTATTATTATTATTATTATTATTATTATTATTATTATTATTATTTTTAATGCGTTTCAATGACAAATTATAGTAATAAGCAGAGGCAGAGTAGTTTGGTATAACAACACATATTTGTATGTTATAAACATGTAATAATATAATAAATGCATTGTTGTTTAGGTTTGAAATTTTGGTATATTCTGTTATTAAATTAGAGTTTGTCAACTACCTTACCAAACACATGTTCACAATTCAGTCAATTATCAATACTATGTTTACATATATTTTGAAGATTTGATCGGCTCAGTTTACCGGTAAGATTTTGGTTTTGAATAATAAAATTTTTAATAAAATAATTGTTTTAAATGATATAAATATGTATTAATGTAATATTTTAATTGTAAAATTTAATTTAGTGTAATATAATAATAATAAAAAAATTAGAATAGTAAAACATAAAAAAAAAATACCCTCGTATTGTTAATTCCTTTTTTAGAAACTATATTTTTAAATTTGTTTATTTAAAGTACTATATAAAATATTAAATTTATTTTTTTTAAAAAAAAAATAATCTAAATGAAACATCGGTGTTTTGGTGGATTTTTTTTTTGTATCTTTCTCATTTATTTATTTTGTCATTTTTAGATTTTGATATATATATATATATATATATAACCTAAAGGTGAAATAGTTATTAAATGTATTGTTTTTAACGAAGAAATTGTTGAACTTGATATTTTTGCTTATTTATTAAAACAAAAAATCTAAACCAAATTTCAATAAATAATTTTGGGTTTGTTAACCCAATATTTTTTTCCGATGACATGATTCATTATTAATATTATAAAAATATAATATATATACTTTATTTATTTTTAAAAAATATTAATATATTGTATACGATTCATTTATGTACTTTTTCAAAATATTAATATATTACAAATATTTATTATTTTTATATTATTTACGTTTTACATAAAAAAGAATATTCCTTCAAATTATTTAGCAAAACAAATACACAACAAAATATTACTCTATCCGTCTCATAACAAAGTATCCATTTTTTCATTGTAATCTGTTCCATAACAAAATATTCATTTCATTTTTTTTTAGTAACTGTACTATCTACCTACCACTACAAATACCCTTGCAACTTAAAATATATTACACAAAAGTCATTACCTTTATATCACACATAGTAATAAGGTTATTTTAGTCATTTTCACTTTATTCCTACTATATCCCAATATAACACTAATATTTTCAAAACTACGTACAAAAAGCAAATGGATATTTACTTTCGGGACGGAGGGAGTATTTTTTATATTACTTACCATAATTCAACACACTCTGAACCATGTATGATAGATAAAACCTGGAGGCGTTGGGGTTTGAAGTTCAAACCCACACCATTAGACATCTCTTGGACAATAGGTTTATTTATTTGGTGATTTTTTCCTGTGTTTTGGTTATTTAAAAAATATCAAAATATTATACTCCCTCCAATATCCTATTGGAAGGGTGGCGTTTGTTTTTTCACGTAGATTTTTAAATATTAGTATTATATTGGGTTATAGTAAAAAAGATAAAAATACTCCTATTAGTACGGTGTAATATAAAAGTAATGATATTTGTGTAATATATTTTAAGTTGAAAGGGTATATATATTATGTTAGGGAGATAGTACAATTACTAATTTAGAAAATGATAAACTTATTTTTGGGACGAACATAAATAAAAAATAATAACATTTCAATGGGAAGGACGGAGTATAATAAATTTGAAACAAAAATCAAATAAATCCTATCGAGATTGATTTTTTTCGTACAATACAATTTAATAAATATATATATTTAAAATTAAATATTGAATACTTTATTAAACTCGGCAAAAAATTAAACTTAAACACGTTTCATTAATGATAGGGTCGGGCCGGGTCAGACCGAACCGTCCCAATGGTCATCAAGTGGAAGTGAATTGAGCCGGGTAACCAGGCCCATTGGGCCAGTAAGAGAAGTGGCAAAATTGTAAATATATTCAATTACGAGGGTATTTATAATAAAATGAGCAAATATGACCGTTACTTCTCCACCGCTTTCTTTATATACGTGAGAACTCCATTGGCGATGGCCACAGACCTATTTCAATTTCAGAGCCGTTGATTTGAGAAGGAACAGAGATTTATTCTCACACAGACGTTCATTTCGAGAAATTATTCTGTAAAACGAAGGGAGTTTCTGAAAGATTTACTGTGCAGGTGTTCTCTTTCAATCTCAATCTCAATCTTCCCTTCGTTTATATGTACTTTCCTTGGAATGATTGCTTTGTGATGCGAGATATTTGTATGTATCGCTTGAATTCTGTATAGATAAACACCTTAATTAGATGTTTGTTTGATGCTGAAATCTCTCTGCAGTTGATTTTTAAAATTTCGATTCTCGAATCTCTGAAGTTGATTCTGGTTAGCGGCAAATGTTGGTGATTTTCACAAGTTTTTTATTTAAGAAGATGAGGCATAGGTTGGGTGAAATTATATCAAGAGTGTTTTGCTTGCTTTTTTCGTGAATACATGATTCAGTTGTATGATGTATCGCTTGAATTCTGATTAGATGTTTGTTTGTACGTACGTGCATCGTTTGATACTCAAATCTCTTTGTAATTGATTTTCAAAATGTTAATTCTTGAATCTCTGAAGTTGATTGTGGTCAGCGGCAAGCGTTGGAGATTTTCACAAGTTTTTATTTAAGAAGATGAGGCATACATTGAGTGAAAATTTTATCAAGAATGTTTTGCTTACAGTTTTCGTGAATAAACGATTCAGTCGTATAATAACGTTTCTTGATTGTGCTTATTGGTTATTTTATAACATCACTTCAGCTATATTTGGTTTAGGTATATTGGCTTTATCTTCTCTTCTCATTTCCTTCACTCGATTCATTTCTGTTTGGTTAATTACTTGTGATTTCGTTGTTTTCTTAGGATTCTACATTTTTATGACCTAAAGATTCATCTCCTGGAATTATTGGGTGGATATTGACAGTTAAATTTTGCTTATGATGTTTCAGAGCAATAATTCTTACTTGAGCCAAGCGAAAATGGCGACACCGGCTTCTCGGATGCTCCAAGATCAAAATCTGAATATCGCCACCCATGGTAAAACTAAATCCATTTCATATAAGATTATCCTTACATCGAAATAAGCTTTGATTTACATATGTTCTTGGTGCATCCTATTTAATGAAGGAGGGGGCCTTGGTGGGAGAAAAGCTCTTATGGACATATCCAACTCAAGGAAACCTTTGACTAACCGTGCCGTCAAAAAAGACACTTCAACCAATATCTTTTCAGCTGGGAACGATACTTTCAAACCTAAATCAACCAAGGCACCTGAGAAAAGAAAAGCTGGTGGTAGGAAAGCACTTGCTGATCTTACAAACTCAGCCAAGCCGAGTCTTGGCCGAAAGGCGAATGCTGCTGCAGAGAGAAACATTCCCAGTTGTATGGCAGAGGAAGGTTTCTTGCACAATCATCAGGAGTGCATTGCTGCTCGGACGAAGCCTATGGATGTAGACCACTTTTTTAAGTTAACAGGGCTTCATCACGGTATATTAATTATCTGCGCCATTCAACTAATTTTTTCTTGTTGTTGTCTTGTTGCATTCAGTAACTTATTCAACTTTTTCATGTTTTGCATCAGATTTTGTGCCTAATAGGGCAATCCCGGTAACCCCTAAGAAGGTAATAATATACATACATACACATACTTTCTTGTTCTTTTGTTATTCGATGAATCGCTGAATTCTTTTGTTGTTTCAGCTCGACAAGCATTCGGAGATCGAGGACATGCTGGATTCTGAGGTTCACGGCGGCTCGCCTTGGTTTCAATCTGTGAAGTCGCCAAAGTCTCCTCCTCGTCCATACATGAGTTTTGAGGATGATGAGGAATTTTCTGATTTGAAGATCATCGACTCACCACCACCCAAGGTCATTTAGCTAGCCCTAAATGTTGTTTTTTTTAAGTTTGTTTGTTAGTTAGTATTATATATAATGTGATATTTTGAAATAGGGTGGATTGCCATTAGTTGATATTACATCCTTCCTATTTGTTTGGTTTAGCTTCTTGCCTTCCTCTCTACTCTTTCATTGTGTTTGTGCCCTTATCTTTATTACTACTTTAAATGACAAAGCGTTAAGCGTCTAGCGATGAATATTTTTAGGCGGAATTAATTGCCATTACTTGATGGTTTCATTACATTCTAGTATTTCCTTAGAATTTGACTTTGTTTTTTTTTTTTTCAATTGGGTGTTTTGATTCTGATCTCAAACCCATTTTCAGATCAAATCAAAATTGTAAATTTGTAATCCACATATTTTGTATATTTTTTTTCTATATAGCATTTAATAAATACAATGTGGTATGTTTGTTATGGGAGAATGTTGGAAAAAAAAATTAAGATATAAAAACTCGAAAATAATGAATGTGTGTAGTATATTAATATTTTTGAAAAATTGTATAGGAAATATAAAAACAGTGAATGTGTGTGTAGTGTATATTAAAAATAGACATAATATATATATTTTTAACCATGGTGAAAGAAGATATTAACTTAACCAGGACCCACCCGGGTTTAAGTTCTCTGGACCTCCAATAGACATCCACATGAACCAACAATGCAAAAAAGTAGTGTCCCAAACATTTCTTTAAAACAAGAATAGTCATATAGAGAGAGAGGGACAGGACAACAAACAAAACAATCAAAACTTTCGCCATTAGCCCAGTTATGAAAATGCAGAACTATATAAATATCCATCCCCTAACATAACAAGCAAACGGAAAATAACTCGGTCCAGAAACAACGAGCAAAATATTACCTTACGACTACCGAACAAACTCCTCACTCCTCCTCAGCAATGGCTCCTTTCTCGCTAACATATATACCGTCGAGAAACTTTCTAATGTCCTTGTTCTTCACATGGCATTTCTGTTCGAACCAACCAAACACCGCATCAATAAATTCGAATCAATCCCAGTTCATACAGATATGCATATATACATGTATTTGCAATGAATCCCGAAATCCAGATCATGTTTTTACCTGGTTTATCAAGGCAGCAGAGCGAGAAACAAGCTCGATATCATTTCCTTCCAAAATCAACTCATCTTTTACCTTCTCCGATCGCACAATGTTAACCCCGTCAAGCATATCTACCTTCCTCACCTGGTTACAATACACAATAAACGACAATTAGATACAAGCATATCCCCTTTTTTATTTTTGTCTGGTAATATTTAATTTGTGTCAAAACTCACTTTAATATCTGTTTATAGCATATAAAACTACTTCAATTCAAAATTTTGTTATTCAAAGACTCAAAAACTTAGTGTTTTTAACATAGACAATTTCCTGAAATATTAACAAAATTACAAATAAACAAAGAAGTAACCCAAGCTTAAAGATTCAGGAATGAACAAGATAAATAAACAAGATATCATTTGTTATACTAATTTCATGATCCCTCAATATCGAAAACACCTAAAACTATAAAAACTAAACAAACACATCTGCAAATAAACCCAAGCTTAAAGATTCAGGAATGAACAAGATAATCAAAGAAATCTGAGAATGGAACACAATCCAGCATCTTCTAAGGATTGAAATTTATGCAAAAATGCACAGAGTTATAGCCCTAATCACAGTTCAAAAAGAGGCATAACATCATGAACATAATAAATCAACTGAGGAGCAAAAAACAGGAACAGAAAACGAAAAATCATGACAAATATATCAGTAAAATTACCGCGCACAGATTAATCTAAACCTATCGCATAAAGATTCATCGTATGAACGAGGATCGTGAATGGCGGATATGTGAAGTTTTAATTCTATCGCGTACAGATTCATCTTATGAACGTGGATCATGAATGGCGGATATGTGAAGTTTTAATTCTACCGCATAGAGATTAATCGAGAAGAACACCATAGCAATTGAATCAGTGCACGAAAATCTAAACAAAAGGTGTGCACACTTAATATATCAGTAAAACTTAATTTTATGAATGGGGATCATGAATGGCGGTTATATGAATTTTTATTACCCTCTTCTCGCCAAGGAAGTTGCGGATCTCAATGGCGGTGCCGGTGTTGGTGATGGACGCGTTGATGGGGAAGTGAGCGTAGACGAAACGCATCTTGTAACGATAACCCTTGGTGACGCCATTGATGAGATTGGTGACGTGGCTGAGAGCGGTGCGAATAGCTGCGGTGGTCTTGCGGCTGCCGAACCAGGCGTCGACCTTGAGTTTCTTCTTACCGGTGGCTTCGTCGGTGATAAGCTGAAAATCGAGGTTGAGGTGCTTGAAATTGCGAGAGAGCTTACCCCTGGGGCCCTCGACCTCGATGAGCTTGGCTTTGATCTTGATCTTCACCCCGTCGGGGATCTCCATGGAGTCGGAGGAGAGAATGGTCTTCATGTTTGAGGCAGAAACCCTAGCGTGGAGGCGCGGCGGCGACGAAGCAGTTGCGGCAGAAGACGAAGAAAAATTTATATGAAGAAGTCAGGGGAGGGATTTTGTGGGCTGGGCTTAGAGAATTTGTTTGGGTATATGATCTTTTACTGCTATGTTTAATAAATATTTTAAAATTTTTCAATACTAGTACTATTATCTATGAATAATAAATTTTTAAAAAATATTAAATTAATTAGATAAAGATTTTTGAAAATTTTGAAAATTTAGAAAAAAATAAAAGTATAGTATTATTTTTTGAAAATAAATTATAATTAATGTGATATTTTTTTAAATTAAATAATTTTAAATGAGGGAAAATTGATTATGTAAATAAAATCTTTGATTTTTTGAGGTAGAAGATAATAATTTTTTATTCTTTTTATTGAAATTACGAATTAAGATGATATTCTTATAGTTCTTATTTTTTTGTACATTATTATATTAAAAAGAAACTATTGATAATGTATTAGAATAAATTAATTTTAAAACTTTTATAAATAACAAATTAAATAGTAGTATAAAATTTAAAAATAATTTATAATTTCAAATATAAAGAATAATCGATTTAATGAAAAAAACTAAAATCTGAGATAAGAATTTCTAGTAGAAATTTTATGCAGCCGGGGATTATGCTAGGTCTAAAAATAGAATATATATATATATATTATATTTGTTAAATATTGTGAGTTTTTCCGTACTCTTTGTCTTTCATCTATATCTATATGAGAAGCAGTTTATTTACACCATAAGTACATGGCTGTGCATATTTATATGTCTTCTGCTAGTTCTATGGTTATGGGCAGCAGTCAATTGTCAACGGGCACGCTGTGCATATTTTTTTGCTTATTTCTATTTCGGGCTTACATAATTCTCAGACGATTTTTGTAATGTACTGCACGCCACCGGATGACCTACGAGTATGACATATTTTTATCATTGACGCTTGTTAACTTTTGGTATTCAGTAACTCTTTAAGGTTGATTACATATTTTTTATTATATATCAAACATAACTTGCATTGAAGAAATATTTCTTCTGCTTGTTCTTCCGCACGTTTACTGTCCAAATTAATTTTTTTTCCCTAAGAAAAAAAAAGTTAATAAAAGAAAAACATCACACTTCATATTTATTATATTTTTTTATATTTAATATAAATTATTTTAATAATACAAATAATTTCATCACTCCAATTATTACATATCAAATCACTATTCAACAAAATCCTTCAAAATCAAACAAAACTTACTACATAAAAAAAAAAACGTAAATTCCCAAAACTCCTAAAAAATTCAAATCGATCACAAACTCAATCTTCCCAAACCCAACGTAAAGAAACACGTAATGATAATAAAAGTTAAAAAAAAATAAATGAGGAGATAATAAGAAACAAATTAATAATAAAGAATTATAAAAAAAAATGACTTGATAAAAGTGCCCTTTGAACAAATTGATCAATTTTTTTTAATAAAATCAAAATTAATTATAGCTTAAAAAAAAAAAGGAATTCAAACAATAACCAACCAATAAAGTGTAACCTCATTTCCGTAATCTCCATCTCCATCGAAACGCAAAGTCTGACTCTCGAGACGGCACCAAATGGGTGCTCTGAGGCTGCCCTTCCTCACTTCGCTCTCCGCCGCCGTTCCTCGCCGCTTCCCTCTCCGGAGACCTCTTTACATCGCTAATTTCTCTGCGCAAAGCAGCGCGGTTGAGAAAGAGGTAATTGCTTCCGGCGAAAGCTCCCCCAAGCCAAAATTGCAGCAAGATAAGGACCGGGTTATCACTCCTCGCTCACAGGACTTCAATGCTTGGTACTTGGATATCATTGCCAATGCGGAGCTAGCTGATTACGGTCCCGTTCGTGGCACCATGGTCATTCGTCCATACGGCTACGCTATATGGGAAGCGATTCAGGTTAGTTACTGTTCAACCCAGGTTTTGGGGGGGGGGGGGGGTGGTTATATAGATTTTCCCGCCTTTTGCCCAATTTTATGTCGATCGAGTGTTTTTCATGGTGCAGGATTATTTGAATGTGAAGTTTAAGGAGACAGGTCATAGTAACATGTATTTCCCACAGGTAAGCATCATCGTAATCTTCCTTTGCTTTGGGAATCTTTAGAAATTTTCATTTCCTCTCTTAAAAAAAAAAGAAAAAAAAAGAAAAGGAAGAGTTTTAAGATTGTGATGGTGAAGCTGAACATTTGTATTGATAATTCATCGATTCATGTGCATTTTCTGCTTACTATTGAAGTGTAACGAATTACATTGAACAATTGGAATAGTGGTTTGATGTGATATAAATATGAATTGATGTAATGTTTAGAATACAAATTTGATTTCTAATGTAGTATAAGAAAATTGGTGTTTTATTTTATATATTTGGAGGAAGAAAATTTAATGAATAGTAAAAGTTATGTCAAAAACCCACAAGCAAACACAGTCTAAAAGGTTGAGGCCATATTGTGTCTTGGCTCTGAAACTACCTTTGAGTGGCATTTTAGGATAATAAGGGACTAAGACCGTTTAAAGTACTGATTCTAAAGCTGTTTCTGTTTTTTTACTATCAGTGTGTCTGTATTGTTTACCTCATGCTTATGAATTGATTGGTGCTGCAGTTTATACCCTATTCATTCATTGAAAAAGAAGCCAGTCATGTCGAAGGTTTCAGTCCAGAGTTAGCTGTTGTGACGATTGGAGGGGGAAAGGAGCTTGAAGAAAAGCTTGTGGTAAATATACCAATAAAAACTATCATCTACAAATATCTTTTTTTCAATATAGGTGGATTACTTTTTGAAGTATCCCTGAGTTCACCTTTTGATTGTTGCACTTGAGGTTGTGGCAGGTTCGACCTACAAGTGAAACTATTGTCAACCACATGTTCACTCAGTGGATTCATAGTTATCGTGATCTTCCATTGATGATCAACCAGGTTTGTTAGTGGGCGTGCCTCTTTGATTTCCATCATATTCTTCGCGATGAATATAGCTTCTTGTTGTTCTGTTCTTTCTTTTTCACTTTGGTTCTTTTAAATTTTGTTCTAGTGGGCTAATGTCACAAGATGGGAAATGCGTACTAAGCCATTTGTCAGGACTCTTGAATTCCTTTGGCAGGAAGGCCACACGGCTCACGCCACTCCAGAGGAAGCAGAAAAGGAGGTTTTCTTTTTTTAATTTGTAACTTTTTTCGCCTTTCAATGAGTATAGTTTTTACTTCTCTTATAAAGCCAAGTGTCTTGATACTGTTAAATTCCAGGCCTTACAAATGATTGACATCTACACGAAATTCGCTTATGAGCAAGCTGCAATTCCTGTTATTGTGGGTCGTAAATCCAAGGTTGAGACATTTGCTGGTGCTTCAAAGACCTACACAATTGAAGCAATGATGGGAGATCGGAAAGCTTTGCAGGCTGGAACTAGCCACAACCTTGGACAGAACTTTTCACGCGCTTTTGGAACTCAGGTTGATGTTATATGCTTTATAGAATACCTCGCAGCAGTTGGTAACATGTATATAGGTATTTTGGTTATACCTAATAACTTATGATGCTTATGGTTCCTAGGGAGCTTTCTATTTCATGTACATAAAATTTAAAATCCTTTATACTTGTCTGATAAGAACCATTACGAAGAAGTTCACTTTGGCTGCCGAGCATATTCATTTTGTTATATTTTTATACTTAGTAATGCTTCTGTTCGAAACTCCAAAATGTTATGAGAAATAACCCTCTGCACAATGACATGAAGTAATACAATCAGGCTTCAATTTGATAAAAGCAACTCATTAAGAGCGTACTATTTTTGGTACACGAGCATGTTTTACAAAGTAATGTTTTGTGAATTGTATTTTTAGATTTTATTTTACTCATCAAGTTATGCATGCTTGTTTATTTAGCAACCCGGATATATCTAGTGTCCACTGTGCTGGAGATTTTGCTCAGATGATTTTCTTAATTCAGTTCATGGATGAAAATGGACAAAGGCAGCACGTATGGCAGACATCATGGGCAATTAGCACAAGGTTTGTTGGTGGTATAATTATGACACATGGTGACGACAATGGTCTGATGCTTCCTCCAAAACTGGCCCCTGTCCAGGTACTTTAATACAGAATTCACCTGTAGCTAATGCTATGGTTGTATCTTGCTAGTTGTTCTCTTTTTTTTTTTTTTTAAGTACTTCTTTATCTATTGGTGCTTTTATGAGCTCAACTTCAAAATTCCAAAACTAGAAAACATTAATGCTGCACTTTGGAAGGGATGTCTGATGCTTTTATGAACAACCATTGGCCGAGTAATATGTTGTATAACAATTTGGCACCGACTGTTTGTGAAATCCGTACATGAGAACAGATATTATGTATATATAATGATTTCTTTCTTCAAATATGGTTACCATTTTTGTGTGATTTGCACTTTGGAAGGGATGTCTGTATGCTATAGTTTTGTTTTTTTTTTTTGGCACACTGCTCATTTTCTTACAAACTTGTGGCATGTAAGTCCTGAATTTATATATATATATATTCTTTAAATGTAAATTTTTTCCCCTAACTAGTGAGATTTCCAGGTAATTGTCGTTCCAATATGGAAGAAGGAAAATGAGAAAGAAGCAGTTTTCAAAGCTGCCTCATCTGTGAAAGAAACACTTTCTTCTGCTGGAATCAAGGTTAAAATTGATGATTCAGAGCAGAGAACACCGGGGTGGAAATTCAACTTTTGGGAAATGAAGGTGTCTTTTCTACCCACTGGAATCGTTATGTTAACTGCTAGTATATTTTTTGATTCTTTTGTTTGATTGAGTGTAGCATTGCTACTATTCATCGAAAAGGTTTGAAATGATAATGCCGAAGTACTGAATATTATATATAGATGAATAAACTTGTACTTACTATTAAGCTAAAATGGGTCTCTTTAGATTTTTTTTGGCCTTTAATCCTTCTCATACTGATGCGGCTGAAACGAGAAAATGTGAACAAGTGCTAATGTCTTACAATTAAACCCATTACATTTTTAAGGTTTTCTTATTGAAGTGGCTCACGGGTAAAAAAACATCATAAGCATTCCTCTTGCAAGAAAATTATTAACACCACCTCATATTTCTTGCTTCTATTCAGGGTGTTCCTCTAAGAATCGAAATTGGGCCCCGAGATGTATCAAGTGGGAGTGTGGTTATTTCTAGAAGAGATATTCCTGGAAAACAAGGAAAAGCTTTTGGCATATCTATGGACTCTTCAACCTTGTTGGCTTATGTCAAAGGCAAGTTAGACGAAGTCCAGTCATCTCTTCTTGAAAGAGCCATCTCCTTCCGGGATAGGTAATTTCTGTTACCAAGCTGGTCCAATTGATTTACAAATCGTATTTATCTTCTGCAAATTTTAGATTTATGATGAAATTGTCGTCGCTGAAGCCTCCAATGGCTGCTGATTTTGTGTTATGCCACACTACTAGACATTAGTAGTTATTATACTCCGTCAGATAGTATAGGGTCTGCTATGTGATAAAAATAATGCATTTTTACACATGGGGATGAATAGTAAAAGACATTGAAGAGTGTGTTTGTTTGGCGGTTGAGTTTTGAATAATAAAATTTTGAATTTGGATAGTTTGATGTTTTGAATGTAAAATTGATTTTAAGTATAATATAAAGATGAAATTGTGTTTGGAAAAAAATGTTTGTGTTTAATGAAAATTCTGTAAAAAAATCCCAAACATAGAACAAACCCCAAAGATAATGTCCAATGAAAATTACATTGAAGACATATTTATATTGGATTCGGGTGTGGTTTATCTTTCCTATTAGCATGAATTATTTGATCACACACACAAGTTCATATATCACCTTATTTTATTTTATTTTATTTTTCTTTTATGTATGACAACATGTTGGGCTACCATGATCTGATCCCGATAAATGTCATTTTCAGCCACATTGTCGACGTGAGCTCTTACAACGAGCTTAAAGAGGCAATAGCTCAAGGTAAATGGGCAAGAGGGCCTTGGTCAGCCAGGTACATCTTCAAACTCGACAAAACATTTACCCCAGCCTTACACAAGACATACCTACTGTATTCGCGAAATTATACTAATAACCTGTCTGAGACATGCTTCAATTAATTTACACAGCGACGAAGAGGAACTGAAAGTGAAAGAAGAAACTGGTGCTACAATTCGATGCTTCCCTTTGGACCAGCCAGCGTGCGCCAAGAAATGCCTGATGACGGGTAATTCAGCAGACGAAGTAGCAATTTTCGCAAAATCATACTAAGTCTCGGTGCCGGAGTGGAGTCATTGAAGGTAAGCTACAAAAAAAATTCTTTAGTAGCGCTATTACTGGAAAAAAAAAAAAAATGCTTGAAGGCTACTTGAATTGTCTAAGTGTTTTTTGATATTTATTTTTGCTCTATATGGTAAATTACAGAGTTCAATTTGAGCAGATAAGTTTAATATGCTTTTTGGTAGGAAGATATATTTCTTGAATTAGGACACCCTTCTCTTATTATAATAATGTGCTATTTGTGTGTATTTTAGTGGTGTTTGTATAGGTTTTGTTTGTTTTTATTGTATGAATATATATTTTTATGGTAAGCCTAGGACAGTAATTTGGACCTATTTATATGTCCATTTGTGTTTTTATTCGCTTTGGTGTTGGTATTGTTTATTTTAGTATAAAACTATGGGGATGGCTACAGTTTTATTTGCTACAGTCACGTCAACATATAAGAAAACAAAATTTGTGTTATATTAACATACATACTGTGTTGTCGTTACAGGGTAGATGGTTTGTACTAAGGCTATGTTCTCTTTATTTTTTTCTTTTACACAATTTTTTCAAAAATATTAATATATTTCACACATTCATTATTTTTATATTTTATACATATTTTTTTATATCTCATATAAAAAAAATACTCAATCAAATTATCTCACAAAACAAATACACTATAATTCTTTTATTTTAAGTTTATTATAAATAGTAGTATCTTTTAATACTTTGTGATAAAAAAAATATTATATTTTATTGAAAAATCCTAAGGTAAAAAAATTTAATTTGGGTCTAAAAATGAAAAAAAGAGATCTTATTATTTTTTTTATCTTGAAGATCACTTTAAAACTAAGATTAGTAGAAGTTTTAGGACCAATTTAATAACAAATAGTAAACCTAAGAATTTTGAAAAGCTCAAAATTTCTCTTTTAAAATATTTAATATAATTTATAATGCTCTCTCCGTCTCATAACTAAATATTCATTTATTTTCTACCAGTAATTTTAGAAATATTAGTATAAAGTAGAAACGACTAAACTAACTTTATAATATATTGTAAGTTGTAAGGATATTTGTAATGTTAGTTTTATAGTACCGTTACTTAAAAAAAATTAAAAAAAAATAAAAAAAAAAAAAAAAAAAAAAAAGGACGGAGGGAACATGAGTTTGATTTGGTAGAATATTTTCTCAAAGAATTCAAATTCAAGTTTTATTTATAATACCGTCAACAAGAAGTTATACATATATTTTTTTCTCTTTTTTTTTTTTCCTTTTCAAATTCAACTGAGTATCAATAAATTTATTTTGTCCAAAGTGAATTTCTACTATTCAAATAAAATTTCAAAATTGTAGGAATAAAAGGATCAGGAATGTATTCTTGAGGTAACAATGAATTGAAAAAAAAAAAAAAGAGATAGAATGAAAAGTAAACATATTTTATTCATGCATATTTTCGAACTTCTAATATTTATTAAACATTACTTTTTATTCAATAAAAAAACATATCTAAATACAATCGAATTAGGGTTTTGCGAAAGTAGATCAACTCGCAAAAAAGCAATATAACATATGTTGGGGGGGGGGGGGGGGGGTCCCGGTTTGGGCAGTTTTGCCACATCAGCCAGCCAAATTCCCGAGGGTAAAATCGTCAGAAAAAAGAGTATAGATACGTGGTGAAGCCACTGTTCCAAAGCCCATCTCATCTTGCAAACAAAGCCTAGGCGGAATTCTGTTGCCAAATTTTGGGAAGGAAGGAACGCCATGGTGATGGAAGCAAGGACTGAAATCTCCTGCAATCCGCAATTCATGCTTCGGGAATCACCCTGCTGTATTTTTCACTTCGTGTGTTTCTGATTGAACTCCCCGAATCAACTCCGCACTCCATTGATTCAATCACGGTACGCGCCACGGCATTTTTCGCGGTTTACTTTATGCATCGTGTCTTTTTGCTTGTGTTAATGGAAATTAGAATCGATGATGGTGAATGAATTTGAAGAGGTTTTTGGGAAATATATTTTTTGTTTTTGTTTTAATTTCCCGGGTGACGATGGATTCGTTACTGGCTCGATAAGGGTCGAGGGAGGGCGATGATAATCTGAAAGCTATCGTATGTGAGAAGATTTTTTTGATTCGCTACCGATTTTGCAGATATGCGAAACGAATTGGTTTTACCTTTTTTTGTGAGATTGTTATAATGTTTACTATTCGTCGTTGTATAATAATCAACCATCATGAAGAAGGAAACACAAGTTTGAATTTCTGATGGCGGCTAGTTTTAGCGGAAAGATCTGCAGTTTCGAAAGAATGATATTTATTTACTTTTAATTTTTATAGAAACCATAGCTTCTGCTTTGCCTGAGATGACTGGTTGTTTTTGAAGGAAGAATCTCTGATTTCGATTCAAAATTTGATCAAGGTGCAATTTCAGCTGCTCATCTATGCAAATTTTGATTGAAAAACCTTCTAATTTGTTAGCTGATTAATGTACTTTGCTTAATTTAGTTGTCAGTTGAGTTATGTGGTTTTACTAGGGTTCTACTCAAAATCTCCACTCACCAAATATATGCCTATTTATTAAAGTAAGCTTGAAAAAATTATGACAAATTAATTATTATTTGTTTAAGATAAGGATAATAAAATTGTAGGCGGACAAAGTTGTTTATTGTAAATAGATTGTAGTGATATAATTTTGGCAGACGAATTAGAGTATTTTTTGTTGATAAAGCAGAAAATAGATGTTATTTGGTGGACGGAAATAATTGTTTGGATTAATATGAAGAGAGGGATTTGATCGTAGTTTATGTTAGATCAAAGTGTTCTAATACTTCCCTCTTGATTGTGTGTGAAGGTTTGGTTGCTATCAATTTATTTGCATGTATGTTAGAGGGACATGGACACAACAAATATGCGTAACCTTACTGGTTCAGATGCGGATGCCCTTTTGCCACCTCGTAAGCGGCTTCTTGCTGGATTGAAGAGGCAAAATTCTGATGTTAACTCAACTTTGCCGTTGCCATCGACTCCTGGAAGTGAAAGTGAAAGTGAAAGTGATTGTTTCAATATATATAGGTCCCAGATGGGTATTCGGAGTCTTTCTGACGAGGGAATTGTTGAAGCCTCAAGAACTGCTGCCGTGGAAGCTGCAAGGACGGCAAAGGCTGCACGAGCAAATGCCGAAGAGAAGGCCAAAAAGGCGGCAAAGGCAGTGGCGGCTGCCAAGGCTGCTTTAGAACTCGTTGCGTCACTTTCAATGGAGGCTTCCAACAAAGAGGAAAACCTGAAAAAGAACAAGATGAAGAAGCATGTCCCGGTTGAAGCGTTATATAATAACAAGAACAATACTAAGGGTAGCGCTGCTGATGAACAGCTTGCCCGCAAGCTGCACCAGGCCATCAACAGTTCCCCAAGAATTTCAAACAACTTGCCGAGTTTGAATTTGAAGAGCCACAAACATAAGAAAATGAAACACTCAGCAATTTCCGAAGGAACCAGCATATGGAATGGAGATCCTCTTTTCCATGGGAATCTATGTTCCACAACCTCAATGAATGGTAGTGATACGATCGGAGAGATATATGCTGAAGGCCGTGGTCCTGTAAAGAAGATAGATACGACTGTTGGAGATGTGAACAGATCAAATTATATTAAAGGAGACAAGCTAAAGTTGCACAATGGAGCAGAACAGGAACCAAGTAGACCAAATTTCCTGAAACCGGAGAAAAACAAATTCGATACAATTCTGTCAAACAATAAGTTTGCTGAAAGTTTGGGCACTTTGGGTAAAAGGAGGGGGAAAATCAAGCAAAAGAAGTTACCTTTGAGCTTTTGCAGCTTTAGAGATCGATCCAGCCCCAAAGAGAAGGTGAAACCTCAAGGCGCACCACAGTTGGAAGATGATGCAGTCTCAACTTGCGGAGTGCCAGCGGGCCTCATATTCCACGGCGCATTCAGGTAACAGTTTTGATCCCAATTGAGAGGACATCGGTGTGGGAAGTGTCGACCCTTGAAAGTTACCTTCTTGCGTCAATAAAGTCATGCAGTTGTATAGGCTATCTCGGTAGGAGTTTAGATAAATAACTTAACTTTGCAGTCTTTCCTCTGTTTCTTACCCTTGCCAATGGATTTTGAACGTAAATGTATATTGAACGCTTGATTGCGCGTATACGCACACGATTTGTTTCTTCTTGTGAATGTTGTTTGCTTGAAGGTGTTGTGAGTAAAATGTAGAAATGAGTTACATGAGTACTTTGATAGTTTCTTTCTTGTGAAGCAATAAGTATTCAAATTTTGTAAACCTCTGCTGCTTTGGATAGAATCTGAAAGCAAGAATGTCTGTATGATATATATCTGTAGCAGTTAAAAAATTGAATATTGGCAATATTGGAGTAACGAATGATCAATTATTTATTGATTAGCAAATGATATTACTGTTGTATAATTTTTGGGGAGGATCTCTTTTGGGAAGTGAATAACTGGAAGCATTTACACATATAAATGACTGTTTGATTCAAGAAACCCATAGTGGACACCATGTGCGATGTCCCAAGTTGTAAATTTTCATGGGCAGCCATGGGAGTAAAATGGGTTTGGGTCTACCCCACCCCCACCCCCACCAGACAGACAACTCTTTTTATATATCTATTTATTTATCATAAAAGTAATGCTAGATCGAATTTTTATTTAATTTTTCATAATCTAGTGTGTTTTGTGTAGATGAAGGTGAATGCGACGGCGTCGTTTGGGACAACTGTAGTTGACTGAGACAGACGTGTCGGTCTTCGAACATCCTTTTCACCCATCTGATGGCCTCCGATTCCGACAATGGGAGATTAAACCCAAGAATTCAAATGGGACCACTCAGTCCCTTCCATTCTTCAGGTAATAAATTTTTCTTTAATTTGGGGATTGATCGCATGATCGATGCACATGGAAATTAATCAAAAATTATTATTCCCCCAAATATGACGTTGATGATCGTTGTTCGGCCCCACAAACTATAAATTTTTACCCTTTTCCCCATTCGCGTCGTTTGTCGTCATCACCAAAGTATGAGTTGCTGATTAATTTGAATATGATTGAATATTCTGCCCTACTCTTCCCTCCCTCCCTCCCGTCACGTCGATATTCCCCAATTTGAAATTGTAGCTGTAAAAATCCAACACTAGGGTTTTGATTTCAATCATTACATCGTTCGAATTAAAGTACAGCTCCTTTCTTGATATCCCTCTATCCATCCAGCGCACACACACACACATATAGATATAGGTAAATTTATTTTATATGCACAAGTGGGCTTCTTGTTTTTCGAGCGGTTGGGTTTTACAGAGAAGGGGAGAGAATCCGTTAGGGTAATTGAGTTGAAGAGGATGACGGAGGTGATCCTCCATGTCTACGATGTGACGAACAGCGGTAACGAGAAAACCAACACCACGATTATGCAGATCAACAGGTTCTTCAAGGATGGAATTGGCCTTGGCGGCATTTTCCACAGCGCCGTTCAGGTTCTTCCCCAATCTCGATCCTTTTTGTTGATTTCAATCTACGGTGCTTGATTATATGCGATCTGAAGTTGTGTGGATGTGTTTTTTACTTTGTTCGTTTCTCTCAATTTTTCGTTTGATTGTTCCGATTACTTTGTCGAGTAGATCTAGGGTTTTACTTACCTCGTTCGATTTGATGCGGTGAGTGTTTTTCTATCTTGGAATTTTCCAATTTCTTCGATTTTAGGGCTGTGTGGTGATTCCTTTATATGCAGGTTTCTGATTTTAGCCCTTGTAAACCCTAATTGAGATTCTTTCTTGTTTTACCGTCAGGCTTCTTGAATCTTGGCTGATTTTGAGATAGTTTCTTAAGTCTGTTAGAAAACCAATAGGCTTTATATTGTTACCGAATTCAAGATTAATACACATTGCTTGTTCATTGAAAGTGTCCAGGCGTTTGGATGAACTTTTTTTTTTTTTTTTTTTTTATCTTTATCTTCCTTTGTATCTTTATCTCTTTGGGAGACCCTCCCCTGAGTTTTGATCTGTTTCTTGATGAAGATTGGGAAGCTACATTAAATGAATCTGCTAGTGTTGGTTACAAATTCAATCATTTCTTTCTTTCGATTCTTCTTGAAGCTGGATAATAAAAAAGTATCATATTCAGTTAGTTCTTTTTGGGGGTGGAAAGTTTATTTACCTGAGATGGGCTTTAAATCTTTCGATTCCAAAATTTAGAACTCAAAGCAAGAAAATTATGGGTAGTAATATAGATGTAATGTGGCAATTAAATTTTGAGGAAGGTCTCGATTATTGCATCACTCACTAGTTTATTAAGATAGATGGTTGAGTGGTTAGCATTTGTTGGTGGTTATTTGTTCCTATAATGCACTTTTCTAGCAGAAGACCTTATCTACTTTATTTAGAATATATAAATTGCCATAGCCCTTTGCAAAGCTTGGGGTGTGAAATCCTGTACTAACTCATTCCCAATTCTTCTGTACATATTCTGTTGTTTGTGATTGATTATTTGATCTTTTACTTCCTCTTGTCTAGTTGTTTGCTTGTTATGATTCTCAGCTCACAACTTACAGTTTTCTGCTTTACGAATATGAGTTTTTATCTTTGTTCGGTTTTCGGTACTCTGCACTTGCAACTAATTTATCTTCTTTGGAAACAGGTTTATGGAGATGAAGAGTGGTCATTTGGATATTGTGAACAGGGTACTGGAGTGTTTAGCTGTCCCCCAACAAAGAATCCAATGTACACTTATCGTGAAACCATTACCCTTGGGACTACCTCTTTCTCCATCTTCAAGGTTAATCAGATTCTAAGAGAACTTAGTAGAGAGTGGCCGGGACACTCGTATGATTTGTTATCGAAAAATTGCAATCATTTCTGTGATGAGTTCTGTGAGAGACTTGGCGTGCCAAAGCTTCCAGGTATTTTTACTCTCTCTCAAGCTTACCTTTTTATATTACTGCGAATAAAATTCTGTGTTGATCAATTCGGATTTCCGTCTTAATTGATCGTTTTCAAAGACGTCTAACTGTTGCTCTTCTGTTTGTTTATACGTGCTCAAGTTGTCAGAAATTGACCTTCATTTAGAAGCATCGTTTAGTTGTAAAATGGTATATCTAGATATTGCTCAGGAATTTGATGGCCTTATATTTTTTTAAAGTTTCCGCCTCGTTCTAAATCGAACTCCAGTCAGTGATATCTGCCAATTTACCCCAACATTTGTGTGGCTTTGCTTGTAATTGTAGAATAATTGGTGGTTATTTTTTGTCATCCACTTCCTTGTGCAAGATACAGCTCAAGTAGTGCTTGCTATTCAAGCTTTATCGAAGTTATTGGGATGCATAATTTCTAACCGATTCAAAATTCAGGGACTATACACAGCTAAAACTGGTTTGGATTCATTTATTCGTAAGTAGGATCAGTATACCTTTAGCAGCTCAAAGTTCTTTGGTGTTCATCATATTAAATTTAAGTTCCACAGGAATGAAAATAGAAAGCAACTATTAGTTTGCCCGACTGAAATAAATCTTGTATGTGTAGCTGCTGCTGCTTGTAAGTACAATTACAGGCTATAAATTGCAGTGCGTTTATGCACTCGTGGCCTTGTTGGGGATGGGCAGTTTTGGATATATTTTGAATTTGATTAACTATCTACTATTTTATTATTTGATATTTTGTTTTGTTTAACATAAGGCTTTAGCCTTGGTTGGAATGATAATTTATGAAATTAATGTATATACTCCCTTCGACGTAGATATTGAAATGTTTAGTACAATAATTGAAGTCTAAGGTTTTGTTTATTTTCGTGAGGACCGCGATTACTAAAAAAAACAGATAAATTGATTTCAGATGGATTGAAGTGACAAAATGGATAGATTGATTCCGGACGGTGGGAGTTCTTTTTTTAAAATGATTGTCTTTTTCGTAGATAGCTGTCATCCTATTATAGGTTGTTAGGGTTGGATTGTTATTTACACTATCCGAGATTCATAACTCTACTTTACAGTCACTCGTTGACATTTTTACTGATGACGAGCAAGTTTTTCACTCCGGTCATTTTTTGTAACAGGTTGGGTTAACAGGTTTGCACACGCCGGTGATGCTGCCGTAGAAATAGCCGGAAACACAGCCTATCGAGTAAGATTTCATCTTTCTTCCTTCCTCGGGTATTTCTATTGCATCTCTTTGTCCTCGTAAACTCACCCTTGTCGGAAAAAATAAAATAAGAAATTTGTGAATGGTTACGGCTACTACAGTGGAGGCAAGCTAAAGCCGAGATTGTAACTGCTAGCAAGGTGGCGTATCGGTTTCTATCAGGAGTGACGGCAAACAATTCCTCCGCGGGTACGGAATCCGGCGAAAACTCGAATAGAGGAAGCCCTCGATTCCAAACCCCGTGGTTCAAGAACATTATCACGACCGGCGCGAAACCGTCAAGCAGTTCGGAGATGGAAAACTCGGACGAAGAGGCGACAACGATGAACCGGAAACAGAGACAAGATGGCGAGGCGGGGCTACAAAGCACGCCGCCGTTAAGATTAAGTAATGCGCATCGCGACAACAACTGATAAATAATTTGCCGCCGCCGGAAAGCTTGTGGCGGGGAAACATGTTGGTTTGTTTGTTGTAAAATGGTTAGAGACTTTTTAGTCTTTGTGGCGTTGTTATTCAATGGTGGATTTGTCCAGAAATTTCTACTACTGCTTGTAGTGTTTGTCTTCGTTTTAATGTTCTTTTTTTATGTCTTAGTCTCATATTCTTTGTCCATTTCTACGATGCTTTTTACTCTCCGTTGATAAATTTCCGGTTGAATTTAATAGCTTGAAAACTAGACCAGTAAGATAAGTTATGAGTTAATTTTACGCCATTCTTTTATGAACTACTTTTATCCGTCCATTAAAATTAGTACATTTAAGTTCTTTTTGGAGATTTAGTTACTATATAAAGTTAACGAAGACAAAAAATGTAATAAAATCAGTAGTATTTATTGTAAATAAGTGTTGAACGTGGGGTAATAATTAAATGTTATTTTACCAAAATTACAGATGAAGTATTTTGTAATATAATGTTGGTTTATGTGAGTTTGTGTAACATTAATTTAATGTAATTTTTATTTGCTGATGTGGTCAAAACATAGTGCTAATTGATTGGATCAGCATATACTATACAAATTATTTGCATATATTTATAAGTTTATAAATATATGCAGTTCACCCTACTAATTTGGCACATCCACACAAGATCTACTTTATAATGTTTTTGTAAAATAATTAATGTATTTATATGGGATGAATAGAATGATGAGATGGTGTTTGTTTAAGTATTAAGATATACTATTTGATTTAAATTTTAATTAGATATAATTATATCTATTCATTTATATTATATAAAATTTTATTTATTACATATATTTCATTGGGTTAAATTTTTAAAATACTTTAATATTTTCTTTTTTTCCAATTCAATGTATTTTTTTATTTTTATTTTTTTTTATAGTAAATTAAAAAAATAATACTCTCTCCGTCCCAATACAATAGTCTTGTTTATCATTTTTGTCCGTCTCAAAATAATAGTTTTATTTTCATAAATAATCATATCACTGTAAAACTACCCCTACTTTTTCATTTTTATTACACACTTACCACTACTTTTTACACTAATACACTCACATGGATAAAAAAGTTTTTTATCCATACTTTTTACACACTACCAATATAATATCAATATTCCTTAAATATCGTACCCAACTCAATTAAGAGTGTATTTATAGGGCTGAGGAAGTAGTATTTTATTGTTTAGTATAAATGTACAAGATAATTTTGACAATTTTACTTTTAAATATACAAAATAAATAAATACAAGTATTTTATTATTTAAATATAATTAATTTTACTATAATTGAAAATGAATATATTAAATGATAGTATGTAAATTTGATTATGTCAAAATGAAGCATACAATTTCTATATTAGCAACCTAAGCCAACTAAACTAAGATGGCTAACTAGATTTGGTTTATTTATATAAATATATTTGTTTATTAAAAATATATAAATCTAAAATTTTAAATTAGTCTCGTATATTATAAAAAATAAAAAATAATATAAATATCCACCTATAAAAAATAAAATAAAATAAAAATAAAATTGTCGGCAGAAACGCATTAAGGGAAATAAACATAAGTCATTAATATATAAATACATTAAAATAAGTTAGGTCGTAAAGAAATGGATTGCATAAAAAAGTAAATAGTGGATAATCCATTGAAAAAAAGTTTGGCACAAAAAGGGACCAAAAATGTCCTAACACGTAACCCAATTTATAGAAATAATTCTTACGATTATTGAATGCACTAAATATTGTGGTCGGGCCTTTTCTTACTTTATTTATTTTTTTATTTTTTAATATTGTGGTTCCATTGTGTTATTTTTTTAAAAAAAATTGTTGGTGTTTGACTTTGCTACGTAATTGGAAAATTGATTTTATATATATATATATATTTTTTTCACTTTCGGTGTAGGTTACATTTAATTTAATTTAATTAATATTGCAGGTTAGTTACTGACAGTTATTTTTATGTTGTTTGCCTTGCACTTCCTCCGTTTAAATACAATAGCATTATTTAAAATAATAGTCTTATTTTTGTAAATAATCATATCACCATAAAATTATCCTTATTTTTTCATTTTTATTACACAATTGTCACTATTTTTTACACTAATACAATCACAAGGGCAAAAAAGTCTTTTATTCATATTTTTTAACCAATTACCAATATGATATCAATATTCTTTAAATCTCGTTTTTTTCCCCTAATACTCTATCTATTTATCATTTTATTTTATTTTTACCTTCTTTTTTTTCGCCATAAAAATTATTTTTATTTTTTTAAGTAAAAAATAATAACTTTTTTATACTCTACTTTTTTGCAATAAAAAAAAATACACATTTATATTAAAACATATGGCAAAGAAATATGAGAATACAATTGAATAATTGAATAACAGTAGGAGGAATACTCCTTCCTCCCATAACAAATTATCCATTTTTCCATTTTAGTTTGTCCCATAACAAAGTATCTATTTCCTTTTTTAGTAACTGTACTATTTACTAACATTACAAATACCCTTACAACTTACAATATATTAAACAAATGTCAATGCCTTTATATCACACATACTAACAAGGTTATTTTGGTCATTTCTACTTTATTCCTACTATATCCCAATATAATACTAATATTTCTAAAACTACGTACAAAAAATAAATAGATACTTCTTTTTGAGACGGAGGGAGTATATATAATGGTTAATGAAATAAAATAATGGTGTTATTGAAATAGTAAAAATTGATTTGAGGTTCAAGAAAACAAAAGTTTAGTGTTTATTAATTATATGAGTTTTCAAAATTTCTACTTATAATGCATAAGATTATTTTTGTTTCAAAATAATTGACTTATTTTTTCTAAGCACGTGATTAAGTAATATTGATATTATATTAATAATTTATAGGAATAAATAAAAGATTTTTTTACCTATACATTACATCAAAAAAAATAATAATAATAAATCAAATCAAAATAATTTAACATATATACCTTCTTTCACAAAAGTTAACATTAAATATAATATTTTTTATTATTATTATCAACATGATTTTCCATATATTATATCAAAAAAAATTTCAAATTAAAAATCAAACAAATAAAATATTTTGAATAGAAATATAGACATAATAAAATAGACAAACTGAATGAACATAGACATAATAAAATAGAGACGTAGACAAAACTTTAATTACACACATGTGTACTTTATTATTATTATTATTATTATTATTATTAACCAATTTAGTAACAAGAATAACGTTGGAATGAATTAATTGGAGAAGTCATAAATAAAGTCAGGTGGCGATTAAGACATTGTCTGACCAACTGTACTTCCTATTTTGGGACCATTTTGCAAAAAAAAAAAAAAAACTAATTAATAAATAATTAAAATATATTAGTAAAAATTTAAAATAAAAATTAAGATAATTAATTAATATAATTAAAATTAAAAAAATAAAATTAAAAATTTTAAAATGAAATTAAAGTGCATAATATTTTTTTAAAAAAAGAAAAATTATACTCTCTCCGTCCCTTAACAATCTATCCATTTTTCCATTCGTTCGTCCCATAACAAAGTATCCGTTTCTTTTTTTAGTAATTGTACTATCTACCTAACATTACAAATACCCTTCTAATTTACAATATATTACACAAATGTCATTACCTTTATATCATACAATACTAATAGGGTTAATTTAGTCTTTTTACCTTTATTTCTACTTTATCCCAATATAATACTAATATTTCTAAAACTCCGTGCAAAAAACAAATTGATAGATAGATTGGGGACGGAGGGAGTATAATAAGTGGGACATGAAAGATAGACACATTAAGCGAACGGATGAAATAAGTTTTTATTTTTGTATTTTTATTGTACTATATTATATACAAATAATAGTATTTATATATTTTTTAAAATATAATATTAAATTCAATTTTATATTTAAAGCATCACATCAATAACTATTTATATCACATCGTACAATTATTCAAATTTAAAATTTTTACTATTCAAATCCTAACTCAAAATCCAAACCCCCAAACAAACACACCCTAAATATTAAGTTTTTAGTATTTTAAAATTATTCAAAATTCTAAAAATGTCTATCCAAATGGAAGGTTTGTTTGGTTTTAAATTGAAATGAGCTTTTTATTTAAACAATATGTTAATACGATATATTATGAAAGAAAATATTACTATATTTTTATTGATAAGGAGTATATAATTTGAATAATACTCCTTCCGTCCATTTACAAGGTTTACATTTATTTTTAGTGCGGTGTTAAAGAAATAATAGTATTTTAATTATAGTGAGTAGTTAAAAGTAGTGTAATGATATTTTTGTCTTTATTTTTTTTGTGTAAAAGTAATGATATGATATAAAGTAAGGGTATTTGTGGAAAAAAGTAGGATATTTAATGAAAGGTTAACTTTGTAATTGAACTTCCCAAAATAGAAATACGTAAACATTATAAGTGAACGGAGGAAGTACTAAATTGAATTTGAAATAAAAATCAAACAATTATATTTTTATATAAAAAAAAATATGATGATTTTATAATAATAATATTGTCAAAGTGAAGAGATCTCTATCCTCTATTCAAAATAAATTTCAGCATTTAAATCACTTCAAACACAATTCAATTTTTAAAAAAAAAAATACGCATATGCCCATAATATATACTCCCTCCGTCCCACATAATTTGTTCATATTTTCTATTTTTGTCTATTCCACATAACTTATCATTTTTATTTTTGGAAATATAATTATGCATTTTAATGGCATTTTAAATTTTAAATTTTATAATTTTCTTAATTTTAATTAAACAATTTACTTATCTTAATTTTAATCTAGAATTATTTTTACTAAATAATAATTATTTTTACTAATACACTTCTTAATTACTTACTAATTATACTTTACCTAAATTCTCATGTCTACAGTAATACACCCGTATTACACGGGGGACGGAGGAAGTATAAAAATTAAAAAAAAAAAAATCAAGCACAATAACATATTTATTACTTTTATGTATATAAATATTGTACAACTTCCTAATCAATAATAATATAAGCATTTTAACAAAGATGATTTACTGACTTATTTTCCTTTAATAATTAAACACATTAAAATTGGATTCTTTTTTGGGCACAAAAAATATACATTTATCATGGAAATAATTAAAGTGTTAATTAAGACTAATTATTATTGATTAGTTCCCATCAATACAATTTATTACTTTTGGTATGTACTACGAAAAATTATGTCAAAAATATAAAATATATTTATGGCCCATAATTTAGTACTTGTTTACTTTTTGTATATTAGATCTTTAAATATTAATTGTTATATAAAAAACATATTATAAATTAAGAAAAATTTGAAAAAATACTTTTATTAGTATTTTATAATACTGATATAATAATATTTATACAAAAAATTATGTAAATATAAAAATATTTTTAGGGTGTGTTTGTTTGGGGGTTTGAATTTTGAGTTGGGATTTGAATAGTAAAAATTTTGAATTTGAATAGTTGTATGATGTGATATAAATAGGTGTTGATGTGATGTTTTGAATGTAAAATTGATTTTTAGTATAATATAAAAAATGAAAAATAGATGTTTGATTTGATATTTTTTAGGGGGAAATTTTGGATGAATAGTAAAATTTTGGTAAAATTCTTCAAAGGAACAAACCCTTAATGTTAATTACAATGACGTAAAAGACAAATGAATATCTTGTTAAGAGACGTAAAAGACAAATGAATATCTTGTTAAGAGACGGAAGGAATATTACTTTAAATTGAAATTTTGACTTTTTATAATGAGTATTTTAACTTTTTTATTTTTATATAAAATATTTTGTATTTATATTATTATTATTATTATTATTATTATTATTATTATTTTAAAAAATCACATTTGAAAAATAATGTTGAAAATACATAACAAATATATAGAGTGCCGATATAAATTTGGATTAATACAATATATACAATTTAGATTGTCGATGAACCCATCGACATAGTTAAATTAATACATGAAAAGTGTAAATTTTCACCATTATTGAAATTTTTTTAATATTGTGCTAAAAACAAATATAACTATTATTGTAGAGGAAATAAGTATTATAGTAATATTATATTTAACAATGTTATACTCTCTCCATGTGTATTCACTGGACACAAATTTTAATAAAAATAAATAATAATTGTTAATTTTTTCTTTTATAATAAAAAATAATGAAATAATTTTTTATTTAAAAAAATAAGTATTTTTTTATGACAACCGAAGAAGGGAAAAAAAATAAATTTATATGACGGATGGATTAGTATTTGTATTCTTATCATACCATCCATCAAGGGTGTGTTAGTTTGGGGGATTGAATTGGATTGAATTTACATTATTCATCCAATTTTTTTCCCATAAATACATCAAATCAAACACATATTTTTTTATTTTTTATATTATATTAAAAATCAACTTTACATTCAAAATATCAAATCTAACATCTATTTATATCACATCGTACAACTATTTAAATTCAAAATTTTTACTATTCAAATCTCAAACTCAAAATCCAAACCCCCCAAACAATACATTCATTGTGTTGGTTTCTATACTGTCTATTATATTTTGGGTAGCTATTATTAAGACAATGAAGTCAACATTATAAAAATAAATCGGGGAGACGTATCTGTAGAGATTGCGTGATGGAACTCTTTGGCGAGTGTTGGTTGCCAAATTAAATTAAAAAGTATCTCTCTCACACAAAGTGACAAATTTAATTAAATCGACTGCCTCAACTCATTTACACATTACACATATAATAATAATAATAATAATAAATAATTGTCACCTATTCTCCAGCGATTGATTTCCAGAGTCAACAGTAGTCCTCTCTCTAGTCGCACGCTTTTTCCTATATTTCAAATCATCCACAAACGCGACACTAAGTCAAAATTCACCTCATAAAACACGACTTCACCACGATTCCCATAAGCAAATTAAAAACACGACTTACAAAAAAAAAAAAGAAAAAACTAATTCTTGGCTGATAGTTTGATCCTTCTGCTGATTTCTTTCTCCAGTTCTTCAATCCCTCCTACTTCTTCAAGCTCCTGCTCAGATCATCAATGGCGTTACTACTAAAATTCAGACACTGTATTTTTTCAATAACCTTAAGGTATATATATAATAAACCCTACCTTTGGGCCAAGAAACAGTCCGTACGGAACCCCGTTGAATTTGTCCGAATGATGCAGCTGAAACCCGAAACAACCAACCAAACTCAATTGTTAAATGATCATCTCATCTAAAAGCTTCAATTGAAAATAGTAGAAAAATAATCGAAAATTTTTACAACAGTTTGGATCATAGTGAATTGTACCTGATGAGCAGCAGCTACTTTTCGAAAGTAAGGTACATTGGCAATGGGGCCGACGGGGAATCTTCTGTGGACGAGGCCGTCGTGGACGAACATGTAGGCCATTCCGAAGACTGTAATGCCAAGGCCCTGATGAAGAGGAACGGGTAGAATGAATTAAGGCAGGCAGAAATCACAATCAAGAAACTAAAATGGAAGGATTTCTTGAATGGATGATGTGATCATACGGCGCCGAAGCAGAGGCCGGGGACGAGGCCTTTGTGGAAGAAGCCGTAGGAGAGGAGGGCAATGGCCGGGACGGCATTGATTATCGCAAACACGTCGTTGAGTTCGAAAGGGCCTTCTCTTGGTTTGTGGTGCGACTGCAACAAAAACAAACTGTTAGGAGATTTCTATATTTTGTTATATTCATTAGATTATACGATTTGCATATGCTCTGGATTTCATCAATAATAACACACAACTATGAAAATTTTATAAGGTATAACATGATATCAAAGCCACGTTTACCCGAGTATATACATTATACAACCCGAAATGAACCCGGATACTTCTTGAATTTGAGATTTTGCCTCTACATCTTCTCTATCAAATTTGTTTCTTGTTTCAATAATGTCTTATATTCAGCATTTGATCATTGTCCTGATTTAATTAAGAACCTGTTTTCGACTCTAACAGAGTGGACAGCCTTATTTTTGGGATTCTAATGGTGTTTGGACACATCTATTTATTGATAGACCATTGGTTTTACTATTAATAAGACACAAATAATAAAATTCTACAGAATAACACAAATAAACAAACAAATGAAATCAACCAATCCTTAATCCAGAAAAGTTCACCATGCTTATCAATATCTATGTATCTAAGTTTTCTAAGATTTTGGTCGAATCAATTAATGGATTGAACTGAATTACCTCATGCATATGCCATAGTGAAGCATGCCACAGAGCTTTATGTGCCCATCTAGCCCAGAATTCCATTCCCACCTAAACATTACATTCAATTTGGACACCAAATTCAGGGAAATTGGGGAAGAAGACATGGAAATACAGTAAAGGAACAACAACAGAGTAAATGGAAGCACTGCACTTACTGCTGCCCCAACTGAAAGAGCAAAAGTACCAAACATTTCTGAATAAGGCACCTCGGCTCCCTGCGCAGGAAATTCATCACAGTTCATGTTCATCAGCGCGAGATTTCATTTCAAAAACAGCAAGTTGCTCAACAGGTGTATCTCAACGAAAGTGACAAATCAAACTGAAATTAATTGTGAATCATGCGTTTAGTTGGAAAGAGAAAGTGTAATTTCAACTCCATTTGCTAAAAGGATAAAAGAGTTAATGAGTTACCTCCATTTGCCAAACGAATCTATAATAAACAGCCAAAACCGCCATGGAAGTAATTCCGAAGCTGGACATAACTGCAGCCACCAAATACGTAAACCTCTCCGACTTCTTCCTCGCCATTCTCTCCGCCACAGCCGCCGTCACTACCGGCCGCGATTCTCCGATTCTCTCACCTCCATTCCCCTCCTCTTCCACACTCGCTGACGCCGTCAATTCCTCATTCTCCACCACAAAACAAACCGTCAAATTAGGTCTACTCCTATCAAGCCTCAAAACTCCGTTCAATTTCTGAAAAGGATGAAAAATCCTGAGCTCCGGTGCGGCGATTGAGTTCCTCTTGGGGCATAGAAGCGGCCGGTGCTTAAAATGAAGCACAGCTCTCGAAGTAGCAACGATGGAAGTTCCGGCAGCCATAGGCGGTGGTTCCGATGATCGAAGGGAGTCAACAGCACCTCAGATTTGAAGGCGGTTGTTGAGGAAATTGGGGTTTGGGCGACGATGGCCACATGTTGGGAGCTGTGTGAGCTCACCTATATAACGGACACGGCGACTGCATGTGCTGCGTGCACTGTACCGCCAGACCAATCCCCAATTATTTATATATTTAAAAATGGAAAATACAAAAGTGGGTTCTAGAAGAAGAGGGTACCGGTTTGGTGAAATTACGAGAATGCCCTTACGTTCCGGCCAGGGGGTGAGGGCATTCTGGTCATATGGTCGGCACCGTACGGAGTGGGTGGGGTGGGGAAGGGGAAGGTGATAACGCGGCTAGTCCGATGACACGTGTCACTCAGTTAGAGGATTGTGAGGCGGACGATCCACCGTCGGATTGCGGAGGGGCGGATCCGAAATCCGAATTTTGCTTTGATGACGTCATGTGAGGTCAGCAGTGTCATATAACGGGTGAGACGCTGCCACGTCAGTACGAGTCGTCACGCAGATTGACCGATAATAAAGGAAGCGGTTTGGTTTGTAGTCCCTCCATTTTAATGGGTTCACAATTTTTGGAGATGAAGGTTAAAAATATAATAATTTAATATTTATTCTTTTTATTTATAATGTATGATGTAGTCAATTTTACTAAAATAAAAAATACTTATGACGTATGAAATATTATTGGGCTGATAGGATTCTTAATTAAAATGTGTTTTCTCCACCTATTGAACTGCATATATATTTATTTAAACACAAATATGCATTCCATTTTTAGAAAGTGTGATACTATATACTATGAATATTTGGTTCAAAATAAATTAATTTTTTTTATTTTTTATTTTTTTTTTTTATTTTTTATGATGTGAAAATCCGTAGTCGCTATCCGAAAATGCACACCGAGTAAACCCCTGCCGAAGCTAATACCATGCAAACTAATATATTAAAACCAAATTCAAAGGAACAATTAGTTGGTGAACTGAGTTGATTGTGGGAAACCCTAAAGCCCTCACTGACTCGTGATTGAGAATTGAAATAGTATTAAAATTTATGATTGGCGTTTGTATCAAAAGTCTTTTATTTTTATTTTATGTTTTTATATTATAATGGTTAACTAATAGGTCTCTTTAATGATAAGAGCAGTATAAGATGAGCTATGTTCCAAAAGTAAGTATTCATTTATTTTTTTTTATATAATTTTAAAAATATTAGTATTATATTATGATATAGTAGGAATAAAATAGAAATGACTAAAATATAAAGATAATGACATCTGTGTAATATATTGTAAGTTGTAGGGGTATTTGTAATGTTAGGTAGATAGTACACTTATTAAAAAAGAAAATAGATACTTTGTTATAGGACAAACTAAAATGAAGAAAATGAATACTTTGTTATTGAACTGAGAAAGTATTTGATTTGAGTTTATTGAAAAAAAAAAAATCACAAAAAAACTAACTTGATTATAAAGTATTCCCTCCGTCCCATTTACCATATCCATATTTCTGTTTTTATCCGTCCCACATTTTATGTCACTTTTCTTTTTTAAAAAATAATTATGCATCTTAATCTTATTCTATATTTTAATTTTTTTAAAAATTTTAATAAAACTAATTAGTTATATTAATCTTAATCTATAATAATTTGTATTATATATTAATTATTTTCACTAATACATTCTTAATTATCTACTAATTATACTTAATTTAAATTCAGGTGTCTACCATAACCAAAACATCCATTGTGGAACGGAGGAAGTAATATATAATTCCGATAACATAAGGCCATTTGAAAAAGTTCAAATAATAATAAGGAAAATTATACATAACCTATTTGTAGTTTGAAAATTTTACACTATTCTTTGTTGTGATTTACAAATTGGGTGGATTTCTCTCATATTTTAAAAAATATTGTATAAAATTTTCTAAAAATTATTCAAGAGTTTTTTGTGTTTTAAAAAATACTGCATAGAAACTCCTGAAAGGAAATTTTTTAAAATATTTTTAAAAATCCAATAAAAAATTCATGCAATTTTTAAATTATGGAAAAAAATTATAAAATTTTTAAAACACAAGTGAATAGAATAATTTTACCATATTATTATTATATGGAATATCCAAATACAAAGCACACAAACCCACCTGTCCCAACCTATTGATAGAACTTTATTTAGGACATAATTTGGTCACTTTCTTATGCATTTGTTTGCTGGTTTTATTTTGGCACAATTAGTCACATGAAATTATGAAGATTTTGGTATATCAAACTTACTACGCATTTGTCCCAATTCAAGGTATTATTGTTATCATTTTTGTTTGTTCTACTTCAAAATATTTATTTTTAATTTTAGAAAGAAAAATTATTAAGTAATACTAAAATATTTTTTATTTTTTATTTTAAATTACAAATATATGATTAGACATACCATTACTTTATACATAAAGTTATAAAGACAAAAATATAAAAATAATTTCACACTTCTATCAACTAATAAAATAATATAATTTCTTAATTTACTATAATTTTTTTTTTAAAAAAAGGGCCTTCCATTTGAAATGAAGAAAATATAATAAAAAAAACCTCAGAGTAAATGAGAGGCCATCTCTATCCATTGTATATGCTATGAAAAGCTTTAGGTATTGCTCGGTGGTGTGGGGTCGAACGTGTGACTGCGAGGTTATGGATTCAAATTCTAACACTTAATGTCATCTGTCATATATGGTTCGTCTAGTATGACTTGCATGTCGGATCTAATTTGCGGTCGGGTTTTATCCAGTGCGCACTTTTGGATAGGGGTGAACTTATGGTTAGTCTAACGTCACGGGCTGACATTTCTGCCCCTGGTTCTCGGCCATAGTCCGTTCCATGTGTGCGAGCTTCTGTCCTGTGCGGCCGACTAATGACCCATATCTTGATGCAGGTACCTGTTCCGCATGATTCTCCATACTGTATGGTATATCCCAAGAGTGTTGCGCTGACGGACGACTGGTCTGGGCCTCAGCGCGGGCGTGGCCTAGATGGCAAGCATGTCAGCTTTCGGATACGTTACAATTTTTGCAATACCATTTTTTGCAATTTTAAAGTTAAAACTATACAAACGAAGTTCTCGAGTTGAAAATGATCGTACTAAAAAAATTTGATATGTACTACAATTTTAATATATTTTTATATATATATATTGTATGTGCCATATTTTAGCAATTCAATATTTTCTCATCATTGGGCCTGGGCCAAGCAGGCCGAAGCCAGTCTATGCAGGCCACCCCTGTAACAATTCAATATTTTGCGCCTAGGAATTGTTTTGATTAACTGTGGCAAATTACTTGCACGGAAGTGTAGCTCAAATGATTGAAATTTAAATATATCATTAACACATAAAGATTTTGTTTAGACAGAAGTTTTTGGAATTTTAAAAATTTGTAAAAAATAAAAAAATAGTATTTGTAAATGTAGATGACTGCAAAGCATCTATCTATCTATCTATCTGTAAATGTAGATGACTGCAGATTTCATGGGCAAGGTTTAGGTTTGCCTCGCCTCAGCTCCCTCGTCTTGTTGAACGCAAGCAGGAGGGATGAGGATGGATGTTGACAGACGATTGCCAGACATGGCCAAAAGATAGAGAAAGGCGAACATCTCCTCCACCAAATTAGGCCCTGCCTGCCTGCGAACTTCACCTCCACTTCCACTTCACCGACTCTCTCTCTCTATCTATCTTTCTATCTATCTATCTATCATACAAATAATCCCCAAATTAAACCAAATATTTATAGGGATTGTCATATATTACCGTTACTTAATATAAGGTGATATTACCATAATTATAATTTATTAAATATTTTTAGTTTTATTTTATTATAACTTATCATATTTACTATATTTTTAAATATTTTCAGTTTTATTTTATTTTAAAATTTATCATATTTACAAATTATTAAATATTTTTAGTTTTATTTTATTTTATAACTTACCATATTTACTATATTTTCAAATTTTTAAATATTTTCAGTTTTATTTCATTTTAAAATTTACCATATTTACAAATTATTAAATATTTTTAGTTTTATTTTATTTTATAACTTACCATATTTACTATATTTTCAAATTATTAAATATTTTCAGTTTTATTTTATTTTATAACTACTATAATTCAATTCTATTTTTTTTATATAAAAATAAGACTTATTCTAACTTACCACATTCAAATCAATCAAACACCATATTAATTCACTATCTCTATCTCTATCTTTTTTATTACTATTCATGTGTAAAAGCAATTTATTGGTTGGATTTTCTATTTTTGCCTTCAAACTAATTACATCCAATTATATTAATTAATTACATAGATTAAAATTACTAACTTTTAAGACGAAAATTGCACTCTAACTTCACTCACTATTCAATCATTTATTATTTTTTATTCATTAATAGGTCATTTCCAGTTTTATTATTTTTTATTCATTAATAGGTCATTTCCAGTTATGAAATATTTGAAATATTTAATTATGCGGTAATCTATTTTTATATATTATATTTTATTTTTTCATATAATATAGAAAATAAAAATATACTCCCGCCTTTCTGCATTATAGTGTATATTTACTTTTGCTGCGAAATGTAAAAGATAATATAATAATATTTTAATTGTAGTGAATAATTGAAAATAGTCTAAAGATAATATTAACGATGTGATAGTACAATAGACGTATTTGAAACAAAAAATTGGATTAATAGTTATAAAAAAAAATGTATACATTAACTGAGACGGATGAAAATGAAAAGGTTTATATATTAAGGTGAGACTAAAAGAATATTTATTTGTATTTTTAATTTGAGATTTTTTTTATATTAGCTATTAGAAGTGTGTTGACAATATAAAATATAATGTATTATGCATATTTAAAAAAAAAATAAAATTCAATTTGACAATGAAGAGAATATTATTAAGAACTGTCATTAAGATTTTGTAAGAATAAATAAATCCATAACTCATATATCATACTCCCTCCGTCCCTTAACAATCTATTCGTTTTTTCATTTTCGTCCGTTCCTTGACAATCTATCAATTTTATTTTTTTAGTAACTACTTAATATTACAAATACCCTTTCAATTTACAATATATTACACAAATGTCATTACATTTATATCATACAATACTAATAATGGCAATTTAGTCTTTTTACTTTTACATTTACTACATTCCAATATAATACTAATATTTCTAAAATTCCGTGCAAAAAGTAAATGGACATATAGATATGGGACGGAGGGAGTATTTATTACTATCAATAACTAAATTTAGTTTTAAGTTTTATTTTTCATATTTACTTTTGGAATAATTTTATATAAAATATTATTATATTATTACTGTTTTACGTTTTACTGATCATACAATATTTTTTTAAAAGAAAATAACTTCAAAATATAAAAGGGAAGAGAGAAGGGAGGCGGGTGTTGACGACGTGAAGGTAGGAGGAAAGGCATAGTAGTGTTGGTTTTTAAGAATGAGCATTTGAGAATGAATTTGTTCGGGGATGAGGAGTGAGGGAGGGGTTTCTAGAGAGAGAGAGGGAAGCTTCGTTGATTATGGCTTCCATTTTTTTAGGTTGTCGTTTAAGAAAGGAAATTATTATTGTTGCTCGTTCATATATGTCTTTTGCAACTACGTATGTGTAAAAACTTTCCATTTATTTTATTTTCTTGCATATCCCGAGACTTGCATGCATTAATTTTGTTCCTAAATTTTATACTAACTTCTTTTCTAAGTGTTTTTATTTTGTAGGTAAAGCTTATGGGAGTCGAGAGGATCCGCCAATATCCTTCGAACTCGAAGGATATCCCATAATAGGGAGTATCTCCTACTTTTTCTTTTAATTTACGCTTTCCATTTATTTTATTTTCTTGCATATCCCGGGACTTGCATGCATTAATTTTGTTCCTAAATTTTATACTAACTTGTTTTTTAAGTTTTTTTTTTTATGTAGGTAAAGCTTATGGGAGACGAGAGGATCCGCGAATATCCTTCGAACTCGAAGGATATCCCATAACAGGGAGTATCTCCTACTTTTTCCTTTAATTTACGCTTTTCATTTATTTTATTTCTTGCATATCCCGGGACTTGCATGTATTAATTTTGTTCCTAAATTTTATACTAACTTGTTTTTTAAGTGTTTTTATTTTGTAGGTAAAAGCTTATGGGAGACGAGAGGATCCGCGAATATCCTTCGAACTCGAAGGATATTCCATAATAGGGAGTATCTCCTACTTTTTTTATTTTACGCTTTCCATTTATTTTATTTTCTTGCATATCCCGGGACTTGTATGCATTAATTTTGTTCCTAAATTTTATACTAACTTATTTTTTAGTGTATTTAGTTTGTAGGTAAAGTTTATGTAGAGTCTACTACTATCCAATCCATATACGACACGAAAAAAATAAAGATTTTGGTCTAAAAATTAGATCCAAACTATATATAGGTAGGGCCAGGCCAGCATGGTTGATTAACCAAACTGTTTCAAGGTCTATGCAAATTTTTACGTGCTAGGCACGGTCCAAATTATTAAAATAAGGTAAGTAAAAATATTTTTTTAATATAATATTAACTTTAACATAAAATTAATAATTAATTAATATTTAGTTTCTTAATTATCAATAAAAATATTTTGTCATAATTATATCAATTTAGATTAATATAATTTATGGTTTAATAAAAAAAACACAATTTATTTTTAAAATTTGATATTAAAAATCTGGGCTGGGCTGGCATGGCCCGGTATAATTTGAAACCGGGCCATGCCTTGGTTTGGATTTTCAACCCCAATGCAAAATCAAGCCGGGCCTATGGGCTTGAAATTTAAAATGGCCCGACCCAGCTCAAAAAAATATTACTCCCTCCCTCGCAAAAAAAAATGCACTAATTTTTTGCGTAATGGATGGAGTAATATTAGCTTGAAATTGCCACATTATTTTTGTCAAATATGAAGTCAACATTTTTCAAATAATGGAAGCAAGATACCTTAAAATTTGAATCCACCGATACGTTGAAGTCTTTTCCTTTATATCCGCCGTTATGCTGAAGCTTTTTTCAACAATACCTTTGTATCGAACTGCAATAGTGCACCAGAGAAGCCCTTTTTCGAATGCTTTCGCATATACCTCATAGAAGTAAGAGATTAAGTACAAAAAAAAAAAAAAAACACAAATCAGGCTTCCACTGGTCCTTTGTACAACTGTTATTATAAAATTGACCAAAGCATTATTATTACGAAATACAGTTTATCAAATTCTCTAAATTAAGACTACTTAGTACCAGCTAGCAAACAATCTGTTCATACCATCATCTTTAATGTGCCAGCATAATTCAGGAGGACGAAACAAATACCCGCGAGAAAATTATTAAGCACAACATGACAACTATTTTAAACGTTTTAAATAAAACTTGACCTTTTTGCCTTATGGAAATATGTTCAATAATTAATGGACAACAAATTAATGTTCACACATACATACACATGAGTACTAGAATTTTAAAAATATAATTATAATGGAACCCTATATAGGTAGTGCTCGTAGTCAACTAGAATGTTACTACCTGAAATACAATTGGCAAATTTTTTTGATGGCTTTTATGTTCAGATCCATGATTAAGCCACACTTCAAAAGCTGCCAACCGCTCTGTAAAGAATGAGCTCAGTTGTAGATGACAAGAAAATACATATATAAATTAGGGTAGAGTCCTTTATAAATGTCTTCATTCATTCTATATAAACACTCCACAAATTCACTATTCATAACGAGTATTCTAAAATTTTCTTTATTTTTGTATTCCATTGAGTCTCAATTATAAAACATTTATTGGAATGTCAAAACAAATATACAAAAAAAGCAATCATGGTTTACTTAGAATTATAGAAAATTATTATCACAAGACAATTATAAAAATTACAATTATACATAATAAAAAAAATTAATTATTATACAAGTTACCGTAGAGATGCTCCATTATGCACTAATTAGCCAAGGCTAATGTATATCATTGTATTGCATATGTTTCTTATATAGCATATGGAACACATACAAGCGATTCAACTAGTCAGTAATTTCTTTTCATATATACACGAGAAAAACCTAACAATACATTCAAACTACAAAGTAATTAGTAAAATTATACCTTATGTACTTCAAACTATTCAAATTTAGTTTGTTTCCCATGCTTAACACATCCCGATGTTGAACACTTGAAATAACAATTAATTAAAGAAGGAAAAATCATAACTCATAAACTTTCTACTCCTACAATCAAAGCACAGGAAACAGCGCCAAAAATTAATAAAATATGTTGACACTAAAAATTACAACAATGTATTGGCACTGGAAATAGTGCCAAACATTAAAATTAAAATAAATAAAATAATATTTTGGCACCGAAAATAGTACCAAAAATTTAAAAAATAATAATAACTAATATCATTATGCCAAAAATTAAATTTAAATATATTGGCACACGTTATGTGCTACGCCATAAAATACCATTTTCAATTTGCAGCGCGGCAAAACATAATTACATTTAATTTTTTAAAATATTTTTTATTAATTAATACACTAATAATAATTGAAACCAATAAATAGACGATAAAACTGAAAATTTTACAGTGTAACTAATGGAAATATTAATAGTAATAGGGTAAGCGATCTTAATAGTATTTTGTTGTTTCCTAGAGTCTCATTTTGTACATGTGTTTATGTTATCACTATAAAGAATTCGGGAAAATAGAACCAAAGACACATAAACAAACGTACAGTCTCGGTTTTGTAGATGTGTTTATGTTATCACTCTAAAGATTTCAAGAAAATGAAAACAAAAACACATGAACATAGTTAAAAAAAACAATACATCCTCAGTCTCATTTTCGTAGATGTATCTATGTTATCACTATAAAGAATTCGGATTATATTCTTTTGTAAAATTTAAGTTTGGAATTTTCTCACAGTCAAGTAAGCACATTTTTATCACACAATTGTGCAGAAAGATTGAGATAAGTATTATCCATACTATGAACAACAAATAGTTGAACTCAAATAGCTTAATATTGAGTAGGGATTGAAGTGACCATACCTTGATATACAGCTATCTTGCGGCAGGCGAGTCGAAGTTCTGGAACTCGACTTTGAATGAAAAGTTGTTTGAACTTGTTTCTTAGAGCAGACAATCTCTTTTCCAGATGATATTTCTCAGTTTTCTTTCCCGTTGTCGAGGTAATATACAAGTTTCTTCAGAGTTTCCACAACCTGTTTGCTATCATGGCCATAAGCTATTTCCTGGATTTTCAAAACCCTCTTGAGCATCTCAACCAATTCAATGTCGTCTTCATCTAGTCGAGTTTGAATGGACACCAAACAATCAAGAGCCTCTCCTATTTTATCAGTTCATAGAAAAGTGTGAGAAAAACTTAAATTGGTATACAAAAATATTTGTGCACCAAAAAGAACCGAAAAGTTTAATAAAGTGTAATCCATCATATTTAGTGAACCATGTAAAAATAGGCGTTCTTACCAACAGGTAAAGATTCCTTTCCGAATGCTTTTTCACGGATGAGCAAAGCATCTAATGCAAGTTTTTTTGCTTCTTCGTCACGATGTAGATTGCAAAGGGCAACAACTAAATGTAACATAGGGAAAGTAATAGATGGATCGTCAGCGGGTGCAGCCTTCATCATTATCTGTAGACCTATTTGCAGTAAGCGTTCAGCTTCAGCAAAATTCTTGGAGCGCGAATGGGAGGTTGCGAGATTTACAAGATTGGGTACTAAGCTGGGATGTCCTTTTCCTTTATATTTCTCAGTTATGAACAACCATTCTTCCAACAGGGTTCGGCCTTCTTCTCCCCTGCAAGTTACGAATATCATGATAATCCAACATAAATATATGTATACTTAGATTCTAGACATTTCTTCTATTGAACAACTATTAACGACCAGTGGTCATCGAGCAATGTCTATGTGTTTTTTGTGTGTAAAATATAATTTCAGACGACGTAGAATCTGAATGCAATATAAACACCCAAAAACTAATAAGAAACTTCCTAGGAAAAAGAGTTGAAAAATATAAATCTTAGCTGGAAGTCCGGTGAACGAAGAAAACACTAAACCAGCTGACGGCATATTTTTACCTCCCTGCAACATGAAGTAGTTCAGCTAAGTCTATTATCATCTTCTCCATATCTTTGTCGTCGAAAGCCACACCTTTTGAATCCTTGAGGATCTAGAGGGCACTCTTGTACAGGTCAATAGCTTCATTCACATCTCCTGACGAAAAACAGAGAATTTATGCATCAATATTATAGAGTGAAACCCTGAGAATTGGAGCAGAAAAGAAGGCATGTGATGAATTATATAATTCAAAGTTATAGGGAAGCCTTTTAAGGATATCAATCGACAGAAATTCAACTCCACGACACAAGGCTAATTATGTCGATATAAGTAAAGGCTTTGCATAAAAAACTCAATTAAAGTAAATTTTACCTTTTGCACATTTTACGTTGGCCAAAGAGCACATTGCTGTTCCAACCCTACCATCCTTTTGTCCATATAATCTAGTGTAAATCTTTAGAATCCTGTCGCAAAAGGAAAGGCGGAGATGCTTAAGCATCAGAATGAATATAGGCATAATGTGACAAATCTCAACTGTTTGGTGGACAAACCTATTGAATTGGTGCTCAGCATCTGAAATTTTTCCATGTGCAAGATTCTAATATGTTAATAATTTTCTGATATATTTCCAATGCTTCAGGGGCCCTTCTGCTATTTCCTAGAGCTTTTGCCATTCCCAGTAATGGCGTGCAAAGGAGAGAGCTCTTACTTCCTACCATATGAAAGGAAAAAGCACAAAACTGATTACAAATTTGGCATTATCATGTCAGCTAATAGTTTAATCAACAGGTTTTCCCAAAAAGAAGAAACAGTCTTATATTTACACAGTAAAACATTAAGAATTCTCTACTTTAAATAAACAGAGATACTAGGAACAATGAAAATAGAATTTACAACATTTACCTGTTGAAGTTCAACTACCATATTTTCTTTCCATAATTTGGAGGCATCTTCTGTAGACACAAATGGACTAATTGAACTTTTCCAACTTAGCATAGATACTTCCCATATGCATGAGTATTGAATCAAAAAGCATTTCGTCATCGTTTAACTCATTCACGATCTTGTGCAACTGGAATAAGATTTATTGTTCAGGGTAACATGAAAAGTTTTTAAGTGTACATGATAAATTGAGGCATAATGTTCAAAAACAACAGACACCCCTGAAAAGAACTCCATCACGAATATTTGGAGTGGTGAATCACTAACCTTATCTAAATATGAATCACGCAGTTGATAAATCAAAATTTGCAGACTATTTATGTTCCCTCCCAAAATCATCTATCATGTTACTATTGTGAGAATTAGTAGTATTCTCTATGGGAATAAAATCTTAATATAGGTAGTAGGTTAAACTATTTTCAAATAAATTGTTTCTGTAAACCATCATCCAACAGAAAGACACATTTGAAAGTTTATACCGGATACCACTTTGTGTGATCCAGAGCTTCAAACAAAAGTTAATGGCCAACTGCAGTACAAAATTTAAATTACCTCATCTATTACGATCTGGGCAGTCTGTAAGTCTCCGATGGCCATGTAGCCCAAGAGTAAGACATCAAGAACAGCAGCTTCTGCTACGTTTCTAGTTCCGGAATCCACCTGCTCCTTAACAGCTTCATAATTGGCTTGAAGCAAATCTATTGCTTCATCTTTCTCCCCAATTTAATCATATTCATAATTTCATCAAATAAATCCTGAAGCTGTCCTTCAAGATCATTTGAGCTCCTAGATAAGTTTATGCTATAGTTAATTAACAACAATTTGGGATCTGTTCATATGCAAATGGAAAAGTAAAACATCTTTATAGCAAGAAAAAGTACTTATCGGGTTGCTTACTAGCTGTTTTGCATCAATAATCTTTGTAAACAAAATCTTTAAGCACCAGTTCTGAATTTGAAAAAGATTATGCTTCCAACACTTAAATTATAATTGGTTCCTAAAATTTATAATTGGTTCCTAATTAGGTGTTTAAATAGCTCATTTAACTTGCAGAAACATGATGGCACTTCTAGAAACAATACATATGTATCCTGATAAGATAGGCAGCGGTCCTACAATTTAACACCACAATCTACAAAATTACTCAAAACAGTATTGTACCTATAACCATTGATCAATAGTTGCCTACTACACTCTTACCATTGGGAATTGTTTTGATTCAAAAACCGGGAGTCCCATGTCTTTCAAACTGTATACCGCCATCCCCTAACACTGTATCCACTGCAAAACTTCTGACAGAATGCCATTTGGAGAATAGGTTGAATGGTACCATACATAGCTTAGAACGATTTGGAAATGGGACGCCCACCGGGGCACATGTGCAGATAAGAAGTTTCTTCAATCGTAAGTAGTTTGATTGAGTTAATACAGACACTGGATTCATCCTGAAAAATAGAAAATATATTTGAGCTTCAGCAAATACAAGTAAAGTTACGTTATGCTTAGAAAACATTGACTCCATGGCAAACAAGATAATGATTAACAAGTATACACAAAAGCGCACCACCAACTCTTGTTTCAAAGAAACAATTTCAACTCTTCCTTAATGAGTTAACAGAACATCATTTCTGAATAGTACTACTTCATACTTTTGAATATTAACATTGAAATGTGTTTAGAGCACTAACAATGGCTCTTGCCTCAATTGAGCCCTTCCCGCCGATGTGTCAACCGAAGCCAGCGTGTCGAATGATGTTTTCCACTATGGGCGTAAAATTCTTTTACAGTGGCTTTCTGAAAAAACCCTTCGTCAATTCCCTCATCACCAAACTTCATTCCAATTCCCTCATCAGCAAACCTTCTCCCGCAAACCCTAGGATGGTGGAGGCAGGCCGGCAGTCGCTATGCTTAGAGAAGAAGAGGAAGGAGGACGTCGGCGGTGATAAAATTGGATTTGGGGAAGAAGAGGAAGGAGAGCGTCGGCGATCGGATTTGGAGAAGAAAAAAAAAAAAAAAGAAAAGCGTCGGCGGCGATTAAATTGGATTCGGGGAAGAAGAGGAAGGAGAACAACCGGATTTGTGGAAGAAGAAAAAGGAGAGCATCTGCGACGTGATGAAACTGGATTTGGAGAAGAAAAGAAAGGAGCCAATGCTGGATTTGGGAGAAGAGGGAGAAGAGAGCAGTCCCCGTTTTATCAGGAACATTGGTCCTTAAATATTTTTTATTTTATTATAATAATAATATAATAATTTTATATATATTTTTAATACAAATGTATTAATAAAATATTTTTTATTTATTAAAAGATCAAAATATAAATATAAAATTAATATCACATGTTTAAGTATAATATAAAAATAAAAAATATATATATTTAATTTAATATTTTTTAAAAAATATTTTTATAAATAATCAAAAGTTTTTAAAAGAAAAATTTCAAACAAAAAAGTTTATTAAGAGTTCGTTTTTTTTTATTGGTTTACGGAAAAGTTTAGTTTGAATTTGATATTAAAATAATATTTGATGGGATGTTTGTGAGAGAAAAAAATATATTTTTTCGATAAATGCATAGTCCTAATAATAAAAAATAAAAAATTTAAATTAAAGAAACAAACTCAATATTTATATAATACACAAATTTTTAAAAATACTACTAAAAAATATAATAAAATATACAAATTTAAATATATAGATATAAAAATAAAAATAATAAGAACACACAAAATATTACTCTATCATATCTTTTTAATTTTACATAATTCACAAAAATATATAAAATCATACAATTAAATAATCACACTAAAACATACAAATAAATAATTTAAAATTTAATGTAAAAATAATTTATTTAAAAAATAATTATAAAATATATATTCTATAAAAGTTAATAATAATATATTAATATATAGGAGTATATATACATATATTATTGGGCCCTTATGGCCCCTAGAGGGAATGGGCTCTGGGCAAGGGCCCCTATGGCCCTGCCCAGGGCTGGGCCTGACTGGACTGGAGTCGAAATGACTTGGTCTTGACTCGACTAGACTCGATCATCGGGCGTTTCAATGGCTTCTGTGTTCCACTGCTCATTCTCGTTCACTCGAGTCTGGTTAGCTCTCGCTCGTATCTTCTAGGTTATGTTAGAAAAAATTGAAGAGGTTATGTTAGAATTTTTGTTAAGTAAGAATTGTGACAGCGGATCGAGGTGCTCTCTATTTTCAACGATTGCTACTTATGAATTTGTAGGTTATTTGAACAATTTGGAAACATGAAATAATTCTTTTGGTGAAATTGGTAGATTTCGAGTTGATACGTCAATTACGGAAATTAGATAGTATTAGGTATTATAAGTGCACGAACAATGGTTAAATAATAAAAGCCCATCTCCTATCAGTCTAAATTTCCTCTCTCATTTGTCGATAAAATTGTCACACAGTAATCTTCTTTTCGAATTAAAAAACTCATGTAATATTTTTCAGGTCAATTGCCACGTCACCTCCGTTGTGCCCACGTCAGCAATTTCCGTTAGTTTTTTAACGGTGGGACCAAAATTGATTAAAATTGTTTATAATGGAATCAAAATTTATTGAAATTGTTTATATTTAGACTAAAATTGATGAGTTTTTTATAAACAATTACGGTAAATAGAAGTTTTTTTTTTGTTTTACTTTTATTATACAATTTTAATGTGTTTGATTAAAAATATAATATCTTGTTTTATCAAATATTATTTTAAGTTATTATTTAAAAAAAAAAGATAAATACAATGCAAAGATTAGAAGCCAAACACACTCTTGGACTTTATAAAGCTATTTAGGTTTTATTATATTTGTTTATTAAGGTTTTTTTATAACAACTTTTAATATATATTTTTGGGAAATGGTGAGACATTCCTCAAATAAGAGTAAAGTCTCATATTTTTTATTTTTATTTTTATTTTTATTTTTAAGACGTGAGAATTCGCAGCTACTACTCAAAAGTATGCACCAGGTAAATCCAAATTTAATATCTTACAAATTAGGTTCGATAAAATAAATCACACTATGCGAATTATGATAAAGTCTCATATGTTGATCGGAATAAATGTGTATAATTAAATAGTACCCTACCAATCAATATATTTACTTTTAATTTTATTATTTTTATTTTTATAGTAATCAATTCTCACGAAACTTATTTAACTATTACACAAATAAAATTAAAATTTAAAATGATAAAAAAAAAAAGATGAAGTAAATTAAATTATCTATAATTCACTTATCGTTTGAAAAATTTGCATATCATTTTTCTTTATAAGTTAAAAATTGTATGAGACTACTTCGTAATTTATAAAATATTATACAAAATTCTCTAGAATTTGCACAAGACTCCTTCGTATTATCAAACATATTACACAAAAATCTCTAAAAAAAAATAAAAAATAAAATTGTGCAATACTTTTAAATAATTATACTGCAAGTGAATTATAAATAATTTAGGGAAAAAAATAAATACAAGTTACGTAGGTGTGTGCAATGATTTGTTTGGATGCCCACATCATCTGAAGATCAATAATATATTATTACACAAAAGACCCCAAATACATCACACTCTGTTGTGCCAATGCTCCACCACAAATGCCCACTCCTTAATATTTTTCCTTACATTTGAAATATATATGGAATTTATGAAATAATTTTATTTAAATAATATATAATTTTTTTTATATAAATTGTTATTATTATTATTATTATTATTATTATTATTATTGTATTTTAATTTAGCCGATTACTATTACTCCTTCGGTCCCATTTCTGTATATTCATTTTCTTTTTGCACAGAGTTTTAGAAATATTAGTATTATACTGAGATAAAGTAGAAATAAAGGTAAAAAGACTAAATTAACCCTATTATTATTGTATGATATAAATGTAATGACATTTGTTTAATATATTGTAAATTGAAATGGTATTTGTAAAGCAGATAGTACAATTACTAAAAAAATGAAATAAATACTTTATTACGAGAGAGACCAAAATGAAAAAATTGAATATATTGTCAAGGGGCAGAAGGAGTATTACATTTAATTACAATTTGTAAACAAGTTTGAAAACACATGTAGGGTGTGTTTGTTTGTGGGTACCCATTTTTTTCGGTTGTAATTTGAATAGTAAATTTGAATTAAAATTGTTGTATTATAAGATATAAATAGGTGTTGACGTAATATTTTGAATATAAATTAATTTTTAATATAATATAAAAAATAAAAAATAGATGTATGATGTGATTTTTTTTAAGAAATTTTTTTGATAAATAATAAAAATCTAAATATATTTGATTTAAAAAAAAAAAAATTCACCAGTAAATGGAGTGTGTATATATTTTGAAATTTTGAAGAATTGTTAAAATAGTAAAAAGTTGATACAAAATAAATACTTGATATAATATATATATATATATATATTGAATTATATACTTGGTATACATGTAACCTATATGTTAAATGGTGTGTTTGTTTGGGATTTTGGATTTTGAGTTGAGATTTGAATAGTAAAATTTTTTAATTTAAATAGTTGTATGATGTGATATAAATAGATATTGATGTGATATTTTGAATGTAAAATTAATTTTTAGTATAATATAAAAAATAAAAAATAGGTGTTTAATTTGATATTTTTGGGGTGAAAAAATGAGATGAATAATGTATTTGAGGAAGAATCCCCCAAACAAACATATCCTTAACATGATATTTTAAATAAAAAAATATATGTAATATATTTTAGAGATAAATTTGTGATGAACAATGCCAAAATTGAGTCCAAAAATAACTGAATAACAGCTTCATGTGAATAAATCATTAAAGTATAAAGGCCCAATTCAAATGGGCCTTTTCTCGGCCCATCATTTTCACACGAGAAGGTCCCGAGCGGTCCCGGGAGTTCCCTTGCCACCACTCTCTTAACATGCAATGCAAAATTAGTGTCCGCAGCCGACAGACATCATAAAAACTAGTCCAGCTTCCCGTTGTTTTTTACTCTCTCCGTTTCCCAAATCTCATGTCCACCTTTCCATTTTCATCCGTCCAACTTATTTTGTCATTTTTTTTTAGAAGAATTATACACTTTAATATTATTTTATAAAATTTAATTTATAATTTTTTTTAATTTTAATTATAATAACCAGTTATATTAATATTAATCTATTATTATTTTTATTATACAATAATTATTTTTAATTATTTACTAATTATAACTCCTCCTAAATTCTCGTGTCTACAGTAAAACGGACAAAATATCTGAACGGAGGAGGTAATATATACTACACCCTCCTTATTTTTATTTATTTAAAAAATATATTTCAAACAATTTCACTAAATAAATATTAATATTTTTTTCGTCCAATCGAAAGGCAAAATTTCATACTTTCTTCGCTCCTTAATAAATTATTCAATTTTCATTTTAATCTATTTTATAACTAAATATTTATTTTCTTTTTTAATAATTTTACTATCTATCTTTCATTACAAATATTAATTTAAAAAAATTCAAAACACGGAGTCTGCTGCTGTCCTAAATCAATACTACAACAAAAGCAGCTCTACTGCATTAATCGAGGAAGTATTAATATTAATTTTATTTTTATTGTGAAAATATGAAGTGTGTGTGTCTGGGGGATTTAATTAGATTTCTATTATTCATCCAATTTTTTCTCCTAAAAATATCAAATCAAACGCCTAATTTCATTTTTTATATTATACTAAAAATCAATTTTACATTCAAAATATCACATCAACACCTATTTATCTCACATCATACAAGAATTCAAATTCAAAATTTTTACTATTCAAATCCCAATTCAAAATCCAAACCACCAAAACAAACACACCCGAAATGTATGTTTGTATGGATTTGGGAGGAAGCTGCGTGGAAGTTTCGTTAATTTGATCTGTTGCAATAATCCGATGTGGGATTTCTTTTGTTTATTATACTACATGACACGTCACCTTAACGTATTATTATTAGCTTAGCAAATTAGGAGTATATAATATTCATTGTAGTTTAGTAATAATAATAATAATAATAATAATAATAATAATAATAAACAAGATGTAGAGATATATATTAATTATGAATGATCACAATTGAGTGTTAGGATATAGCTAGATAGCATTTTATTTTATTTTATTTTATGTTTTTTTTTTTTTTTCCTTTTGTCTTTTTAATTAATTAGTTTTTGTTGTAATTGAGATTTGTGAAGGTAAAAACTGAAAAGACAATTTTAGCCTTATGACCATTTTATTTATGTCGGCAAAATGCAAATCCAACCTAAACCTGAAAGCGATGTGGCGAAAGGACAGCCGTCGATTATGCTGACACGATTATTGGATCGAATGGGTCGATGATTGACACGTGTCCTTTCATAACGAGACGACTAATTCAAACCACAATTGCTCTAACAAACTTTGTCATAATTAAGGCTACCATAAATCGTTAGGGAGAGTTATTTATTTTTTGTTTTTTTAAAAAATAATTTTAAAAAAAATACTAATTATAAATTTGATTAAATTGAAATTTAAGACATTTGAAAGACCTTATAATATATTTAAATACAACCCTAAGTTATTGTTGAGTGTTAAAAAAAAAATGAAATTGTGACATTCCACTTAAATAAAACCTAAAAATTATAAACATCATCATCAACAATCTTATCCAAATTATTTTTAGACAAAAAAATAAAAATAAAAAATCTTAAGCACAAAAGTATTAAGAATCTACACGTGGCCACCGCCCACCAATTAGAATCAATTAAATATGGATCTTTTTAAATAATTTTATTTTAATTTAATGTTTATATAATACAATTAACATAAAATGTGACTATAAAACTTTTTATTTTAATAATATTTTATATAAAATTATTCCAAAAATTAAATACGAAAAATAAAATTTAAAACTGAATTTAGTGATTGATAGTGATAAATATGATATATGAGATATGAATTTATTTATTCCCACAAAATCTTAATAACAGTTTTTAATAATATTCTCTCCATCCATCAAATTGAATTTCAATTTTTTTTTTAAATATGCATAATACTTTATTTTTCTTACAAAATAATACAATTAAATATTTTAATAATATTTTTACATTTCTCAATAATAATAATAATAATAATAAAATCCTAAATACTAAAAGTATACAACTTTTGTTTTATTATTTTTTTAAAAAATAAAATATAATTCTAATGCAAAATATTAAATCAAACACCCTATACAAAATATTTGATGTGCTTTATAATTAATATTATTAAAAAGATATATTATGCACGTCAAACATAATCTATATATTCTAAAAACTTATCAAAATTTAATAATTTAACAAAAAATTGTTTTTTATATTGTCAACACACTTCTAATAGAAAATATAAAAAAATATCTCAAATTAAAATTACAAACAAATATTCTCTTCGCTCCACCTTAATATATACATCTTTCTATTTTCATTCGTCCCGGTTAACATATACATTTCTTTTTTTTAATAACTATAGATCCAATTTTTATTTCAAATACCTCTATTTTATTATCACATCGTTAGACAACTATCTTTACACTATTTTCAACTATTCACTATAATTAAAATATTACTCTCCCGTCGTCCAATTGTGTGCTCATTTAACCAGACACGAGTTTTAAGAAAAATAGATAAAAATAAAAAGTTTTACTTTTTTGTGTAAAGAAAAAATAGTAAAAATGATACTTTTTTACTAAAAATAAACGATAATAAATTTGGATGACAACAAAAAAATGAAAGTGATAATAAAATTAGATGACGGAAGGAGGACGTATTATATTATATTTTAAATTTTGCACAAAAAATAAACATACATTACAATGCGGAAAAGAGGGAGTATATTTTTCTTTTTTATATTATATTAAAAAATAATTTAATATATAAAAACATCACATCAACAATACTTATTTATATCACATTAAAATATGAAATTTTATTATACAAAAATTCAAATTAACTCTAAAGTGTATGACCAAATAAAATATAAAGTTATATTCTATTAAATTATTAATTGGTTAATTATTGATTTATTAGGAAATGAAATTAATTTGGCGGAAGAACTAAAAAATGAAAAATGAAGCAATTTTGCAGGACGGAGTAAGTATTAAACACAAAAATTAAATTAAGAACTAAAAATATATATATATATATTTTGTCCTAAGTAGGAAGTGATTTAGGAAATAAAACATCTTTATCCAAATTATTATTTTTATTAAATAATTTATATATTAAAATTAGGTTTTGTTTTTTGTTCTTTTGGTTTTTTTTAAAAAATAAACAACAAATTACACGCCGGCGAGGGAATCGGTCGATCTCCAACCCCAATCCCAACCCCAACGTGGCTCTCGTGTTCCTGCTCTTGCTCCGATTCTCTCTACATGAAGCGAAGGCTGTACAAACCAATCATCCATATTAGTCTATTAAGAAAAATAAAGCTAAAATATTTATAATTCATTTATAGTTTGAAAAATTTGTACAATCCACTACATGATTTAGAAATTATGCTATATGATTTAATCAGTGCATATTTTCGGATAATTATTGTGAATTTTCACGTCATTAAAAAAAATAAAAAAAATAAAAAAATAAACAAACAAATTAATGGCTAGTTAAGTCCATTAAATCATAATTTTCCTGCAAAAGCCAAGGGGTTGCTTGTTTGGGCATTGTGTTTTGGTTTTAATTTTAAATGACATAAATTTAATATTGAATAACTATTCAATATAATACAAATAAAAATTTGATTGGACTGTCTTTGACTTTTTATTTTTGGTATTTTTTTTTAAAAAAATAATTTGATTATATATAAAACTAATATTTAATGATTTTCTTTTTTCCAAGTTCAAATAATAATATTTGAAGAAATATTATAAAAAGATATATATATTTTTTAATTAAAATTAATTTTTAATATAATATAAAAATAATTATTTAATATAATATTCTTTTAAAGAAAAAAGAAATAATAAAAAATCATTAAAAACGCTAAACGAACACGTCCATTTTAATATTTTTGACCTACAAATATGTCATTTGAAGTAGAAATTTACTTGGGTTTGGATTTTGATTTGGAATTTGAATAGTAAAAACTTTGAATTTGAATAGTTGTATGACGTGATATAAACAGGTGTTGATGTGATATTTTGAATGTAAAATTAATTTTTAGTATAATATAAAAAATGAAAAATAGGTGTTTGATTTGATATTTTTGGGGGAAAAAAATTGAATGAATAGTGTAAATCCAATCCAATTCCCCAAACAAACACACCCTTAGTCTGTAATTAGTAGGATGGTGTTTACTCAATCAACACATGAAAGCTGGAAAGTGTGTTCATCCAAATTTTTTTCTACATTACCACTTACTTGCATATTTTTTTCGTCTCACCTAAGATGTTGACATTGATGTTTATGTTGGTTTCGCATCTTATTATATTTGTCTAGTAAATTTAAAATATCTGGATCCAACAGAAAAAAATATTTTATTAAAAAATTTATAAAAATAAAAATAGTTCAACATTTTTTTTTAAAAAATTTGATGAAAAATAAAATAAAATAACAACATTCATTATAAATAAAAGTTGGATAAAGGATAATAATTAAATAAATGGATCAGGTTTTTCAGCACCCATGCTAAACATTCTAAACTATTTTATACTCCCTTCTTCTAATTTATTTTACATTATATCATTATTTTTTATCAAAAATTAAAGATAAAAATGTCATTACACTATTTTTAACTGTTTACTATAATTAAAATATTACTATATTATTTCTTAAACTTTGCGCTAGAAATACACATATACTTCTTAATCGGACGGAAAGAGTATTAGTTAATATTAATATAATTATGTTTTAAAAGCTATTATAAAGACTATGAGTTTATTCACTTTTATTTTTGATTACTTATTTTTTTTATGTTTGATAGTAATATAAAAAGTAAAAATTTTTGTAATAAAAAATACTCTCTTTGTCATCAAATTTTATTTTTATTTGATTGAACAAGAGTTTCAAAGAAAATGTGTAAAAATAGAAAAAAATTTTTATTATAAAAAAATAGAAAAAATAATTTCTTTTTTACTTAAAAAATAAAAATAAATTTAAATGATAAAAAAAAACCGTAAAAATAAATTTGAATTATAAATAAAGTATATATTCATAGAAATATAATTAATTTTTTAAATAATATTTATAAAAAATCATGATGTGTGTTTCATTTTATTGGTTAAGAAAAATAATTTAAATATACTATTAAAATAATATTTAATGGTAGTAGTATTTTACGAGAAAAATAGTATTTCCTTTAAAGAAAAATAGAGTAAATAAAAAACAGTTGTAATTTTGGTCAAAAAAAGAAGGAAAACCATATTTTCGAGGAAAAGAATTGTGAATTTGTGAACTAACAGGGTTAAAGAGCCAACTCTACATCCAAACACTTCCCAAATATTTCAGAACGGCCGTTCATGGCGTCGAATATACCCGACCAGTCCAATCCCCCACCTCCCGCCGCCGTGTCGCCGATTCTAATCTCATCGGCGGGAGTCCGCTCTCTCGTCACCCATAAATCCCTAATCTCCCACCTCAAATCGACCCTACCCCAGTTCTCCGCCGCCGTACAGTCCCCCCTCCGCCACGCCCACCAAACAAGCCCATCCTCGTCGCTCCTCCTCATGCCCTCCTGGTCCACCTCACCCTCTCTCCCTTACATCGGCACCAAACTCGTCACCCACCACCCCAACAACACTACCCTACCCGGCGTGCACGCCGTCTACGTCCTCTTCTCCGCCCTAACCGGCCAGCCCTTGGCGGCCATGGACGCCACCGAGCTCACTCTATACCGTACAGCCTGTATCTCAGCTCTAGCTTCCCTCTACCTATCGAGGGAAGATTCCGAAACCCTAGTTATGATCGGATCCGGTGCGTTGGCCCCGCATTTGATCCGGGCACATCTGACCGTCCGATCAAAGATAAGGAAAGTGGTGATTTGGAATAGAACAATGGAGAAGGCCAAGGCTTTGGCCGATCATTTGAGTGGGGAGGAAGAACTCAAATTTGTGAGGTTTGAGAGCAATGGGGATTTGGAGGGGGCTGTGAGGGGGGGTGATATAATCACCTGTGCAACCAATTCACAGGTTGCATTGGTGAAAGGTGAGGATTTGAAGAAGGGGGCACATTTAAATATGGTGGGATCATTCAGGGCCGGAATGAGGGAGTGCGACGACGAGGCCGTGAGGCGGGGGAGGGTGTATGTAGACGGGGAGGCGGCAGCGGCGGAGGCCGGGGAGTTGGTGGGTGCATTTGAGAGGGGGGTGATGAGGAAGGAGGATGTGGTGGGAGATTTGGTGGAATTGGTTGAGGGGGAGAAGATTGGGAGGAGAAATGTGGAAGAGATTACTGTGTTTAAGTCTGTTGGATCAGCTACGGTGGATTTGTTGAGTGCACAGATGGTTTATGAAAGGTATTTGGGTGGGGAAGGATTGGATTAGTTTGAGTTCTCAGGGTTTTGGATAATAGGAGATGTGATGTGTTCATCACAAACTTTGTTCTACTTTTATCAATAAGGTTTTTGCTTAATCTAGAAAATGGAATAGAGGGATTATCATTTAATCTATGCAGAATTGAAGTAGCTGTTTTTGGAATGGTTGCAGTTTTTGAACTTGTCTTCCTTTTAGTCCCTGTAGTTCATCGTCTTCCTGCCATGGTTGAATAAACATAGCCACAATCACTTCTTCTATTAAAGAATCATGAATGCAGTTGAACTTGATATTAGTGAAACTGTAGATTTCAATATACATCTGCTAAGAAAGCTTAAATTGATCTGAAATAGTGACATGAAAATGCCTAATTGAAGATGTTCTTTTCTACACTAAGTCTAAAATGGTTCTACTGATGATAAATTCAAGTAAGATAGGTCACACTATAGGAGATGGATTGAACGAACCAGAGCGAAGAACATATAACAACAATCATATTTATATGCATCCGGAAATTCAGATGATAAATTCAGCAGATGATAAGTTCAGCTATGGCAGGCCACTATTGTAGATGGATTGCAGAGCGAAGAACAATCATATTTATATGCATCTGAAACGGTTTCAAACTGATTGCTATATCCAAAATAGGCGCAACAATTTTATGCATAGTAATAATGATGTGATTTGCAGAGGCGGTCGTGCTTGTAAAGGTGCAATTTCTCGTTCGAATCCATCTTTAAGAGTTCCATAGATTCGAGGCTGGTCATCAACGCTAGAATTTCAATGGAAAGGAGCAACTTCGGTCCAATACAACGAAATTGACCAGGAGAGCAAGCGGTTACTGAAATTCTGGAAGGAAATTATCTCCCTATTCTCCTGCAATGCGTTTTCGACTTTACTCTGAATCGTCATGGCCAGATTCAAAAGACGGTGTGTTGTGTTGTGTTGTTTTTTTTGTGTTCAACATTTAATTTTGATACGAGAATTCAGGTGAGTAATAATTACAAATTGTGTAACATTAGCAATAATTTAGACAGAATCACGAATCAAATAATAAAATTTAAAAAAAAAAATAAGTTTATTCCAAAAAAAAATATAAATTTATCCAAAATAATTTACAGTGCTGATAACTTCAGTGTCGAGATATAACAACTTTACAACTTTTGAAAAACACAAAGAAGGAATTTTGTTGTTTTTCACTTAAAAACCATTATTCTTTTGTAAATTTACACCTAAAGCACCCGAAATATCTCCGATTTGGAGGATCAAACACCAGATTTACAATGCAATCTCATTGATTTTCTAAGATGACGGACTTTACAAATACCTTAACCGGTTTTTTTTTTTTTGATAGTAAATATATGGAGTATTTTATTTTATTTAAAACAATAAATTAAATACCATAAATAAGTTCTCGCGCATTATATAGCTCGGCCATCTTGAACGAAATATTTTCTATTTAAATTTAATTTTTTTTTACCCAACAAATATATATATATATATATATAAAGTATTAACTTTATTTTTAATTGAATAAAATTTAGATTATATGGTTTTACTTATTCTTTAACATATACAATTTGATATTTTAGATAATAACAAAACTTTTAATAATACAAGAAATTAGAAAATTTAGAAACAATAAAAATTTGATATTTATGAGAAAAAAATATCTTATAAAAATTATTATTATTATTTATTTAAAAAAATACTATTGATTGATAAATAATACTATCTTTTTTTTTTAAAAAAAAATATGTATATAAAAGAGTTAAATTCTTTACAAATGATCATATCTAATTTATACTCGGTTCACCTCCTTATTATATTGTATAGTTAATTTAATTTTAGAGTACAGATTTTCTTATTATATTGTATGGTTAATTTAATTTCACAGTAAAAATTTATCCCCTAAAATTTTATAGGACTTTCTCAATTATTTTTCTGAAAATATTACAGAATACTTTATACTATTTTAAATTTATCTCATTCTAAATATTATATTAATAGAATATTAATCAAACTTCTACAACTAAAGAATATTTGTATATTAAAAATATAAAGGAAAAAATTTCTTATTGATCCCCTCAAAAATATTCAATCTCCCCGAAATAATAATATAAAAGAAAAACTTTCTTTTTAGTCCTATTGAAAAATTTTATTTTAGATTTTATATTTAAATAATACTTCATCCTTTTCAGTTAAATTAACGAATTTAGTTTAGACAATGAGTTTTTATTAGGTATTAGTTAATTAGTAACTAATTAATATGTGTATTAGTAAGAATAATTATGATTTAATAAAAATAATTATAAATTAAAACTAAATAGTTTACTTAAAATAATAAATTATAAAATTTAAAATATAATTAAAGTATATAATTATATTTAAAAATAATAATAAATCATGTGGAACAGATAAAAAACAATAATGGACAAATTAAATGAGATATAAAACAAATGCAAAATTCAAATACTACATTCATCTCAGAACAAAAGTATCATTTTAAATATTTATTATGTTACGGAAATACTAAATAATATAATTAGAAAATAGAAAATAATAATGGGTGTGTTTACTTGTGATGTTTTAGTTTTGGATTTTAAATAGTAAAATTTTGAATTGAAATAATTTTGGGACGCGGTGTTTTGAATTTAAAATTAGATTTTAATGTATTAAAATAAATAAAATTAGGTATTTGATTTGATATTTTTAAAGAAAAAAAAAATTGAAATAATAAAATTTAGAAATATTTGGATAATAAAATACACCCTTAATTTTCACGACTCTATTACACGGCCAGAATTTTCATGACTCTATTACACGGCCAGGTCCGGGGAAGAAGTGCGCCCGATGAGCTTGAGTTGTGAATCCAACGTTTCCAAAACCGAATAAATATTTTCCGACGACGGATGATTCCGATCGCAAGCGGCAAACGGATGCATCTTCTTGTTCACTTCGATCCAACTGCCGCCCGGCGACGTTTTCTCGACGCCACGCTCCCTCATCGCCGCTCGAATCCTCGCCACCTCGGCCCATCGATTCGCGTCGGCAAACATATTGATCAAAAGCGTGTAATATCCACTGTTCTCCGGCTCGAGCGCTGTCAATTTATCCGCCGCGATCCGAGCAATCTCCAAATTCTTGTAAAGTCGACACCCGCTGAGAAGCGCGCCCCAAACGACCGAATTAGGCTCCGGCGTCATGTCCTGTATCATTCCAAGCGCTTCCTCGAGCAACCCGCCTCGACATAAAAGATCGACCATACAACCGTAGTGTTCGACGTCGGGAAAAATGGAATAGTCGTGTGTCATTTGCCGGAATCTTCGCTTGCCTTCGTTGACCATTCCTGCGTGCGTGCACGCCGTAAGAACACTGACGAAGACGACGCTGTTCGGCTCGATGTTCGACGACACCATTTTGTCGAACATCACGAGCGCTTCGTTCGCGCGTCCGTGGAATGCGAGGCCGTCGATTATAGAGCTCCAACAAACGATGTTTTTCTCGGGTAATTTGAAGAACACGACGAGCGCTCGCTCCAATACTCCGCATTTCGCATACATATCGATAAGCGCCGATCCGGTGTAAACGTCGATTTCAAATCCCGCCGTCGATACGTACAAGTGCATCGACTTTCCTAGCTCTAGCGCCCCGAGATGCGCACATGCGGATATCGCCGTTGCCATTGTGACTTCGTCGGGACGAGCGCTGGAGGCCTTCATTTCATCATAAAGTTCTAGAGCTTCGATGTATCGTCCGTGCTTGCAGTAGCAGTCGATCATCGTCGTCCACGTTACGACATCCCTTTCGACCATTTTTCCGAACAATGACGCGGCGGATTCGATGTCCCCCGCCGCGGCAAATCCGCGGATCATCGTATTGCTCGCGACCGTGTTCTTTACCGGCATTTCGTCGAACACCTTCAAGGCAGAGGTCACGTGACCGGCACGTGCATACGCCAAGATCATAGCACACCAAGCGAAGTTATCTTTCTCAGGCATTTCGTCGAACACTTTCCGAGCATCGAACACTCTGCCCAAACTTGAATAAAAATCGATCAATGCGGTTTGGACGTGAACTCGCAGAGCCGAATCGGATTTTCCGATCTGTCCATGGATGCATTCGCCGAGCCTGGCGGCGGAATTGGCCTTGCAGCTCTTGATTACCGCCGGAAAAGTGTAGCTGGTGGCGCGCACGCCGTTCCTCAGCATCAGCAAGTAGCAGCGCTGCGCTTGGAGCGGGGAGAAGCAATTGACGGCGGCGGCGATGGCGGCGTTGTAGACGAATACGTTGGGGTTGTCGGCGTCGGCGAAGGCGGTCATGGCGGAATCTAGGGCTTGATGTTTGGAGCAAGCGGTGATGAATTGGTTGGTGAGGAAGGGATTGAGAGAAGCGGTGTTGGTCTTGAAGAGGAAGGCATACCATGATTGAACCTCGTTGACGGTGGAGCATCTTCGCAATTCATCGGAAATTTGCTTCACGGTGAATCTCGTCGGCCATGGCATCAAATCTATCGTCCGCAACGAAAATGGCAGCAACACCCCAACAGTCAGCTTACAAGGATATTTATTGAGTAAAAATTATTTTTTTTCATCATTAATATGGTAATTATCAATTTTGGTCTCATTCAAAAGAATTATTAATTTATGTCCCATTCAAATGAAAATTTATCAATTTTAGTCGAAAATGATTGACTGTGTTGGATGACTCAGAAGGTGACCGGCGTCCCAGACAACCAATACGGCCGTGTTCAGTTCAGTCAACCATCTTAGGACTAAAATTGATAAATTTTCATTTGAATGAGACCAAAATTGATAATTTTATATGAATGACACCAAAATTAATAATTATGATATTGAATGAATGCTCATATTTATTAGACAAAGGACGCTCAGTTCCTTAACGGAACTTTTTTTTTTCTAAATAAATATCCGTTTATTAAAATTAGCTTATTTGGATACGACACAAAAATAAAAAAATATTTTATTAAAAGAAAAAGTAAAACTAAAAAGATAGTTGATTGTATTTTTGAAAATTTAGTTAAAAATTACTCCATCCGTTCAATATAATTTGTCTATATTTTTTTATTTTTGTCCGACCCATATAATTTACCATATTTTTAAATATAGTTATACAATTTAATCACATTTTAAATTTGATAATTTTTTTTAAATTTTAATTAAATTATTTAGTTATTTTAATCTTAATCTATAATTATATTTACTAATACAAATCTTAATTACTTGCTAATTATACTTTATATAAATTGTCAAGTAATAAATCCTTATTACTGGGAACGGATGGAGTAAAGTAAATGATGAGATAATATAATAAAAATAGTAGTATTTATTGTAAATAAAAATTGAATAAATGATAATAATTAAATATTAATTTTTAATTTTACCAAAATTAATAATAAACTAAATTTAACTGAAGGATTTAAATGGAAAGTAATAACAATTTGGCTTTTAGAATATGTTTCTCCTTAGGATTTTAGTTGAGTTTGAATTTGGAATATTAAAATTTTAAACTGAAATAATTATTTGATATAATATAAAGATATAGTAATATGATATTTTGAATTTAATTATTATAATTTATAATAAATAAAAATATGTGTTTCATTCGTATGTATGCCGAAACAATTTCAACCAGCAAACTTCAGAATCAAACAAACCTCAAGCGAATCAAAACGAACATTTAGACATTCAAGCTTACAATGATAAAAAAATCACCCATTGCTAATGTCTTTTCCTCTAAAGTTAATCTAATTCAATACCAAGTGATAGAGAGGAAGATCAGTGTCGTCAATCTAATATTGATAAATCAAGCGAACAAATAATCGAGATTATCTCACAGAAATTGTAACTAACTAATTGGCTATCTAACTCCATACTAGTATGATATTATTCACTTTGGGCAAAATTTACGTGAATTTTCTTTTAGACTTTTTCCAAAAACTATTATACTATGTGAAATTGTATATTATCTTATAACCAATAATATTTTTTTTCATCTTTTCGATGTGAGATTTGGATTTGTTCTTTTTTCAACAATCATTTACTCAAACTAAGAATCAGAGAGCTTATGGCTTCACTTAGTGGTATTTGATTTGATCAACCAAATATTTTGTATCGTCTTTATCATCTAACTGACAACTATAATTTCAACAGAGGACACAAAGTACAAATTTCGATTGCCAATCACATGGTCAACAAAGGTTTTGGGCTTTTGATGGATAACTTTTGGTATGGACTTAAAAAAATATGAATGATCTTGATAGAAAATTAAATTTATGTTGTGTTGTAGCCCAAAATTATATTTAAGCAATAATTTTTTTTCTCATATTAACCGGTAAGTGTTAAAACAATTATAGAAAATTTAATATTGCGGGAAAAGTTATGAAGTAAATAGTGGGGGGATGAGATGGATCAAAGGTGAATAACATTATGGAATTATGATGTGCTTGAGGGATGGATTCTGATGAGTGATGATTCGCAAATCACGAATGAAGTTCGTGTTTGAAATGAATTATTGATTAGCGATAGTGATAAGTACCGGACAAAAAATGGGAAAAATGTCCTTCGGTGGATGAAGGTATTCGCAATATATAGATTTTGTTAGAGAGAGTGCGTAAGAGTGATAACATAAGTTTTTTGCTCACTATTTACTTAGTGTTCACAATGATTTGTTAGTATATAAGCACTTGCATGGAACATAAACTAGTCTTTAATTAGTGAGCTAAGATTCCATTTCTAAAATCATTTTGCAAGACTAGTGAGTCATTCTTCTTGACATTCGTGACTGATGAATTGAACTATTAGTTTACTAATAAATATTACTATATTTTTCTAAGTCAAATTGGGGTTCACTTTGTTGGAGTGCAAACCCAAGTCTCACATGGGAAGTTGTGAAGAAAATTCTACACCTTAAAGTTCAAAGTAAACTCCACTAGTATGAGACCTTTTGGATAATATCCAAAAACAAATATGTGCGGGCTCAGCCCAAAACGGACAATATCATACTAGTGTTGAGTTGGCCCAGTCCCATTAGTGGTATCAGAGCCCGGATAGATGGTGAAGTGGACTGGGTGGCATTGGGCATTGGTTGTGGTGGTGGGCTCGCCCTCGTAACCTGCGGATGTGCCTTGTGTCGAAAGTCTCCTGGCGGTATTGGGTCGGTCCTGATTGAGGTGGTCAGGCAGCGAGTCCCTTTGTGATAGGCGGTAGGCAGGGAAGGTCCATTGGTTGGTCCTTGGTTTGAGGGAGGATTGTTGGGGTGCAAACCCAAATCCCACATCGGAAGTTGTGAAGAAAATTCCACACCTTATAAGTCCCAAGTGAATTCCACTAGTATGAGACCTTTTTTAAGAATATTCAAAAACAAATTCGTGCGGGCTCAGCCCAAAGCGGACAATATCATACTAGTGTTGAGTTGGCCCAGTCCCAACACACTTTTGCGGGAGGCCGTGGGTTTATCTATCATCCTGGAGTCCTCTCGGAACCTTTTACCTAAATTAGGTTAGGTGACTTGTATTTTCTTTAAATCAGAGTGTGCGTGAGGTATTTTGAAAAACAATTATCTTATGTATGTATCATCTATGAGTGTTGGCGAAATGGAGAATAATGAGATTATATTAAATACTAATAATTGAAATTCACGATTACACTATTAAAAGAGTAAAATTATACACTATTATGAATGGTGCGGCTAGCAAAGTTTCTATCCCTACTTATAGGAGCTAACAAAGCTTCTAGAAAGTTAATGGTTATTGACAACCAACATTCACATGTTAGTTTGATTCTCAGTTGTCCAATTTAACAGATGCAAAAATGAAAAGCCGATCTTCAATCTATATTGGATTAGGGCAATTAACCTTTTGTAGGGAGTAGATAATGATAAGAATGAATTACAACTCAAGTATCATTTTTGCTAAACTCAATTGCACTTCCATTAAGAATATAATTCGATTGAAAATCTCAGAATTCTCACTACAAAAAAATAATATATTTGTAACGAAATTTCGTCACTAAAATTCTCGTAGCTAACGTAATTCCGTTCCTAATTCCGTCTCTAATGTCATTAGTAACGGAAAAAGTAGATTTAGAGACAAAAAAGTTTTGTTACAAAAATAATTTTTTCTTGTAGTGTCTACTTGAAAACTCACCGGACAAAGGTGTATAAAAGTAATATTTGAATCAAATAGATTGATCCACAACATTGACATCACTTATTTTTAATAACTGACACAATCAAGCAAGAACATTTTTCCTATTTTATGCAAAATTTTCATACCAACCTAACGCTTTTCACAAAGTTAGAACACGGAAACACGAAGGTACTTGTAAAATCTTGAATATTGGATGTATGTATCTTAAATCAAATCTAGCACAATATATGTATGCATTCATTCAAATCCAACAATTGAAGATTATCCCAAACTCTTGAAAACCCTAATATGGAAAAGAAATTGAAATTACCAATCAAAACGATTATATTCTCTTTCAATCAATCAACAATAAATTCTTCTTCTTCACTATCATATAGCATCATCGCCATCTTCCGGATCGACTCCCTCGTAAGCCCATTTGTTCTCTTTCTTCAAATCCACTTCCTCCTCAGATGTGAAATCATTCTTTATCTCAAAAACTTTTCTGACCCATTCAACGCTTTTATTTTTAATCATATCTGCCATCTTTTGGCAAGCCTCGTCAAAAATTACTTGGACGCCTAAATAATTTGCAGCCAAGCCAAAGTTGAGGACATCGCGGATTTTCAAATTGGCAAAGAAATCATTATAGAATTCCTTCCTTTCCTTGACCCCGAGGTATTTGAAGGATTTTTCTGTATGATTGCTCATTAACTCAATTAGCTTCTCGAGAGTGGATCCATCAACTTCAGGGATAGGAATGACATCAGTATTGCTCTCTTCTTTCAGATCGAGTAAGTTCATGATGGTTGACGATTGTTGGGCGACAATTCTAGAGATCTCGAATTCTTTTCCGTCGGAGCTTCTTAAGGTGAGAGGTGGAGTTTTACTATGGTCCGCTTTATTGGTGTTTGAAGAAGACGCCGCCATTGAAAGAAACTTGAGTGTCGAGAAAATCTAGATGAGGAAAACCATTATATAATGGGTGAAAGTGTGAGTTTTAGGGTTTGTTCATTTATTATTTTATTATTTTTAATTTTCATAATTTTTCTATAAATTTATATAATTTTTTTAAAAAAAGTATTTTGTTTAAACTACTGTTTAAATAAATAACTCACTAACCAAATACTCGACCACAAAATACTATATATATATATATATATATATATATATATATAGAAGGTAGGTAGAGGATCCTTGGCCCCTTCACACTCTAAGTCTTCCAGCCCTTTCAATGGAAGGTTCACATGTGCATTTTTTTTTTTAAATTTCAAAAATTAAATTTGAAGTTGGCGAAATTTGAAAAGAAGGTCCACCCAATTTTTTATGTTGTTCTATGATGATTTTTTTCTCCATCATTGCCTACCTTATTAAGAAGGATTCAAATTTTCAATTTAAAATCAATTGGTATTAATTTAAACCCCGAAATCTTTCTTAACATACCCTACTGATTTTGTCACCGTTGCCCCCAGCCAACAACCACGACATAACGGATCGACATCGGTTCAATAACCAAAAGACAAAATACAAATATAGAATAAAAAAATTTAATTACACACAAAACAAAAATAACACTGAAATATCCCTTTGCACAACTTCAATAATTTATTTTTGCGACATCAAATTTAAAAATAATTATGCAGAAAATTCGGATATTATTCATCATCAATGACAGTGGCGACACCCAAACCCAAATCCATATAAAAATTCAAGAGTGTTTGAAAAATTGTAAAATTATAAAATAAGTTTAAAATAAAAAAGAAGATGTATTCTTAATTAATTGTTTCATCAAGTTCTTGCAAAAATTTTCTTGGATCATAGATTGTGGCATTTTGCTCGAGAGAGTTTGAAAAATTGTAAAATAACATGTGTTGGATATATATATATATATATATTGGTATTTTATGATTCAAGCCAATTTGTTTATTTAAAGTTGGCCCAACCTAAATCCTAGTCATTTTGTGTCCCGAGTAAAACCGCCAAGTATGAGAGGAAAGAGTGAGAAAAATAGTGTAGACGATTTTTGGCTATATGTTGATCCTTGGGGGAGAAACCAATTGTGCAATCTCTAGCACAATCGCCTATCCCAAAGAGATTAAGATTTATTTTTATGTATTGTGAAGCCCAGGTTGGAGTTAGAGAAATTTTGTGCATTCAACACTTATGTCATTGGTCGAGTTAAGGTTTCGGCAGTCCGGTCCGTACAATTAGAGCTGAAAAAAATAGGCACGATTCAAATTTGAATCCGGCAAAAAAAATAAAAAATTTGAACCTTAAATAATAAGATCGAAAATTTTTGGGCCAAGCCCGACACGAGTATGAATCTGGCCGTACCCGGACCATCAAGGCCGGGGCCGTGCCTAACCCAACCTGATTTTTAAATTACATATAATTTTAAAAAATAATTTTATAAATATACTAACTAATAAATTTATATTAAAAACAAAAAGTGTAGTGCAAATGATTTTAATTTCTCTGTTTATAGTGAAATACCTAATTTGACATTTGACCGCTCCATTTTTTTTTTTTTTTTTTTTTTTTTTTTTTTAATTTCATAATTTCTGCAATAATTTTCTCTAAGATCTATTACTTCTCACCATTATTATTATTATTACCGCCGCCTTTTTCAGGAAAGAAAGAAAAGAAGAGATAGCAGAGGGAAACAATTCGATCTTAATACTATACATACAAGTGCCTCTCGTATGTAAATTACAAAAATATAGAAATCAAAATTTAGAATAAAAAATAAATTTCTCTGACATATATTTAAATAAATATAAAAAAAAATTAATTAAAATTTTATAACTTTACCAAAAAACTTGAAAAAAAAATTGAAAAAAAAAAACTAAATAAAAACAAAAACTTAAACGATCAAATTCTAACTAATATTAATCAAACAATCATCATATTTCGTCTTCACCGTCGTTCATCGTCGGGATCGACTCCCTCCTAAGTCCAATCATGTTTGTTCCTTACAGCTTCTTCCTCGGAGTTAAATCATTCTCTACTTTAAAAACTTTTCTCACCCCTGCTACACTTTTGCTTTTCATTGCATCTGCTGATCTCTGATTCTCTGACAAGCCTCATCCAAAACAATCTGAACTCCCATATAATGGGCAGCAGAGGCGAGGGTAAGAAAGTCGTAGAACTTACAATTGACGAAGAAATCGTCACATTGTTTTTTCTTTTCTTCGTCAGTAAAATGCTGGAAGGATTCTTCTGCATGCATATTAAGAAAACCAATTATTCTGTCGAGGGTTGATCCATCCACCTCAGGGAGAAAAATTATGCCTAAAATTATGTTGCCATCTTCTTCCAGATCAAGTAAATTTGCAATGAGGGATGACTGTAAGGCTATAGTTTTGGAGATCTTAAATTCTTTGCCGTTGAAGCTTCTTAGGATTTTGAATTCCTCTTTATCCATGGCAGTTTGAAGAAAAAGAGGTTATCAATGAAGAACTTGAGGGTGAGAATATTATTATTAAACCTGTCTGTATGTATGTATATATATAGAGAGAGAATTAGAAGATGATTTATTATGTATAGATAAAGAGATAGTTAAGATTATATGATTTCAAATCATATCATTGTCAAATCATATTTATTTTTGGATGGATTTGAATTTTTTTAAAAAAAGGTGAGTTTGGATAGGATTTAAATTTTGAATTTGAGTTTTAAACTTGATATAATTTAAATGAATGTTATATTTGTATATACTTTATATTTAAAATTAAATTTTAATATAATACAAATAAAATTAAATTTAGATATTTAATTTGATACATTTTATTAACAAAATTATTAATATAAAAATTTTGTAAAAGTCTTCGAACAAGGTAAAAAACTAATTTTAATATAACCGATATTTATAATATTTTATAAATAAGCTAAGTATGAACTTTATAATATTTTTATAAAATATTTCATATAAAATTAAAAAATAATAATTTCAACGCCTAAGTGTATTAAATATGAACTATTACAATTCAATTAATATATATATTTTGTTTTTAACACATTACCTATACTTTTTGTTCTTGTATCAATTTTATTATTTTTATTCATCTCAAACTAATGTATATATTTTATACTATAATAAAAACAATTTCACACTAATATAAAGAATTTGTTTGTTTCTTTACTTTAAATAAAGTAAAATATTGGTGTACTTGTCAAGTTTTACATCTGATTTTACTATTTCAACTCTTTTTTTCGCTAAAAAAATATCAAATCAAACACCAAATTTTTATTTATTTTATTACACTAAAATCATAACGTCAACACATATTTATATAACATCAAATAATTATTTCAATTCAAAATTTTACTATTCAAAATCAAAATCCAAAACTAAAACCTCACAATAAACACATTCGGACCATAATACGATCTCAATAAAAAAATAATAATAATATTTTTTTCTCTCAAATAAAAAATAAACTTCCAAAAAAATTCTCAAAAAATATGTAAATAAATATCAATTTTTCTTAATTAAAATCTTATAACTAGTGTAAACACAAAAACTTGAAAATTAAAAATCAAACAAACTAAAACCTCCGCAATTATAATAATTGATTCTAACTAATATTAATAAAACCATCATGCTTATTCTTTATAGTCTATTTCTCTTTGGGCATTAATAATTCTCTACTTAGAAAAAAATTTCTCATCTATACCACACTTTTATTTTTCATTACATTGAACGTCCACTAATATTTGACAGCCGTTGTAGCAATCACATCGGAAAACCAAAGTTTATTTTTGGATATCAATGAATCAATAACAAGTATAGCAAAGATAGGTGATGATGATAACCGGATTAAAATAATTGAAAATGGAGCTGTTGTTGTAAGAGCATCTCCAACCGACCTCTATTTATAGTGTTTCAACCTCATTTTTGCCGCGATGCTGCTCCAACCATACGTCATTTCATACACCAAATTTAGAGTTGTTGCACTGTAGCAAACGCCATTTATTTATTTTTTTTATTTTTTAAAATTAAAATTTTAATTTTTATTTTTAAATTTTTTTTTAAAATTTTATTTTAAATTATAAAAATAAAAAATTGTTTAAAATAATAAGAAAATTGAATATTTGAAGAATAATAGTGAAAAATGGAGTTATGGTTAGAGTAAAATTGCATATTTGAAGTTAAAACTAGATAAATAGAGATGATGGGTTGGAGATGGCCTAACAAAGTTCGGACACAAGCTGTTACACAACACAACGTGATGTATGTCCTATATAGGTTTGACTAAAAATTCTTATTAGTAATTGATGAAGTTGGTATATTTAGTCACATTAAAGGACAATAAACGCATGATTTATGGAGATGAAAGAAAATGGCGACTAAATACTACTCCCTCCGTCTCGGATATTTTGTCTGGTTTACTATAAAATTTTAAAATAAGATTAAAATGTATAATTCTTTTTTTTAAAAAAAGTGACAAAATAAATGGGAAGGACGTAAATGAAAAGGTGGACATGAAAAGTAGGAGGGAAGAAGTATATGACAAGTGATTGAATGTTTCGACTTAGTCATGTTATCAAAAAATAAAAATGATAACAGACAAGGCCTTTCAAAGCTCGTAGGGAAACACCACCAAAATAAATTTTCTACATAAGAGTTCTTGGCGAGCCGCAAAGCTTTTAATTTTGTTTGCAAACACCTTCGCTAAGTGACAGTGACGAACCAATTAAACTTTAATTAAAGAGGGGTTGATTTTTCAAATTAAAATAATAATAATAATAATAATAATAATAATAATAATAATAATAATAATATAATCTATTTAAAAATATAAAAGATTATATATTAGATTGTTGTCAGACAATTTTATTCTTCGAATTCACATATTATAGAAATATTGAAAAATAAGGAATTACATCATCACAAATAGTTCTATCCTGATGCCTCAGATCACTTGCCACACATGGTTCGGCTAGTGTGACTTTCCCTTGCAGGGTATTAGGTTCGGTTGAAGGTTTACCCGCATTTTCGGGTAGCGGCCGCGGGTTCCCACGTCATCAAAAAATCAAAGTTCTGTATATATATATATATATATAATTTATAAATACTATTAGTTTGTTTGGTTATAATTTGAAACTGATTTGAAATAAAGTGTTGAGTCGATTTTTTGATTGAATAGTATTTTGATGTAATAGTTTGCACAAGATAAATAATATTGATTTCAGTTTTAAAAAATTTCACACTCAAAATTTATCATCTTTGGTTTATTTTAATTATTTTTTATACTATATATACATATATTTTAACAAAAAATAAAAATAAAATTGTGAAGAGCAGCTTTCAATGAGTTTCTCCGATGAACTTTTTGGTCTTTTTTCGATGAGTTTTTGGTTTTTTTTAAGAGTTTTCGATTACTTTCTTTGTGAGTTGTTCGATTGTGTCGTGTCCGGTCGGTGTCGAAGCTGTCTGTTCTACTCGGAGGAGGACCGCTGCCGGAGATCGATCTAGACGTAGTCCAAATTTAGTATACTTTAGTTTGCAGGCTTTGATGTATAATTTTTTTTAATGTTAATTCAGTCTTGGATTTCGATCGATAATACTTCCTCTCAGCCGTGCAGGCTAGGGAGTGTCCTAATCGTAAAATTTCATTATGTAATGAAATGTTAACCAGGCAAGTTCAGCCTTTGTGTCTACAGCCATGGACTGTATCTTATGCATTCCCCACAAGCAAAATTAATACATAAACAATTCGACCATAATGGTTTCATTGCTGCCGCAGGTCCATAGAAAATAAAATAAAAAATATAGGCAAGACCTACAGACAAGACAATCATGTAAATAAAGATCGAATTTAATCTTTTGCATTAAAAAATATTTTTTAATGAATAAAAATTGTATAACTAGTTCTAAAAACAAACTTAAAAATTTAAAATCAAACATGTTAAAAGACATTCAATGAATCCCGACTAATATTAAAGTAATCGATCTGATTTGCAGTGGCTACAATAAAAAATAAATTTTTAATGAGATTTAACAAATAAAAATTGGATAACAAATTCTAAAAGCAAAATTTAAAACTAAAAATCAAACATTCAAGACCTCAATGGATCCTCATCAATGATCACCCTCCTATGGGTGCAAGTCCATAGAAAAAAAAAAATATATATATATATATATATAAGTAATATTAAAGTCATCAATAAATTAATCTTCAAAACATTCGTCGTCGTGGTTGGATCGACTTCATCTTAAGTCCATTCATGCTTATTCCTTACAGCTTGTTCGTCTGCAGAAGTGAAATCGTTCTCTATTCCAAAAACTTTTTTCACCCAAGTCACACTTTTTGTTCTTCGATACATCTGTTTATCTCTGACAAGCCTAGTCCACAAGAGCTCCCAAATATTTAGCAGCCGAGGCAAGGGCAAGGAAATCGTGGATGTTACAATTGGCGAAGAAATGGTCGTATTGTTTTTTTCTTTTCTTCGGTTGTTAATTTTTGGAAGGATTCTTCCGTATACATGTTTAGGGAACCAATTACCCTGTCGAAGCTAATTCCATCAACTTCAGGAAAAGCAATTATGTCGGGGTTCTACCTTCTTCTTCCAAATCAAGTAAATTTGAGATGAAGGACATTTGCAGAGTAATGAATTTGGTTATCTTGAATTCTTTTCGGTCGAAGCTTATCAGGGTTCTATTATTTATCCATAGTAGTCGAAGAAGATGCCCCTTTATCCATGGTAGTCGATGAAGATGTCGCCATTAAAAAACCTTTTGTGGTTTGAGAATATTTTCAAAATCAATAGGATAGTTGTGTTGTGATTGCTAAACCTCTTTCTATGTATATATAGAGAGAGAGAAAATTAGGATTAGAATTTAGTAAATATGAAGAGAAACAGCCCGTTGTGTTGTGACTATTAAACCTCCTTATATGTATATATATATATATGGAGAGAATTAATGTTAGAATATAGTAAGTACATAGAGAAAGAAGTAATTAAGAATATATGATTTTAAAATTTTGAATTTTGAATTTAAATTTTAAATCCAATGCCATATAACCAGATTGTTATTATGTTATGTAATGTTTTAAATTATAAAAATAATTTTTAATATAACATATTTACAAAAAATTTATTATTAATTAAAATTTTTTGTAAAAGACTCCTAAAAACAATTAAAGAACAAACACAATTAACAAACTAATAATAATAATAATAATAATAATAATAATAATAATAATAATAATAATAATAATTATCATTTTTTATAAGTAAATTCAAGTATGATCTTTGTAATATTTTTATAAAATATTTCATAATTGTATCTAAAATAACAAAATAACAATTTCAACAAATATTTTATATAAAACTATCATAATAATACATTCTGACCCATATTTTTATTATATATAGATTATTACAATTTAATTATATATTTTGTTTGTTTCACTAAAAAGTTTTTTTTTTTTAATTTTAATGAAAGTAATTTTACAATAATACTAAAATATATTTAATTTTTATTCAAATTATTATTTTTTTAATTTACTTAAAAAATGGCCCAATAAGGAATTAAAAAAAATTTAAGTGAAAAACACTTTTAAAACATTTGGTTATACATTTTTTTCAGAAAATTCGTTCTTAAAAAAAAAAAGGAAATGTTGTCTCCGATGAGTTTTTGGTCTTTTAGTTTTCATTAGTTTCTTTGTTAGTTCTTCGATTGTGTTATGTCCGATCGGCATAGAAGCTGTCCGTGCTACTCGGAGGAGGACCGCTGCTGGAGACAAGATAGTGTAGATAAAAATCGAAGTTAATCTTTTAAATAAAAAATAATTTTTTAATGACATATAATGAATAAAAATTGTATAACTAATTCTAAAAAGCAAAATTTAAAACTAAAAATCAAACTTGCTAATAATACATTAAGACCTTCTTGACTAACATTGAAGTATTGATCTTACATTTTTTTGCGGCAATAAAAAATAAATTTTTAATGACATATTTAATTAATAAAAATTGTATAACTAGTTCTGAAAATAAAATTTAAAACTAAAACAAACATGTTAAAACTTCAAGATCTCAATGGATTCTGACTATTACTAAAAATATCAATGATAGATGTGGCTACAAGTCCATAGAAAATAAAATAGAAAACATAGGTAATATGAAACTCATCAATCAATCAATTGATTCATATCTTCATCTTTGTAATCGTCATCAATTGATTCATATCTTCTTCATTGTCATCGTCGGGATCGACTCCTTCGTAAGCCCATTCATGTTTATTTTTTAAAGCTTGTTCTTCTGCAGACGTGAAATCGTTCTCTACTCCAAAAACTTTCCTCACCCAAGCCACACTTTTGTTCTTCATTGCATCGGCTGATCTCTGACAAGCCTCGTCCAGAACCAACTGAGCTCCCAAATAATTCGCCGCCGAGGCGAGGGCAAGGAAATCATGGATCTTACAATTGGCGAAGAAATCGTCGCATCGTTTCTTCTTTTCTGTTGTGGTTAATTTTTTGAAGGATTCTTCTGTGTACATGTTCAGGAAACCAATTACCCTGTCAAGGTTAATTCCATCGACCTTAGGAAGAGGAATAATGTCGGTTTTGCCTTCTTCTTCCAAATCAAGTAAATTTGAGACGAGGGACAGTTGCAGAGCAATGGATTTGGAGATTTTGAATTCTTTTCCGTCACAACTTCTAAGGGTTCTGAATTCCTGTTTATCTATAGCAGTAGAAGATGCCCCTTTATCCATGGTAGTCGACGAAGATGCAGCCATTAAAGAACCTTTTGTGTTTTGAGAATATTTTCAAAATCAATAATGCCTTTGTGTTGTGACTGTTGAACCTCCTTGTATGCATATATAGGGGGAGAATTATGATTTAGAATTTAGTAAGTACAGAGAGAAAAGACCGTTGTGTTGTGACTGCTATGGAAAGAGAATTAAGGTTATAATTTAGAACCGTTGTGTTGACTGCTATGGAAAGTGAATTAATGTTATAATTTAGTAAGTACAAAGATAAACATGTAATAAAAATATATGATTTTAAATTTTTGAATTTTAAATTTAAATTTTAAATTTGATGCCATATAAACAGATCTTATTATTTTATGTAACGTTTTAAATTTTAAAATAATTTTTAATATGACAAAAATAAAATAAATATTTAATTTAATATTTGCTTACGAAATTTTTTTAATTAATAATAAAAATTTTGTAAAAGACTCCAAACAATTAAAAAACAAACACAATAAACAAACTAATTATAATAATAATATTTATCATATTTTATAAGTAAATTCAACAATATTATACATATCTCATAATTTTATCTAAACTTAACAAAATAACAATTTCAACAAATATGTCATATAAAACTATCAAAATAATCAATTCAACGCATAATTTTTTTTTATTATGTATGGATTATTACAATTATTATATATTTGGTTTGTTTCACTCGAAAAATTCTTTTATTAGTAAAATTAATTACAAATTAATTACATACTAATATAAAAATATATGTAATTTTTACTTAAATCATAAATATATTATACATATATAATTAATTTATACACAAAATTAAAATATCAAAATATTTTTATACATTCACTGATTAATAAAATATTTATTATTTTTTTTAAAAAAATAATTTTTAAAATATAAATAAAGATTTAAAAAAATTAAATTAAATAACTTTTTTAAAACGCTTAACTATATTGTTTTTAAAAAAATTGTTTCTTTTTATCCTATAATCTATTTGAAAACACTTATAATGTGTTTGGTACAGAGAAACGAGACCAGAGAAATAGAAATGTAATCTATTTGAAAACACTTATAATGTGTTTGGTACAGAGAAACGAGACCAGAGAAATAGAAATGATATCATTTCTCTTGTTTGTTTGTGTGAGAGAAATTGAACTTGAAAAATAAATAGAAATAAATCATTTCCATTTCTTTATTTTAATTCTCTCCCGTATGAAGAGAAATGATGTTGAAGTATATGTTTTTTTTTAATTTTTTTAAAAAAATTTGTACTATTTAATTTTTATAATTTTTTTAAAATTATATTATTTCAATTTTACAAAAAAACTTAATTTATTTTTAAAGTATTTAATTTTTACTATATTTTAAGAAATTATACTAAAATATAATCTTTAAAAAACATCTTTTAAGAAATTGTACTAAAATATAATCTTAAAAAACATCGTATATAATTTATAATTTTTTTTAAAAAAAATTACCAAAAATATTTTCCATGAATTCTAATTCGTTAAAACTCTTTTTTTATCCAATTAATCATTTATTTTTGTTTGATCATTCATATATTTGTATTTTTTTTATATATTTCTCAATTGAATTCTCTGTTTTATCAAGAGAATTAATTCTCATTCTCTACTCAATTTCATTTCTCTCCAATTATATTCTCTACTCTCATTTCTCTAAATTATAATGTAATATAAATAGACGTTTAATGTTGATGTAATGTTTTAAATATATTAATTTTAATATAATATAAAAAATAAAAAATATTTTTTAAAAAAAATTGTATAAATAGTAAAAATTTTGATAAATACCCTAAACATGCACGCTCTTACAAACTAAGCTGTTCAAAATACTATTTCTACTTCGTTTCAATTAAAAAAATATATTTTATTAAAAAATATTTATTTTTTAGTTACACATTAATATTTATATCATAATACTCTTTAATTTAACAAATAAATAAATAAATAGATAGTATCTTGTTTCGAAATGGGATGAGTTCAAACACAGAGATAAAAGATTAACCCTAACTCTGAACTCTCGTAGTCAAGTCTTCATCTCTTCTTTCAATCAGGATCTGGGCACTTCTCTGATCCTCAGTCAGTGGGAAGAATCAATTAGCACCGCCTTGATTCACTCGAGTTAAGGCATCCATGGCGTCTTCGGATCTGGAAGCGAAGGCGAAAGAGGCGTTTATAGACGACCACTTCGAATTAGCCGTTGACCTCTACAATCAAGCCATTGCTCTGTGCCCTAGAAACGCCGACCTCTTCGTCGACCGCGCTCAAGCTAATATTAAGCTTAAAAACTACACTGGTGAGTGGAAATATTTGGTGTGAATTTCGGATACGATCTTAAGGTTGAATTAGAGATGCTGAGCATTTTAAAGATGTAACTACTGCCTACTCTGAAAAGCTTTCTGTGTGGATGTGTGTGTGTGTGCATATTTAGTCTCTGTATTGTTAGTTATGTATTCGATTTCTGGTGGACAGAGGCTGTTGCTGATGCAAATAAGGCAATTGAATTGAATCGCGACATGTCCAAAGCGTATTTACGGAAGGGGTAAGTTTCTGTGTAAAGATTCTTTTGCGTGGATTGTGTTCTTTTATATTAAATTGAACTGCGACATGTAGATTTTCGATTTTGGTCTTAATTAACAACTCATGGATCTGAAACCTGCTAAAATTCATTAATGAATATGCAACTCCTGATTTCTAATCGTTAGGTTGCAGTGAAAAAATGCAAGTTTTGTTTCATTAGTGAATCCTGTATTACATTTGGACAACCTTTATTATAATAATATAAAGCTTAAGGGTTTTTCAAAAGTAGACAAAGGATTTGGGAATTCACAGCCATGGGAATGGCCAACCAGCAATTGTGGTCTATGACATGGTTTTATATAAGCTGGCTTCAATTAATTAAGTTTTTTTTTTTTTTTTTACATTACATTTTTTTTGTTCTGATGTTTCCGTAGCATATATCAAAACAATCTGAAATGACTATATCATCTGTTCTCAATGGAATCTTGTACGTTTTAAGAGGCACGGACTGTGTATAACAATTTTACTCATTTTAATGCTCCAGTAGATCATAAAGCGATCAATCTTGCTTATGTGTTTTTGTTGTTTTTGTTTTCAATTGGTTAATTGTCAGTTTGGCTTCCAATTCCTAGTCTGTCAATTTATGATTGAGTCAGTTAAATTTACACTATAAAATAAAAATTTCCTTGCTTAATTATGCTCTACTTGCAGTGTGGCATGCATGAAGCTTGAAGAATATGAGACTGCTAAATCAGCTTTGGAAATGGGTGCTTCATTAGCACCTGGAGATTCCAGATTTACTACTTTAATCAAAGAATGTGAGGCTCGAATAACAGGTAGTATTAATACAAATAATATGAATTAGACTAATTATTTCATGCAATCTTGAGCGTTTTATAAAAGTGTCTTCTGGTCTCCCATGATGATAAGCATTTTCCTTAACTTTATGACATGCTGGAATTATATCTGTGTCTCCTCATCTTGTGAAATATTGAAATGGTATGCTCGAATAAATTATTCTTAGTAAAAGAATTTAATATTAATCACTTTAGAAAAGATTAATTCAAATATCTTATCCCCGCATCTGAAACGGCTGAGCCCTTTGTATTTATTATAAGAAAGTCAACTAACCCATTAGAATCTATATGACAGAATTTGGTGGTTGTTGACGTTAGGTGACATTTGACCATCCATTAGCAACTAGTTCTGTGTTATTTACTCAAAGTGTCACATCCTTCATTGGTTCTTTCAGTTACCATGTTAGTTTATGACCAACTCTTCCATTTGATAAATTTGGACTTTTCATTCTCGTGTCATCTTTCTATTAGTTGACGCTTGAGTTTGTAACTCATAAAATTTTTTTTGCGTTTTTGGGCATTTCAATCTCACTTAATATTTTTTGTTTTGTTCTCGTTCTTTGTGGCTTAGATACATTCTGCTTAGCTGGATAAACTCTCTTTTGCGGCTCCATATTCCTTTGTGATTTTATTTTATTTTGTGTTACGCTGTCTCAAATCCTTCCCTAAATCTGGACAATAGCATCAAAACTCAAAGTCCTTAAGAGTACCATTTGATTTTGCAACTGAAGTAAATTTTAGCTAAAAGAGCATAAGTTGCGGAAAAATAATAATAAGTGTTGCAAGCCTACAGCCTAGTTGCAAGCAGCCAAAGTTCTTGTTATGTTTAGGTGGTGAATTCTATCTCTCTTTCTCTCATCCTTCATTTCCTCGCACTGTAGTACAAATTATACTTTTCCCTTATTTTGAATATTTTCTTTGAAATTTTCGATATGCTGATCCACCCACTACATCCTATTAGCAATCAGTCCACTTTCCCTGGCAGCAATATCTTGTTGTGCCTATTTTGGGTGGTGCCACAGCAGGCTGAGGTACTGACCTCCGGATAGTTCAATTGCTTGTGGTGCTGGCCGATATTGTGTAATTATTATTTTGCTTTCTATGTATATATGTGTTCGCGCCTTCCATTCGTTGCTTAGCAATTACTCTTCACTTCATTCGAATGGCTTGTTATAACGCTCATGCATAGTTTTGCTGCTCCCCCCTTCTCTTTTCTTATTGCTGAATTTAATATCTTTTGTGATTTTATTATTTGCTTCCCGTTTTCCTGTATCATATTAAATTCATATGCATCCCTGCACTCATGGGTGAAGATGTTCCTCTCTGTTACCCTTTTGTTTAATCCTTTCATTAGAATGTAAAATAGCTGTTTCAGAAGAAAGCAAAAGATTCTGAAAATTGGTATTTAATCTGTTTGATATTGCATCCAATTATTTGTTTTTTTATTTATTTTTTTTGGCAATAGATTTTCACTTATATATCAATCCCTAAGATATTGCAAAGAGTACATATTATTTGTGTGCACTCTGTTTCTGGCTAAGCTACTAATATTGTGTATAGTAGTTTTTCTGATTATTTTCTTTCTTGTTTACACTGTATATCTATTCTCTTATGTATTTCAGAGGAAGCCGAAGAATTGACTGAGCAATTTGTGGATAAAGTTTCAATAGATGCAACTCCAAGAAACTTGCCGCCAACAATTGGGTCATCCAGTCAAGGAACAACATCATCCGACACTAAGGCAAAATACAGGTTGGTATAAGTTGGAAAGCTCTAGAGAGTGACGAGCTTAATATTTAAGTCATTATGGGCGTTAGGCAAAATTTAATTTTATAACTGAAAATACCTGATTTCATCTGATGGGCTGTGAGCTTTCTGCCCATCGGCTTGGTTTCCAAACTGTGCATAAAATGTTTTAATTATTCTTCCTCTGGCTTGATAGTAAAGCTTTATCGTTTTGGACATCCATTGTAAGCCATCAAGAGTCGGAAGAAGGTATCAGAAGTAAAGACATGTAGTTCAGTTACATAATACAGATATAAAAGAAACCTTCGAACTTATCCGTGAGTCACCCATGTTGCTTACTTATTGATAACATTTCTAAGTATAAGTAATATTATTTATTTATTTATTAATTCTTTTCAATCTCTTACCTAACTCGACTAGGTTTAATCTTCTGTAGAAAGTGACTATTAAATGAAAAGTACAAAGTCTTGAGAAATAAAACATCACAATCTTAGTACCTTTTTCTAATTTAAATTTAAGAAAATGTTTTTACTTTCGCTGATTTATTTTTCATTGCTCTTTTTATTATTTATTATATTTATCTTCTTAAGGAATAAGAAAATGGTCTGGTGTATAGCTCTTTACATTTGACATTATGTAATATGCAGGCATGAATTTTATCAGAAACCAGAGGAAGTCGTCGTAACAATATTTGCCAAGGGCATACCACCAGACAGTGTTGCCGTTGATTTTGGCGAACAAGTGGTAAATATTACGTCTCTCCCCTTCGGTAGTTCTCGAGAGACTGTCGATTTCTGAACTCCCTTTCATTGTCACTTGTTATTTCAGCTCGGTGTTACCATAGACTTACCTGGTCAAGAACCCTATCATTTTCAACGACGACTGTTTGGCAAGGTGATGCACAAATTTCTTCTCGTTAATTGACATATGTCCGACTCTCGCCACTTCAGTTTTTCTCATGTTTCATGTTATCTTCTTCACGAGCAGATAACTCCTTCAAAATGTAGATACGATGTTCTCTCGACCAAGATTGAAATACGCCTTGCCAAAGCAGATTCCGAGCACTGGGCGTCGCTTGAATTTAACAAGGACTCTCCCGTCGTACCGAAAGCGAAAACACCGTTGTCTAGTAATTCTTTCTCTTCGAAATGGCTCCACACATTGTACATGACTCTCGTTTAATCTTTAGTGTCTGATTTTGATTCGGCAGGCAATCATCGACCGACTTACCCTTCCTCGAAACCGAAACGAGTCGATTGGGATAAATACGAAGCTGAACTAAAAAAGAAGGTACGAGTTTTACCACATTAGGCACGGCTTTTTGTTTATATAAGACGCTTTTGAAACTTTTGGCATTATTTATCAATAATATTCCCTCCGTCCATTAAAATTAGTCTACTTAGGTCCGGCATGGAGATTAAGAAAAATGAATAATTTATTGAAAACGTGATAGGTAGTTGAATAAAAAAAGAAAGAAAGTGAGAATAAATTTGGCGGAGTAAAAATATTACATTGAATACAATTTTTTTTTACGAGATATCACGTTAGATATTTAACTTCGTACTGTTTCCAAAGTTTATCGTTTTTACACCACCATCAGGAAAAAGAAGAAAAGCTCGACGGGGATGCGGCTTTGAGCAAATTCTTCCAAGACATATACCGCGACGCTGATGAGGATGCTCGGAGAGCAATGAGTAAATCTTTTGTAAGAATTTCCGACTTGTATTCTCAACATTTAGACATAATCTTCTTATCTTCGACACTCTAACAGCCCACTCTCTGAACAGTTGGAGTCCAACGGGACAGTGCTGTCGACAAACTGGAAAGAAGTCGGGTCGAAGAAGGTCGAAGGAAGCCCACCAGATGGCATGGAGTTGAAGAAATGGGAGTACTAAGAAAGAAAGGTCTGGAATCCTGAAACTTGTTTATAGTTATTACATCTCTTTTGCTCACTCACCCTCTGTGTCGTGTCTGCTGCTTTCTTCTATTCATAAACTCAGGTTGAAAGCTCTAATCTTCGCCGGTGAGGTAATATATATAATAGTCAGTTTGAAATTTACGGACACATTATTTGTGTTTTTATGTGAGTGCTAATGGAGTCGATTCTCTCTCCTCTCTCTCTCTATATATAATTTAACTTTGGGAGTTTATAGATTTCTTTAGATTATTAAAAATACAGATTTTCAAAAATCGAGTTTGTTTGGTTGTGATTTAGAATTATTTTGAAATGATGTGTTAATTTGAATTTGTTTTTTGAAAAGTATATTTTATGAAATGTTGTGAGAAAAAAAATTGTATTCTATTGAAAATTATATTCGGAGGACATTTGGGATGGGCGAGGGAATTAGGAATAATATTATTATATTGATTGTGAGTATAAAGTGTTTTAAAAAGACTAAAATACTCTTATTTTATGTAGTTATTGTGAAAAAAGTGGAGATAGTTTTGTAACATAAATGAAATTATATGCACTATATGTTGTAATAATAGTGTTTTTTATTTGAAAATTTAAAATTTCATACGTATTTTAAAATTTCTTTAAAAAAAAAAAAAAAAAAAAGCATTAAACAGCGTATAGATTTTAATAGTTCATGAATTTTCTATGATTTTTTGTTTTTAAAAATACAAGTAAATTTTACTAGTGATTAAAAAATTTCTGTTAACTAGAGATTTCTTCGGATTTTCCTTAAAAATTTTGGAAAGATTATTATTTTCATAACTTGAAACTTCTATGTTTTTAGTATTTTTTTTATTAATATTTTTAAAGAAATAATAAGTTAATAACTTTTATTTATTTATTTTATATTTTAATAAATCATAATTGAGTTGTTTATTTTATTTTAATGTTAAAATATTATTATGTTTTAGTATACGTGTCCAAAAATATTATATAAATTAATATTATAAAAAATATGAAGTTTTTGAATGTATAGAAAATATTTAATAAATTACACAAGTTGAGACTTGGGGAAAATAATTAAAATAAAAATATAATACCAATTTAAATCCAACCAACTTGTGACTAAATACACCCTACATATTTATTGAGCTACTACTTTTTGATATACCGATCTTTTTTGTATTAATTTTTTTATTTTTATGACGTGGGAATTTGCAGTGTCCGCCGAAATTTGTAGTTGGGATTTTTTAATAATTTAAATTGAATTGAGAATTGAAATTTGAAATTCAAAAATTCTAATCAAACCAAAAATCTGAAATATTCGAAGAAGTCATAAGTTTTTTTTTATTATTTTTATAATATTAAACTATGTAATAAATAAAAATAAGTATATTAAAATATAACTATAATTCTGAGTTTTTTTATATTTTTTAAAAACTTGTATATTTTGATTATATTGGTAAAAATATATATAATAATAATATAATATACTAATATACATTATTTTGGATTCCGACTGATTCAAAATTTTCGTATACCGATTTAGATTAATATGAAAATTCAAAATTTATATAATTTTCAATTTGAAAATGTGAAATTTTCAAATTAAATTTTAAATTTTGATTTGATTTCAATCGAATTTTTTGCTCATTATTATCTTATTTGTACTAAGTAATTTAAGATGGCAACATATTCAATAATACACTGAAAAAAAATAAAATAAAATAAAATAGTAGTGTACACCCCTAGTCTTAACACTCGACCTAACCATACTACATAGGTACACTTAGGGATAGCAATTCTCACGTATTCGAGATTCGACCTATTTTATTAAGATCGGATTGGATTATACGAGTATTGAATTGGGTTTTTAATAATTTTTAGAGAGTAAAGTAATAAAATATTGTTATTATTATTTTCTTTTGTAAAAAAAAAAATTATTTTGCGGGCCTGATGGGTCTGGTGAATACATTATAGGGTGTGTTTGTTTGGGTGATTGAATTTTAAATACATTATTTATTTTATTTTATTTTTAAAAAATATTAAATCAAACACCTATTTTTTATTTTTTATATTCTCTCCGTGCAAACAATAAGTATACATTTATTTTTGGAACAAAATTTAAGAAATAATAGTATTTTAATTATAATAGGTAGGTAAAAATAATGTAATGATATTTTTGCCCTTACTTTTTGATATGAAAGTAATGATATGATGTAAAGTAAAGATATTTTTGGAAAAAAAGTGAGGTATTTAATGAAATTGTTACTTTGTAATTGGACGTCCCAAAATAGAAATATGTATACTTTGTGGCCGAAGGGAGGGAGTATTATACTAAAAATTGATTTTATATTCAAAACATCAGGTTAACACCTATTTATATCACATCATACAACTATTCAAATTCAAAATTTTTACTATTCAAGTTCCAACTCAAAATTCGAACCCCCAAACAAACACACCCTATGGGTAAAGTCCGTAGATATTTTGGATTCAATAATATACATTTAGGTAGAATTTCGATCAAGTTGTACCTAAATTTATGTATAAAAATTAAAAGAATACTTTTGATTCGAACAGAAGAAGTAAATAATACAATATATAAATGTACAATATGTATTTTAATATGAGATACTTTCTCTATCTCGCAACAATTGATATATTTTTATCAAAATTTAAAATCTCGTATTTTTTACAACATACTTAACAAATATAAATTTAATTTAATTAACTTCATAACGTATAACATTATACATCACGATCAAAACTCTTATATTTTTCTCTCCTAAAAAAAATAAATATTTTTATCAAAATTTAAAACTCCATATTTTTTATAAAATTAGTTTATATTATACTAGTAAATAAATAAACATAATATTTTTTTTATTTATTTGTATTATAGAAAATATTATTATTTAAAAAATGATATTTATATTGTATATATTTTTTATTGCGATATAATTTTTTAAATATTTAAACACATATTCAATTTTCTTATTATATATATTAAATTTATTTTAACACTGTCATATAATTAATTATATAAAAATAATAGAATAATATTATAATCCATTATCATTAGCTAATTAAGCACTATTTTCTTAAATACAATGTCACTAATTAAATATATCAATTATACTACTAGAATTGGGACTTGAAGAAGTAATACTATTATATTGCAATCCCTTCATCTTACCTACTGTGTGTATATTGTCGTTTATATATGTTTCATATATCATGTTAATTTATTTTTTTAAAAAAAAATAATTACGCACCTTAATCTTATTTAAAATTTTCTAATTTATATATATATTTTTAGTTGGAATTAGATTAATTAATTATTTTAATTTAAATTTATAATTATTTTTACTAATATATTATTAATTATTTATTAAGTTCATCTCCAACTTTCCATTTCATTTTTGATAACTACAGTAAAAATACATTTGATTAATTTACAATAATTTTATCCATAAACTTCAATTTCACTCTGAAAAAAAATATACTTTCTATATATTTATCCTTTTTTTTTTATTTGTATAAGTTTTTATATTTATAAATTAAATTCCAATCTCATTTTATTTTTACATTATGATCCACACATATGTAATTATATTTTTAAAAAAATAAAAATATATCACCTTCAAAAAGTAAAATTATACTTTTAGAAAAATAAAATTATAAATCACCATTAAAAAATAAAATTACACAAAATATCTAAATACACAAAAATCCCACTCCAAAATGTACAATCTGCAGTGGATAAGAGAAACCCTGATTATATTTATTATAAATTTATGTATCTATAGTATTTCGGACATTTTATAAATTTAATTATGCTGATAAAATCCGTACGTACTAACCGCCGACTTAATGTGTTGTCGGTAGCAGCAGCCGTTAGTATAAATTGTGGACGAAGAGTTATTGAAGCATATCCGTGCTGCGAATGCTCTTATTCTTATCTGGCCTCGACGGAGAACGGAAAACGGAGACGGACAGAGTTACGCCGTTAGGGTTTCAGCTAAGGATTGTCAATGGCGGACGCCGTCGTGCTCTACTCTACCCCCACTCACCTCAATTCATTGTCCCCTCTCGCCGCCTTAATCGCCGATCACTATCCCTCCATCTCCGTCCTCCTCCTCTCCACCGCCGCTCCGCCTCCATCTCTGCCCCCTTCCGTCGCTTACTGCCGCCTCCCTACGCCGCCCCTTCCGCCAGATGCACACTCCGATCCAAGCTTTCTGATGGAAATTCCTCGCCTCTGTAACCCCGATTTCCGGCGATTCCTCGCCGAAACCTCCGGGAAATTCACCATCAAAGCGGTGGTGCTCGATTTCTTCTGCAATTCAGCCTTCGAGGTCTCGAATAGCTTCGACATACCTACCTACTTCTGCGTCACCACCGCCGCGATTGGCCTCTGCAACTTGCTCTACTGGCCGATTATCCACCGGAATATTCCTCTGGACATGGCGGAGGTCAAGGATTTTATTCACATCCCCGGCTGTACGGCGCTCCTTTCCAAGGACCTCCCCGCGGTTTTGCTTCGCCGGCGGAGTAATTTCTACAAACAGCATCTAGAAACTTCGATGACCATGCGGAAATCGGCGGGGATTATTGTGAACACTTTTTACGCGCTTGAGGTTAGGGCTATGGAGGCGCTTGTTAACGGTTTGTGTGTGCCAGACGCGCCGTCGTCTCCGCCGATTTATTCGATGGGACCGTTGATTACCGCAGCCGCCGGCGGAGAGCATGAGTGTTTGCGGTGGCTGGATTTGCAGCCGAGTAAGAGTGTTGTGTTCCTCTGTTTTGGCCGGGAAGGGGTGTTTTCCGGCGAGCAGCTAAGGGAGACGGCGGCCGGTTTGGAGAACAGCGGGCACCGGTTTTTGTGGACCGTGCGCGGTCGGGGAGGTGAACGGGCGGTTCTTCCGGAGGGTTTCGTGGAGAGGACGAAAGGGCGGGGGATTGTGGTGGAGGAGTGGGCCCCGCAGAGGGCGGTGCTGAGTCACGACTCGGTCGGCGCGTTCGTGACTCACTGCGGGCAGAGCTCGGTGCTGGAGGCGGTGGCGGCCGGAGTTCCGATGGTGGGGTGGCCGCTGTACGCGGAGCAGAGGCTGAGCAGGGCGGGGCTGGTGGAGGAGGCGAGATTGGCGCTGCCGATGGAGGAGGAGCCGGGCGGCGGCGGATTGGTGACGGCAGCGGAGGTGGAGAGGCGGATCAGGGAGGTGATGGAGTCGAAGAGGGGGGAGGAGATTAGGCGGCGCGTGGGGGAAATGAAAGTATCGGTGGCGGCGGCGGTGAGGAAGGGAGGGTCGTCGGCGGTGGCGCTGGAGAAGTTTATGGCGGCGGTGACTGGTCGGAGTTAATAAGTGTACGTGGCGGATGCTTATTGGCTGTTTCGTATTTGTCTGAGCTCTGTCGATCACATAGGTTGTGTTGTTATTTTTATTTATTTATTTATTAATAAATAAATAAATAAATAGAAACTCATGCTCCGTTTACAAGATTTTTAATGAATTTATTATTCTAATTTTTTTTAAAAAAATATCAAATTAAATATTCTATTTTTATTTATTTTATTATATTAAAATCTAATTTTACATTTAAAAAATCACATCAATATATATTTATATCATATTTAAACTACTATTTAAATTCAAAATTTTATTATTTAAAATCAAAATCCAAACCCCACTGTTAAACACACAAACATGTTTATAAATATAAATATTTTTAATATTAAATAGATCAATTATATTAATGATATAGAAAATATTTTACTTGTCTCACAAATTGTTTATATTTTATTATGTGTTTTAATCATATACTCCCCCCGTGTCACTGGAATTGTGGCATGACATTTGCTTTTTGTACGTAAATTTTTAAATATTAGTATTACATTAGATTATAGTAAAATAAAAAAATAAAAAAATAAAAATACCCCTATTAATATGTTGCAAAAGTAATAACATTTGTGTAATATATTGTAAGTTGAAAGGGTATTTATTATGTTAGGTAGGTAGTACAATTACTAAATTAAGAAATAATAACATTGTTTTGGAACGGACAAAAATAGAAAATAGTAACATTTCAGTGGGATGGAGGGAGTGTTAAATTTTATAATTTTAATTAAATTATTTCCTTTATTTTAATTTTAATCTTAATTTATAATTTATTTTATTTATATATTTTTAATTATCTATTTCTTATATTTTATTTAAATTCTTTTATCTACACTCAAATTATTTAAGACAAAATGAATAATATTTTATATTTAATTATTGATTTTTGTGATTGTTGATGTATTTTTCAACAATAAAAAAATAAAATTCGAAAATAGGAAATTATGTTCGAATTTGATATAGTTAGTGCCTGAGATTAGGAATATCTCAACACTGTACGGTACATAAATAAGCTGAAAAATAAATGCTACAGATTGAAAATTAAAGGATGATCCCCGAATCACTGACTTTGCTGTCGTTTGAAGATGAACGAAGATCCTTTGTCAGTTGCTGACTCCAATCCTTAAATATTCCTCAGAAGAGATGTTTCAGAACCGTCGCCAGCAACCGCCGTCAACCGCCCACAACGAAACATTTTGAAACATCGTCTGGTCGGTTACGGCAACCGTCTCGCCAACTGCATTACCCAACCGACCAATCCAGAGACTAAATGGTCGCTAGACCAAACAACTCCTTAGTCGTCCCATCAAGCGACCACCCTCTGGTTTTTTCAGACGATTCAATGGTTGCCCCAACCAAGCGACTGAACTACTGTTTAATTAGACGACTAATTAACAGACCTTCTTCGCTTGGTCCAAACTCCGTATTGGCCGACTCAACCGATGGCGGACCAACCGACTGCAAACCATCCGATCCGACTGCGGACCTTCCGACCTGCCTATCCAACCACGGACTTTTCGACCTGCCTGTCCGACCGCGGACCTTCCAACTTGCTTATCCGACTGCAAACCAACCGACCGGATCAACCGACCGCGGACCAACCGACCTGAGTGCATATTTTCTCCGCCCGACTTCGTGTCCTAACTTCCTTTGAGACCCTGCTACCATTATTATTATTATTATTATTATTATTATTATTATTATTATTATTATTTGTACGTAACAATGATTAAATAAAATTTATATTATACTCTCTTGGTCCAACTTTAAAAGTTCTATTTATCTTTTTTTCGCGTTATTGTATTTAATATTAAAAATATTTTTATATTTATATATTCTTTTACACAAATGTCATTACAATAGTATTATAACACACTAATAGAAATTTTTTTTATCATTTCTTTTAATTTATACTATATTTCTACATAATAATTAATATTCATATATCTAATGCCCAAAAAGCAAATAAAACCCTTGAGCGGACTGGGTAGTATATACTCCCTCCGTCCCACCATCCTCCATCACATGTCATTTTCCGTTTTTAGAAAATAATTATACACTTTAATCTAATTTTAAATTTTCTAATTTAATTTTTTTTATTTTAATTAAATTAATTAGTTATCTTAACTTTTAATATGATAATTATTTTCACTAATATATTCTTAATTATCTATTAATTATACTTATCATAAATTTCGGTGTTTACGGTGACCCAGACATCCAACGTGAAACGGATGAAGTATTACATTTTAAAATAATATTTATAAAGGATTATTAACATTTAAAATATTAAGCAAACAACACTCGTAATTTTTTACTATTATTTGAAGATTATGTATGTTGGTCTGTAACTTAATAAATAACAAAACCAATACCACATATGGAATAGGAGAATCCACAAAGGACAGTGGGCAGTTGGGCACCTGCACTTATCTGTATATCCATATCTACGATTTGGGTCAATTCCAGTATGGGTCACTTTCAAAAGAGTCATATCACTTCACTGCACGGACAACATCAATTAAACTAAAAAGGTCGATGCTATGTGGACGAAGTGAGTACTTTTATTTATTTATTTATTTTAAAGTAATGTGTACTTTTATTTTATAAAAAATTATGCATAATTTTTTATTTTAAATAGTTATTTGTCTCAATATATTTAATTAATTATTTAAAATTATTAGTTATAAATATTAATTTTAATATATGTAATTTTTAAATAAAATATAAATTATGTGTATGAATTATAATGTAAAAATAATTAAAGTTGGAGTATAATTTATAAATATGAAAATTATATAAAATAATATAAAAGAAGAATATATAGAAAATATAGTAAAAATTGAAATTTATGATTGCATTTGTAATGTAGCAACTGTAAAAATAGAGTGAGTTACATGTTGAAGATAGTCTTTTTTGTCTCACTTCAAATGGGTTTTAAATATTTTATTAATTAATAAAAATGTGCAGGAGATTTAAATATTTTTGTTATTTAATTTTATAATAAGTAATTGAATGTGTAGTTATATATTTATAATTTATGTAAAAGATAATTGATATTTTTGTATTAGTATATGATTACTTTTATTAAAATAAAAATAAATATTTTGAAGTAAACGGACAAAAATGATAAAAATAGTATTTTTCTACAATCAACACAAATATAATCAAAGTACAAAATCGTGTACAATTATATACGACCATATAAATTGGATATAATTATCTTTTCAAAATAAGATATCAGATATCCAAACTATCCGAAAAAAAAAATTATTTCATATCCGACTCAATTTCGTATACAAATATTTTTTTTTAACACATCTAACTTTAACTAAGATTTTTTTTTTAATTTATTTATTTATACAAAAAGATACACGACCATAGTTATTTAAACACGGTCATCTGTTTTGAAAGATTGGTCTCTAGATGAAGTTGGAGATGTACACGATCGTGTTTAAACACTATCGTGATACACATGACCTTAAGACTGTACATAACCGTGACAATTGTACACAGCTGTGTACGTTAACTGAGTTTGCGGTGACCGTACTAACACGACCGTGTTTACACATTATCACGATACATGATTTTAGGAAACTACATGATCGTGTACAATTATATACGGTCATATACTTTGAGTAAGTTTGTATTGATTGTAGTAATACGACCGTATATGATTTTACATTGTTGTGTTTCGTTCAGGTCCGCTGCCACATCAACGTCGTTACGTCAACGTCCGCAAGTTTTTTTAATTTTTTCTGAAATTGATTAAGTTTGTTTATATTGAAACTAAAATTAATAATTTTTTATATTAAGACCAAAATTAATTAGTTTTAATTATATCGAGACCAAATTAATTTTTTCTTTTTAAAAAATATTACTTCTTCCATCTTTATAATATTTCTAATTTATTGTAAATACATAAATTTTAAGAATTACATATTATAAAAATAATTTAAAAATATATTAATAAATTAATTTACAGTACAATAAAAATAATTATATTAATATTAATTTCAAAGTGATATAATAGAAAAACAAAACAATTTTATAATTTTATATAGGAATATATATTTTTTATAATTTATTCAAAAACTAAAATATAGTTACAAAAATAAATATAACAAAGCAAAAAATATATATATAATATTTATTTTTTACTGTAAAATAGTATATAATAAATAAATAAAACAGTACATTGTAGTATTTTAATAAAATAATGAATCAAATTATTAATTGTAACGTCCGTTATTCACTAACAATCACAGATTGATTGCTTATTTCTACTCCGAACCTCAGGCTCAGAAATTCCGAACCTAACCTCTTATTCTTAAATTACTTCTTTTTCTTCTGTTTCGTTCCCTTTCCGGAGGCAAAAATAATCGCTGTTTGTTATTCATTTTTGCAGCTCAGAATTTGGCGGCGATTGAGATCGGAGATTGGAGGAGGCGATGGCCGATGATGTCGCTATTCCCGATGATAATCACGATTCGGCGGCGGCTGCCGAATCTTTGATCGATAGAATGGCCGCGTACACTTTGAACGACAACGACTCTGATTCGGCCGCTTCGGAGTCCGACGACGACGATGATGATTCCAACGATAAATCGCCGGCGTCTGTTAAGAGGACAAGAATTTACCGCCTGTTTGGCCGTGAAAGGCCTGTCCACAAGGTTCTAGGCGGTGGAAAAAGTACGACGTCGTATTCTGAATTCAGCTAGTGCATTTTCTTTACTTTTTTTGACAAATTGATTTTAGATCCGTGTTTGTGCTCGATGTGTTTTTGGATGCGACGGTGACTGCTGAAAATCTATGCAATAGCTTAAAAATTGATTAAACTGCTTGTTATTGATGTGTTTATTTGATTCGTAAGTAATTGCATGCAGCTTGATTTGTGCATTCTTCAATAGAAATGATCTATTGCTTCTGGAATTGATTATTTGCGATATCTGTCTGATTCATGCTGAAATGTATCTAATGTCCGTAGCTATGTTGCAAAATTAAGCAGATTCTTTTGAATGAATTACTTTCTATCATGGCTATGTCTTTTAGGTTTCAATTTTAATTGAGAATTGCCTAGGCAGATGAGACAGACGTCAATTTTTATTAATGTTATGTTGTTACAAAATTTGATGAGCATGAACTTTCTGGCAGCTGCTGATGTATTCTTATGGAGGGACAAGAAAGTGTCGGCCACTGTGCTCGGTGTCGCCACTTCAATCTGGATGCTTTTTGAGCTGTTAGATTACCACTTGCTCACCCTAATTTGCCATATCCTTATGCTTGCTCAAGTTTCTATCTTTCTATGGTCGAACAGTTCCTCGTTCATCAACAAGTATGTTTCCTAGACGACTACTTGAATAGCGAGTTACTCTTTCGTCTTTTGTCTTGTTTTCTGCATTTGTCTCATGTTTTCGAATGTTTCTCAGGCCCCGGCCTAAGATTCCCGAAGTTTCCATTCCAGAAGATATTGTTTTGGGGATAGCTTATACTTTTAGGATTGAATTCAATGGAGCTTTCGCAATCCTCAGAGACATCGCATCAGGCAGAGATCTAAGGAAATTCCTCTCTGTATGTGAATCAGTCCTCGCTGACTTTCACTTCTCTGTTTTACTTAATTCCTTTTAGTTAATGCTGTATATTTCGTACTCTATTGGATGTAATTCATAAAAAGTTTCTTAAGAATGTCTTATTAGCACATAAGTTTTAGTAAATGCCACTGATTTTGTATTTTGTTGCATGAAATTCGTAATTCATAGAAAACTTATACTTAAGCATGTCTTATAGGCACCCATGTCGTAGTTAATTCTGTACATTTCATACTCTGTTTCACATCACTCATCGAAAACTCATACTTGCACGACTCTTTGACACATTAATGCTGTCTATTTTGTACAGATTGGCTTATTACTCTGTCGACTTAGTGCATCAATTTATATATATATATATATATCCGAAAACATACCCTTAAAAGCACATCTTATCTACATATATTGCATTCTGGTTTTTCAGGTCATCGCCTGCCTTTGGATTCTTTCCGTCCTGGGAAACTGCTTCAGCTTCCTGACTTTATGCTACTTATGTAAGCAATCTTCCGGCTTCCATCTCTGCAAATCACAATCTTTCAAAAAATATATAGATATATATATATATTAAAATCGAGTTTTTTTTTTTTTTTTTTCTGCATACAGGGGTCCTTTTGTTGCACACGGTGCCTGTGATCTATGAAACGTACGAAGATCAGGTCGATGCTTTCGCTGAGAAAGCCGAGATAGAGCTGAGGAAACAATATGCCATGTTCAACTCCCAGGTCCTGAGTAAAATACCGAAAGGCCCGTTGAAAGACAAGTTCATGTAGTAGGACTGTGAAGTGGAGAAGAAAGAACATAAAGAAAGAAAGAAAGTTCTACAGCCACAGCCATGTATGGGGTAACTAAAAGTTTAACTATGGTTATTACAATATGTGCTGTGGAATTGATCAAGTAGTTGTTTGGAAGAAAATCCAGGTTTGGTACCAACAGTTTTGATCTGTCTGATTTAGGACCAATAGATTGGTTCTGGGATAATAGTAATTCTTTGCTATGAATAAGAAACGATATATCTATTTATGTATGGAGTTAGAAAAATTGAAGAGATGATTTAGGCTTTAGGGTTTATGTAGTTTTCTCTAAATTTGTATGAGAATTGTTTTCTTGAATTCTTACAGGGAGTGAGATATATACACGATTTGTGTACTTAATATTTATTTAGTTTTATCAATAATTTCAACATATATTACATATTAGCATAATACATAAAAAAAAATAATAGACAATTCATGCTAATATAATATAACATAATGCTTATTTGAACTATAGTTTATGCAATATGTCACAATTGATTTTCATTCAGCACCAACAATATGTAAGCTCTACCAAGGCTGTGTTTGTTTCGGGGTTTAGATTTTGGATTGGGATTTGAATATTTAAAATTTTTGAATTGGAACAGTGGTATGATTTGATATAAATATATAGTGATGTAATTTTTTTTAATGTAAAATTGATTTTTAATAAAAAATAAAAAAATAAAAATTAGGTGTTTGATTTGATGTTTTTGGAGGAAAATTTTTGTATTAATAGTATAATCTACCCAAATCCTTCCCAACAAACACAGGTGTGTTTGTTGGAGGTTTGGATTTTGAGTTGGAATTTGAATAGTAAAAATTTTGAATTTGAATAATTGTATAATGTGATATAAATAGGTGTTGATTTGATGTTTTTAATGTAAAATTAATTTTTAGTATAATATAAAAAATGAAAATTAAGTGTTATTTGATATTTTTTAGAAAAAAATTAGATGAATAGTAAATTTAAAATTCAATCCCACGAACAAACACACCCATATATATATTTAAAGTATCAATTAAGTACTTTGATTTTCTATTATTTTCTAAATTTTTAAAAAATTATATCTAAAATTTCGGGATTAAATAGCAGCATAATAGGAGAGCTCCACACCTCTGGTTAACTTTTTTAAGGTATATTTATTTTATATTTTTGGATAAATGTATATTTAAGATTAGATATGAGAATTATATTTGTCACATAGAAAAAATAATATGTTGAGTAATACTAATACGATTTTCATATCTTATATAAAAAATACATTTATTCAAATACAAGTATTTATTTTCTTTTTTAATATTTATAAATTTCACTGTACATTTACGTATTTGCTATTTACTTTCCAAATAGATGGGAAGTATATATCTAATATAAGAAATTATGAGGAATAAAATATTTGAAGAACAAATCCATTTGAAAGGCCAAAATAATAATAATGCAATTTTGACCCTGCAATTATTTCCTCCGCATCATCATCATCATCATCATCATCATCGTACACAACGAAGTCATTAACCTTAATAATACAAACTATAAACCCCTCTCTAAGATCTCATTATTATTATTATTACATCGTGGTACCGCAGCTGATAAGACAAGTCACAATAGACGAATGAAGTCTATATGTGATAGGTAGATTATTAAATGCTTCCCAAAATATCCCGACTATAAGTCCGATCATAAAACTTATTCCACAGCATAACCCCACCATACTTCTCCGACGACTTTATCTTCGGCAGGACCTGATTTATCAGCACCTCCGGCGGTATGTGTCCACCTGGCGCCGCCTCTTCTGCCGCCGGCAGCCCCAAGAAAAGCTCCCGGCCGGGGAGGGCGGCCCACTCATTCCACCGCGCCACAAGAGCGTCGACGCCTGCCCTAATATCGCACCCTGGATTGTTGTAGAATTGCACCCAAACGTAATCGAACAGCCCTGTCTGAATTGCGCCGTTCAGCCGCTCGTCGGGGATCGGACACATCGGCGCCGCCGACAGGTATACCTTTTTCTCGGCGGTGCTGCGCTCCGACAGGGCCGTGGCAAGAACGTCCCAGTTCTGCGCCGTCCCGCTTTCGATGTCGAAATCGACGCCGTCGAGGACGGCGGGGCCGAATGGCCTGAGTTAAATTGAGAATTTCAGAGTTGCATATATTAACAATAAAATTATAAAATGAAATATACTATGGCGCGTTTGTTTGTTTGGTGATCTGTAGTAAAAATTTTGAATTGTAATAAGTTGTATGATGTGATATAAATAGGTGTTTTTGAATATAAATTTGATATTTAGTTATCATATATATATATAAAGAAAATAGATTTTTGATTTGATATTATTTAAGAAAAAAAAAATTGATGAATAATAGAAATCTGTAGAAATTTTTGAAACGAACACACTATCAAATGTTCGATCGCTTCAAACAATTATATAAAACAAACACATCTATATATTAGTGACAGTTGATTATAGTTTCATATATGTAAAAAATTATTTTACTGCATGATGTGTACAGTTATTCTAAAGGTATTAATATAAATAAGTGTAAATATGATATAAGTGTAATATGTAGTGAGGACCATTACATCTGTCATGTGGTTATATTTACTTTTTGCTTGTTAATTTTAAAATATGAATCATTATATCAAAATATAATACAAATTAAGATAAAATAACAAAAATATTCTATTAATGTCTTATAATACTAATAAAATGATATTTGTATACAAAATTATACAAATATAAAATATTTTAAATATTAAGTATAACGCATAAAATAAATATAACCCTCAAAGCGGAGGAATGAATGTATTATTTGATTGGACAACAAAAAATGATAAAATATATCATTTGTCTTTTTTTCTAAAAATACTTATACACTTTAATTATATTTTAAATTTTATAATTTATAAATTTTCTAATATTAATTAAATTATTTTGATTTAAATTTAAATTTATAATTATTTTTACTAACATATTTTAAAATTATTTATTAATTATAGTTTCACCTGGAGTCGGAATTCCCGCCGAGGAAATTATTCCAGATGTAATCGGCGACTTGGCGGGCGTCGTCGGGGGAGGCAAGGGCGGGGTTGCCGATGGCGCCGCCGAGAGAGAGGAGGACTTTGATGCCCTTGCTCTGGCACGTGGCGATCTCGTCGCCGAACCGGGCGCACGTGCCGGCGGTCTGCTCGCAGTGACCGGCCAGGTTTAGAACCGGGCTCTGGCCGCTGCCGAAGGTTGTTAGAAAGGCAATGTTGATGAATTTGTAGTTGTCGGAGTTGCAGGCGTCGGCGAGGCTGCCTTCGCCGCCGTTTTGTCCCCAGTAGGTGGCGATTCCGGCGGCCTGCGACGGCGGAATGAAGGCGGCGGCGATAGCGGTTATTGTGAGGTATATTATCGCGACAGCCGCCATTGTTGCCGGAAAGTGAATTAATTAATTACTTGGTTTATTTATTAATTTGTGGAAATTGAGGTAAGAATGTGGGGTGGATTTATAGGCTATATATAGAGATAGTTAGAGAGACAGAGACGTGGGAAAGGATTGTAAGTAATTGTGGAAATTGAGGAGGTAAGGTAAGTGTGGTCTTCACGGCAACGGCAATAGGGTGGACTTCCAAACCATTCCAAACGGTCCAAACTCAAACCATGGGTCATAATAATGACATAAATTCTTATAGATCAAACGGTGAGACAATTTTATTTATTTATTTTTTTAAAAGCTAGGTTATGGATTCGATCTCAAATAAGTATATGCTTGAGTTTGATGAAATTTTCGTTGGATTTGTGAGTATGTGCATGTCAGATAAAATAAAATAAAATAAAATTTACTATCCATAATTATTTGTTTATTACTTCCTACTTATATAGTAAAAATTATGTAAATTTAGTTGGACATAAAAATTAAGATATAATACTCCTTTGGTCAAGTTCTATTTATTTATCTATTTTTTACAGGTGAATGTTAGAATTCTATAAGCAATAATACAATAGAAAGATAAATAAACAATTAATTTACTAATTATGCTCTTAAATCCATTTACTATTGTGTAGAGGTTATTAAAATTTAAGGTAATTTTACTTTTAAAAAAAAACACAAATATAATTGAGTTGGTCAAGAAAAAATGACAAAATAGTTACATATGACTCGAATGAAAGAAGTAATATTTTTTAATGTTAATATAAATAAAAAATAAAATAAAATATTATAAAAAATTTATTAAAAGATTGATAAATAAAAATAATAAAGTAAGTAGAAAAATTAGCAGCAAAATAATTATTTTTTAAAAATAAAAATAATAAATTGTGAGTGAATAAAATAGGTTAATAGAAATCGATAAGGTTAAAAAAATAGTAATATAGTTTTGGAGAACATAAAAAATATAAATATTTCCGATTAATGGAAAAAAAACAAAAATTATGAAGTTATTTTAAGGGCATCTCCGACGCAACGCCATTAATGGCGCTAGGTTGGTGGATTTGACGTTGGTTGTCTCTAACCGACGCCAAATCCTGCACCATTTTTTAGCGTTGCTACAGTGCAACGCCAATTTTTGTGTTAGTATATTACTAGTTTTTCTAAAATATGAAAGGAATACTTTAGGACAGAAAAAATAGTAATAATAAGTACTTTGAGTTGGGACAGATGCAGTATAAAAGTAATAACATTTATATAATATCTTATATTTATTATGTTAAATATGTAGTACAATATTATTAAATTAGGAACAATACTCTCGTTTTGGGATAGACATAAATGAAAAACTGTACCATTCTTATAGGACGAAATAAGTACTCATTAATTTTCTATATGATATACGGTATATCGAAAAGTCAATAAAATATTCCGAAACACCGGGTACAGAATATGAAAATTTTATATTGTAATTTATGATATACTGACTTAAAGTATGCTGAATTGTTCAGTACGATATCGATACGATGTTCTTTCATACTACAATATAATATATAGTATGGTATAAAATTTTCGGTATACAATACCATGTCACCACTGTGTAAATTTTGGATTGGAACATAAGATAATTATTGTTATTTACAACATTATTGTGTCAAGGGCATAGAGTGTGATTAAGCCATTGCATGCCAACGACCCACATGATATATTCTATCAACTAAAAAAAATTAATAATGCAATACAAAATACTTTTATTGTTCGTTCGAGTCAAATATATTTATTTAACTGTTGCATGCATATTTAGGTATCTTAGTATTTTATAAATATATATATATATATGTAAAGTTTTTTTGACATTTGACATTAATGATATTAAAAATATAATACAAAAAATATGAATATTTTGATATTTAATTGGGTGGTAATTTTATCAAAAAATAAAATAAATATCTTTTATTTAACAAACCAAAATAACAAAATGAACACCTTTTATTCAAAAAAAAAAAAGTATAATTTTTTATATTTCCAAACTTTTTCATACATAGCATAGAAGACACTTTAAAATAAAAACACAAAAGATGTTTGGACGAAAGAAGTCATTCTTATATTTAGAAGATTATAAAAGAAGTCATAGCATTATTTATTTATTTATTTATTAATAAAAGATGTTTTGTTAAAATATTTATATGGGTAGTTATTTTTATTCAGTAGTAAGAATTTTAGATGAAATATTATATATATATATATATATAGTCTACAAATTATAAATGCTTACAAGAATAGATTTAAAATGATAATAAAACACTCTCCATTTTACAAACTCCGAGCCCCACAGATTTTGTCTGCTACACATGATTCGTTTAGTGATTTGTTTTGTCGAGCTTAGTTTATAGACTATTAGATTCGTCCGAAGTTTACCATAGCGCACACCGAAAAATAACGACTGAAGTTTCCATGTTATTAGAAAAAAATATATATATATATCTATATATATCGTATTGTTGGAGTGCAAACTCAAGTCCTATATTGAAAACTGTGAAAAAAAAATTCAATCTTATAAATTTAATATAAACTCAAAAACAAATTCATACGAATTCAGCCCAAAGCAGACAATATGATTTGAATTTGACCCATTCCAACACATATAATTAAATGATAATAATAATAATAATAATAATAATAATAATAATAACTGAATAAATTATCGAACGCTCCATCGCATACGTAGACAGCCTTTTTGTCCCAAACCCTGAGAAATAAAATAATATATTTTGGGTCATGCATTAATCATGCTTATTAGATCTTATCTACAAATTTAAATTATATTATATATATAGATTGTATTTATTATTATTATTATTATTATTATTATTATTATTATTATTATTTTGTTGGAGTGAAACCTAAGATACAATAATTTCGTATATACACATGAAGGTATTAGCCCAGTGTGTCGTCTATCCTGACTACATACAACATATTTAAAAATATATATATATACGCACTCGGGTAGCGGCTGCGGGTTTTCACGTTATAAAAAATCTATATATATACGCACAAAAATAAAATAAAAATAAATAAAAAGTGCGTAACCAAAAAATCACAAAAAAATAGAAAGATTTGTAAATTTTTTATATCTTACAATAAAAATATCTAAAATTATAAATTATTTCTTTTGTAAAAAAAAACAAAAAAACAAAAAATATTTCTCCATTTATATTAACTACATAATTTTTTATACATCACTAAAAAAAACATCATTTCAAACAATTTTAGGGAACAAACAAATTAAAACAATTCAAAATGTTTGTTTTCTTTTAGTTTTGATTTCTTATTAAATAAAAAATAAAAGCAATTTTTATTTTTTTTTATTTTTTTTATTTTTGATGAAAAATAGCAAAAGTACATCTAAATCTTACCTAAAATTGGTCCTCAATTATTGTGTTTAAAAAATCTATCGTTTACAACAGCCACAAAAATTCTAATTTTAGTCAAATATTGACCGAAAATTACGCCTACAACTCTAACAAAAGAATGCCACATTGGCATCTCACCGTCCACAAACATATATTTGAATTTCTTAAAATAAAAAACAATCAATAAATATTGGAAATAAAAATTAAATATTAATTAATTAAAATATATATATATATATATTACATTATTTATATATAGTGAATTCAACAAAAATAGAATAGTAAGAGCCTCGACCGGTGAACAAAACTTGCCTTTAGTCAGCAAACCGGGTCGACATTACAATATATTTCATTGAACTAAGAGTATCTCTGAACTATTTTCAAAATAGTCATCAAAATTATAATCTTGAAAATTTTCAAATTCCCCAAAACTACTAATAATATCGTTGGGAATTGAAATCTGTTTAAAATCTTCATAAAGAGTGTAATTTGGGGACTCTTCGAATTCCAATTTTTCCTCTTTGGCTTCAAAATTGAAGAACTCGGTCAAGGAGTGAGTATCCAGTGCCAAGTCATCACTGGTGTAGTCCGGGATCGGGACCACGCCGGGCTCCCCTTGGCTCTCACGAACTGGCTCGGGTAGGACCGGTTCGGGTTCCTTCAGACCGGTCTTATTGTTTTCGCTGAATTGGAGTACCGACGTCGGAGAGGAAATCAAATTCTGCGATTCGTCGATGGAACTGCAATTGGAGACTGAGTCGGCAATTCTATCGGCGGTATATTTCGGCGGCGGCGGTGGAGGAATGGAGAAATTGGTCATTGCGCCAGGGCCACGGAGCTTAATGGCGGCGTTGTCGTACACCATCGCCGCCTCTTCGGCGGTGTCGTAAGTCCCAAGCCAAAGTCGGATTTTTTTCGCCGGGTCTCTAATCTCAGCGGCCCATTTGCCCCACGGCCGCTGGCGGACGCCGCGGAATTTCCGGCCGCCTTCTGACGACACCGCAACAGGGGCTTTCGTCGGATTCACTTTCTCCGGCTTCGTCTGCAGAGTTTCTGCGGTTCTTTTCTTGTTATTTGTACACTTAGACTCGGCTTCTATCCTCACTTCAGTGATGTATCTCTTCACGCGCCGCTTTCGAAAAATCACTATCTCTTCTTCTTCTTCATCGCCGGAAGAATCTGTAGCGTCAGGATCCGTTACGGAAAATCGGATGGCTCCGGGGAACTCGGAGCTCTGACCGGGAATGGATCCTCCGGATTCGAATCGGGTGGATTGAGGAGGATTAGCGGCGTGTTTGGGTGGCTTGAAAAACTTTTTTACAACTTTCTTGTGCTCAGTGTATTTGATCGGACGCAACTTCTCCATAGAACCAACAAATCTTGTAACATAAACGACGAACAAACAAATCGAAGAAACAGAGATGCGATTGGGAAAGAAATTAGGGATTTGATTATATAGTAACAATGCTAAGGTGAATATTGAAAAATATAAGGAAAGAATGAAAAGAATTAATGGAAAGTTTCGTTTTTCTGATTCAATGAAGAAACCCAAATCGCCATTGAAGCATAAAAGGAAAGTGGTGGAGCAAATAAGGGGAGAAGTGATAATTCCTAATTTACTACAGTCCACCATTTATAGGATGTTGGAATTTTATTATTATTTTTTAAAATTTTATTTATAAAAATAAAATAATTATTATTTTAATTAAATTGAAAATATCTAATGAAAAAGTCCGACAGGGTAACCACCGGCGGCCACGCGTCGCTGCGTCTTGTTGGATAAAAAAATTTTAACTAGAGGTGAGGAGGAGTCCACCAAAGCCGAGTAAAACTCGCTCTTCTCGGAGTGCATGTGCCTGTCACGTGACCCAAGTGTCCGGGGGTGCAGTTAAAATAAGTGGTAAATAATAACAATTCAGTCAAAATGATTATATATACGGTGTATAACAATTTTATTTTATTTTTTTAAAAGAATATTATATGTATTCATTAAATGAAATATTAATTAAATAAATTTTATCCAGCTCAGTTTAATTACATTTTGAAATGATAAGCAGATCCATAATTATTTGACTCGGCTCTAAGGAGAATTTTTCGAAGTAAATTTGTTTTATTTACAACTGATTCTACCGTTAGCAGGAAAGGGACAACATGGTCAATTAATTTTGTCTTTTGAACATTATTTGCGGTAATAAGTTGTGGTAACAAATTAAGTATTGTCCCGGCATATTTGCAATATTTTGATATAAATTTTAATATATTTTATTTTACATATTTAATTAACCTATGGGTCGCTGCCAAAATTTATTTGGGTGTGGTTTTTATTTTAAATAAAGTATAATTATTCACTTACATAATTTTTAATAAAAATAATATTATTTTATTATTTAATGAAAATATGTAAAAAAATTGAAATTTTTGTATTTAATAAAATAATTATATGTATAATAATATATTGTATAAATTAAATAAAATTTTTAAGTAATTTTGTATTAGTGTATAATTATTTTACTAAAAAAAATGGTACAAATAAAAGAAAAATAAATAGTAAAATATATAATTTGAAATACGACTGATAGATATTAAATTACTATTTAAATTAAATTTTAAATAAACGTTTGATTTCAAATTGAAACAAACAAAGAAGTATGTTGGTAACGGAGTGGACACGTGGCGGGCAACCTCGTATTGGGCGCCATATATAATTGCGTTTGTTAGGCTCTGGGTTTTACCTTAGTTTTCTTCGGTCGAGAAATTTTCCACACTTGAGTCGATGCCACGTGCTCTCCACGTGCTCTACCTGCTGAAGGAAGTTCACTCACTTTAGCGGACACTGTGGCCGTATTTCATTTGCCTTGCGGGTTTTAAATGCTTTTTGGACTCCCTCATAAGTCATATCTGTATTAATTTAATAATTTATTTTTTCTACTTAAATTTTGTAATGTCTGATATTTTCATATTCCCCTGATACAACGGTTGAGTAAATGTAAGATTATAATTTTTTATTTTTTTTAACTTAGTTAAATTAATTAAATTATTTTGATGACATTTTTGTAAGTAATAAATAATGTTAAGGTGTGTTTGTTTGGGGTTTGGATTTTGAGTTAGGAATTTGAATAGTAAAAATTTTGAATTTGAATAGTTGTATGATGTGATATAAATAGGCGTTAATGTGATGTTTTGAATGTAAAATTGATTTTTAGTATAATATAAAAAATGAAAAATAGATATTTGATTTTTGATATTTTTTAGGAGAAAAAATGGGATGAATAGTAAAAATTTAATCCAATCCTCCAAACAAACACACCCTTAAAGTATTATATCATATCATATCCTATCTTATATATAACTATTGTAAAGGGTGTGGACCCCACCCTCTCTTAATTCCTGGCATTTTAAAATTTTGGATTTTTTAAGAGAGTTTCAGATTATGTTTTCAACAACTTGGGTTTCATATTACAAATTACGCTTTCAACTCCTCAGATAATTTTCATATTTTGCTTTGAGTTGAAAATTCTGGTTCTTTGAAGAGGTTTCAGATTACGCTTTCAATTATTTGTCTCCTAATGGGTTGAAAAATCTGGTTATTTGAAGAGGGTTTCAGATTACGCTTTCAACCATTTGTGGCCTCAGAGAATTTTCATTGATACGCATCTGTCTCCTCAGAGAATTTTCATATTTTACTTTGGGTTGAAGAATATGGTTCTTTAAAGAAGATTTCATATTACCTTCTTTGAACAAGGTTTCAGATTCAGATTACGCTTTTTTTTCAACAATTTGTCGCCTCAGAGAATTTTCATTTACAAGCATTTGTCTTATTAGAGAATTTTCATATTTTATTTTGGGTTGAAAAATCTGATTTTTTAAATAGGATTTCATATTACGTCTTTCAAATTACGCTTTCAACCATTTATCGCTTCAAAGAATTTTGATTACTACGCAGAATTTTCATATTTTGTTTGGGTCGAAGAATCCGGTTCTTTGAAGAGGGTATCATATTACGCTTTCAACCATTTGTCTCAGAGAATTTTCATTGATACGCATTTGTCTCGTAGAATTTTCATATTTTGTTTTGGGTTGAAAAATCTGATTGAATATTACAGAATAATTTGTATCAAGGTAATTCTGTTGTTATTTATACATCTCAGAAATTTAGAACAATTTTAATATTTTTCTACATTTAATTGTTAATTGTTCAGAAATTCGGAACAATTTTCATATTTTTCTACATTTAATTGTTAATTATTTTATTTCAATTTGTTAATTGTTACTTTGTTTCCATTTTTTGTTGTGATCCAATTCTCGACATTGATGATGTTGACTGTGGAGTGTGGATGCATTTGGATTTGAAGTTCTCTTGCTGTGGTAAGTAATTTTTAATTTAAACTACTTAACTATGCCATATTTTATTTATTTCTTTGAATGATATGTCTCTGGACCCACCATTTTCTTATTTTTGCTGATTACTTACTTCTTTCTAATAAGTAAATATATATTTCTTATCTATTTATGTTTATATAGATGAATACCGTCCAAGCAGAGCAAAACAAATTTTGCTCGATTACGACGAAGAAAATAACTGCTTTTAAAGCAACATCATCAAATAAGGTGAGTATTTTCTTTATAAATAAATAATCATAGTTTTTCTTTAATAATTTATTTTGCACATCATTGTGTCTATATATATATATGAATGATAAAGTATGTTAGTATCTTTATATCTTTTTTTAGATAGTTTTATGGAGAAAATTTAGATATATTTATATATTTGTTTAGATAATTTTAGTATTTTTTTAAGAAAGATAATGCATATCTATTAATTAAAAATTTTGAATTATTTATTTATTTTTAATAAGTAAATATATATTTCTTATCTATTTATATTTATATAAATGGAAAAATAATGCCAAAATATTATTTGACTGCATTTACAACGTTTGCAAGACCAGATGTTTCAAGTTATGACCGTAGATTGGTGTGAAGAATATTCATATATTTTGAAAAGACCTTAACAATTATAACTATTTTTTTTTATTTTTTGGAATTATATATATTCTTCGGTAGTTTATAAAATAACTTTTACTTAAATGTTATAATTTATATTATATACGATTTCATCTACAATATTTTATCTACTTTTATTTATATAGTATAAAAATAATTTTATTATATATATTTATTTTATAAATTATAAATAAATCATATATGCAAAATTTATCAAATATATAATTACATTACAATATTTTTTTAAACATATTTTAATTGTATATACACATATGCACGGGTTTAAATGTTAGTATATTTATATATAAAAGCTAAAACGTGGACCTCACTTTTTGTAAAAATTTTGTAATCTGTCATCTCAAAATTTTGAGACTTTTTTTATTTTTTCTAATTACAGTTTTTTATTTTTTATTATTAAAGTTATAGTTTATTATTTTTTAAATTTATTATCATTGATGCACTTATTATGAGTTTTTTTTTTTTCTTTGAAGGGTAAATTGGAATTTTTGTATGTCTTCTTATTTTATTTTCATCTTGTTTTAGTTTTCTATGATTGTTTTGCTATTCTTCTTTATTTATTATATTTACATATATATATTATAATTTTTAGATTTTTATGATTTTTTCTAAATTTTTTATTTTATTTTATTTTTTTTCAGCGAATATAAAATTGGGGTCCCAAAATACTGGCTTAGCATATGCCTTCTAAATATCGGCGGTCGCTCTTATTTCTATTGTTGACTTATTTATATTGCTAATGTTTTCTTTCAAGATGTTATATTCATTGCAGTAAGAGAAGATTTTCGTCAATTTCAACGGAATAATTTTTAGATTTTTTTTTATTTTCTAAATTGTTTATTTTGTTACATTTTTTGGGCAGACATAAAATTGATATCTGAAAAGGTTGTCTTCTAAACAATTATTTTGTTAAACATTATTCCCAATTAATTATAATTTAAATTAAGCTATATTTTATTTTATTTTTTTTACTCTTTCAGTGGTTTTCAATGTTAGTGGAGGAGAACTAATTTTTATAGAGATATACATGTTATGGCCGTTCATCTTTTTTGCTACTACATAGAATAAGAAGATAAGACAAGTGGGAAAAAGGGTAATGCGGTTAAAGTGTGAGAATAGGTAGATCGAATTTATTATTTTATATTTTTACCGGATCAAAATTGACTATTTTTATCGATGCACTTACACTACATCTAATATTGTCTTATCTGATTTATTTACAGGATCATCATGGTAAAAAAAAAGAGTAGATAAAAAGTTGGGATCTGAAGAGACAGGTGTCGAATGATTCGTTGCTACTTTTTTTTCGTTCGAGTGATAGATTGGAACTTTTATTTGTTTGATTATTCTTCTATATTTTGTTTAGATTTTTAAATTTATTTCCAATCATTTTTTTTTTCACGATGTTGTACTCACTGCAATCAAGATTTTGTTTGGATGCTAAAAATTATTCGACAAAAATAATTTATTATCATCGTCGTCTAAATTGTCAAATTGAAAGAAAAAATACCAAGAAGAGGGAAAAACACAAAAAAAAAAAAACAAAAAACAAAACAAAAAAACAAAAAAGAGAGAAAGAAAAGGTACAAAGATTCAATTGATTATAATTGTAAATTAAGTTGGTATTTTATTTTTATTATTTTTTCTTTTTTTCCTATGTTAAAGTACAAATTTTGTCGCAATAATATTGTAATTAAATTTTAATATTATTGGGAGATTGATTTTACCAATAAATTGTAAAAGAAAGAAATTGTTATTATGTATATGAATAATTATATAGTATATTTTTTTTCATATTACAATAGATGAGTAGATTATCCTTTTTTTTTTTTTAAAACATACTTTTTTCATTTTATTAAAATATAAATTTTATTTTCTATCAAATTTAATTTATATTATATATTTTATTAAAAAAATAGTTTTTAAACTATTTAAATACATGTTTTATTTTTTTAATTATATATCATATTTTTATTTTAGAAATACTAATATCACCAAAAAAAATGCAGTTCTCACATTATAATAAAAAAAAATATAATATTTTTTAGTAATTATCAATGATATTATAAATTATAATATTTATATTTTATATTAATTTACAATAATGGTACTATATATAATTATATTTTAATAAGTATAATTTTATTTTTACAATTTGATTTACATTACATATTTTATTTCAAATATATAAAGCAAATCATAATTTTTATTATTAGATATTCATTTGAATTTTTAATTTTTTAAATTTATTTTAAATAGGAGCATTATTTTTCTTAAAAAAATATTTGATTGTTATTTATTTTATATTTACTATTTTATTATAAAATATTATAATTCTTAAACTTATTAAAATATTTAAAAATATATATATAATTAATAAAAAAAATCTATAATAGTATATTTTGAAATAAATGATACCGCTAATATTTTTTAATATTTATACATTGACAACAATTACAAAAATAATACTCTTTTTGTCCATTTAAAATTTTGTATTAGATTAAAAGTTGGAGTATTATTTTATTAGTTAGTAAAAATTTATAAAATAAAAAGAAAAATTAATATTTTTATCCTTTTAACTTTATGTAATTTTTTGTACGAAAGTCAAAATATTATTTAAACAAAAACTTAAATTAATACATCATTTCAAATCACAACAAAAAAACCTATAATTTTTCAAAACCATAAAAAAATTAACCAAACTTTTATATTTAAAAGAATGCATATATATTTTGTAATAATTAAGTTAAAACTTTATTTACTGTACAATTAAACTTTATTTACTGTAACAATTTGTACTTAGATATTGGTGGGGTGCTCCAGGCCCATGAAATAGTGCAATCCATGGACGAAGCCCAAAGACCCACACAGCAAGCTGCCTATTGGGCCTTCCCCCTAAAAAAATAAATTTAATATCATGTGGGCCATTGGCCCACGTATCAGATATTAAACTGATAAGAACAGATACTACACTTGATCTTAGCCAAAAGGCCGAGAAAGGTATGCTTAATTCAATCCTGGACTGCCCTATTTATACATAGTGCTTCCGCCCACTCTCTTCTCGAACCGATGTGGGATGAATGGATGCACGCTGAAATAGTCTTAAAAGCTGAATGCATTTGTCGATTCGATATTATAATTTGATTTTTACTCAAATTCACTCCCATAGTTTTGTTCAAAATTTACATTCACCCAATAAATAAAAAAAAATGCATACATCACTGCTAACGGGCAGGGTAGACCCAAGACCCGACTTGAAACCTATCCATTTATTTAAGGTCGGATCCAATTATTTATGGTCGGTTCAGGTTTAGAGATTAATAGCAGATCCTATCCAACTCGAACTCGGATCGGCACCGATAATCAAAATAATAAATATTATTATTTTTTTTATTTTTAATATCTATTTTTAATATTTTTTTTTGTGTTAGTTGTGGTGGCGGCGTCAAAGGCGGTATCTATAAAAATTTATATTTATTGTATATATTTTTTAAAATAAAAATATATATTTTTAGATAAGTCCATCAAATTAAACTTGTATTAAAATTTTTTGAATTTAATCTGACAAATACATCACAATAGAGCGAATACATACACATCTAAATACATTAGGTTTGGGTAGAGTCTTAGATCCAATAATATATATATATATATAGATAGGGTCTTGGTTCATATGTATAGTCGACCATACTCTACCCATTCTTATCCCTAATCGCTGCAACTTCTTTATTTATTAATTAAAATATTTATTATTACTATTATTATTAGCATCAAAATAAACTATTCGCCGCCGTGGCTCCTCCCCTTCTCCTCCTCCCAATTCTCCCGCCGCTCGTCGTCGGAGTATTTCCCGGCGACTTCCACCTCCATCACGCCGCCGCCGCTGCCGCCGTCCTCGCCGGAAATCTCCTCCAGCGACCGCCCCATCGTCTCCGTCACCAAAAACGTGCAGAAAAATCCGACAATATTCGTAAACGCCAGAAATATCATCGCCTTCTTTATCTTCCCCACGTCGCCGTCCTGCGTGTAATTCGCCACCCCGAAGGCCCCCACCATCGCCCCCGCCTTCCCCGCCGCCGCGCTCATCGCGTGACACGTGGACCTGACCCTCGTCGGAAAAAGCTCCGCCGGCAACACGAAGGTCGTGCTGTTCGGACCGAAATTCGCGAAGAAAAACGTCAGTCCGTACAGCCCCGCAAATATCCACTTGTGGTCCTTATTTTTCAGGTAATCGTATTTCAACCCCATAATTAACATAAACACAGACATCATAAAAAACCCGACCAGCTGGATGTAATACCGGCCGATTTTCTCGATGAACGCCACCGTGAACCAGTAGCCGGGAAATGTCCCGAGGAGGGCGATCACGAACATAGCACGTGACGTCTCGAACATCTCTCTTAACGCGCTGACGTCATCTGCCGCGTTCGTCAACCCCATCGTCGGAAAAATGTCTTTCTGCGTCAGATTCTGACTGTAAAACGCGATGTCGAGGAGGAACCACGTCGACATTGTTCCGACAAGATGGCGGCCGTGGCGGCGGAAGAATTCGTCGGAGAATAAGGTGTAGTTGTTGGAGGCGTTGAATTGGGACACCTTGTCCTGATCGCCATGGATTTCGATGTCCAAAACTCTTCCCATGTCCGCCGCCGCCTGCTTGGCGTTGCCCTCGATCAACGCCGTGTACCGCCCCGTCTCCGGCATCTTCATCCGCCAGTAGTACGTCAGCAGCGCCGGCGCCGCCCCCAGCATTAGGACAATCCTCCACACGTAGTCCCCCTCCGGCTCCGTCGAGAACACGTGGTCCTCGACGAACGGCTTTGCGCCGTACCTATTACATTTTTGCAATTTTCAAAATAGTAACAACCTAATAGAAAATTTTAATTTAAAGAAATACAACAAAAATATATTAATAGTTGGGATTTGAATTTTGTATGGGGTTTTTGTATTTTGGATTGAAATTTATATAGTTATACGTAGCCCACATCCACCATAATCTGCAAATAAGCGGGTTGTTTGCGGGCTAATCTGCGGCAGGTCGGAACACAATTTCATCAACACAACTCAATCCACTAAGCAGGCTGGTCCATGGACTTTTTAAAAATATTAATATTATAAATATTTTTGTAATTGATATTTAAAAATAGTTAAAAATAGTTTTACCGTGGAATTTAAATAATAAATATTTTAAAATAAATAACAAATATACAAAATTTTAATTCTAAATATTATTAGTTAGTGTATTTAAAAATTAATAATAAGAAATATTTTACAAATAAATTATAATTAATTTTATGAATACGTAGATTCTAAAATAAAAAATATTATAAAATAATAAAATGAGAGACTAACAAAACAAATGATGAAAATCAAAAGTAATTTTTTAATGTGATAGTAAGAAAAGATAAAAAAAGATTATATATTTAATTGATACAGGTATTATATTTACTTAGCCCGCGGGCTAACCCACCTCACTGCGGGCTAACCCACTCTCAACCCACGGCTTACGTGGGTTGGCCCGTTTAGGCCCGTATTGTAATGGGCTTACAAAATCACAACCCAACCCTCCTAAACAGTGAGGCAGGACGGGTCAATCCAATGGACTTAATCCATTTTGACGGCTCTAATTATATGATGTGATATAAATAAATATTCACATTGTTTTGAATGTAAAATTGATATTTAATATAATAATAGTAAATACAAAGAAGATGTTTGATTAATATTTTTAAAAAATAAATTAATGTGAATAATAAAAATCTTCCAAAATCTTTAAAACAAACCCATCCTAAATATGAAAATAATTATTTATATCACCTCAAACTCAAATTGTATTAGAAACCAAAAATTCTTTGAGATTTAACTAGTGGTTTGGAATATATCTATATTATAAGTATCATATACAATTAAGTGTACTTTGAAAAGTATATATTTATTTTATAAATTATAAAATATTATAGAAACTCTCGTTTTAAAGAATATTGTACAGTGTTTTCAAAAATAAGAAAAAACCAATTTCTATGAGATTTTTAATATTTTTTTAAAAATGAGAAATTTTTATATAGATTCTAAATAATGACAAAGGATCATGCATATTTTTAAAATCGATAATAAGCAACTTTTTCTACTTATAATTGTAGTATTTATTTACTTTGAGAAATGTATATATATCTAGCGAACCTAAATATCACTGTAAATATGTACGATAATTTTACTAAAATAGAGAACCGTACCAATTTAAATAAATCTTCGACAAAATCATGGACACCAATCCGGCGAAAACAATCCCGACTCCCTGCATCGCGAAAACGGCGGCTATAAATGCACCACGTGTCTTCTTATTAGCGTATTCGGACATGATCGTCGCCGACAGTGGATAGTCGCCGCCGATGCCAAATCCTAACCAGAATCTGAAAAAGCAGAGAGTTCCTAGAACACTTTTGGCGCTGTGTCCGAACGACAATCCGGAGCAAATGGCGCAGAGAGCCATGAGGATTAAGGTCAGTCCATAGACCTTTTTCCGGCCAAGCTTATCTCCGAGGTATCCGAAGAAGAGCTGCCCGGACAGTGTCCCAATTAGCGCAACTCCGATGACAAAGTTGTTGGTTCTGTGTGGAAGCTTCCCGGGCTTTCCGGTGGCCGGGTTGTAATAATAGAGGCGGCCGAGGAGCTTGGAGACCGGGGCGATGCAGAAAAGGTCGTAGGCGTCGGTGAAGAATCCCATTCCGGCGATGACGATGGCGGTGACGTGGTACCTATTACATTTTTGTAGAATTTTAGAGTTCCATTTTACTAATAATAATGAAAAGTTAAGTTTGAGGGTATTGATTCACTCTGTAAATAAATAAATAAATAAATGATGCATATCTCTAATAATTTAAACTTTTAAGTGAGTAGGTCATTTGCATCATCTAATAAAGAGTACGTTAATAGATGTGCTACGATAAATTCAAATAAGAACAAGTTATTGTTACTATGTTTGACTAATCGACACCGATATTTATAACCACAGTATATGTTACAATTGATTTTTATATATAAGATATATTAACATAGCATAGATATATATATAATACACTTGAGAACTGGTTGGATCAAATTAACATCAATGCATATTTTACAGTATATGATATAAATTCATATAGCAGAATATATTATTGATTTCAAAACTAAATAGATTTATATAACACAATACATGCTTATATATATATATATGATACAACATATATTGTACTATATAAAAAATCATTGTCCGCTTTCTATATATATGTTGATCAGATCAAAATCAGCACTATATTGATTTGAGCCCGTCAGCATGGCAACCGTCATCTATAAAATATAACATACAATAGATGCTAACAATTTACGAACATGAACATGTATGTAGTGTTTGTTATATTTTTATATAATGATTAAGTACAATCAGTACCGTAATTATTTTCTAATCAAATAGTTACAATTTAATCTAAAAAAATTTTAACAAAATATCGAAAATCTCTCAATAGTACCATTGGGTTCGGGCATTGTCGAGGGCGTTGAGGACGGAGATGTTGTTGGAGGCCATTATAATGTCGGTTTCTCCGGTGTGGCGGCTGCCGGTGGCTGTTGTGTTCTTACAGCTTATGTATGTATGTATATATATATATAAATAGAAAGTTGAAGTGGGCGTTGGGTTGGCTGCTTTGTTGTGTCGTTAAGACCGAAGCTTCAAAACAAGAAATACTTGATTTGATGCTGCATGTCTGTCTGTCTGTATGTCTGCCTACTCTCGTCTCAAGAGGATAATCAATGCATAGTGATCATCGAGTGTGTTTTAGAGTAGATAATTGAGATTTATTATTTTTGAAATAAAATTTAAAGTAAAAAAAAAAATTGGTTTACAGTTGCTACTGTGTGTTGTTTGGTCTGAGGAATTTTGTATTATGTTGTTCTGATTCGTCCATTCAATGATAGCGTTGGAGGCTTGAGCTGTCTTGGCATTTGGTTGCTTTATGCATTTATAATTTTTATGAGTATAATTTTTATTTTTTATTTTTTTGATACCATGGGAATCCACAGCTGCTACCGAAAGTACGCACTGGGTAAATTTTTGGCTGAATCTTGCAAATCAGGCCTGACGGGAAAGTCATAGTAAGCGAACTAAGGGTGTGTTTGTTTGAGGGATTGAACTTTTTTTCTACTATTCATCCAATTTTTTTCCTCCAAAAATATTAAATAAAATACTTATTTTTTAATTTTTTATATTATACTAAAAATTAATTTTACATTTAAAATATCACATCAACACCTATTTATATCACATCATACAACTATTCAAATTCAAATTTTTTACTATTCAAATCCCAACTCAAAATCCAAACCCTAGAACAAACACACCCTAAGTGTATAAAATATAAAGGAATGTAATTTAGTGGGGTATGTGAGTGGATTAACAACAATAATGAGGTTTTGAGTTCAAATTTTTACAGGGAGTATTTGGTTTGGAGTTTGGATTTTGAGTTCAAATTAAAATAGTTGTACAATGTAATATAAATATGTATTGATGTGATGGTTTGAATGTAAAAATATTATTAAAGTATAATAAAAAAAATTAAATGTTTATTTTGATAGTTTGAAATTTTTTTTTTTTATGAACAGTAGATTTTAGGGGAATCCCCCAAACAAGCACACCCATAGTGTTATTTTCATATATACTTTTTAAAAGGATTAATACATTACACAATTCTTTATACTATACATAAAATCAAACACACTATTTTGAAAAAAATAAAATAAAATACTTTTTTTATTTACAAATATTAGAAAAATTATTTTATCTGAATTATTTATATATACTTATAAGACTTTATTTTATTAAAAAATTACGTACTATTTCCGTCCAATTTATCAATTTATTTTTTGCATGTTAAATTTTTAATATTAATTATTATATCAAAACATAATACAAATTAAAGAAAAACAATAAAAATATTTATATTGGTGTCGTAAAATACTAAATGACATTTGTAAAAAAATTATACAATTATAAGAATATTTTTAATATTAAAAATAATGACACCAAATACAGATGGATGAATAGATTGACGGAGATAATATATTTTTAACAGTTATAATAATTTGTAATATATTCTTTTGGTATATTGTGGGAAAAGGTTTGATCATTTGGTTAATTAATTAATTTTAAAAATATATTGTAATCCTATCCTATCTTATTCTATATATAATTATAGCAAAGGTGGAGACCCCATCCTCAAATTCCTGGCTTCTCATTTTTTTTTGTAGATTTACTTACCCAATTACAATTATTTTTTTAAAATAATGGGATATTGGGGTATAATGGGATAGTGAATAGTTTCTTAATTATTTTTTTTTAATTATCTCAATAATTTAGCAGAATATCCGCAATTAGCCTCTGTTGTATTTCGGGAAGGATTTGATAACTTTTCCTTCTACCATTTAAGATTTATTCGAAGAGGCAAAATCTTGACAAGGATTTGGTGATTCTCACTTCTACCATTTGAGATTTCTTTGAAAGAGCCAAAAGCTTTATCATTTGAGATTTTTTTAAGAGCCAAAAGCTTGGCAAGAATTTGGTAACTTGGCTCGTCTCTTGTATAAGCTTGGCCAGTACCCTTGATCTGTCTCTGTTATAGTCTGTTCAACCTTTCACAATAGTAGACTCACCATTTTCTTATTTTTATTGAATAAAATTACTTACTTTTTTCTTTTCTAATCAAAGGATATTTTGAGATTTTTTTGTTATTTTTTTTTTACGTAGAAGAATAAAATTTACGGGCAGTTTATTTTAATTACATTTATTTCTAAATTGTCTTATATCGTCGTTCTAACTAACATTTTTGTATTCATGAAGTTAATTTAAATATCATTGTGTCTATATATATATATATGTGAAGTATCGATGTTATTATAATTTATCTTGCACATTATCGTTCATGTGCCTCTAACGTTTGTAAGATCAGATGCTCTATCTCCGATGTTTCAAGTTATGACCGTAGATTGGTGTGAATAATATTCACATAAAAATACCTTCACAATTATAACTATTTTTTTCTATTTTTTTTTAAAATTATATATTTTTTCCGTAGTTTATAAAATAACTTATACTTAAATATTATAAGCGTTTCCATCTACAATATTTTATTTACTTTTATTTATATAGTATAAAAATAATTTTATTATATACATATATTTATTTTATAAATTATAAATAAATCATATATGCAAAATTTATCAAATATATAATTACATTACAATATTATTTGAAACATATTTTAATTATATATACATCCTATGCTAGTACTATTACTATGCATTTTGTTATTTTAAATTTATTATGTTAATTTTCATATTGATAAAAATAATAATTTTATTTTTATTAAATATTATAAAAATAAAATATGATAAAAAAAAATACATATTAATTTTTAAAATTTCTGAAATATTGTTTATTTTCTTACAAATGATGTTTTTACATATTTTTAAAAAAATTTAGGGTGTATTTGTTTGGGGTTTTGGATTTTGAGTTTGGATTTGAATAATAAAAATTTTGAATTTGAATAGTTGTATGATGTGATATAAATAGGTGTTGATGTAATATTTTGAATGTAAAATTAATTTTTGATATAATATAAAAAATAAAAAATAAATATTTGATTTAATATTTTTAAGAAATTTTTTTTGAATGAATAATAGAATTTAAAAAAATCCTACAAACCAAACACACCCTTAATATATTGATACATTTATTATTTATATTATTTATACCATTCTTTAAATTTATTTTTTCTAACATAAATTAGATATTTTTATAGTCCACCTATTCGGCTGTCCGAAACTGCACCGTTCAGAAAATGGCTGGCTGTCGTCCAATAGAAGTTTCTAGCCACGTGGCGGAAGTTAAGCAGAAGCTTGCCACCAATCCCCGATTGAAATTTGCCATCACATAATAATCAAAATAAATAAATAAATATATTAACATTAATAATTAAAAATAAAATATTCGCGGGGACCAAATGTAGCCCTAAATCGTTGATATGTTCTTCCACCGCACGCAGCTAAGGGTGCTGCTGACCCTTCTTCCCTTTTTCTCCAAGTAATCATCTCCGACTTTCCAAATACAGACAATTCATTGCAAATTATACTCCAAGATTGCCCCATTTCCAGTTTAATCGGACACGGGAGGGATCAGCTATATCATGAAGGTTGTTTGTTCCTCTGCCTGCGCTTTTTGATTACACTTGTTGTTTTCGCGTAAAGCCCTTTTTATTTTTTATTTTTTTAATTAAATGTTGTTGGTGGGGATTTTGTGGAAGCAAATTTGTAATTTGCTACTTTGTTCTGTTGATATTGATTCCCAATTGTTTGGGTGAACGTCTAGGGCTTATTTTTTCAATGCGGTGTTTGATTTTTTGGGGGGAGAATCTTGTATCGTTATTATTTAGTGTATTTGCTTTTGAATGCGAGAGATGTTTATCTTTATTTTCCGATTATTTTGTTGAATTTGCAGTAGTTATTGACATTTTGTGGAATGGTTTTGAGTTTCAGGTTCATGGCGTCATTCTATGATATTTGAAGATTGTTTATTGGTAAGGGAGACATTTTAAAGGAGCAATGGCAGAAGAACTGAAGCATCATGAAAATGAATGGATGGAAGAATACAATAGAAATGTTTCTTTGATGTCTGGGACGATGGTGGGTGTAAATGGAATCGAAGTCTCTGCAACTTCACAAAACCGGAATCCCAATTTGGAGACCTCTTCCAAAACAAATTTGGGGTTGCCTGAGCGTGCGTTTTCGGCTGCTGGTGCGGCTTTTCTGTCTGCCATTTTAGTAAATCCGCTTGATGTGGCTAAGGTGCATTTTCTTATATTTAAAAGTTGGCTATTTATTTAGTTTATGCCACATTTTTAATTCAGTTGTCATGGAGTTTATGTTTGAGCTTGTATGCTTTTAGGTTATACGCTTTCTGCATTTGCTGAAGTGATTGACAAATTTTCAAAGGAGGATCCTGATTAACTTTTCGAATTTATTGTATTGCTCTAAGGTTTAGTTGATAAGTGGATTGAAATATGTAAAACTTACGTAAAATGAGTCCTTTAATTATTGTAGTAGAAATTTTCTTGTTGATGATCACTTTTGTTTCAATTTCTTTAGTATACAACCCTCACGAGCCACGATAAATAAATATTATTTTCTCTTACAAAATATTACATCCAAACTAATATTCAAACTAAAATCCAAAACCAAACCCCAAGTAAACAAACCCTGAGGTTCTGGTATTTTAACTATTACAACTGAGTTTGGTTTAACTTCCCATTCATTTGGATCTCTATTTGTTTACTTTTTCTGTTGTACCCATTCAATCTTTTCTTCTGTTTCCAGACAAGATTGCAGGCACAAGCTGCAGGAGTCGCTTACACTCATCCATTGAGTAATTTTGCCACTCGAATGTCATTGTTTGGACCGCACATGGTATGGCATCTAGTTTTCCTGTCTGTTATTGCTTTTACGAGTTTTATTGTTATTTTTACTTTTGTTAAATTCAACCAGCTAAGTTTACTATCCAAGATGTGACTTGAGGATGAATAAACTGCTAGCTTAAATTCGTGTTTTTAGGTCATATTACCAACATAAAGTTATTTTTTTCCTTTACGTGCTATGACATTCAAGATTCTGAGCCTTTTGCTGTGATCATGATCTTCATTAGTGGACAACTGTTTACTTCAAAGCTATCATTCTTTTGCATGAGATATTTAAGTTGAACTGATTATAAATTGATCTAAATGAACTGATCACTGTCTTCTTCGCCTATTTTGATGTCTAAAGTGTGTTCATATGTATAGTTCTAAAATGGGTTTTTACTAATGACATTTCTTTATATCAAAGAATGGACACATTTTTCCTGTAGTTAATGATTGTGGTGCATGTCTTTTTCTAATTATATGCTCACTTTAGAACAGTCTAATGAAAATCTGGAAGCAAGTGGATAATAGTTTTGCTATCCATTGCTTTAAGATAATAAAAAATAAAATTTAATTCATACAGGGAGTAATGTTTTGTCATTTCTCATATGTTGTTTTGCTAGATGTTTGCTGATCTGAGGTGTTCTCCTTCATGTGCACGGGCTGGAGTTCACGGCACAGTGTCAATTTGCCCACCTGATTGTTTTCAATACAAAGGAACATTGGATGTGTTCTACAAAATTGTGCGGCAGGTTAGTGGATGATAGATTGATAGATAAACATCCTTCGTGTAATAACTTACTTCACTTGTGTCATGTCAATGGAAACCTTCACGCTAATACTAATGTTCAGAATATGGGTTTTGGTAATACATTTTATTCTATGATTTCTAACAACTGTGACAAATATTGTTGTGCATTTTGCAGGAAGGGGTTTCTGCTCTCTGGAGAGGAACAAATGCTAGCTTAGCACTTGCTGTGCCCACCGTAAATTCTTTGTGACCCCTTCTGGACATTTCAGACTTTTGTGAGCTTTGCAAAATGAAATACTGTTTTCCAAAATGCTTATAATTTCATATTTACTATTGAACAGGTTGGTATATACTTGCCATGCTATGATGTCTTCTGCAACAAGTTAGAGGAATTTGCCACACACAATGCTCCTGCCCTAAAACCTTATGCACCATTGCTCGCTGGTTCCCTTGCTCGGTCTTTAGCATGCGCAAGTTGCTATCCCATTGAGCTTGCAAGAACACGTATGCAGGTATTTAAATTCTGTGTTCTCATGGTGTTCTTATATATTCAATCTATGATTAATTATTTCACCTACTTTTCAGGCATTTAAGCATGCCCATGGTGATAAAAGGCCTCCTGGAGTCTGGAAGACTTTAATCGATTTAATCTCCCAGGTCAAGGGTTCCAGTAGCATAAATAACACCTGTAAGTTTGACTTGTTAAAATATAACAATGATTTCATGATTTTTCTAAGCCAAATGTGGTGGAGAACTTTTAGCTTTTATTGTTTCTTGAGAAAAAAAAAAAAAATTCCTTTTGCTTGTTTTTCACCTGTGCCTAATTTCTTGTTGATTTAATACTTGAAGCAGTGCCAAGCTATCGTGTCTTATGGACGGGTCTTGGGGCTCAGCTTGCTCGCGATGTTCCTTTCTCTGCAATCTGCTGGTCAACCCTTGAACCGGTGAGTGCGACTTATTTGTCTTAATATCTTAATCAGCATTTATTCCATGTAATAAGGTAATTAAAAGATCTCTTGTTTCAGGTTAGGAGGCGACTACTAGGCGTGGTCGGAGGTGAAACTGATGCAGTCAGTGTTCTTGGAGCAAATTTTTCGGCTGGTTTTGTTGCTGGGAGCCTCGCTGCTGCTACTACGTGTCCACTTGATGTTGCAAAGACTCGTAGACAAATTGAGGTGATTATTTATTTCTAAGCAAAGTCATCATATGTGTGGATTATATTACAAAAATTTCGACCCACTTTGTATAATTTCTTGTTCTTGTTATGGTTCACCTTTGCCATTGAAAATGATTTTTGCATTAGATAAATTATAGTTATGCATAGTTTGTCTCTACAGCCTTTGGATTTATTTGGCTTTGTTTTGATGCTTTGGGAATAGTAAAAATTTTGAATCAAAATAATTATTTGATGATAGATAAATAAGTTTTAACATGATATTTTGAGTGAAAAATAGTTTTAATATATAATATATTAAATTAAAATACAAGCACAACCTTTGTTTTCTATCCTCATTTTTTTAACCATATTATCGTGTTCTAACTCAGTATTGGCTATTGCTTTTCCATTTTGTAGAAAGATCCAGCAAGGGCTTTGAAAATGACTACACGGCATACGCTCCTGCAAGTTTGGAGGTATCGTTTATCTATTTCTAGCCACAATTGTTACCATTTGCAACTTCATTCCTTTGCAAACGATTACCCTTGTCACTATATCACCTTTTAGTATCAAATCATTCCATTTTGAAAACCCATAATCCTATTTTTTGTTATCTTCCACTACCTTCTTGAGGCCTTCTCCAACGCAATGCCAATTCTGGTGTTGCAGTTCCATATTTGGAGATATGCTTCTCCAACGCAACTCCATTAGCAACACCAATTATGGAGTTTTTTAATTTTCTTTTAGTTTTTATAAATTGTAACTTCGTCCCTACAAGGACCAATCTGTAATTTTTTATATTTTAATTGTATATTTATATTTTTTAATATAAAAAGTTGTTTAAAATAATATATAAAATAAAATATTTAGAGAATATTTAGATAATATTCTTTTTGGAGTTGAAAATAGAGTTGTGGGTTGGAGTTAAATTACCGTAGCAACTGTATTTTTAGAATTATAACTGCATAAATGGAGTTGTCCGGTTGAAGATGGCCTGATAGTAGAAAAGAATGAATACCTGTGTTTTTGATATTTTATTACTACTAAGCTAATGACTGATTTTTCGGCTATCCTGTCACTTCATGTTATCGAACAATTTTCAGGGATGGAGGTATGAAAGGATTGTTTGCTGGGGCTGGCCCACGCGTTGGTCGAGCAGGCCCTTCGGTTGGGATCGTGGTTTCGTTCTATGAAGTTGTAAAGTATGTTCTACACCATCATTACACCGTATCTTGATAAGGCATACCCATACAAATAGAAAGAACTTGAAAAAGAAAAAGCTGCTGACAACTAGAAAACTAACATGAATTCTGGATGTTGCGAAAGAAGCATAGCCCGACGAATGTTCAATGTCAACAAGTAGGCGTAGAGATAGCACAGTCTCGTCGTTTCGACATTCGGGGAAAATAATGATGTTTCTTCTCATTTTCGATGGTTATGGTTGGACAATGAGATCCACCCATGAGAAGAGATTTTGTGAAATTTTGGTGTTCTTTTATTATTGAACAGTTTTGGTTATTGAACATCAGTCAATTGTTTTGGATTTTGTGGATTTTTGCAGTCGTTTATTTTGGTAATTCTGTAAATGCACCATTCATTTGTTACTCAGGTAATTCTATTTTGGATTTTGTGCACTTTGAAATTGTTGATATTGACTGCAAATCAGATTGTGGTTTTTTTGGGTGTTCAAATATTTTTAAACTTATTGAGAATCATAAAATATTATTATTTTTTTATTTTAAAATAATTTTTTTTTAAAAATATATATATATATTTATAGATGACAGTACTCATAAAAATTGAAAACAAACATAATGTGAGTTTTTATAAACTTCCAAACGAAAGGTTTGTTCTTTTTGAGTTATTATTCTTTTTCCATATTTTTTTGTACAATAATTTTTACAAATTAATATATATTAATTTTTCTTATACAATATACTATCCAATCATTAATTAAATCAAAACATAAATACAAAGTAAACACGGTCCTCTATAAAATTAAAAAATTTAAATGGCTGCAATACGGCGACGTTTTAAATCTCGGACCATCAAAGGAGCACGATGGGCCCCATATTTTGGCGTGACACGTGTGCACCAATCAGAATGTGTTACGTGGCAATATCAATATCCATAAACTTTGCCGAAATATCTCTCCCGCCACGTTATAGAAATTCGTTCGTGCCATCGTCTGCTCTGCTGTTGGCCACGTCACTGCACTATTTTTTTCTAGCTGACGTGTATAGGAAATCTACCGTTGATTTTTCTTTCGTCATCCTGGCCGTCCACATTTACTGCGAATAAGCTTGTGGACATAGAAATTCCAGAGCGTAATTTTATTCTCTTTATATACAATTTTTTGTAACTAAGTTTGAGTTTCAGTTGCGGTTCTGTTCATTCAACACCACTGGCTGTTTGGTCGCCGGAAAATTCAGTCGCGGCGGACGGAGTTCTTTGTATCGAAGGTTGACTTGGTTGAATCGGATTTGTGATCTCGTTGAGGTACTTTCTATGCGTTGATGTGTGCTGATTTGCTGTGGAAATTGAAGTTCTGTTGAGCTAACTTGTTGTTCGATATAATTGTTTATCACTCGAATGAAATGTAACTGTTTGCCTTTTGGTGATCGTATTGTTTCGTTTTTTTATTCAGTCTTTTGTTTGTTGTTTTGGTGTTCGCTGACAGTTATTGTTTCTGATTTCGTGAATGATGTGGAAGATGGAAGAACGAGCACGCCGAGTTTTAATTTGTAATTATCTGTTAGCCCTAACTGTCAAATGATCCTTTCAGAGCCTTTGGAAATAGGACTGAAGAAGTTTAGATGACAGCTTAAATGTAAAAATAGTTCTTCTTCCAGCTTATAGGTGAAATAATTTGACATAATTCAAATAAATTTTTAGTTCCTTGGAATTACAGCCAAAATCCTACCATCATCCGACTTCACTCCTGCCTTTTTGGTTAGTCACATATAGTGATTATCCATGATTGTATACGATCTAGCATCTGATGATGCATAATTTGCAGTACTAATTGATGGCGAATCAAATGATGGGAAGGTTACTACAGCATTTCGACTTTATTAAGCATGGATTGCTTTGCAGTACATCTATGATTTTTAGTATGGAGATTATGCATTCTATTTTATGTTTTTGGCAGTTGATTTGTGTACCAGTACCACACTGCTGCTTTGGCATGGGAGTTATGACTGTCTCTAGCTCTTCTGTGCAAACTCCATTGGGATTGAATGCAAGATATTCCAGTCGCGTATCGTTATTGAGAAGGCCAGTAATTTTGTCTTTCAAAACTGATGATAAAAGCAAGACAATACCTTTGGAGACCGACAAGGAAAATGTAAAGATTTCAAGAAAGGCGAAAAAGCGTACAAAAAGAATGAATGCTGTCTCAACTGATGAAGCCTCACCGAGTACATTAAATTTTGATTACAATGAAGCAGCTGCAAAATTGGAACATATCTACAAACGTAGTCCTGAAGCTGGCGATACTGTTGAGGAGGTCGAAGATCGAACAGTAAAGAGAGAACAATTGAAGAAGAAAAAGACCAGAGAATATGACCAAGTAGAGAAGAGAGCTGCCAACAATGTGGTAAGGAGTCACAGGAAGAAAAAGAAAAGATTGAATCTTGAGAAGAGGATTTCGCTCAAAAGAATGAAGATAGAAAGCAAAGCTCTCGATTCATCATCATCCCAAAATAGTGAAAAGACTAGGGCTAGTGAAGATGAAAAGATCGATAGGCTTCTAAGGGATTATTCGGCTTCCACTGATTTGGTCAGCTTGGACTGGAAGAAAATGAAGATCCCTCCAGTTCTTACTTCATCAGAGCATTCATGGCTTTTTAAGTTGATTCAACCAATGAAGGTAAGGGCTCTAATCTTCGGTGGAAATTTAAAATCATAAAATGCCCAGCAAATGTATATATATATATACATATCATTTCCAAGCAGTACTTTTCATCTACTGATTTGTTATATTATCATCCAGGCGATCCTTCAAGTAAAGGAGACCTTAGAAAACGATTTAGAACGGGAAGTAACTGATGGTGAGCTAGCAGAGGCAACGAATATGTCTAAGGTTGAGCTTGGAAAACACTTGAAAGTTGGTCAAGCTGCCAGAAACAAGCTGATTAAGGTAATTACATGTACGCATACATATGTATGTATATGTGACATACATTTCGAATGATCCCTTATGGTTTGCCAATAATTTGATATGTCAGCTGAAAAAACGTCTATGCAATTGAATGAATGAGGTCTTTGCCTATTAGCTTCTCGCATTCTGCAGCTAGAGCTATTCTTCTTACGTAGTATCTTGTCATACAAATTTTCATTGACTGCTATCTTCCTAATTCAATAATTTAGTGTAGATTCTAAATTCGGACACGAATTTGTTGTGTTTTTCCAAGACTAAACGGCTGTTGTTATAATCGGTTGCAGCACAATCTTCGGCTGGTTTTGTTTGTCATGAACAAATATTTCCAAGACTTTGGAAATGGCCCAAGGTTTCAAGATATGTGTCAAGCTGGTGTGAAGGGTCTTATAACAGCCATTGATCGCTTCGAGCCGAAAAGGAAGTTTCGTCTCTCAACATATGGCATCTTCTGGATCAGGCATGCCATCATCCGATCTATGACCACATCAAGCTTTACAAAAGTCTCGTTTGGCCTAGAGTCGGTAAGCCAAATCTACGAAACTTCCCATTTTTCTTGATCAAGCTGTGTAGTAACAATTGGAACACTATGTGATATGTAACCTTATAGGTGAGATGATCATTTAATATAATATAAAAATATGGTAAATCTAAGGAAGCTTGCTAAAAGACCAATTAATGATCATGTAATAATAACATTAATATATTTTTTCGCACAGGTCCGGGTCGAAATCCAAAAGGCCAAGCTAGAGCTTTTATTCGAGCTTCAAAGAACACCGACTGATGAAGAAATCATAAAACGAGTAGGAATCTCCCCAGAAAGATACCGGGAAGTGATGAGGGTATCAAAGCCTATCTCATCCCTCCATGCACGGCACATCGTAACTCAAGAAGAGCTGATCAACGGTATTACTGACGTAGATGGCGTCGAAGCAGACAAAAGAAAGCAACCAGCGCTCCTCAGACTCGCCCTCGATGACGTGGTAAATTCCAAATACATTTATTTACCTCGCGCATTACTCCCTTAAAGATCCATCTGGATATAGTATTTACTGATTAGCATGTGTTGTCAGTTATGTATTATATATTTAACATATTAATATATATATTATGTGGATCATTGTCACATACTATCAGTTCTGCATTGTATTATATTAACATAAATTAAGTAAAAAGTTACTAACATTGTTGCTCTTGCAACAGCTCGATTCTCTGAAGCCCAAAGAGAGTTTAGTGATCAGACAAAGATACGGGCTCGATGGTAGAGGTGACAGAACTCTGGGAGAAATTGCGGGGAATCTGAACATTAGTCGGGAGATGGTGAGGAAACACGAGGTGAAGGCTCTGATGAAGCTCAAACATCCGGCGCGAGTCGATTATCTTCGCCGGAACATCTTCAAATAAATGCTGTAAGTCGTAAATACTGCCACTGTATACTTACATACAATACAATGAATGCTCTATACAAAACAAACAAACAATAATATGTTCAATCCAAATTTAACACAGGAAAAATAAGCCTTTTGCATTGTGCTTCACTTCTCTAAATGTACCTAAGCCATTTCACTCGTTATTTATGTAAGTTTGAACGTAATCTTGGTTGTTTCTTTAGGCCGTGTTTGGTTATGAGAGGAAGGGAGAAAAAAAAAAAGACTTAGATGTAGACAATGATTTTTTGAATCTTGAAAATGGTTGAAAATAATAAAAGAAATTAAAGGTGTGTTTTTTTAACCACCAAACCACCATTTTTTATTATTGGGATTATGTATTTTAATATTCAGAGTCAAATTTTTTCCAAACTCATTAAAAGAAACACATCATAAGTCTTTGACATGATGTATTTTTGATAAATTTATTAATGGTTGAGTAAAAGAACAAATTGGGATGTATTCTTCTTAACTTCAAATCGAATCAAATAGTCTGTAGACTCGACAAGATAAGTTATACGCAAGTCGTAAATCTCAGGTTTAACTTAATGGCCTGCAGACCCGACAAAGTCACAAGTATATTCCCAAATCATCCGGCCAAACACAAGGTTTTTTTTTTTAATATTTGGTGAAATTTGAGTAGGAGAGATAGTTGGTATAAATATTCTAATCACAATTTTTTTTTGTTTTTTTTGAATATTTGGTGGAATTTGAATAGGAGAGATAGTTGGTATAAATATTCTAATATTCCCTCCGCCTCCCTCTAATTGTCTCATTTACATGTTTTGCGACATTTATCATTTTATTTTGATTTGTACTATGTTTTATATAATAAATAATATTTAAAATCAAACACACAAAAACTAAATGAGATCATAGAATCGGACGGTAGACATAAATTAGTACTACTAATTGTACTTTCAAATTTTATTTAAAATTTTGATTGGTTTGTGGTTTGTTCAATTTATATAGACATAAAAATTAAAATTTATGAAATTTAAAATACGATTAAAAGCGTAAAAATAAGTATATAGTTTCTTAATAGAAAAAAAATAATTGATCCAAAATCTAAACCAAAGTGAAAAGTTGGTATCGGCGTGGTCACATTCAGAACGTGGGATCACTGCTATTAATACTCTATTTTATTAATAATAATTAAATTTTTATTAATACAAATTTTAATATGTATAATATATATTTTATTCTTTTATAAAAAGTAATTATTTAATACAATATTTCTTTTTATATTACTCATATAATTATGTATTTTTCACTTAAAAAATTTAAATAATCATATCCTATGGATTTGTCTAGTCAATTTTTTTTTTTTTTTTTTTTTTTTTTTTTTTTTTTTTATGATATCCTCAATATATATTTTATTCTTTCACAAAAATCAACACTCAATATATAATATTATTTTTATATAAGATTTTATCATTTAAAAAAAAAAAAACTAAAATTAAATTTCACAAAATAAAAAAATACTTTTACTTTATTACCAAAAGTAAGAACAAAATTGTCTTTATATATATTATTTGTACTATACTTTAATAAAATATTCATATATCTAAATTTATGTATAAAAAATAAATAATAAAATAAATATATTATTTATATTATATAAATATATATATATATATTGCATTTTTATTAGTAATATTTATCAAAGTCGTAAATAAAATCACTCAAAAAAAAAAAAAAAAAAACTCCATAAACTGACACGCACTTATGGGAAGAGTTTGGTCCACAGTTGAAATAAGAAAGTACAATTTAATTCATTCTGGCCCAAATACAAAAAATACTTGTATAGAAATACAGTGGCCCAACGCTAAAATACGCTGCCTACGAACGACCTCAGATCTTTCTCTATCTTTTCCTGTCCTCGCCGGGCTTAACTTTCTCTCTTTCGCAGGGTGTCAACACCGATCAATCCCAATCCCAATCGGTATCCCTCCTTCCAAGCACTCATACTAATCCCATTCAGATTCTGTTCCCCTCTCCGAACCCTAATTTCCAGTAATTTTTTGCGCTACTTTCTATAAATTTTATTTTTTGTTCTTGAATCTCAATTGCTCTGATTTTATTTATTTATTTATTTGGTACATAAACAAGGGTTTGCACGTATGATACGTTTATATATTTTGGATTCGTACCGATTTGTGTAATGGTTGAATTGTGGGTTGCGAAATTGAGGTAGTTAACTTGGTTCTCGGAAGATCTGTTCGTTATTTTAGCAGATTCATGGTTTGTAATTTGGAAAGCGCTTGAAAGATGCACTGTGGGGTTCTTGATTGTGGATGTCCTTTGGATTTGCGTCTGTCTCAGTTTCGTTGCTAGTAAAGAAAAATTTGTGTGTTCGGTGACGTGAATATCATAGCCATCTTGTTGTTGCTGTTAAAAAGGTTTCTAATTTCTATGTTGTCAGAAAATTTGAAATCGTACCTTGTGAAACTGGATGAATGAGCAGTTGTAAGAAGCGTTGAGTGAACAGTGTGTTTTTTGTGTATGGAATGGATTTCCTGCAACATTTTTAGGGTTTGCAATGTGTTTGGGGGTTTGAATTTTTTGTTTTGGGTTTTCAGTAGTAAAATTTTTAATTGGAATAGTTACTTGATGCTATATAAATAGGTGACGATGTTTTCAATGTAAAATAAATTTTTAGTATTGTATAAAAAGTAAAAAATAGTTTTTTGATTTGAATGGGGAAATTTTTTGGAGTAATAGCATAAATCCTCCAAAATCCCCGAAACAAACACACCCTAAAAATTTTTTTGGATGTTTTGAAGTGTTATGTTAAAGGTATAGAATAATTTTACAATTATGTGTTGTGGGTCTTTGTAGGTTGGGATGTCGTCTGTTTCTAGCCAGCCACAGTTTCGCTACACCCAACCGCCATCGAAGGTTCTACACTTGAGGAATTTGCCATGGGAGTGTACAGAAGAGGAACTGATTGAACTGGGAAAGCCGTTTGGGAGAGTTGTCAGCACAAAGTGTAATGTTGGAGCCAATCGAAACCAAGCATTTATTGAATTCGTGAGTTTAAATTTCCAGTAAATTCATTAAATTTGAATTATTAGAACATTGTTTTCGTGCTTTAATGATCATGCCCTTTTGTGATTTATCATGTTTTACAGGCAGAACTAAATCAAGCAATTGCGATGATATCATATTATGCATCATCGTCCGAGCCAGCTCAGGTGCGAGGGAAGACTGTCTACCTACAATATTCCAACAGGCAAGAAATCGTGAACAACAAAACTACGGCAGATGTTGCTGGAAATGTGCTGTTGGTAACAATTGAGGGGAACGACGCACGCCTTGTTAGTATTGATGTTCTGCACTTGGTAAGAAGGGGACATCTTCGTCACCGACTCGAAGCACTGAAATTTAAAATTGAGCTATGAGGATGTCTTCTATGATATATTGTGTGTAGATTGTTGTTAAGATTTTATTTGACCGGAGTCTAAATGAATCAGCAGGCACATGTGAAGGAAATATCTTCAATGGCAGCTTATTGCATCGAGAGAACGAGCGCATGTCTGTTTGTCTTCTTTCTCCTATGCTTAAAACTAACTCCTCCTACCCTTCTTCCTCATCTTGATTCCACCCCTAACTTTTTAAGAAGCCTTGAATGGCTATTTTCTCTTAAATTTCTGGCTCTCGATGCATAATATTATACTTAGTACTGTATGATCTGTTCTCGTGTTCTAGTTGCATGATAACATAATTATTTTGAATTTTCTTATACTTGTAATGTTTTCAAATTTATTCTTTTATTGTTTAAAGGAGAATCCTAACCATTTTATGGACAGCAAAGGTGCGCAGAAGCATGTTTCTTAATAGTTATGGCGCCGACCACCTGGGCTTTTTTGGTCACTAACGAAACAAAATCATTTTTATTTGATTTTTTTTTTCAAGAATAGTAATAATAACTATGATAATTTCAAAACTTTAGGTGCAACTTCTGGGAAACACTTATCATACCCAACTGTATCTGAATTCCAAAGCTTACGAAATTCTTGCTATTTACTAGAAGGGTTAAACCCATGGTATTTATTGGTGTTATGAGTGATGCTAAGAAATTTTATTTTTATTTTTGCATGTTTCTTTTATATAATACGTTTTTTTTCTCTTATTCTTCATCTTGTAAACTTATCTAGCATGACAGGGAACTGTACGGTTTCCTTCTGCTTGTGTGATTAGCTGTACCCTAATAAAAAGTTTTATAGTTGGCCTGGGGGATGTTGTTAACTTAAGTTGACTTATGATTTGATCTAATTCATTGGAGTTTCTTCAATATCTAAATTTCCATCTCTATAAATATCCATGCGCAAGCTTTATCCGTCTGTTTTTGTTTGCTTCAATACTGTATTAAATTTTATGTAATAGGCTTATGGCCTGTTGCTTGAAGTTTTACTATTTAGGGTTCCTGTGTGAATTAAAGTTTCTATTTGATGAATTTATATATGGGAATCAAGATTTGCATGTTTTGTATCATCTGCACGAGATTTGTTAAATTTTGAAAGGGTAATGGACATGGGTATATAGCTTGTGTATACTTATGTGATGCAGCAATTAAGTCTTGTCTGATATGCAGGTCTTTTCTGCCTTTGGATTTGTACACAAGATTACTACTTTCGAGAAGACTGCTGGTTTTCAGGTTTGTACCTTGATCAGTTTTGGTTAATGAATTATAGTTTCACATAATTGGAAATTTTGGGGCATCACAATCTCCATCTTTATCCCTCATCAGGCTCTGGTGCAATTTTCTGATACTGCAACTGCCTCTTCTGCCAAGGAAGCCCTCGATGGAAGAAGCATTCCAAGGTGATCTGGATTTTTATATTTGGGTTTGGTTGTAACCCAACTGTTATCTCAACGTTGGGATTGGAAATCTTCAGAAGCTTAACTAAGAATCTGCTTATGGGGTACATGCATGTTCCTTTACTCACTCAACCTACCTCTCCTTGTTTGGTTATTGATGGTGACCCGGACCTTTAATAACTAAAACCCATCTAGTTATGCGGCTTAGAGATGGCCAAGGTCATAATCTCAGATTTTGTTTGGTTGGGGACAGTTAAAAAAAAAAAAAAAAAAGGATGAAAGTTTTTATGTATAGAAAGTTTTCATTTAATGGTGTGCTGTTCTGTTGTGGAACCATTGACCTTTGAGATTGTCTTATTGAAATTTACATTTCATGATCTTGACCCTGTAGTGATTCTGTACTGATATTTTGTTTCTGTTGGGTTTGTGCCAGGTATCTAATCACAGATCTGGGGCCGTGCTCTCTTAGAATCACTTACTCTGCACATACAGACCTCAGTGTAAAATTTCAGAGTCACCGTAGTAGGTAACTTAAATTTGATTTTCACTGTTTTATTAATATGCGACTGAAGCATGGATAATGTAGGGTTTGTTTGTTCACCCACCATTTTGTCTTGATACAATTCCCGATGAATATTAATAAGAAATACAATATATATACACATTCCATTATAAATGAAATATAGACACTATTCTTTCACAAAAAGTAGTAATTCAATGCAAAATATTATTTTTTTAATATTATCAATATAATTCTCCGTATTTTACACCAAAATATTACTTCAAACTAAAATACTGAACAAACACCTAGTATTGTAGTTTTACTTTGAACTTATTTGTGAGGTTTCTGATGCCTTGGGCTATTTGAAATCTTCTAGGCCCCGATTGGTTGGAGGAATTTGGGCTATTCAAATTCATTCGTTTCATTTGGCAACATGTGAATTTTATTTCTTCATAGTTGGATGTGAATTTCAAATCATATCTTTAATATTTCAAATACTCTCTATATTATGCCATTTCAAATACTTCCTACAACCAATAAATGGATTTTAATCATGAAGTATTTCAAATCCGAAGAAATTCAAATCCATTAAATTTAAAATCTACTTTCAAATCCAAATCCATCCAACCAAACGGGGCCTTAGTTCTATCAAATTCGCACACATGATCTAACATCTACTTGTGTTAATGTAGGGATTATACTAATCCTATGCTCCCTGTTGCTCCTTCAGCTATTGATGCCACGGGACAGGTATACTGTAATATGAGCTATGTCATAGGTTTCCTTCAATCAATTATCCTCATCATCATTTTTAAAAAATTTCTAATGCACGCAAAGTTAACTATTTCATTTCTGCAAGCAGAAAAAAATCGGTACTTACAATGTAAGATGATTTAATTAATGCGTATCTGATAACATGGAACTGCCAAATTGCAGTTTAATTTAGGAGCTGATGGGAAAAAACTGGAGCCGGAGAGCAATGTTCTACTTGCTTCCATCGAAAACATGCAGTATGCAGTGACTTTGGACGTTTTACATACAGTAAGTTTGTTCTAACAATTACTACTTTTTGATGCCATAGTTTTTGGATCATTCCTCACTGTGATTCTGCTTTATTTGCTCAGGTCTTCTCAGCATTTGGTTCTGTCCTGAAAATTGCCATGTTCGATAAAAATGGTGGTCTTCAGGCTTTAATACAGTATCCTGGTAAGTTTAAACCGACAGCTATATGCACCAAAGAGTAACGCTTTGTCGGAAATTTTATCACAAGTAAGGTACTGCTTGGATAGAAGTTTTGAAAGTTTTTTTGGAATTTTGAAAAATTTTTAGAATAGTAAAAAGTATTTTATGTGATGTTTAAAAATTACTGTAGATGAATAGTCTCAAAAGTTCTAAAATCGTATCTGTTAAACTTTTCAAAAATTCTCATATTAAGTATTAATTTTTTACTATTTTCAAAATTTTCTATAATTCGAACACTTCAAACCTTCTTAACGGAGCCCTACTAGTCATATAAAGAAAATGCAGTAAACATATTTCCAGTTAGGTGAGGCACATGTGAAGTGGTACAAGTGTCGTCCCTTTTTGGGTTTCGGTTCTTACTTTGAAGCCTCGGCCAAATGCTGATTGTGCACTTCTCTAAAACTCCGCCAGTTAAAATTCTTGTTACAGTTTTAGTGAAAAGAGGTCTCATACTTCTGTCGACTTGCAGATGTCCAGACTGCTGTTGTTGCCAAGGATGCCCTGGAAGGACACTGCATATACGACGGAGGATACTGCAAACTTCACATCTCGTATTCCCGACACACTGACCTCAGCATAAAGGTGAGATTTCTACTATCCCATCTATTAAATGAGTCTTTGCTTTCGAAAACTTTTTTTTTTTTTTTTTTCCAACATTGTTGTCTCGACCATTACTTTCAGGTGAATAACGATCGGAGTAGAGACTACACCATCCCGACTACCGCCAGTTTGAATTCCCAGCCCTCCATATTAGGACAGCAACCGTATCCGGGCATTCCCGGCTACGGCGCAGCGGCATATTCTCCGGCTTCTGCTTCAGGTATGCCAATGCATAATTACCCTTATGGGCTTCCTGCAATGGGGCACGGGGCGGCGCCGCCGTCCCATGGCGCGCCGCACTCGTCCCCTATGCAGCCGTATAATCATCAATAGCGACAGCCATCCGCCGCCACCGCCGCCGCCGCCGTGCATATGGCTGTGCTATGGGTGTGTGCTTAGAACTCAATTCTTAACTTGGGAGTTACTGAATGCAAGATTTGATTCTGGTAGTAAATGTATTTCTGATCTGATCTCTCTCTCTCTCTCTCTCTCTCTCTCTCTACCCTTCTAGACTGAGAAACCTTATACAATTTACTCCATTTCTGGTGTTTTTCATTCAGCTAGCTTTTCTCTTTTTTTTTTTTTCTTTTTTTTTTTTTTTTTTGTTGTTTCAATTGAAAATTTGATTTTTATGGTGATATATTAAATGAAAAAAATTTGTTTAATTTGATGGGTTTGAGGAAAAAAATTGATGATTTATAAAAAAAGGAAATAGGGAATTTTATTTAAAATCGTCAAATAAAAAACAAACGTGCCCTAGATTCTTACTAAGAACCGACGGCAACAAAGCTGGGGTGGTCCTATGTAGAAAGAATTTTTTACCAAATATTATAAATGTAAAGCGATTACTACAATCATTCCTAAAAATTATTATGACAAAGTTTTTATTTTTTTTAAGATAATTTGGAAAGGTTTTTTTTCTTTTTTTTACAAGAGCGAAAAATATATATATATGAAATAAAAAAATAATAAATATATATAATATATTAATATTTTTTCTTTCATTTTTTTATTATTGTTTTTTGTTGTATTATTTAATAATGGTCAAATATTCATTATGTTTGAGCGAAAAGTATCTATTTATTTTGATTATTTTTCTTATGATAAAAAATAAATATTTTTAATAAAATAAACGAAAATAATAAAAATAATACGTCGAATGTATTGTATTAATTAAAGTGCCTATGAGAATTCGTTGGTCAACTTTCTTTCACTAACTTTTTTTTTTTTTTTTTTTTCTAGTCAGGAAAAATGAAGAACATGTCCACATGAATTTTAGCATAATTAGATTAATAAAAATTATGATTTTTTTTCAAAGATAAACGGTGTGTTTGTTTATTAGTTTGAGGTATTTTTTTTGAGAAAGAAACAATGTAATTGTTAATTAGTTTGAGATATTTTTTTCAAAGATTGTGTTTGTTTATTAGTTTGAGGTATTTTATTTTAGAAAGAAACAATCTAATTGTTAATTAGTTTGAAATATTTTTTTTTCAAAGATTATGGTTGTTTATTATTTGAACTATAAAGTACCTAGAATTATGTTTATATTATAGAAAAATAATATTGATATTAAATTATTGACTTTTTGCAAAAATATATATATATATTGTTTATCATATGAATATATGTATATATTACATATATATATATATATTTATTAATATTAATTAAGATTGTTTTAATAAAAATTTGTTATTAGAACAATTTCAAAGTTACTATAGTATTTATTTATTTAATAGTAATTGGACTAACTGTCATAGCATATAAAAAGTAGTGTGGTTAAGAATAAGTCAGTTCGTGAACTCGACTTAATTCGATTCGATTTAAACTCATTCATGGACACAAATGAGTTGAACTGAACAATATAAATAAATTTATTTTATTAATGAATTTTGTCCACAAACATTTGTTAAAAAAGTAAATATATAAACTTATTAATTATAAAAATACACAAATACTAGCTCCAACAATCAAATTGCTTACCAAAATGAACTCGAACAATACAAATAAACTTGTATTTAATGAACGAATGTTCGCAAATATTAGCTAATGAACACAAACACTTCGTTCAGCTTGTTAACAATTCTAAGAAACTGTCGAAATAATTCTGAATTAAATTAAATATCTATATTTTATTAACAGTCATACAATTCTAAACTGCCAATATTTTTTTTATAAATATTATTATTTTAAATCACATCATTATTCTTACATAAAAATAAAATATATATATATATATATATTTATATAAATTTTAACTATCCAAAGAATGAGTACCTACTTAAAATTAGCAGTTCTACTTTAGACAACCCTATTATTATTATTATTATTATTATTATTATTATTATTTTTTATGACCGAAAATAAGAGGGAAGTCTGTACATAAATCCCTAATGTGCGAGGGCGAAACGATGCCCACACGATTCCCCCAAATTCGTCATTTCCAGGATAAGGTTATTCATCCATAAAAACCCATTCTTGCAGCTGCAGTGACGAAGCGAGAGCTACCATCATCAATTGAATCCATCATCTGCCATTTCTGTTTGTTACAGCTCTTGATTTTGATTCTGTAAATCCCGAATTTTAGTTTTTGCCCTTTGTATCCGTGAAGATCAATCTGCGAGGAAAAAGTATTGGGGATTTTGATTAAATGCTATGACTATAACTCTGCAGACTTCTCTCGTCTACAGGCCTTCAATTCCGAGATTAAATCATCGCCTCTGCAATGTTTGCGCTCCGTTTTCTGTGTCCAGAAGGATAAGCGGGCGGGTGCATTATTTGGTTTCGATCAGGTCCAGATTTTTGAGGCACCGTCTTCCCTGTACATTGAATTCGGAGGATGTCGTGAGTTCTAGTGATTCTATTAATGGCGAAGCTTCTGATCAGAGTCCTGAAGAGCTCGAGATTAGCGACTGGTCTGCGTCGCCGGAAACCGACGCCGGAGGGGAGGAGGAGGAGGTCGAGGGTAAGAATGAGGCGGACGTGAAGGAAACGTTTCCGATAGTGGCGTTTCTTGTAGGAATTTTTGCGAGATTGAGGTCTGCGCCTGAGAAATTGCTGTTTCCCGATTGGTTGAGCTGGTGGCCGTTTTGGAGGCAGGAGAAGCGTCTGGAGCGGTTGATTGCGGATGCTGATGCGAACCCTAAGGATGCTGCTAAGCAGAGCGCCGTTTTGGCTGAGCTCAATAAGAGCAGGTCAGTGTCTGTTTCGCTGCCATTTTTATGCTAATTGAACAGCTTGATTCGCCACGGTAAGTTATGGCTGATTTCATTTTCGTAAAATGCAATTTTCTTATTGATTGATTTTTGTGTAAAATTGGGAATGTCGATAACGGAGGGCGTGTGAAAGCCTTAAGCTCGATTGTACTAAATCACTGTATAACATGAAATGCTTGTTAGAAATTGATGTTTTTTGTTTGTCTTGATTAGTCCCGAGGCTGTTATTCAGCGGTTCGAGCAACGAGAGCATGAGGTGGACAGTCGTGGAGTAGTGGAATACATTCGAGCATTAGTTGCTACGAATGCAATTTCCGAACATTTGCCTGATGAACAAGCTGGAAAGCCGTCGACTCTTCCTTCATTGGTATGGAGCTTATGAGCATTGGTGAAGTAATTTCGTTTTTGTGGTTGGTTTTGTTAGAATCCTTTGGTTAACTGGTGGTGTCTTTCTTTCTAGTTGCAAGAATTAAAGCATCGAGCGTCCGGGAATATGGATGAAGCTTTTGTGAATCCTGGCATATCTGACAAGCAGCCGTTGCATGTTGTGATGGTAAGAGAGAATGGTTCTTGGGCACAAACAAGAAATGATGGCTTCTGTTTCACTTGTTTTAGGCTTCTCTTGTGCTGTATATGTTCTTGATTATTGGAATCATCTTCTACATATTAGGTGGACCCAAAATTGTCGAACAGATCATCGCGCTTTGCACAGGAAATCATATCGACTATCTTGTTCACAGTTGCAGTTGGTTTGGTTTGGTATGGCCTTTTCTTTTTCATTCATTTTGGTTAAAATGGGAGGGTGCATCTGTGCATGTGTGTGCATATATATATATATATTGGATATTTGTCTCCCTCTCTGCATCTACTTAATTTTCAAGATATATGTATTTTTGTTACTCCCTCTGTCCACAAAATATATGTGCATTTAGGTTGAATATTTTTTTTAATAGATTGAGTGTGAAGTAGATTTGACATTTTCTGTAAATGAGTGTAATGTTGAAGTGTATAAATTAAGGAGTATGTAATTGTTATTTACGATAAATGGAAAGTGCATAATTTTTTTGGACAGAGGGAGTACTAATTTTTCTATATTCAGGATAATGGGTGCCGCTGCTCTTCAAAAATACATCGGTAGCTTAGGTGGGATAGGAACACCTGGAGTTGGTTCCAGCTCTTCATATGCACCAAAAGATATAAACAAAGAAATAATGCCCGATAAGGTTAGTCCTTTTGGTGCACTTCCTATAATGAGTGTTCAACTAGTATTACATTAGCAATCAGCTTGCTTATCTTTTATATGTTTTGACCTAAAAAAATTTCTTGAATGAATTGTTAATTTTCATAAATTTAAAGACATTGGCAACAGATAGTCTGCCTATGATTTGTTAGATAATGAGGTTTGTGTTTTGGGATGAATATAAAAGGACTATATGGCATAGCATAACTTATCTTTTGTAATATGACAGAACGTTAAGACATTTAAAGATGTCAAAGGTTGTGATGATGCTAAACAAGAGCTTGAGGAAGTCGTTGAGTATCTAAAAAATCCCACCAAGTTCACGCGTTTAGGAGGAAAGTTACCTAAGGTTTGGAACTTATTCACCATTTATTAAATGACATTCCTCTCTACAATGCTCTCTTAACATGCATTAGTTTTCAGGGAATTCTCCTGACCGGATCCCCCGGAACTGGAAAAACTCTACTTGCCAAGGCACGTGCGTCTGATGGGATTGAATTCATCTCTTCACATTTTCTTTGCTCGGCCCTTTTCCAACATTAATAATAGTCTAATCTTACTGCTGCTCGAATTTTGAAGGCCATAGCTGGAGAGGCAGGGGTTCCTTTCTTTTATCGGGCCGGCTCTGAATTTGAAGAAATGTAAGGGTTTTCTTTGTCTGAAATTTGTTACTAGATTAATATTTGTTAATAGAACTAAGTATAGGAAATAGACAAATGCTATAAAACTAAATTTGTATGTCTATTCATCTGTGCTCGATGCTTCTATATTTGTTAAACTGGAGGTCTGTCTCTACACAATCATTTATTTTTTAGCTTCTATGATTTACACACACATGCACTTGACTGTGTGTAGAAGCAAAGCGAATAAGAAAGAAAATAATTTAAGGCAGTCTTTATATTTCACATAATTGTGCACTTGGATAATTAGAACTGAAATCTTTGATACATATAACTTATCTAGGGAGGCTATGAAAAGGTTTTGATTACGTATCAACGACGTTTCGAAGCTTACAGATTTGAGATTCTGACTTACCTCTCCTTGTGCCATGCCAGGTTTGTAGGGGTTGGTGCTCGGCGTGTGAGATCTTTGTTTCAAGCAGCTAAGAAAAAGGCCTGTTGTTCGCACTTCTGTTTCATATGAATTTGTCTTGTGATTCTAGATGATTCTATTCTTCTCAATTGCCAATAAATTTATCATTGCTCTTTTTTCTGTAGAAAATTAGGAGTGTGTTCAGATATTCTTAGAAGTGTTTTTGGGATATAAATAGGTGTTGGATATGATGGTTTGAATGTGGAATAGGTTTTTATCTTAATATTTTAAATGAAAATTTGGTTTTGAATATTGATTGTGAGAGTGAGAAATTTTGATGAGTAATGTGGAAACAGTTTTGGAAAATACAAGTAAGCAGAGTCTGGATTTTGAAACCAATATTTAATATCTAGAGATGCCCTTTTGATGAATAGTGGCAAAAGTGATTTGAAAACATAAGTAAACAAAGCCTTAATGTGACAATCCTTTTGTACTCGACATTCCTATGATGTTAGAGTGTGGTATATAGAATTAAATTGCAGAGAAATGATAACAAAGAATAAAATTGCCAAGAAAAGAAATTTACTAGAGATTTTTTTGTTAAAATAGATAATTTAATTGAAAAATGTAAAAAAAATTACGATTTGAATGAATTTAGTGGATTTTTATGTGAGAATTCATGTAAAATATATTGTTGGTGTGCATTGTAGGCACCATGCATTATATTCATCGATGAGATTGATGCGGTTGGGTCGACTCGGAAGCAATGGGAAGGTCATACAAAGAAAACATTACATCAATTGCTTGTAGAAATGGATGGATTTGAACAGAACGAGGTAAAGCCACACAAAGTATTAACTTCCTTTTCAATCCTTCTGCATTTCTCTGATGCCGTCTAATGTGACATAAACAGGGAATAATCGTAATGGCGGCAACCAATCTGCCTGATATTCTTGATCCAGCTTTGACGAGACCTGGTAGATTTGACAGGCATGTAAGTTATTTAAAGACACCGGGTTTGTTTGGTCGTATATTCTAATATCTGTTTTTTCACTATTCAAAAAATGATATCATATCAAACAATGATTTCATCACATTGTTTCCTAAAGAAACTAATGCATAATGATCCCATTCCTAGATTTCCGTTCTCAATCCTGATGTCCGGGGTCGTCAAGAGATATTAGAGCTATATTTGCAAGATAAACCTCTGGCAAGCGATGTGGATGTGAAATCAATTGCTCGTGGTACTCCTGGATTCAACGGGGCAGGCATGTTATTACTTTCGTTTTCTCTACTGGATGCTGATTTCCAAATCGATTGTCTTTAGGGCCTACCTATCAAAAATGAATCTTGATAATGGACAATAGGAATAAATGGTGTTGATCCGTCCCCCTTTCTAGATTCAGAAAAAAGAAGTCCAACCTTCTAATCAAGACTTTTTTCTGACGCCCTTAATAGAATGAATATAAAAGGAACGATTATCCATTGCTTATATATATAAAAGCTATATTGACTAAACAATGGACCCCGTTTTGCTTGATTTTTTGCTCGGAGATTTAACAAATGAGAATGAAATAGAACAGGCTGCCTACATTTGATTTCTGTAATATCTTCCAACTTGGTTTCATATTTTATTTGTATATTCATTTTGTTTGCTGTGTTCTTTTGTTGGTACAGACCTTGCAAATTTGGTAAATATAGCAGCCATTAAGGCTGCAGTCGAGGGCGCCGAGAAGTTGACTGCAGCGCAGTTGGAGTTTGCCAAAGACAGGATAATTATGGGAACAGAAAGGAAGACACTGTTTCTTTCGGAAGAGTCGAAGAAGGTTTGTGTACTGATTTCCATTTTAAGCCCCGACCATATACAACATTTCAGGTGTTCTTATAGTGCTGAATTATTTTATTCCGCAACCTATGATTTTAACTAACACGGCACATGGTCGTGTTAATTAAAATCAGTGTTGAAATCAATGGTAGTATGTATTGTATGAATTATTGTCTCGTTTTGTTAGTTATGGTCGTGTTAATTAAAATCAGTGTTGAAATCAATGGTAGTATGTATTGTATGAATTATTGTCTCGTTTTGTTAGTTTATATGTTATATTTGTATTATATATATATATATTGATTTATGCTCTATATTGATGGTCACATCTGCGTCGTAATAATCCCTTCTTGTGTTGCAGATCACTGCATATCACGAAAGTGGCCATGCTATTGTTGCCCTGAACACTGAAGGCGCACATCCGATCCACAAGGCGACGATTATGCCGCGTGGATCTGCTTTGGGAATGGTTACACAGCTTCCATCCGACGACGAGACTTCAATAAGCAAAAAGCAATTATTGGCGCGCCTTGATGTTTGTATGGGAGGACGAGTAGCTGAAGAGCTCGTCTTCGGTCAGGACCACATTACTACCGGAGCAACTAGTGATCTAAGTACGGCCACGGAGCTGGCTAAATATATGGTAATTTGCAAGATCGTTACCTTTTTCTTTCTCCCTCTACTAACATATATATATATATATATCTATTGACATTTATGGCGTTGACAAATATCCATTTCAACATTTGGTGTGTGCCCTTACTATCTAAAAGTTATCTTAAGGGTGTGTTTGTTTGGGGGTTTGGATTTTGGATTGGGATTTGAATAGTAAAAATTTTGAATTTGAATAGTTGTATGATGTGATATAAATAGGGTTTGATGTGATGTTTTGAATGTAAAATTGATTTTTAGTATAATATAAAAAATGAAAAATAGGTGTTTGATGTGATGTTTTTGGGGGGAAAAAATTGGATGAATAGTAAAAATCCTTCAAAATCCTTCGAACAAACACACCCTAAATATATCTATATTTCATCAACTGAGTGAAAGTATTAACTTCAACAAATGTTGTAGTCTAAATATTTGTTTTTGTTACGATAGTGGTTTGGATATGATGTTGTAGTGCTGATTTGGGCGCGCCCATTTATCGAATGTTTTTATTACATACAATATTTAGACTACAACATTAATAAAGACGTAATGTTTGTTTATATTGTATGTAATAAAAACATTCGATAAATGGGCGCGCCCAAATCAGCACTACAACATCATATCCAAACCACTATCGTAACAAAAACAAATATTTAGACTACAACATTAATAAAGACGTAATGTTTGTTTATATTTGTCTTGTGTCAACGGCTACAATGCTGAATCTAAGTTGAATTTTATCTTCAGCACTGACATGAGATTAAGATTACGTTGCTTCATTGCAAGGTATCGTCATGCGGAATGAGCGAAGAAATTGGGCCAGTTAATCTTAGAGGAAGACTTGGTTCAGAAATGCAGTCCCGAGTAGATGCCGAGGTACGTTTCATGAATCTTTACAACAATATATTATACAACCATCACATAACACTAGTTTTCATTTTTTCGAGTTCAGGTTAACAAGCTAGTGAGAGATGCTTATAAACGCGTAAAAGCCCTGCTTAAAAAGGTAAGCCCGATGAATTATAATTCATCGCCCGACTACTTTAGCAGTTAACATTGGCAGAATTCACCTATTTTGCTTGATAGAGCTTAATTAACTACTATGGCGCAGCACGAGAAGCCGTTGCACGCGCTAGCGAATGCACTTTTGGAGTACGAAACGCTGAACGCAGATGACATAAAGCGCGTGCTGCGTCCTTACGAGATCGAACCATACTTAAGTGATCAAGAAGATCAGATAGAAGAACTTGCTGCTTTTGCTTAAGACAACATCAAATTATCACAGGAGGAGCTTTGTGCACAAAAGATTATTTCCCAATCAGTAAGCATTCTCACTATACACAATATATATATATATATATATATATTGGTTGCTATATCGATTTTTAGTTATCAATTTTGGCATAAAATTCAAAAAGGAACTGTCACAAAAGGAAGTGATAGGAAGCAATCTAATTTATCATCAGAATTTTATATTTTTATTTTTGTATGAACATCATACATTTTAAATTCAGAGCTAGAACTTTGTCTCTACTTATCCTCTACAAATCTTTACAATATCTCTAGATCTTTAGCTACTAACCGAATTAAGACACAAATCGAGTCGATTAAGTAAATTTAGAATACATTAGGGCTTAAAGAGACGCTTAGTAACGACTAATATGCCTCTAAAAGCTTTAAAAAAAATACCTCTTTAGCGCCAAAAATGTTGGCTGTACACGATCAACGGATTGTGTTGTCATCCATGGCGAGCCGTTCTGATACATCGGCAAGTGACTTGAGATTGCAGCTGATAACTGCTTCGATGAAGTAGCAAGTTTCATCCTTTGTGTTTCCTTCGGGCACATCAACAACAAAGGATTCTATTACCAGAGTCCCTTGTCTCCCTTCGATTACCTCAGGATGTACAGAAACAGTCGAAGAATAGTTCTACATACATGGAAAAGAATCCGAATGATTCACATTAAGACATTTAGTAAGCATATTTAGTACGTTAGAAGATATAAACACACCAACGGCGAAAGAACTCTAATCTAGGGAAGCTTAGAGAGTCGAAACCAAATATGTAAAGTTTTTCGGGATCAAGATTAGAAACTTACTTTAAGTCTGTGATCTCCACCAACAATCCTTACAGTGAGTATGTGTTTATCATCGTCAAGAAGCTCTAATCTCTCGGTGCTTGTCGTAGCCGGAAGGCCCGACTTTACGTTAACTTCCCTCAAACTGCCAATCTGAAGATCTCCCTTCACTACACACTGACTCACAAAAGGCTTATACTTCTGTGGTTGATCAAATCTCCTCACCAGTGACCAAACCTTTTTTTGTATCCAAAACAACACAATGCCTCGTCAAAAACATTTGGGACTTGACAGCAGCCACAGTTCAAATAGATAAAAACAATCATTCTTCCCTAAATTTACTATTCATCATATTTTGTCTCAGGCCCAAAGGTCTGTTTGTTTTTTTGGATTTTTTTCAAAATTTACTATCAATCAAATTTTTTCCTTTTAAAAAATATAAAATTAAACATATATTTTCATTTTTTATATTATTCTAAAAATTAATTTTACATTCAAAATATCACATTAGTATTTATTTATATAAATGCATTTTTCGAGATTTCTTATTTGTCATACTAACTTCATCGTATGAACAACTCAAATTGGAATTGAAACTGCGAAATTAAAGGACTAAGCAAATGATAATAAGTGAACTGGAACAACAATTTCAAGAATTATGCCAAAAAGTGAACCGTAATGAACAAATCGAAACTGAAAATTTCATTCCAATGGACATCTAGTTCTAATCTATTCACCAATCGATCCGAACCACTCCAAACAAGCACGACGCACACGTATGTCTTCATAAAAACTAACTGAAATCCAAAACAATGAGTAAAGAGACAATAATTGGAGTAGAAAGTATTACGAGATGAAGAGGCGCCTTGACGCGTTTGATAAGATAGGAGGAGCATTGATCGTCCTTAATCTCATGCCTGTGGTGCTTCTTCAAATACTCTTTCTCCGCTCCACTCAATCGACCGGCGACATTCATCTTCCAACTCCGATCAGCGGCGGAAGGCAGATCGGCAGTTGACTGAGGTTGCGTTGGAGAGTGGGGACCGCCGCATTTGAATTTAGCGTCCGGAGAAGGGGCGACGAAATCGCGGCGCGTGCAACATCGTCTCCTTAAAATGGAAATTTACTCTCGTTTTTTTTCCCCTTTTTATTTGTTCTATGTTTTTTCAAATCAAAGTTATACGTTTATGTTTGTGCAATTTTAAATTGCGATTTACGGTAGCAAAAATTTTGAATTAAAATAATAATATGATATAATATAGATAGTATTGATTTTAGTATAATATTAAAAATAAAAATAGATGTTTAATTTAATATTTAAAAAAAATAATTTATGTAAATAGTAAAAATTTTCAAAATATTTGAAACAAACATATCTTAAAAATATTTATATATTTGTATAATTTTTTGCACAAATATCGTGATAATAGTATTATAAGACACTACTAGATGTATTTTTGTTATTTTCTTTAATTTGTACTATATTTTCATTATTGAACGATCAAAGACTGAGGTTGTATTTTTTTTATTAGCAAACTATATGTTCATTTAAAATAGGCACGGGATTTAATCAATCTATTATACTCCAGTTAATTGTGATATAAAATAAAATACAATTGACTATGGATTATAAAATATAAATATTTTGAAAAACATATATATAAATTTTTATCAATTGATTATGCAATTAATTATGATATATTTGATGCAGCTAGTGATTTAATAAATGGGTAGTGGGCCAGAAATATTTGAAGTATTCTTGTATTGGGCCAAAGCACTTTCATTTAGTTGCGGCCCAACAGAAGAAAGGGGCCCACATTTAACGGAAAGTTATAACTGTCTGGTCGTTACAATAGCTGTAAACTGAGCAGCAATTTCTAAGCGCAATCTCGCTTTCGGCGCGTTCACCTATTTTCCCATTCCCCGATGACCCGCCGTGATGCACGCGCCTTCGGAGAGCGTTGATTTTATCAACCAACCAACGCATTTTATCTATTTATAATTTTATTTATTTGCGATTTTTTTTATAATTTAATTTTAGAGAAATATAATTAATAAATAATTTAAAATATATTAATAAAAATAATTATAAATTAAAATTAAATAAATAATTAATTTAATTTTAAAATAAAAAATTATAAGTTACAAAAATAAGACTAAAGTGTAAAAATGAAAAAATAAATACAACATACAAATATTAAAATATGAATATAATAAGTGGAACAGACATACAAAATAATATTAATATTAAAAATTTCAAGGAAAAGAATTTCGGGACAAAAGGAGTATTTTATTTTAATAAATAAAAAGTATTATTTATTATATCAAAATACCATTATTTATTAATTTTGACCTATCTACCCAAAGCGAAAGCGAAGAGATTACCTCATAGGACGAAATCAAAAATCATACCAATAATAACAAAAACACAATCAAACATCCATAATAATAATAATAATAATAATAATAATATTACACCACCCTTTGAGATTTACCAACCTTCACGACCATTCCATCATGATCGAACAAACCAATGAATGAACAAATCCAAAACAGATCCCGTCCCGTCCCGTCCCGTCCCGTCGACATCCCCACATCGCAAAATTCAATCGCTTTAGCGGGTTTCGCCCGGTGGACTTTCGCCTGCTTCGCTATGGGGTTGAGGAGCGGCTTCGGCTTCAGCTTCGACATGCTCGATTTCGGGCAGTCGAGGTTTACCGTTGACATCGACGGTCTGCTGCTGGGTTTCCTCTGGCTCGGGAGGGACCTCAAGGGGCTGCTGCTGCTGAATTTCTTCGGGATTCGTTTTGTCGTGGCAGAACTTGACGACGACGCAGGTGATGTTATCGGCGCTTCCGCGAGTGAAGGCGGTTTCTGTCAGCTTTCGAGCAGCTGCTTCCGGTTCTTCTTCTGATTGCGCTATCGAAACAGCATCCTGGAAATATTATCCGCCGTTTACAATTCGACAACCGATAGATGGAGAGAAGGCAATGTAATGACAAGACAAGAAGTCAGGTTACCTCGTTTGGGACGACATCCCAAAGGCCATCGCTGGCGAGCACGAGCAGATCAAGATCTTTGTCGATCTCCTGTTCCTGCAACGTTTTTAAAAATGGGTTCAGAACATCGTAAATATTGCACCGGATTTCGTCGAGTGTTTTAGAATCCGAAAATAGGCTTTTATGATCTGATCGGATTCGGAAAATAAATGACAAGCTCATTATAGCAGATGTACAAAGTCGTAACACAATACTTCCTCCTTGGGTACAAGTTTTAATGTGGATAGTAAAAAATACAAAATGACAATAAGTAGATATGATTTTTTTTTACGAATAAGGAAAATATGAATACTTTAGGATAACAACCAAAATAATAAAAATAAGCATACTTTTCGATGACAGAGGAATAATAAAATTACGAGTACCTGAATCTCAGGCTCAGCAACAACAAATTGCTTCAGCAAGCGATTTCCGAAAGCGCGAGACATAGCCAAAACGCCACCAACCCTCCAAGTGCCTGGTAGAGAAAATAATTATATAAGCACATCCATGTTCTTCAAATATTTCGTACTTCTTTTGCTTAGAGACAACTACCAAACGACAATCAACTCTAGTAATGTAGATCATTTGACTCGTTCAATCGTTAGCCTGTGTTTTTATGTTTTATTTTACTGACTGGAGAATAAATGATATCTCATATGAACAAAGCGGCAGAACATAAAAAACACATACGATGCAGAAGATCATTTGGTTCATTAGTCAGACCTTGTTTTTCACATGTGTTGTGTGGCATCGTAATTAACTCCTAATACTGGCATGGTAGATACCGAGTGTATTCTATTTTACATTAATGAAACTTCAGCATGTTTCCTGATAATAATTAAATCATTCGCAGGAAAATAATGATGCTTGCTACAATGCATATATATATATGGAGCATGTAAATATAAACACGATAAAAGAGTACAAACCTGCCCACATAATAATACCACCCGCACTTTCAATTCTCTTCCTCTCATCACTTCTATTCGGTTTGTGATCTTCAGAGAGTGCAATTGCTGTTGTGTAAGGAAAAAAACCAGATTACTTTCAAAAACATTTTAGGTGTTCACGAGATCGATGGAAGTACAATTAACCCCAAGCACTTCTATTCCTTAAAAACGTTAATAGTGGAAAAGAAATGCATTATTGATTAAGATACTATTGACAAGTCCAAACTTCAAACTGTTAGGGGAAAAAAAGATTAAATTTTCCATTTCCCTAGTGAACTAGTTTCTCGCACGAAGAAGGCAAAGTAATAAAAAGGAAAGTAATTTCGTGTTTAGCTGATGAGGAAATCTCAGGAAATGAATATTTTACAGTGTCCACCGAAAGGAGATTAGAAGAGATCGAGCTTCAAGATGAACAAGAACTCTAAATGAAAATATTCATTGGAGCTTCACTCATTTGTATTAAACAACAGTTAAACTAAATATTCATGCTCATAGATAACTTGATAAACGCTCAGATTACCAAATCTCCATTTATTCTATCTAATTTCCATAGGGAACAAAGAAAAATCATCAGCCCCTCAATTTACGTCGATTGTTCAATGAAATTTTATAAAAATAATACCTCTTCCTGCCTTTGATATTATAGTTCGAGAATCTCCAACATTAGCAACATAAAGGTGATTTCCAACAAGAACTGCTGTTGAAGCTGTTGAACCATCATCACGAAAGGTGTCTTTTTCGGAGTTCAAAAACTCTCTGTCCGTCTGTCGGTATGTTTCACCTGTGGATTTGTATGTATTACTACAGAGCACTAACAAAGTACAAAAGCCATTACATTAACACATAACAAAGTGTCATTTTCTTGTAGTTCCAAGAATAATCTATAGCACAAAACCATTTATAGTAAATTTCCGCAGTCCAATTTGTATAGTCAGAGCGGCTTATAACTTAGTCATGAATACACAAATTTACCACATTGGGAAACAGTGAATGACATTAGTTTGTAACAAGTTCTAGATGGACCAGGTTATACCTAATCTTTTCAACTGTGTAAAGCCAAATATTTTACTACGTGTTTTCCAAAGAATCCTTCATTTGCTGTATATCTCAGTGCATACTCAGGGAAAATAGCAGCAAAGAAAAAGTTATTTAGAATTAAAAGCAAATGGAGATTGGATTTCAACCCACTTATAGCTAATTTTGTGTTGGTTAAGAATTCTGGATGCCTCATAAGATTCTCAAAGAGATGTTCCTTCAAATATTCTGCAGCGCGAGGTCCACCATGTCCTGTCAACACAGATTCTCATTAGGAAAGAACACCGCTTGTACTCTCCTCAAGATTAGAAACTTAAATTATATGAAATGATTAACACAATTGTTTCAACAAGACATGCACGAGATGATGTCGTAGACAACTCCAGAATTCAATCTTATACAAACTTTTAACATTGATCTGGAAATAATAGAAAATGGTGTTTAACAAAAAGTTCAGGCTGAATAACAGTTGAGGTTCAATGCCTAAGAAAAGGATTTGTAAAAGCTAGAAAATGCGCAAACAGAACTAGGTAGCCTATATTCCTATTCCTAGATCAACTTTAATACATTTTCTGAGTGCCAGTGATCAATCATAACTGACAATCATGATCAGATTTTCATCCATATACTTATAATTTGAAACACAGATCAGTTTTATCTTTAAGTGGCTCAACAAAAATTAGTGTTTTCTCTCCAGACAGCGTCCTAAACTTTCAGCCATTTATTTATGCATCAGAAGAAAGGTAATTGAGACGAGAACTTACCGTCAAATACGCCAAAGAGGGAGACTGGCTGTCCATCAATCTTGGAAGCCTTGATGTCATAAAAATCCTCCATGCTTGCCCTTTTTCCTCTAAAACTGGAATAACCACATCTTAAACTTCCATCTTCACTGCAATTAGGAAATAAGATTTAAATGCAACCTGAGCAGATTCAAATCACACGGTGAACATGTTCATGCCATGTGAAGATAGTAATAGCATCATCGGCAGTGCAATCATATTCACACTCAACGCAGGTATAACATGTTCTAGAACTATCCATAATAAGCAACCACAGTAGCCTAAATATCAATTCATTTGGGAAAAACTCAAAGCTTACAGAACTCCCTAAAATATGGTCTTTTAAGTGTTTGATCTAAAAATACAAGAAAACTATCTCATCTTGGGACAATTTATTTCACTCCCTCCCAAAACTGTAAATAAAAATATCTTCTCAAATAAATGGTTGAGAAGGAATATTTATTTTACAAATGAAATCGAAAAGTACGTATTTAGTCAACGTATATACTGTCAAATGGAAAAGTGTTTTCACCAAACATTGGTTTGCGCATACAATCACCAAGCATCATTAACTACCTTAGATGGGTTGCAGCAATAATAGAAACAACGTAGAGAACACGCAAGATGACGAAAAAAGCTGAAAAAACAAAAATCAAAGCCTACATGATTATAGCCTAATGCTTCATGCGCATAATGAACTAACTACCATACGAGGAATTTGTCCCTTACCAAACGATCACTTAAATAATATCTAATTTCCAAATAACTATAACAAATCAGGAAACCTGAATATTCCATCACCTCTTCCAGCATCCGCCGACATAGTTGTCGTCATCAATCTTCTCTGGTAAAACATCAACTGTCAATCCCTTGGCCGGTGCGCCAGAATCCACCATCATCTTTCTTTTTATTCCAAACTTAAAGTTCCAAAAATTAGTAGGGAATCTTGTTGCATTCGATAGTCCACAGAAGTATCTAAACTGCCTGACCTCAGTGTGTCCAGAGCAAAGACTCACAGACCTCAAAAAACTGTTGCATAACATTTAAAGCTGATGATGCTTTGATCTCAGAACTGAATCTAACACAGGCTACAAAATAACAAAAAAACAACACCAATAATCAGTTTTATTGTCATCAGGGAGAAAATCAATTTCATTGCATATTCATTATGCTTATAAATGCCAGTAGTAAACAGTAAGATCCTGTGAAGAGATCCACCAACCGAAAACCTTTTCATCAACTGTAATGATAAAATGCTCTTTAACATTCGGCTGTCAAACAAGTTCATGAATCACAATATTTCACCGTTTTCACTTTCAAAAGTCTTCCAACACAACACACAAGTTCAAATTCATTCAGATACGAGATTCATCATAATCTCACTACGTCATCTTCATCACTCTCCACAAATATAACCCGCCCACCCGAAAAAAAGTCACTCAGAAAAGGCTAATCAATAGATTCAATCAAAACAAGGATATTCTAAAAAAGATTAACTCTTACACTCAAAAGTAAATGATTCGTGAAGCCACAAAAACAACCACAGATCCATAAACATGTTTCCATTTAAGAATCACTTAACAAAATTCCGAATTTAAAAGCCAAAAAAAAAAAAAAAAAAAAGGCACGACAGCACAATTAGATCAAATCGTTCAAAACTGGAGCCACGTATCGGATCAAATTGAAGATCTGCAGAAGATCCGAATCCTACCATTGAAATCGAATCAGCCTAAAAAAAAAAACCTATCATCGCACACAATTGACGAATAAACACAATCATTACATCAAAAAGAAGATGATTCCGAAACCCTAGCGAGCAATTGCCGATCCATCATCCATCCATCCATCCATCCACCAGCGATTAGTGGAGCAGAGTTGCGTGGGTGAAGAGGAAATTTGTTGCGAAGTGGCGGTGCCCAGAAAGCGGTGTATGCTTGTCTATGTCACCACCGAGCAAAGGAGCGGCGACGTGGCATTATAAGTTGCTGTCCGGTCCTCAGCACCTGGTCCACCGAACCCATACGGAGATCCCGAAGTGAAATCTTAGCTGTAAATTCTAAATAAATAAATATTCTCTTAAAATATTAACTTATTTGATTTTGTGTATGTAATTATTATGGAATGGACAACATGGTTACAGCCATTTTTTTGCATGCATGTCACCTATAAATCAATTGGCTTAGCTGTAACATAATCACATAATTAACAAAATTAAATTATTTTCCATATATTTTTCTATTTTAATTTTTTATTTGTATGATAGAGATACTAAGCATGATTAGACTTGACTTGACTTTCGTTCATTTCAAAATTCAAATATTATATAATATAGCACTAATTAATTAATGGCAATCTACTCAAGAATCAGCGATCTACCTCAATATAATTAATTCTGTATTGTAAAAATTGTATATTACGAGTGTGCCATTAGTCCAAACCAAATCTGGGCCGAATATTGCAAGCCCATGGGCCAATGCGCCAGCCCTTTATATGTAATATGAATATTTCACAATTTAATATTCTTATATTATAACAATTCTCATTTATTCAATGCAAAATGCGGGCGGTCATTTTAACTATTCATATTTTTTCAAAACGAATAAAGAAATAATTAAATATATCAAAAAGAATTAAAATTTTTAAATTTCAAATTAAATTTTTTTATAAATATATATATATAACTCATTAACCAATACTCACATTTTATATATTATATTTTAAAATTATTTTTTGTTGTCTACATTTTCATATTTAATTTTTAAAATAGTAGATTATATACCTCAAATTATTAAAATTTATATAAATTAATATTTAAAAATTAAAATATAATATTATATAAAAACATTACTATTAGACTATAAAATATACTTCCTCCGTTTCCATAAATATAGTGTTAATTGGTTTGGACACAAGATTTAAAGAATATTTATATTAGTGGGTAAAAAGTATGGATAAAAAATTTTGTTGCCCTTGTGAGTATATTATTGTAAAAAAATAGTGACAATTGTGTAATAAAAATGAAAAAGTATGGGTAATTTTACGGTTATATGATTATTTATGGAAACAAGACTATTGTTTTGAAACGGACAAAAATAGTAAATAAGACTATTGTTTCGAAACAGACAAAAATAATAAACAAGACTATTATATTGATACGGAGGGAATAATATATTCTTTTTTAATTGTTGATTTTTAGCTTGTGTTTTATAAATTATAAACAGTGGTTACACCGTCTACTCTAAAGGAATTTTTTTTTTTTTGGAGTTTTGTAATAGATAGCAGATGTTTTGATATTTTATTTTTATGTATATTTTTTTAAATTTAAATGAAGAGTAGACATTTGATAGTAATACATGATTATTTTTAGTAAAAATAAAAAATAAGTATTTTTAAATATAAAAATAAATACATACAAAATATGACAAAATTATATACTCCCATCGTCGCATGTTATCATTTTTTATTTTCGTCTGTCCTATTTTTTAATTTAATAATTGTACTATCTACGTAACATAATAAACACTCTCTCAATTTAAATTATATTACACAAATATCATTACTTTTATATTATTAATAAGGATATTTTTATTTTTTTTATTATAATCTAATATAATCTAAATATTTAAAAGTTTATGTTCAAAGGCCAAAGGTCACTCTTCCAATGGATGGGAGAGAGTATATAGTTTGTTTCTTCCTTGCATCTTACATATCATTAAACACTGACGCCCGGAAAGGATTCGGAGGCAGCTGCAGTGATTCTATCTGTTCATCAAACATTCCGACAACTTCATTCATCGAAGGTCTGTCTTGAGGCCTAATCTGAACGCATCTCAGCGCCACCATAACCATCCTCTTCATCCTCATCTCCTCTTCTTCATCTCCGCCGTCGATCTCCATCCGCTTCCCTTTGTTCAATCGCTCGTAAATCGACAACGGGAAGTCCGTCTCGCCGGATTTCAAAACCCGCAATTTTCCCGCCATTTCCATCATCACCATTCCGAAGCTGTATACGTCGGCTTTGCACGAGACGTCGCCGACGTGTTTATAGAACAGCTCCGGCGCTGCGTATCCCGTAGCCGTCACGTCTTTAATTCCGCGATCTTTGATCTTCGGATTGAAATCCTCGTCGAGCAAAATGTTCGACGGCTCGATGCCGAGGTGCGGGACTTCCGCGCCGTGCAAATACTCGATCCCGAGCGCTGTCCCGCGGCATATTCGGAGAATCTGTCGACAGGTTAACGATGAAATGCGGCTTGCCAACGTGCCGCATTTTGCGAGCTCGTGCACGAAGGCTCGTCTCGAGCCTTCGATGCAGAATCCGATTAGTTTCACAGAATTCAGATGGTTAATCTTCGCCATTTTCGAGACGATGCTGACGAAGTCTCGATCGTTAATTGACGACATTTTGAATACCTTTATTGCGACGGGAGGACCGCTTTTAAGCTTGCCGGCGAAAACGCTTCCTCGGTTTCCTTCGCCTATTTTAGCCTCGAAGTTTCTCGTCATCTTTTCGATCTCTCTATAACTGTAATTAATGGGGATTCCGTTTGTCTGAAGCCTCGAGAGTTCTTCGACGGCTTCTCTGTTATCGGACGAGCAATCCTGGGCTCGATATCGATGCCACATCAGCGCGATCAACATCGTAATCCCTAACAAGAACCTCAGTCCTATGATCCCTCCTGTCCTAACAACAACAACAACCAAAGGATTGATCGTGTGAAACATTTTATTACGTCTGATGCCTTCGGGGACTTAATCTTACCTATCGCGAAGACGGCGATCATAATGTAAGCTGTCGAAAAGAAGCGTTAGAATGCCGAGCGAATAAGGATACGTTGAAAGAATTCGAACCGTGAAACTTACGAAGATAGTAGTCCAGTTTGCCTGCATAGTTTCGGACAAAATTCAATATCAATCTTTCTAATATGGGAATGATTACAGCAGCATGCCACGTAAAATACAGAAACAATATATGTCTTAATTATATACAACATGTATTGCTTGTAATAAAAACATGTATTGTTTGTTCATAATTACAACATGTGCTGTATGAGAGTATATCAAGTACTAAAATCAATTATTATATATATGTTGTGTGAGACTATATCATATGTTGTTATATGTGGTAATACTGTGTGCGAACACACATTCAGCGCTGCAATGTGTTGAAATAAAAATGGCGTACTATCTATAGTTATATCATATGTTGTCAGTTAATACTTCGAGATGCAAGAAAAAGAGAGGTAATGAACGTTTTCTTACAGACGAAACTACGCTCCGAAAGGGGCGTGTCTTCGTAGCAATAACGACGACATCGAACTCTACCGTTGTTCTCGATCGAGCAAGTTCCCCCGCCGTCCTCACATTCGACGCACAACACTCGTTTCCACGAAAGCTCGAATCCGTAAGCCATCAAATCATGAACCTGCGAATACGTGTAGTTGCCTCGACGCAAAGTCGACGGAAACGAGGCCTCCGTCACGGCGTCGTAAGTGCAAGATTCCTCCAATTCCGAAACCAATATCCTCGAGGCTGCGACGTACGTATAGAAATCTCGAGAAACGTTCGAACGACGAGCACTCGTATCGCTGCAGAAAGGGCTCTCGACGTACAACGGATTGTTCACCGGCTTTCGACACTTGAAGAACGCCACGTCGACATGGTTGTCATAGTTAACCGAAATGTAGCTCGACAAAATGTCGACATCCGAGGAGAAATAGATCGGACAGGACGAGTAATTGTGGCTGTCAACGCCGGGATCGGATATTCGCGCTGAGAAATTTCTGTAACTGATTTCTTGCACGCGATAGCTTCTCGATTTGGTCTTCATCGTCGTTCGATTCTCGTGGCAGTCGAGCATGAAAATGGTGTCCGAATGGCCGCAATTCGGAGGATCGCCTCGCAGTCGAAAAGGGTAGGTAATAACGATATCGCCACACGACGACGGAACACAGCCTGAGGTGTTCTTACCTCCGATTCTTGCAGCAGAACATACAAAAAGAATCAAAACAGCAAGATTCTGCATTTCTTTCGACATTTTTTTGCTAAAATTTTGTCCGAAAATCTTGCGAGACAATACGATCGAAGAAATAAGAACATATCGACGTTTTTCGTCGAAGCTTCTATCTTATTTTAATCATATCTACACAGAATTATTTATACAAGTCAAAGATTTCAAGAATCATTCGATCTGATCAATTCACGCGTTTTTTTGCAAGTCAACACATCAAGATCAGTTGGTAATGTAGAAAGAAAAAAGAAGCAAACTTTAAGGATGTAATGAAAGGTTGAGAAGTTCCCATCAAGACATGAAGATCATACTCTGTACTTTGATTTTCTTCGTTGGATTATCGAACTGCGACGATGTCTGCAAGCCGGCCAGCTGCAGTTCTTCAGGGCCAGTTGTTCGATTCCCTTTTTGGTTAAAGAATCGACACCCTGATTGGTGTGGTTTTCCAGGGTTTGAGCTGTCGTGCAGTCGAAGTGGAGACACAGAGCTCGATTTCTTGTTTCCGGTGAAAGCATCTATCGACAAAGTTACTATTCCATTGAACATGACCGTGTCCGTCGGAGTTATCGACTACAAGGAGCAAAAGATGCTCGTAAGAAACTCGGTGGCGCGATCCTGCCTCCCGGAAAGGCCCCCGAGATCGAACTTTTCGGCCTTTCCGTTCGAGGTATGTTACATTTTGCAGAATTTCAGATTGCCGGTAAATTAGGATATAGACACCTATATTATATGCTTTAGTTTATTGCATATTTCTCTCTGTTTTAATTCAAAATAAAAAGTTTATTTCAAGTATCATTTCTTATTATATAAATACTAAATATACATTAATACCAAAATATTATTTATTTAAATTAAAAACATATTATTAAGTATATAATTATTTTATATATAAAGTTAAGGACAAAAATATTAAAAACTCTTACATAATTCTACATATTATATAATATTATTATTTTTTAATGTATTGAAAAATCTCAAATGACCTATATATAATTTGGGACAGAGGGAATGTGATATAATAGAAAATTTTTTTAAAATTTTTCATTCCGACTATAATTAAGAAAATTATAAACATCTTATAGATGCAAATAATTTGTATGCAACAAACATATTATCATTGTAGTTGTAAAGAAACAAATACTAAGAATCCAACTTTATCATTAAAAAATAAAAATAAAAATGGATGATACATGTAAACAATTCAACATTTGATAGTAAAGTTGAATTTTTGATATATTTTTATTTAATATTACAATAAAAAATAATTTATTTCGAATAAATTATTTGCATTCATGAGGGTATATTTCTATCTTTCTATAAAATATCTATGTGTACTTTTTTATAATACAAATTTGTTAAATAATAGAAGGAATGTAGATTTCATACAAGTTTTTTCATATCTTAACAGATAAATATGCAATAAATTAAATATAAATTATTTTCAAAATTAAAAAATAAAAAAGCATGTAACACATATATGTTGAAATTTACCCTATTAAAAATTAGTTAAGCTTATAAATAGACATATGATAACTATCTAATTATAATTATAGAAATATAGTTTAACTTATAAACTAAATATTTAAAATATCTCGACAAGGTTGAACCACTGGGATACGACGGGGGATACACTTTGTTCAATTGTACTAATGCTCGGGATAACGGCAATCGTGTCGCTTGCCTTAGCAGCCAGAGCTATGAAGTCGTTGCGTTTGGTTCTATTTACGAGATCACGTCGTTGCCTCCTCGCTCGTCTTGCTTCCCCATGTACAACATTTCTTTCGTGCCGGATAATTTGTACGGCCGGCAACCGGACGATTACGGCGGGACACCGTATTATCTTCATTGGAGAAAACCAGATTGTCATAATTGTTATGGAAAGGGAAGATCTTGTAGGCTTAGGAATGGCAGCATTGCAGGGCAAACTGAATGCTTCAAACTTGGTATGTTAAAATTTTTTTGAACATCCTTAATTAAATATTGTGATTTTGTTTGTCTTAAAAGATTAATCTTTGTCTGAACAAAGAAATTATTTGGGATTACAGATGGATCAAGAGACAGTGTTCGAGTTGTTGTAGTAGGTAAGAGGAGTCTTTTTTTTTTTTGGATACTAATCGAATCGAAACAAAAATTGTAGTAGTAGATTTAATATGCTTGAAATTATTCGATTTATTTTGAAATTTAAATGATATTTGTAATCGATTTAAAATAATTTTTAAATTATTCAATTCGATTTAAGCATTGAGTCAAATTTTGTATTAACATTAACATTAAGTATTTGATTAAAAATTCGATTAGTTTTGTGTTTTTGAAAGTTTTATAATTAAATTTTCAAAAATGATAGAGACAGTTTGATAAAAAAATAAATACACCACAAATTTGCAAATTGACACAAAAATACTTTCTACTTCAAATAAAAATAAAATTAATATTAATATTGTATAGTTATAATTTTCATTATACTTATTTATATAAATTTTAAAAATTAATATTATACGTAAATTAGTTTGATTTATTTAATTTGAAAATAGAGTTGTATATTATCTTTTTACATTGTATATATTTTTATTAGAATGAATATTAAAAAATATATTTCAATTCAATTACAAATTTCGAATTCAAATATCAAAATTTTAAATCAAACAAAATTATTCAATTTGCAACCATACTATTGATTTCAAATCACACATTTGTTTTAAAAGATATGATCTTTGAGTTGAAGTATTTTGTCATTACAGGTGTAACTGTAGGAACTGTACTCGTACTGTTCATTGTAGCCGTTATATACTCAGCGAAAAGAAACCGAGACAACCTCACAAGGTTCAAAAGATCATCGGCAAATCACGAACATATGAAGGCTATGATTCGATGTTCTTATAAGGACTTAAAAAGAATCACTCGAAATTTCGAGGAGAAACTCGGACAAGGATCACTTTACAAAGGGATGCTTTCGGACAAAACTCCGGTCGCCGTCAAGATTCTCCGATGTTCTGCAATAAGTGCCGACGATTTAAATGACGGAATCAACAGAATGGGCGCAATGCATCATGAAAACGTGCTTCGAGTGATCGGATATTGCATAGACGAGCCAAAAAAAGCTCTCGTTTACGAGATTTCGCCACGTGGCGCGCTAGAAGAGATTATGTCTTCGGAAATACTCGACGGGGAGACGCAACGACGGGTTGCGGTCGGGATTGCGAAAGGCATCGAATACGTGCGTCGAGGGTGCGGTCGAAATATTTTCGATTTGAAGATTAATCCTCGCGACGTATTGGTCGATCGAGACTTCAATCCGAAAGTGTTGGTATGTCCTTTGAGTGATGATCGAGAAGCGAATGACTATACGGCGCCGGAGTTATCGTCGACTAGCGACGGAATTGCTCGCCGGAAAGCGGATGTTTACGGTTTTGGAATGGTGGTGCTTGAAATGGTTTCGAGAATGAGCGATTCCGACGAAGGGGCAGCGGGGCAACGACGGCGAGAAGGGGAAGAGAAGCTTCTAGAATGGGTGTGTAATAGATTGAAGAATGAAGATTGGGAGTTGAAAAAGATTGGAGTTTTGGGGCTATGGTGCATTGAGTGGTTTCCTTGCAATCGTCCCTCTATTGAACAAGTCATTCAAATGCTTGAGGAAGATGCTAACTAATTTGCCAGTCAGATCGACACGACAAGTTATACTTAAATAAATTATACGCGACGGACAATATTTGAAGATGTCTAAAAAAAAATTAATATCTTTCTTGATATATTAAGAATGTTGCCTGTAAGAATCCGACTACTATACAAATTTACGTTGAGATGCAAATTCAAGTTCTATAATAGAAGATTTAAAGAAAAATTTCAAAAATAAAAATAATGGACAAAAAAAATTGGAACAAATGGAATAACATTGTCTCGGACTTGAATAGTATTTAAAAAACTAATTTGAGTTTATCATAGAGATATAAAAAAATGATAGAGTCAATTATCAATTCAGATAGTGTCTTTGTGAGAGTTGGAACACAACTCTAAACGAAATTAAAATTAACAGTAAAGTTTTTTTTTTACACATAAACTCTAATATTTTGCTATTTAAACTTTGCATTCTTTGAAAAAAAATATACTTCATCTGTTCCAAAACAATAATTTTCGTCCGTCCTAAAACAACAGTCTTATTTCATTTTTGGTACTAACTCCTTATTTTACAAAATTATTCTTACTTTTTCACATTTATTTTAGTATTTTAGAAATACTCAATAAATATAATACTATTATTCCTTAATTTTTGTGTCAATGTCAATTTTTTTTTTTTTTTTTTCTTTCCAAATATTTCATCACACATTATTTTAATATCAAAATTTTTTTGTCAATCCAATCAAAAGGAACACACCCGAATCAAAGTAGGTCTCTGAAAATCGAAAACAGAATTTAAAACAATCACATAAAAAGATCTAAGACAACAAACACCATTCGATACACAGCCCGCGAAGACCGTTACCAAAGTCAACGTGTGAAAATTGCCCAAACATCACTCACCACTCACTCAGTCAACATTAGGACAAAAAAGAAGAAGCCTCTTTTATCTTAAAAACGCGTTTCATTTTTAATGGCCTCTCTACAATCAATAAATTGCATTATTATATCTACAGACGAAATCGAATTGAAACGAACCCTAAATCATTAAACTCTCCTCAGCCATAGCCATGATCTTCGTCTTCTTGCTTTTCTTAATCTCCTCTCCCCTCCTCCAAAAGCCTAAATTTGCATCCGGCCGGTGCGAACCGGCGCGGTGCAAACCGTCCGGCCCGGAAGTCCGGTTCCCTTTCCGGCTGAAAAACCGGCAGCCGCCCGAAACCTGCAGCGCCTACAGCAGCGATTTCGAACTAACATGTAATGAGAAAAACGATACAGTTCTCCACTTCCAGCTGTCCGTTTGGGCGTCCGCCGGAAACTATCTAATCCCGCTGTCGGCAAACGCCACCGTCGCCGGAACCATTGACTACGATCGGCAGGTGATCGGAGTCAACGTTTGGGAAAGTTCCTGTCTTCCGGCGAAGGCTCCGAAAGTCAATTCTTCTGATTCTCCTTTCGAATCGGATCCTGGAAACCAGTACGGGGGATCGTACACGCTCTTCAACTGCTCCGGCCCGATCGGGACGAGGTTCAGTCGGGGCCCGATTGAGTGTCTGAATCGTGGGGATTTTGAGGTTTATACTGTTAGCTCGTCGGATTCGCTGTCGGATGTGACACCGCTGTCCAACTGTGTGAAGATGTACAACGTTTCGTCGGTTCCGCCGGCGCTTGTCCGCGTACCGGACTCGTTGTCTTTCGATCAGACCGCTCAATTGCGGTGGAGGAATCCGGATTGTCGGAAGTGTGAATCGAGAGGGAAGATTTGCGGATTCAACTCAACGGATAACAGTATTGATTGCTTCGAGAAACCAGTTTCCCCAAATCAGAAGAGTCACGGTAACCCTAATTTCCGCCATCGATGACAATCTACAATTCTTTTTTCGTTTTGTTTTTTTTTTTTCAATTATACTTTCTTTTCTCAAAATTTGAAATGATACATTGATTAAAAATAAAATAAAAAATAAAATAAAAAATTTAAAAGAAAAAATTGAAAATTTTATTGAAAAAACGAAAAATAATTAAAAATATATTTGAAAATTTAATTAGAAATTAAAATAAATAAATAAAAAATATTTTATAAATAAGTGTTAAATAGAGAGTAATAATTAAAAGAATTGAATATTTTATTAAAAAATAATTGAAAATATATTTGAAAATTTAGTTAGAAATTAAAATAAATAAAGATAAAATGTATTTGTTATAAATAAATGTTGAATATATAGTACTAATTAAATATTAATGAGATAAATATAACGGATATAGTAAAAAAGAAAAAGTGGGAATAAGCTTAGACTAACGAAAAGAATATATTTTAATTAATTAATAATAATAATTTTGGTTTTATTTTATTATTTTTGAAAACTAATTAGAATATACTCTCATTGTTCCATAAATATAGTCTTAATTAGATTAGAGACGGAATTTAAGGAATATTGATATTATATTGGTACGAAAGGATAAATTTTTTTATTTTTTTTTTGCCTTTGTGAGTGTATTAGTGTAAAAAATAGTAGCAACTGTATAATAAAAATAAATGGTTATTTATGGAAACAAGACTATTGTTTTGAAACAAACAAAAAAAAATGGTAAACAAAAAAATATATTAATCTCTATCTTTTTAAAATGTCTTCGAAATTTTGTAGTAAATTAAAAAAATATTTTAACATTTTTGTTCATTAACTCTATATATAAAAAATTAAAAATATTTTGGTATTAATATTTAATTATTTTTCATAAAATTGAAAAAAAAATGATCTTTTGAGTGCGACAATCAAAACAGTAAGCGTATGAATACTAAAATTACAATTTTAACCCTGTTATAATATTAACGAAGTTTATCTAAACAAATATTTGTTTACATTATGACGTTGGGTATTGTTATTACATGATAGAGAAGAAGAAGAGAATCGTCACAGCAGTTTCAGCAGTGGCAAGTTCTCTGGTGGCAATAGCCGTCGGAGGCTTATGCAGTGTGTATCTAAAGAAGAAAAGAAAGCTGGAAAACGCGCGAAAAATCGTACGGTTCCTCGACGATTACAGAGCTCTAAGGCCGACAAGATACAGTTATTCAGACATCAAACGAATAACCGAAGGGTTCAAGTACAAACTAGGCCGAGGAGGCTATGGAACAGTGTTCAAAGGGAAGCTGTCGGAAGAAATCCCGGTCGCCGTCAAAATCCTCAACAACATAAAGGGCAACGGCGGCGATTTCCTAAACGAAGTCGGCGCGATCGGGAACATCCACCACGTCAACGTCGTGCGTCTCGTTGGGTATTGCGCCGACGGGTATCGACGCGCGTTAGTATACGAGTATTTAGAAAACGATTCTTTGGAAAAGTACATCGCGTGGGGGATTCGTAAGAACAAGCTCGGTTGGGACAAGCTTTACGAGATCTCGTTAGGTATCGCGAAAGGTCTCGAGTATCTCCACCAGGGTTGTAACCAGCGAATCCTGCACTTCGACATCAAGCCGCAGAACATACTTCTCGACCACAACCTCAACCCGAAGGTTGCGGATTTCGGGTTGGCGAAATTGTGCTCGAGGGACAAGAGCGTAATTACGATGACGGCGGCGCGCGGGACGATAGGGTACATTGCGCCCGAGGTTTTCTCGAGGAATTTCGGGAGGGTGTCGTATAAGTCCGATATATATAGTTTTGGAATGGTTTTGCTTAATATGGTCGAGGGACGGAAGAACTTTCGCGCGAGCGTGCAAGATAGTATGCAAATTTATTTTCCGGAATGGATGTATAGCCAGGTCGAGAAGGGCAAGGATATCGATTTTGAGATCGATGTCGAGGGGGATGTCGCGATTGTTCAGAGGCTTATAATTGTCGGGCTTTGGTGTATACAATGGTATCCGATCGACCGGCCGTCGATGAAGACGGTGATACAAATGATGGAAGAGCCGGGGTTGCCTATTATGCCGCCGAATCCTTTCGCGTCTACGAGTGGTTCGGATGCGTTTGCGGATCCGAGCGAGGAGAGCTCGCTCGGTAGCGACGGAACAACCTACTATAGCAACACTAATTGATGTAAGTTGTTTCATAAGAAATTAGCTGATGGTTTGGGGATGAAGATCGATGACGGCGAATTTTTACGTTATAAAAATAATAATAATAATAATAATAATTATTATTATTATTGATGTAGTGTGTTTTGTATTAGAAGCTAGTTATGGTGCTGATTGGAATTAATCAACACTATATTGATTAACTTCTTTCAGTTTATTGTAATGATCAGTACTATGTAGTTGTTCTTGAAATAATCTATGTTATATATATATATATATATATTATTGTGTTGTATTAACATGTGATATGTATGAATAAGAATGGTAGTAAGTGTTGCAAGTAGGTTCATATATCGAATTGAATTATATTAACATAAATTTTATATTAATTTTCTTTAGTCAATTTCTATATTATCGAATTGAATTATATTAACATAAATTTTATATTAATTTTCTTTAGTCAAGTTCTATATTATATTAACATAAATGATATGTTATATATTTATTTCTTGTATGTATATATATTTGATGTGTTCTAGTTGTCTTTTTTCTTTTTTACATTAATGTTTATAATTTTTACATACTCTTTAATTTTTATTATTTCAGCATTTTATTTATTTACATATATACTACAAGTATTTACATATTCAATACATCAAAACAAATAAAAATTACCTAGTTAAATAACTCATATGTTTTTCAAAATATTACTCTCTCCATCCAGTTAGAAAGTATACACATTTATATTTTGGGACGTTTAATTACAAAGTAAACATTTTATTAAATACCTTGTTTTTTTCCACAACTACCCTTACTTTACATCACATCATTACTTTTATATAAAAAAGCAAAAGACAAAAATATCATTACATTATTTTTAACTACACACTATAATTAAAATACTATTATTTTTTAAACATCACTCCAAAAATAAATGTTTACTTTATCCGTGAACGGAGGAAGTATTATTTTATATTATAATAAACTAATATTTCCTTCTCCATCAAAATTTATGCTTATTTTTTTTATTATACAAAAAAAAAAATTAAGCATAGAGACAATATAATATTATATTCATTAACAACTCATGTTTAGCTTGTCCTAGCATATTTTCTCGAAATGTCTCAACTTCTATTACTTCCATTTCATATGAACCATTTTGTGCATAAAGCTTCTACACATATTCGATCTTCGCATGTTGTAACATTGTTGTGTTTCATAAACCCCGTCTTTTAACAATTTGTCTTTAAGAAACTATCAATCTTGCGGCACAGGAGTTGATGTCTTGGGTGAGTTCCTGCAGACAGGACACGACCCGTTCTGCCGGAGCCATTTATCGACGCAGTCGGCGTGGAAGCAATGGCGGCATTCCGGAATGGTTCTGAGAGTGTCGTGGGCCATGTATTCCGACAAGCAGATCGAGCAAATGTTGTCGTCGGGATTGGGCAGCCGACAGCTCTCCCCCAGCGTCGTTTTCGGGTACGACTCGATCGTCGGCATGTCCAGTCCTGACCGGGCGGCGGCTATGGGCTGCGGCGCCACAGCCATGGAATACTCCATGACAGGCTGGCGGTGTCGCAGCCTGCAGCAGAGGCGGCGCAGGCGGCTGGAGAGGAAGCACACGAATCCCAGCAGGCAGAGGAACGCCGGCACGCCGGCGCCGATGATGATGGCGTACCTTGCGCTTCTCGGCAGTCCTGTCAGCGTCGAATTCGACAAAAAAGAGTGTCATTTGTTTTTTGCATAATTTTTTTTTTAATATTAATATTATATTAATTCGTAGTAATAACAAAAAAATATCTTTATTAGTATTGTGTATTAGGATATTGGTGTAATACTATATTATAAATTGTAAATGTATTTAGTATGTTAAGCAGATAAGACATGATCAGCTGCCAATCCGATCAAGTTGCTATAAGGCTGATTTTTCCGGATCAACATATGTTATATGGATTATCATCATATATTTATGGATATCTTACTGTAGTTCTAATATATCATATATGTTATTACATATAACTCAACATATGTTATCTTATAATCTATATTAGAATATAGCATATGCTGAGATATGTATAAATATATGTTGATTATTCTTATATCATGTGCTGATCCGGTCTTGATGTAGTTGAATCAACACAAGACCAGTAGCAATTATGATAAATAGGTAATATAATTACTAAATTTAAAAATAATACCTTTATTTTGAGGCGGATATAAATGAAAAATAATATATTTTTTTTGTCATATAACTTATATCTGAGACTAAGGGTTTGTTTCTTTAATCTCAAACCTCAAATTTTTATAATTTGGACTCTGTATTTTTTGAAAAAAAATTTTATTTTTTTCTATCCCAAAACATCATATCAATTATTTTAGCAACAAATTCAAACCAAAAAATTTTAAACTATATCGAAAGAAAAATACCCTAAATTTTCATGACAGAGCATGTCTTGCCACTTAATTTAATTTGCAAGAGTTGGGCGAAAATATATACCAATGTTTGTGGAATATTATTTTATATTTTTTTAAAAAGTAAAATTAGAATATTCATAATATTATTAATAATATAAATTTTGAATTAAAATTAATAATTTAAAAACAGATGAAATTTATATCGGTGGCAAAACAATGAATAAAACTTAAAAAGAATAAATAGTAGTATTAAACTAGTATATACATACAACTTAAAAACAATAAAATAAATTAATTTTTTATGAAATGGAAAGTACAGTATTAATTATGAATAGCATCAAAAACTTCCTGCATCTAATTTATTCCCTCCTACATATCTAGTATTGTACAAAAATTTAAGTGTAATATAATTAGTAAATAATTAAAATAATAAAATTAAAATTTAAAAGATTATAAAATTTAAAATATAATTATATTTAAAAAAAATAAATAAATAATGTGAAATAAAATAAAAATATAGGCAAAGTATATTAGATGAAATGAATAATAATAATAATAGAAGAGTGGGTGAGCCATGAGTTTACCCCGGCCGGAGGCGCCGCGGCTGCACTCAACCACGGTGGCGTTGGCGCCGGTGAAGCCGCACCGGCCGCCGCGCGACTCGCAGCCGCCGCAGCTCGGCGACCCCCACCGCAGCCGCACGTCGTCGCTTAGATCCGACGTCGCCACCGGCTCAAATGAATCCCACTTCACCGGCACCGCCACCGTCGCCATCGCCGAGCACCTCGCCGCCAGAAGCGGCGCCACCCGCTCCGACGCCGTCGCGAACACGGAGAAGTTCCCGTCGCTCAGACACTCTATCCGATCCAAATTATACTTCCTTGGATCCAACGACGACGCGCCGCATCTGTACACCATAAATTCCTGCAAGAACACGCCGGCGAACGGCGTTCCGGTGAGGTTCAGCTCCAGGAGCCGCCGGGGAAGGCACCCGCCGGGGTCGTTCAGCCATATGTTCTGCCGGGCGTAGTCGATTGCCCGGACGGCGAAGGTCCCGGACCTCCGTAGGTCGATTGTTGTCTGATTGTTGAATCCGTCGCAGGCCAGAGTGAATCCGGCGGCGCCGCAGGCGGCGGGCTGTAGGGTTTTCAGGCGAAAGGGGAATCGGATTATGGGCTCTGTGGACCCGCAGAAGGAGGGGGAGCACGATTGGGCGGCGCCGGAAAATGACGTCGATTTGAGGAGGAGGAGGAAGACGGTGTAGTAGAGGAGAAAGGTCGCCGGCGGTGTGGCGGCGGAGACGGCGGCGGCGGCCATTATTTCCGGCGGTGGTGGAAGAGGCTTTGGGAGTGAAATTGAAGTGATTTTATTTGGGATTTGAAGGATTTGGACTAATGGGGAAGTACGACTTTCTTTAGGTTTTGGATGTCTGCTGCTGGCAAGTCAATGCATTCAGAGTGTTGACTTGTTTAGGTAGATCTGCACCGTTGATCTTGTGGTTTTGACCATCGTATCAACGGTGCGGATTCATCTGGCGCTGGAGTCCTGGCAGTGTTGTAGTGAGAAACTGAGAATGCATAGTGTGGCGTCAGTTTATTTATTTATTTATAGATTGCTTCAATTATTAGAACATAAAAATAAAATAAAATACTATAATTTGTATTTGTTTATTTATTATGGTTCATGTAAGTATTAAATTATTATGTCAAATGGGTTCCTATCAGTCGACTTGGTCAGACTAAATGATAATAATAAACTAAGGGTGTGTTTGTCTCGTGTTTGGATTTTGAGGTGGAATTTAAATAATAAAATTTTTATAAATAGACATTGACGTGATATTTTAAATGTAAAATTAATTTTTAATATAATATAAAAAATAAAAAATAAGTATTTAATTTGAATAATATATTTAAAATTCAATCTCAAACAAATACACCCTAATAAGAATATTATAATATGGCCGTTTGTTATCTCTATATGAAGGCTGCGGTTAAGTACAATATTATTTTCTTTCATAAGACAAGTTCAGAAAATATCATAATAATACAAATTAAAAGTTCAAATAGTACAATATATATTCTATATAATATTTCTATAGAACATTAGACTTATACTTTTATTTTAAAAATATAGTGCTATTTGTACTAAAAATTGATATTTTTTTAATATTATTTTATATTTTTTTAAAAAATCAACATAGTGTAAATACATAAGACTTGCAAGTACTTCAATCAAAACGCTATATGAAACAAAGTGTGTATGCTTAACTTTTAGATATATCTATATATATATATATTTGGTTTTTAAAATCATTAAATCAAATACTCTATTTGATTCTTTTACTTTTTGTATTTTAAAATTTTATTTTGCTAGTTATTGATTTTTTAATACCAACATCTCATCAATTATTATGTAACTATTTTCGTATCAATTACAATATATTTATAGAAAATTAGATTCGATCGAGTTTACTCAAATAATCAGGGCAGTAGGAGCTATGGGCTCCCAAGTTATTAAAATACATATATATTTATGTAAACAAAATATTTACATAAATTAACTACAATTATTTTGGAGGCTGTAAGAATAATAAAATTGAAATTAAAATCTTCTAAATCCAAAATCAAAGAAATAAATGCGTGAAATTTGAATTTTAAATTAAAATTTGAATAATAAAAAATTTAAATTAGAATTGAAATAGTGTTATTTAATTAAGTCTTTGTCATATTTTAATATAAAATTAATTTTTTTAATATAATATAAAAAATAAAAATAAACATTTGATTTCATATTTTTTTTGAAAATTTTTATTTGAATAATAGATTTTCCCCCAAATTCTTCTAAACAAACGCACCTATTTCATTTAATATACAGTAATACATAAAAAAATTGGAAGAACGGAAGATCAAGTAGCAGGAAATGTGCGAGAGGCAGACGATTTGATAAATGTCAATGGCGAAACGGAATGACTGACAACTTATTTAATATTCTCATGGCTGCTGGGAAGAAAACTGACCGAGCTCTAAACGTCTCGTCTGACCAGAAAATCACAGAACAATTATGGTTTTCACTGCAATTATTCGGCGCATTTTGCTGGCGATTGCGATTCCTTCAATAATATATATATATGTATATTCTCTCTGGTCAGTTTGTCTCCTTCAAATTCGATGACTAGAATAACGTAAGAACAGGTACTTCTTCGTTCTCTTTTTTAAAACAAAAAATCGCTTAATAGATGATTGCGGTGCTATCATTGTCTCAGGTCAAGGTTGGTGGTGGTCGGACTGCAGGGACCGGTAAGTCTTTGCTGTTATCCAGATCATATTACGTTGGGGGAGTTGGTATTCATCCTGCATTATTATTATTGTTGTTTATGCCTGGATCAGTTAATTTTGTTTATTGGTGATTTTAGGGTTCATATCAAATACTGTGTATGTCTCTAATTTCATTATCATGAATAAGCAATTCCAAAAGTTACTACAATATGTAACATCATCAACTCGAAATATACCCAAAGGCTTCCTCAATTTAAGAATCTTTCTTGTCAAACTTGTTTCTTGTTTCTAATAAAGTTTTATATTAGGCATTATATCGTCCGTCTTGATTCTGTTTAGAGCTTGCTTCCGATTCTAGCTACATTTTGAGTCCTGTTAATGACTTTATCTGTGTTCGGAATCTGTTTCCGACTTCAACTGTATTGAGAATCCTAGTTCGACTTTAACTGCATTGATAGCACTAGTTCTAACTCATTAGGTTGTTACTATTTAGTATTTGATAAAAATTTACATAATTGATTATATTATATAGTCTTCCAACATCCCCGTTCTAATAAGATGTGCAATGATATTTCACCTAAAAGTTAGTGAGACATGAAAATGCTGTATTGGCTATATTATATAGTCTTCCAACTTTATAATCCTCTAGTTTCATTATTAATAGCAATCTGCAAAATATAACAATCCCAACAATCTAGTAGCTTCGACATTCTTTGCAGCACAAATAAGGACTTGAAATGACCATATGTTAGTGAAACTGCAGAAATCTTATTTAGTTAATCATTAACCAAACAGTATATACAGATAGCTAAGCACTTGATTTACAGAGGAGTGATTATTACAGCTGTGATGAAACTAAATGTTTTCAAGCTTCAAGTTCAGGGTTATTGAGAGTAGATTCCATCAAAGCTTCATTTAACTGACCTACGACAAAGAACAATAGTAGTAGTAGTAGTGACGTAGTCCAGGATTAGGATTATTGTGCATCACCATAGAACAAATTATTGCTTCCTGAAGCTATCCATTTCTTCTGTCTTTGCAAATCTTCCGCGAATTCTTGGCTGGCTGTCAGCCAGAGCCTTCCTGCACGCATACTGAAATAAGAACTTAGTGTTAGTCTAGTCTTCCATTGTTCCGGATGTAGTTTCAAAGATTTAAACCTAACCTTGATTTTTCTACCAAAATTCCTCTTGGATTTCTTACTCCAGTATCGTGAGAGCTTTTCCCTACGGTCATCTGAACTGCAGCTTCTCGGAATGTTATTTTGCCCCATTGGGGATTGTCTGAGACTTATTTCTCCGGTGCCCAGTGTCTGTCATAAAAACTCAGTATAAATAACTCTGCCCTATATCCTGTTGAAGAGTTCACTATACATTTCTCAGTTCGTATAGATTGTCATCGAATCAATAAAAAGTTTGTGCATTAGTGGTTTCTTGACATACCCTTTCATAGGATTTGAGCTTCTTTTGACTGTTATTTATTTAACTTTAGATCCTATACCTTGAGCTTCCATAACCGATGTAAAGTGAAGAATGAGACAGAGGAAGCTAACCTTGATGTCTCCTTCACTGAATGCTCTTCGCATCCCATAAACTGCCCCAAAGTCCAAAACCGGAAAATCCAGAAAACTAGGATTCAGGGGAGTCTCAACCATACTGTCCATAGATTTTAAACAACCCGAGCTAACACTTTTCTGGAATGGACCCTCCAGAATTGAGTTTGAACTAATGCTTTTCTGGAATGAAACTGACTTTTCATCAAGATAGGTTTCATCTGTAGGAATCTTGATACTAAGAACTTCAGAGAGGGGTGTTTCAGTCCCTTCTTTCGCCAAAAGGTCCTTCCTGCATTCATAGAAAACCTCACTGAGAAGCTGCCCATTCTCAATCGATGATTCAACATCGGATACAGTCAATGACTGGGGGCAGATAACATCTTCTCCACTAGAAATCATCGTGATTGCAGCCGTCATTGGATCAAGTCCAACTGAAGGTTCGCCAATTACTGGCTCGGGTGCCTTGAACAGATCGCCATCTCCCCCGAGGTTGTAGTCGGATATAATGGTAGCCGATGTCTGAAGGAAGCTAGTTGGTAGACCCTGCATAGGAATTTAGAAACAAAATGTTAGGTTTGAAATGAGAAACTCATGTTTCCTGGTAATAATCTTTTAACAAAGTGGGATTTTGTGTCATTATGACATAACTACTTGAAAGAAATCCTCTTAAAAACCAAACAGCCTTTTCACATGCTATATAATCTTAAGCATGTGCTTAACTTTTCCTTGTATGTCTAAAAAGCACTAGTAATGAAACTAAGTACAAGAAATTTGCAGCAATTAATATTGTAAATAACAGAAAAAATCAAAATCTACCTAGTGTCCAATATTATTACCCCATAAAGCTCAAACCCTTTAGTGCATTAAAACAACTGAGATTTAGGTAGCCCCTTTTAAGGTCATCAAGAAAAGGGGTTTCCAATCAATCCTTATGAGAACAAACACATGCATAAAAGGGAATTAATCGAGACAAAAAAGAAGAGTTTGGAATATGTAAGAAATAAAAACACATGGCATATAGTTATGGTGTCTTGTAATGGGTGAAGATATTGTCTTGAGTTATAGAACGAAGGGATTCAATGATGACTATGATATGATTTCTAATGATTTTACCTTTTCTGCCATTACTGGAAGTTAAAGCTTTTGCCATTTATGCTCTATTTGACACCCACAGAAAAACAGAACATTAAGGCAAATCGAATCTCTCATATAAGTAAATTAAATTCACCTTTACACAAAATTATATACCGAATTTTCACATCCAAATTTAAACTTTAGTTAGTGCCCCAAAATCCAATTCAAGAACTACAAAAAATTCTGAAAATTCTAACTGTAATTGAGGGATTCCCAAGAACTTAAAAAACCCCATATATGTGATACACTAACAGATCTAAAAGAAACAACCCTCCACCCCAAAAATCAAAACCCCAAATCAAAAGGGGAAAATGAAAATCCAAGAACAGCAGAAGGTTCAAAACATCGAATTGTTTACCAGTGAAGAAGCATTGGGCTTCTGTGAAAAGCCAAATTCATTAAACAGGTGAACTTCTTGAGTGAAGTTCTGCAAGTATGGAAACATTAACCCTGTTTCTGCATACATTTACTTCTTCTCCAGGAATCAACAGAACAGTGTTTCCAAGTGTAGGTATAAGATAGAAAGAGAAATGGTTTAATGGAGGAGAGGTCTTTATATAGGTGGAATGGTATAGTCTTAAGACTAAGGTCCACTAGAGAGAGAAAGAGAGGAATCTGATAATGGGAAAGTTAAAAATAAAATTAGTTTGAAGTAAAGTAAGTAATATGAAGTGGAAATAAACAAAGAATAAAAAGCCTGTCCTTAACAAATTTCTTCAATTTGTTTGGGTGAAAAGTCGCATGTGCGACATTTTTTTTTTTTTTTTTTTTCTGTTTTTGATTCTATCAGACACATCAAAATCTGCGAAGAAGATTTGTTATTTACATTAGTATAATCTGAAATTTTGTGATTTATTACATGTGCAACTTCAGTGTAACAGCTCAGATTTTCGGATAAAAATAAGTGGAAAAATTAGGCAGATACTTTCTTTTTAGCATGAAAGTTGATATTTTGGCCTTATGGTTATTACATGCACGTGAAAGCAGAGTTGGATATGAGTTATTAATGACTTTTAGGTTTGTTTAGATGATATTTTGGAATAATAAATTTTTGAATTTGAATATTTGAAAGAATTAAAAAGTGAATAATAGTATGAGATTCATTTCAATCCAATTCTTCATTTAAATAAACTTTTTAAGCCTATTAATATATTAAAGTGAGCTTTCAACAATTTTTCTAGGGATATATGTATTTTTAGTGCCTTACTTTACACAAATTATTATTTTAGTCATTTAAATAAAATTTGTATCGAAATAATCTTATATCTAATTCATAGTTGTTTGAAAAAAATCATCCGTTATATTGTCAAATATGCAGATACGACACATCTGAAACTAACATGAATTAGTCTAGTATTAATTTCTAACGCAAAAGATTATGTGAATTTAATTTTGTATACCCATTTAAATTTTATTTATTTATTTATCTCACATCACTTGTTGCATTATAGGATGGTATTGTTCATATATGCTAACCCTAAAACATATAGACCAATCATTTATATAAAATGTTACCTAAACATATTGATTAATGTTATAAGAACATTGTATCTTTTTATTTATTTATTTGTAATTATTGGCTGGGAAGATACATAGAACAATCTTATGGTGTAAGATTAATAATTGCAATAGTCTATACGGGATAACCCAACATTACACATGCAAATTATTACTGCTGCAAGTGGTGGGCAATAATTAGTGAGTACAATTGGGTATATTTGGCTTCTTTTGGACAAGTAGACAACATTTTGTTAGCATACAATCTGTATCATTATTCATCTATGTCTAAGCACAATTTCTGTCCTTGTAGTTAATTTTTGTGCTAATTTTATCTCCACCTTTGTACATAAATGTTTGCCCATTATGCTGCTAATGACCAATAATCTGAGGCCTTTTCTACATTTGAAATTATATGATGAAATACGTGATGCATTGAATATACATTTATCATGTGACCTATATATCTCAATGCCTGGTTTTTTACAATGCTGATTGGGGCTAATAGCTATTACATTATAATAATATACATAACACGGTATTATTCTTGAAATAATGTGTTGTTATTAGTAAGTAATGTCAGTTATATATTATATATTGTATTGTGTTAATATACGATATGTGTTCCGATCAAATATGAGCTATATGGACTATTATCCAAGTCGATTGATATTTTGTATTGTATTGTATTAACATATTATGCGTTCTTTGCATTGTGAGCGTGATATATATATGTTGAGATTAATAGTGACATAGTAGTATGTGATGGGTGAATTATTGTTGCATAGGAGTGAAGGTATTAAGGGGCAAGCAGCCCCTCTTGCTCCACCCACACCCCTATGGTTATTTTTACTTATTTTAAAAAAAAATTATGAGGATATATAATATATAAAAATGTTTAAAATAAACAACAATATCAAGTGTTGAATTTATTTATTTTAATTAGAAATTGTATTATTATTTATTTATTTTTTAAAAAATGAATATTTACAATATAGTCACTGATATTGTTGTAATTTGTTATTTCGCAATAAAATATATTATCTCCATTTCCTCTTTGGCTTTGGATCAAATACTGAAGTGATAAACAATTTAGCATAAGCTGAAATTGATCCAAATCTTTCATTTTAATTTAATTATTTTAATTAATTAATGGTGTAGATCAAATTCAGCATGGTGAATTTCTTAATTCAGCATCTAATCTACTATGTTCCTCTTCACGTATATATTTTTCATTTTTGTCCGTCCTGCTTTAATGTACACATTTTCTTGTTTAGTAATTATTACTACACTGTTTTACATAAATACTCTTACTTTACCATCACATTATTATTATTTTTTTTGTATTCATTTCGGTTTTTTTAGTAATTATAACTCCATGGTTTTATCTAAATACTCCTACTTTAGTAATTATCACATAATTATTTTTTTATCAAAAAAATATATATTTAAAGACAAAATATATTTATGCTATTTTTACTGCTTATTTTAATTTAAATACTATTATTTTTTATATTCCGCCCCAACACTAAACATATATCTTACAACCGGACAAAAAGAGATCATATTTTATATATATATATATATATATAAATTATTCTGTAAATTAAAAAAAAAAAATTGCCCCCTTCTAATTGTACCCTGTACCCACAACTTGTTGTGCATGATGCATTTATTTTTATATAAATATAAATTGTGTGGTGATGATCTATTTATTTATTTATTATGTGCATCCTATGTGTTGTGAGTTGAGTCCAGAATGATCTTTAAGCACTTTAACCACAACCCTTTTTCTTCAATTATTGTTATGATTAAATTATTGTTGTTTGGTATTTTCTGTATTTCCTTTTGAAACTATTATATATTCCTTGTGAGTGACGATAATTTTCTAATAGAAAAATTAGTGATCGTTTTTATGTGAATATTTTACTCATCTAGCAACTCTAAATTTAATTTTATTCTACATGCACTGAACTTACAAAATTAATGATTATTTAGTGTATTAGTAATCGATCTTATGAGGCAGGCGGCAGCCACTATATGATGTTTGCAATTATGGAAAGGCCAATATATTAAAGCGATTGCCTTTTGTTTTGCTAGTATTATATAATTGAGCGCCGATATTAATAGCACAAACACGCTTTTTGAAAAATAATAATATATTCTTAGTATTTCAATGAAAAAGCGTGTCTTACCGAGCACGCTTTTAGAAGCTACAAAGTAGTATTAGTATTAGTATTAGTATTATTATGGTATAAAACTTGAGTTTGTCGACATCTTAATGTGCTGAAACATAATAATTGAATAAAGTTGGACAGAAGAAATTTTGTTGGCCAATCAGAGAACTTGGAACCTCTAGTGTTGAATAAAGAAGAATCTTACTGCTTAAGTGAGAGTTTGTATCATTTCATACATCAATTAAATTTGGTCAAATTCTCAAATAGTATTATTAATTTTAAAAAGTAGGCTGTGGGAATGTGGGGTTTTAAAAGTATGGGAAAAAGGAGAAAATATATGTGTATATATATATATATATTAATTATTTGAATAATTGCAGTGGAGATTTTGATTGCTTTGGTTGATGTATAATGGATACGGCTGGGGACTCATTAATCTTTACCTCCCTAAAACTATTTTAAAATAATAATGTAAAAATGCTAATAGATTTCGAAATTCAGTATAATTATATATATATATATATTTTAAAAATGGCATAAAACTCCACCGCTATGTAACCTCTCTGATGGGATGAAAAGATTATTTTTTTGTATAGACATTTTTTTTTAAGTATAAGAGAGCGTTAGACAATTTTTTAAAATAAAGTGAAGATTTTAAGCTGAGTGAATTATGCAATATTTTTAAACTATAAGAGACGTCATACAATTTTTTAAAGTAAATAAGAATTTCGCTGATTTTATGGGCATTTTGACAAATAATAAATAAACTTATAATATACTCTCTCCGTTCGACTCTAAAAATTCCATTTACCTTTTAAATCATTTTACGTAATATTAAAAATATTTTTATTTTTATATAATTTTTTGGACAAATATTATTATAATAGTATTATAAGACACTGATGAAAGTATTTTTCTATTTTCCTTAAATTTATATTATATGTTTATATAATAATTAATATTTAAAGATCAATATAAAATATATATATATACACACAGAGACCTTTAGAGTAGGACGAAGATAGTATATTATTAAAACAAATATGGGGGAATTTTTATTTTTTATTTATTTTTATAAGTGAGGAAGTTGGTCTGATTATGAAGGTTGCAATCTGAGAAGTTTACTCAAATATGGAATACTTTGGACACATGGCTGAGTTAGTCCTTTAAAAGTGTGACCAATTTTGTTTTATGCAATAGATAACTAAAACGTGGCAAGGTCTTGTTGTCCTATGCCATTGATGATGTCGACGTGTCATTTCACTAAGAAAGACCGATGAGTATCATTCATTCTACATACACGAGTCTCATTTAATTCCAACTAACTATTCAACAAAAATTTAACATTATATTCATATTACAGAAACATGAATATTTAACATTATGTAGTAATCTTTAGTTAAGTTGGATTGTGAAGATTGAACACAAATTTTAATACAATATGTATTTTTTGCTTCTTATAGTTAAAAAAAAAAAAAAAAAGGGTTAAAAAGAACAAAAAATGGTATATTTTTTTGCTTAAAAAAAAGAAAATGAGCATATAATAAACAAATAAGGAAATAGTCTAGGCTCTCAGACGTAGATCAATTTAGATCGAATTGGATACTCAAATTCTTTCTAAGTTCATATTGTCTACTTTTGTTCTTATGTAATAATGGGTACCAATATCTGGTCGAGTGTTAGTCACAATGGTCGAGATTTGACAAAATTCTTTTAATTTTCATATTTTTCTTCATTCGTTCTTGTAATTTTTCCATAACAAGGTATGGATAAAAATAAAAGTAAAATGCTAAATAAAATAAAGGATAGCTCCGAGGTAAAATTCTCAAAAATTTTGATGTGGTCGATTGAAGATGTTTCGGTCATATTAAAATTGGTTTTGATCGTGCCTTCGAATTCGGTTCTTGCCTTTTTCCCATAATCCTACGGAAAACCTTTGGTAAGCCGAAATTTTATTTAGTAATCGGTGACATGGGTTCGTTCGGTTTTCGTGGACCGGATTTTGTATATAAACACAAATTGATGGAGGTAGGTGTGTTCATTTTGGTGACAAACGAGAGATGAATGAAATCAAAGGTAAGTGGTGACAAGAGAAGATCCAAATTTATTTAAGTGCCAAATGTGTATTCGTATTCAAATAAAATTGCACTTGTTTGATGAAATTGAATGCATAGTGACAAAAATAGAGCCTCTCTATTAGTAGTAGTGATGAATTGAATGAGGAGCCATTGTGTATGTGCCCTCAGCCCTCAATTGGAATGTGTTAGTTTTTAGGTCATCCCACTTATAAGTGGGCCTTGTTTATTATTATTATTATTATTATTATTATTATTATTATTATTGTATATAGAACAAGTTTATATGGGGTTTGGGGTCAGCTCCGGCCGCTAGCTCGTAGTTTCTATTTTTTGTAGTGTATATAATACTTGTTATGTTCTAAACATGGTGTACTATTTGTTTTCGTCACGAGAATTTAAATGGATATTATTAAATAAGATAATTTGAAAATGAAATGATATGATAAAAGAGAAAAATGTATATTTATTTGATAGATGTGATAGGATAAAATGTGAAGTAGAGATTAAATATATTTAACTATTTCTTATTTTTCTTATTGTATGGTGTTCGGGACAGGGAAGTACAATTTTTTATATGATTATATTAATTTGTCTTTTCAAAATTTAAAATTTATTGCTTTTCTTCTTTTTTATATTTTTGTTGTTTTGTCAAATAGAATCAAAAAATACGATGTCACAGAACTGGGCTGATATTTTGACTTTCGGAATTCGGAGGCTGGTTTCGCCGCTATTGAAGCGATGAAATGAAGTAAAATTGTAATTACCACAAGCGTTATTGTTTTGGTTTAGTAGGAGAGTTTTGAATGTTTATGAAAATAAATAATGGAAGGGTAAGTATATATATATATATATATATGATTTATTGTTTGATAGCATTTGTCTTTGTCAATAGAAATTAGTAGGAATTGGCGGCGGAAATGTTCTTGTTTTCTTATGGGAAGGGGCACTTATTGTTGGCTTCGAATACATCCAAACAAAACTTAATACTTTTGGATGGATCTTATTTTTATTTTCATATGGGACATTTGAGTTGTTTATATTCTTTTTGATGAAAAACAACAGCTGTGATGAGGTCGAAATATTTTTTTGGAGGATTAGAAGCGCTATATGATGCCTAGACGACATTTACGATGCTGTTAATTAACAAGTACGACGTTTATTAGACAATTACTTTTTAGTGTATGGCTTGAATTAATGCAACATGTGTTCTTACCATGAATAGTCAGCTTGATATGTACTGTGTAAACTATTATCATTTGTTGTTAGTTCATACATACATACATTTATGTTATGTCATGTGTTGTCTGACTATTGCCGTTTGATCTTAATTTATAGTACATGTGTCTGGTTAAAGCTAAACAACGCGTGACATATGTTTTATCGACTATTGTCATTTGCTGTTAGTTTATATCTGTATTTTGTCATATCTCATGCGTTCTGCGACTATTACGACGCCGTCATGCCACCTAAGATGATATATGACGAGGGTTAATGCGATGAATTTATTTGGTGACGTGTCAATTAAACTAGAATGTATATATTGAAAAAAAAAAAAAATGAAATGAAATGTAAGTAGAAGAAAGGTTGATTGGTATGGTATAGCAATGAAGGAGAGGGGCAAAAATGGTAAAGTGTAGGGAGTTTTATTTAAATCGTGGAATGTGGAATATAAAGCACATAGAAATAAATTTGCTTGGCCATATGCAAATATGGAGGACCATACTTCCTTCCAATCCCATATTTTTAATAATTGCTAGTCGACAAAAACATCACCCTTTCTATCATCATATTTATTATCTAACATCTTAAAATACAATAATACATACATCTTCTTGTCCATTTCTTTCTCAAAGCTCACCATTACATGACTTTCGAAAGACTCGGAACAAAATCAAAATAAGAAACTCCTAAATTAAATGATTTCTTAATCTTAATGGTTTATATCTATGATTTCGTGACAAGTTTTTCAATAATATTTTGGTTAAATTGCTCGTAATTCCATTGTGATTTCAAAATTCAGCGTAAAATTTCCATATACTTTAAAAATTGCACGGCGTCCCTTTATACTTTAAAAAATATTGCATAAAATTCCACCACTATTGAACCTCCCTTGTGTGATGAGAATACAATTTCATATCTATATTTTTTTTTGCATGAAGGAGGATTTCATGCAACATTTTTTTAAAATGTAAGGAAGCACTGTACAACTGAATTTCCAAATTTCAAAGAAATTGTGGACAATTTCATCTAATATTTTTCACATATTAAATAAATCTTATATATATATATTATGCATATAATATAAATATATTATGAATCCCTATTTGTATCAATATGTTACCAGCACTTAATGAAGATATCATGATAACTTCATTGAAAGTTTAATTAAGGTGAATTTTATCAGTCTTTCTAATTCTTTAATTTAATTATTTATTTATTTATATGTAAATCACTGTCTAACTCTAACTCTTGTGTGATAGATTGTCTGAATTTGATATGATATGTAATAATTATAAGAAGACAAATGTGGATGGATGCATAATGTATGTAGCACACTGTTACTTCCACAAGTCAATTCACAATATATAATAATAATAATAATAATTAATAGTATATACTATTTGCTAATTTAAATTAAGAAAATAATGCACAATAATAAAAAAGTTACAAAATTTGAGAAGTGGGTGGGTGGGGGAACTAGGCAGGTGTTGGTAATTAATTAATAAATAAATTGATGATGATGGTAACATCAATAATGATTAATTTCTTCTTTCTGTCTGTTTCTATATATCTCTGTCAATTTAAGCACCTGCTGCTTCACCCACAAATTTGGGGAACCAAAACTTACATGAATATACATATATAGGCTAGCCTATATTTATTTATTTATTTATTTATTTTTTCTATATTTATTCATTCTTTACAATACACAAATGCTATATAAATATATATATATATATATATATCAGTATTCCTAAAGTTGGCAAAAATAAACATAGTTTGAAAATAAGATCCGAATCCAATATAAAAATAATAATAATAATAATAATAATAAAATCGCATTTGAATTTAAAAATAAATTTGAAAATTTTTGGATCGTAACTGGGCCGACCCAATTTTAGAAATTAAATATATTTTAAAAATTGAAGTATAATCTAATAATAATTGAGGTCTTACGTTATTATTGATAGATCATGAGTTCGAAAAGATCGGGCCGGGCCGAAATTGCCACTACTAATTATTGCACCTGATTAATTGACCCTGGGCCTCCAATGGGTTGTTGAATATTTGTGCTTCTAGGCCATATACTAATATATGTTTTTAGTTATTAGAAATAATTGTTGTAGTGTTATGGTTTGTTTGGTTTGAATTTGAGTTTTTATTTAAATAATTTTTATAAGATAAAATCATATATTTTTATTAAGAACTGTATTGATTAAATAGGGATAGTTTTGATATGAAATTAAAATAAAATGAATCTAATTTTTATTTAAATTCCCTTTTCAATGTGTACTTGGACTGGATCATGATAGGAAATAAAAAAATGGGCCATTAAATGACCCAAAATCAACAAACTAAAGGATATGTTAATAATAATAATAATAAAATAATAATAATAATAATCATCAGTCCAATGAAATATTGTCATTTTTCATTTCAATCCATCCAATTATCCATTTTAATTTAGTACTTGTAATTTATAATATATTTGTACTAATGTTATTACTTTTATATTACATAATACTAATAATTTTAACTACAAATTCAATATAATACTAATATAAAAAAAATTTATATATAAAAATAAATGACAACCTGGAATGGAGAGAATATATTTTTTTTCCACTCAAAATTTTTATATATATATATTTATAAAATATTTTTTTATTTTTATTTTTCAAAATTTCAAAAAATAAAATCTAAAGAGAGGCTAGGTCTCCTAGAAAGTCATAAAATGTCGCGGGGCATTTGGTCTTTGATGTGAAGCACTTTCCCACCCACTTTCTTTCTTACACGAACGACTAGGCAATTTCATTTCTTAATTTCTATGGACACTATTATAATAATTAATTAATTTATTTATTATTAATTGGGACACTCTGAATTAAATAAAGATCTCCAAATCATAAATGCTTGCAACTATCACACTTGTATAAATATATATAATTAATCAAGAAGGCTTAATTAGTTGCATATATTGACTAAGTTTAATTAGTTAAATTGTGAATTTTGTTTGCAAGTTGCAAGTTGACATTGTTGGCGATTTTATTTAATTTTACTATTTATATATATATATAGTTTTTTTTTTCCTTTAAAAATTTTAAATTAAATATTTATTTTTATATTATATTAAATATCAATTTTACGACATCCACATTCGTTTTTATTTGTATTAAACTAATAATTATTCAAATTTAAAATCTTATTGTTTGGATATATTTTTTTAGCAAAGTTTTTAAAACTTTTATTATTTGAACTCTGTTTTTCTTTTTTCTTTTTTAAATATTTTTTCCTCACAATATTCCCGCAAACAATCAATTTTTTTTTAAACTCATAAAAAAAAAGGCACCAAAATTTTTCACTCAATTTTGACTCTTATTTTATTTTATCTTTTTTTTTTTTTTTTTCAAGTTGATTCTTATTTTATTTAATTTTTTTTACTTTTTTTTTTCAAGTTGATTCTTATTTTATTTTACTTTTTTTTTTTTTCAAGTTGACTCTTATTTAAAGGCCGAGGTATGTTCACATGTTGTGGCGAGAGCTAGCAGAAGACTATATCGAAACGTGGTAAGAGAATCGATCGAGGGTATTTTTCATTCTATCAATAGATAAGAGCAGAATTCAGATCAGAATCTGCTAGTGTTTCATCTTTGAGGTTGTTCTTGATTGATTATCCTTTCTTGTCTGTTTCTGCAACAACTTCGTATTCACCATTACATTATTGTATTCAAGTTCTTGTTTGTGGGTTCTGTTTGAGTTTGTCCTATTTTGTGCTTTTCGTGTTTGATTTTCTTTTTTGTTTAATTTTGATGATTACGAAACGAGATTAATTGATTATCTGAATAATTAGGGTTTTCTTTCTGGAATTGAAGAAATTAGGGTTTATTGATTGATTGTGTGAATTGAATTGCTCAGGTGAAGAAAAGCTAAGTAGGAGGCTTTAATGGAGTTAGACAAGGACAACTTCTACCAATCTGGCCCATCATTTCTCACTGCACTTGACTGGTAATATATCTATATATGATACATACATTACATTATATACTACAGTGGTGATTGTGATTCAATCTGTACAATATCTTCTAGTTTATATATATATATATATATATGTGTGTGTGTGTTGTTTTATCATCATTTTTACGGTGAAATCAATCGTATTATGTATATTATTAGCATATATCATATATATATATATTTATATCGTGAGCTACTTGTGTTTTGGATAAATTTTCGATCGAATATAATATCCTGCAAATTAGATTCGACAAGGCAAAACACACTAGGTTAGCCATGTGTGACACGTGGACCTGAAGGCGTCAGGGATTTTAAGTTATAATCATACGGTCACAAGTTCACCTTACACTATTAGGTCATCCTTCACTGGACCACAATCCGACAATCTCTATTTTTTTTTTATAACGTAGAACTTGTAGCCGTTACTCATCGAGTGCGCTCTGGATAAACCTCAATTGAACCTAATATCCTACAAATTAGTCCGACGAAATAAATGACAGATAGACCTAAAGGCGTGGAGACCTGAACCCATGACCTACGAGCAGTGTGTTGATTAACTATAATAAGCACTCCCATCCTTTGACATATATATATATATTAATATGATTTTAGAAAATTAGGGTTACTAATTATTTTACAATATTTTGTAGATTATGAACATATACTAAGTCATAGCATACATTTATATTATATTAATACATATATTTGTAAGATTTACTTCCCTTATTTATTTTGTCATAAAAATAAGTTTATCTTTTTTTAGTAAACAATCTTACTCTTTTTAATTAGTTTTTTACTTTAATATAACAATGTTTTCATAAATTCGAAAATGATAGGAGCAATTCGAATCATAGAAGATCGATCGCGGCGAGCTTAGTCCAAGGAGTGTACGCAATGGAGCGCGACCGCCGGCAGAATCGGCACGGTGGCCCATACGCCATGGCGCCGCCGTGGTGGCAGTTCTTCAACTTCAACCTCGTCGAAATCCTCTTCGACAAACACGATGTCTCCATCTTCGGCGCCGTCTTCGAATACACAGCCTACTCCCACGCCGTCGTCTGCTACTCCGGCAGCCAATCGCCGCCGCCGCGGTACGTCGTCGCCGTCCGCGGAACGATCCTAAACGCCGGCATCAGAGAGGAGGACTCCAAGCTCAATCTCCACTGCGTCCTAAACAATCTCGACCGGAGCACACGTTTCGCCACCGCACTGGCCGCCGCAGCCCGGTGGAGCGCCGCCGCCGGAATCTGGCTCGCCGGCCACTCCCTCGGATCCGCCATTGCGCTTCTCGTCGGACGGAAAATGATCAAACAATACGGAATCCATCTGGAGACCTATTTATTCAATCCGCCATTCCCGTCGCCGCCGATCGGCAGGCTGAGCAACGAGACTTTGAAATTCGGGTTCCGGCTGGCCGGAAATTTGGCGACGGCGGCGCTGGCGACGGCGCTGAAAGTAGAGAATAAGGAGAAGGACCATTTCAGAGTGCTTTCGAGATGGATACCTTACCTGTTTGTGAATCCATGGGACCCGATCTGCTCGGAATATTTGGGATATTTTGAGCAGAGGGAGAAGATGGGGATGATAGGTAGGATAGCGATGAAGCATTCGATTGGGAGCATCGTGGGGAAGACGATGATGGGGAAGGAAGACGACTGTGAGGCTGCCCATTTGATACCTTGCGGGTACTTGAGTATCAATTCGGGTTCGGGTTATCGGAGCTTCATGGAAGCTCATGGGATCCGGCAGTGGTGGAGCCCCGATTTGGAGCTGCGGTACCAACTGCATCGTTACAATTCATTTAAGTAATTTTTTATTTTAATAATTGTTTATTTTTTATTTTTTTATTTTTTTTAATTGGGTATTAATTATTATTATATATAGATGTATGTATCGAATTCTTGAATTGAAATGAGCACATGGCTGGTGGACTGTGCACTACTGCGGACCTATCATTCATGTGTCACCCTTTCTCTACTAATTTGTGTTTGAAATTTATTTATTTATTTATTTGTTCAATAGGAAAAAATATCTAATGGAATTTAATTTTTGGTTAATCCAGAAAATTCGATTCAAATATATTTATATTATTAAATTTTATATTTTATATTAATAATTATATAATATTTTGTTTTGGTTCGGTTTAAAATATTTGTAAATATTTTTATTTAATTGTAATTTCAGTTATATCTTAATATATATTTTAAATATCAGTTCGATTCAAATTATTTGTAAATACTGTAAATATTTTTATTTTGGGTATTTATCGGTTCGATTAGGATACCAAATACTTATATATTTGCAAATATCCGAATCTTGTCCATCCAATATTTTCATTTTTTTTAATAAGTATGATTTCTATATTAATAATAAAAAATATATATACTTACATTTAAATTATTATTATTACAATAATAGCATTAATCTATTTTTACTAAATTACAGAATAAACACATTTTTATGCATTCATTTATTATTATACATGTATATAAAATACTACTCCCTCCGTCCAGAAACTAACGTCCTACTTTCCTATCTGAAATATCAAATAATTATTGTCCTCTTACTATTTTTATATACAGAATTTACTCTTTTACCCTTACTTTATTTATTTTTTCATTTTATATACATAAGATTAAAGACAAATTTGTCATTTTATAAAAAAACCATATCAAATAGGACATTAAAGAATGGACGGAGGGAGTAATATTTAAAAATATACATAATATTAGTATATATTATTTATGAGATATTAAATCACAATGGATAAAAAAGAAGAAGATGAATTTATAGATAACTATTAAATAATATAATATATATTACTTCTGAACCAAGAAATATTATAAAAGTTATTTCACAATTATTTATTTATTTATTTATTTCTCGTAACTATAATGATTTTGTTATGTGTTAATTACCATGTTGAAATTTTAACTTAGTGGGATTAAACTTAATGCTTTATATAAAATGATTGAATGGATGAAATATAAATAAATAGAGTATGATTATGTTTTCAGATTATTATTATTATTATTATTATTATTATTTTATTTTCATCTTATAATAAAATACTGTCAATATTATGTAACAATTTTTCATTTAACCAAACCCACTATTTTTAAATATAAGTGATGGATGGCATTTTTAAAAAAAAATAAAAATAAAAATAAAAATTGTATAATATTATAGTTTTGATTATTTTGTAAGTAGTATATACTTGAATGTTTTGTTGTTTTCATATTATTTCTATGTTTAGACACATATTTTTAATTAAAATATTAATCAACAGTAACATTTTTAAAAAATATTTAATCATATACTAATTTTTAATAATTTTTATCTATATATTTATTTATTTATTTTCAAAACTCCAAAAGTTTATATAACGGAACCAAAAGTATTTCTTTGTTGAAGTGTCTTTATTTATTTTATTTAGTATATATATCTCTTGTGGTTGTAATTGATTTGTTGGAATACATATTGTATTTGAAATATCTTATTAATTAAAATTTATCAAAAGTTTTTTTTTAAAAAAAAAAAAAAAATTCAAAAAATAAAGACACTATATAGTGTTGTTTTCTTTCTTGTCTAGAGATGGTAATAACATTAAAATGCGATTATATATTATCGAATCATAGAGTACTATTATTTGTCCACTAATATTACATATCATTATCCTAACTAACTCTCTTTATTATATTTGTGTTACACACACCAACCTATTTCCCTTTTAAATATCAATACATATATTGTATATTAGAGCTAACAATTGGTCGATTTGTGTCGGGTTTGTATCGGGTTGAATACATTAAGCGGGTTAAATTATTTAACTCTAACCCGATCCGTTTATGATCGTGTCGGGTTCGTGTTGACCTGTTTATTGTCGTGTCAGGTTCGGGTTGACTCGTGTTGATCCGTATACATAATTAAGTCGAATTTTTTTATTCAAATTAAATAATTTTTTTTATGTTGTCGTGTTATGTTAGTTTTTATTAGTATAAGCGTAAATTAGGTTGAATTATTTAAAATTGAACTTAATTTAAATTAATTTATGAAAAAATTATTAAATTATGATTATTTTACATATATAATAAATATATTAATTAATATTAATATATTATAATCGAGTTATCATGTCGGGTTCGAGTTGAGAACCTCAATCCTAACCTGACCCGTTTACTATCGTGTCGGGTTCGTGTCAACCCGTATATATAATCGGGTTGAAATATTTGACTCAAACCCAATTATTTCGTGTTGCATTGTCATATCGGGTAAATTTTTGCCAGTTCTACTGTATATATATAATCATAATTAACTAATTAAGTAATCAAACAATTAATTAAGAGTTGCTAAAGTCTTACAGCTTTTTACTAAATTGATTAATGCATCACTACACTAATTAAGTGATGTGACCTTTCCCAATAATAGTCTTCCAAATCACATTAAAAAGCTTCCTAAAAAAAAAAAAAAATTAAAATAGTTTCATTGGACATTAACTTTTATTTGCTCTAAAGTAAACAAACGAATTAATAATAAAAAGAAAAAATTATAGATCCATAAACATATATATATATATATTTTTAAAAAAAATTAAAAATGGAAATGCCATAATACTGAAATAGTATGGGGCTAGGATGTTTATTTAATATCATTCAACATAGTATTGATAACATTTTAAATATAATCGGACAAATATATAAAATATACTCCTTCAGTCTTTTAATAATTTATTTATTTTTTTATTTTCTTTATAGTCTCGTAACAAAGTAACAGTACAATTTATCTAACATTACAATACCATTTAAATTTACAATATATTACACAAATACCGTTACATTTATATCATATAATACTAATAAAATTAGTTTAGTTTTTTTACATTTATTTCTACTATCCCAATATAATACTAATATTTGTAAAACTCTGTGAAAAAACAAATAGATAGATAAATATGAGACGGATGAAGTATTATATAGGATTATACTATATATTGTCAAGATATGCGTTCAATTTGTATTATGTTAATTCAAATTTTGTACTCCATCCGCCCCATTGAAATATTGTCACTTTTCATTTCCGTTCGTCCCAAATAAGGTTACCATTTCCTAATTTAGTAATTGTACTACTTACATAATATAATAAATACCATTTCAACTTACATTATGTTACAAAAATGTCATTATTTTATATTACACACAACTAATAGGATTTCTTTGTCTTTTTCACTACAACATATTATAATACTAATATTAAAAAAAATCTACGTGAAAAAAGTAAACGACAACCACATTGTATAATTTCTATTGACACATAATGGATATTGTCAATAGGACATTAAATTTTATAATTCAGCACCGTAAATATTGTCTATCCATCGTACTCTCGTAAATAGTTTGGAAGTATAAAAACAAATAGTTCAATAAATGAATTATTTATTACCTAAATAAAATACTTAATGCTCGCCACCACAATGAACTAACTAATAGACAATTTGGCAATGCTTCCAAAGTCGAGTCCAGCTCACACCTCATGCCCTCGATATCGACTTAGCACCAACACCAGCCCCACATTAATATATTAATTACTATTTATTAATTATTTCCAATTTTGCATATTTAATTAGATTATTATATATATTGTCCGATTTCATTGCAACTTTTTATCCCATGTTGATTAATTGCGCAAATAAAGACAACATATATATATATATATATATATTAAATTAAATTAACAGACTTATTAGTCGGAAAAGGAGTGTTCTTAAAAACCTGCATGGCCGGTAAATCCGGTTCGTAATTTTTCAATAAAGCCTGTCGTGTCGGTAACAAATACTACTACTTGCAATTTTATTTTATTCAAAAATATATTTGAAAATGGTTAAATCAATCTCTAGAAATTATGAGTCTATATATAATGAGATGGCCTTATTGATCATCAAAATAAAGAGTCTATATATAAACAATACAAAACAAACTCGATAGACTTAAATCTAAATAATCCTATTTATAAATAAGATCAAATCTAAATATAAATCTACTAAATCTAAAACCGAATATTTAAAATATGTGAATAATAATAATAAGTTAAATAGATTGGGTTCTACATCACTTTTAAAGTGAATAATATTATATAGTTACATTTTTATTATTATATAATATACTCCCTCCGTCCCATAAATATAGTCTTAATTGGGTTGGGTACGAGATTTAAGAAATATTGATATCATATTGGTAGTTGGTAAAAGACATGAATAAAAAACATTTTTTTGCCTTGGTGAGTGTATTAGTGTAAAAAGTAGTGACAATTGTGTAATAAATATAAAAAAGTAAGGGATAATTTTACGGTGATATAGTTATTTATGGAAATAAGACTATTATTTTGGGACCGACAAAAATGATAAATAAGACTATTGTATTGGGACGGAAAGAATACTATTTTTGTTTCAAAAATTAATTAGAAATTAATGCCTCAAAATTTTGTAACTTTTCCTTGTATCTATATAACTTTTTATTTATTAAAATACAATTTTTAAAAAAGTAAAGATAAAGTTGTAAAAGTATCAATAAATTTATACCATTTAAAAAAAAAAATGAATCATAAGTAAAATTAAAAATATTTTGAAACAAATGTAGTACAAATAACACTCAAATTATATTCTTTATTTTTACAGTTCACAAACATTTTAGTAAATATACCATTCAACGTTACCTTTAATATGTAAATACCAAATGTTTGTTTTTTTAACTCCAAATCTCATATTTTTACTATTTGATTCTATATTTTTCGAAAACAATTTTACAAAATATTTTATGAATATTATTTTAATATTAAATATAAATCAAAATTTTCTAAATTATATAAAAAGAAAAATACATATATATATATATATATATATAGTGGACGTATAGAATATATTTAAGTGAAATTAAGCTTTAACTTGATAAAAAATTTACACAAGTTAAGAAAGGGTTTTATTTGGCTTTAGTTTGAGATTGAAATTTTTATTTGCAATTTATTTTAAATAATATTTTACTTTGATATTTATGTTAAGCTTTGATAGTTAATAATTTATAAAAAAAAATAATATATTTTTGTTAAAAATTCGTAGATAATAAATAATTTTAATTTTAATTTCCAATTAAAATGAACTCATGTTTTTTTTTACGAAATTGTCAATAATTCTCTTGTAGTTTTAAAATTCTATTTAATTCTTTTATATAGTTTTATAATTGCGTGTCACCCCTCATATTTTACATAATATTGCATCAAACCCTATCATTTACACTCAACAAAGTGTTCTCAACACACACCTCAAATAACATATAAGGATAAAAAATTACTCTACTTAATATCAGATAATTTTAAATTAAAGTTTCAGATTCTTTCTATTAAAGATATAGTGCTTGTATTTGATAGATGTTGATATTGTCTGGATTTCGAAATAATATCATTTAAAAAAGAAGACTACTTCACTTAATACCATTTAATTTTATGTTAGAAATTTTGGATCCATTTCTAACAGGGTTTGATTGAGACATAGTTCTTGGAGTCGAGGATGTTGTCTCGATGATGCGGGCCTTAATACAATGACTATATGACTATTGGGTTGTGCTTACATTGACTACCACACATTCATTCCCCCGACCTGCACCAAAAAATTAGGAACTATATAGTATTCCCTCTGTCCCGAATATTATGTCCAAGTTACTGTAAATACAAAAATTTAAAAATAATATAAATAATAAATAATAAAAAATATATTAGTAAAAAAAAATGGACATGATAAGTGGGAAGGGAGATGAAATGAAGTAATAATTAATAAGGTTATTATTGTACGGAATGATTGATCGATTTGATTACACAAACTTGTATTAAAAAAAATGACATAATGGTGTATGTACCTACGTCTACAAACATTACATATTAAATACTACATGTAATTGCGTATATTTTTGCATATAAACTATGTATGATTCCCCAATTTATTCTTACCCTTTTTGCAGACATATATATATATATATAACTCCAAGGGTCCTGCATTATTCTTACACAGTTTTTATTTTTCTTCTTCTTTGCTCTAAGAAGATAATGGAATATGGTAGGCTCGGGAAACCCGAACCTGGAGGCTCGTCAACTAGAAGCCTAGCCTCGGAACCAAAGAGATCTAAAATCAGGATTCTGGTTTTTCTGGCCGCCACACTCTTAGTTGCCTCCGCCGTCTCCGCCGTGCTGGTGGTGGTTATTCGGAACAGAGCAAATTCAGGCCGGGCGAAGCTGAAGCCATCGCAGGCTATGTCCCGAACCTGTAGCCGGACACGGTACCCGACTCTCTGCCTCGATTCTCTCCTCGAATTCCCCGGTGCTGTAACCGCCTCCGATAAGGACCTTGTCCACATTTCCGTTAACATGACTGTGCAGAAAGTAGGTCGAGCTCTGTATTCCGCGTCGGAGATCAGCAATCTTGATATGGATTCGCACGTCAGGTAATTAACGATTGCAACTCTTAATCGCCTGGAATTGTGGATTCGAATTTGAAATTTTGAATCGAGTGTTGTACTGATACCTAATGTGGATTGAGGATTTGATAGATGTATATTTGAATCGTTAATTTTGATCGATTCTGTCTCAGGTCGGCGTACGCCGACTGCCTCGAGCTTCTAGAAGATTCGGTAGATCTCCTCAGTCGATCGCTCACAACCGTCGTTCCCGGCGGCTCTCCAGAAGGTTCGACTGAAGAAGACGTCGTGACTTGGCTGAGCGCCGCCCTAACGAATCAGGAAACCTGCACAGAAGGATTCGATGAATTGAACGGCGATGTTAAGAGCGAAATGTCCAACAGGCTCAAGGACTTATCGGAGCTGGTCAGTAATTCTCTCGCTATATACTCCACGATCGGCGGAGACGACGACTTCGTCGGAGTTCCGATACAAAACCGGCGGCGGCGGCGGTTGTTGAGCTGGGAAGGAGAGAAGGAGGTGGAGCAGTTTCCGAAATGGTTATCTCGGCGAGAACGACGGCTGCTCGATATTCCGGCGGCTTCCATTAACGCCGACGTGGTGGTTTCCGGCGACGGCGGCAAAGGTACGGTGAAAACAATCGCGGAGGCGATTAAGAAGGCGCCGGAGCACGGTCGCCGGCGATTCATCATCTACGTGAGGGCAGGGAGGTAATTTCACGTACAGTTTAAACTTTTAAATAAAAGTTGGGAAAAAGGTAGGTGTCACTTTTTAAAATTGCTTTCAGTGATAATTACTTAATTGAATTCAATGTCTTTGTCGCTAAATTATTATTGGCTGCTGACTTTGAGTTCTGATTCAATCATGATCGATTTGATCATCAAAATCTGCAGAAAAAATAAATCTGGTGACATTTTTGCAGGTACGAGGAGAGTAATCTGAAGGTAGGAAGGAAGAAGACGAACATAATGTTCATCGGAGACGGGAAGGGCAAGACGGTAATATCCGGTGGCAAAAGCGTGCAGGATAAATTAACGACTTTCCATACGGCGTCGTTTGGTAAAATCCCATTCCATAGCAATTCCTTCCCCCACTCCTTTATGGAGCTTTCCACGTATTCATCTGCCACGTGGCGATTATGCCGCTTTCAGGGCCACAATCTTTATTTATGCCCATATTCTCACAGAAAGCTGTATTTACATTTTTGTCCCTTAATGTTTTTTTTTCCCAAATTTGACGTAGGATGCCTTGCGAAGGAATCTCTTATCTTTAATCTTTTAAGTTGCTATTAATAAAATTACTAGATAAATAAAAATAGAGGCTAAATTACAGAAAAAAAAAAAAAAAAAGAGAACTACGTTTCCTTTTTATTTAGTACAATAAATAATTCAATCGAAAAATATAACAAATGCAATTATATGAACAATTTTGAATTAGCTAGATGACATATTGCATTTTAGCAGAGCCAAACAAAAATAATAATAATAAAAGATAGAGGTTAGTAAAGTGGGAATCCACAAGAAAGTAGATGCATCTATTTGTTTTTTTAGTTTTTATTTTTTTATTTGAATATTAATTTAAATGTAATATTTTATGACAAACAATATACTTTTTTTTATTGATAATTTTAAAAATTAAATAATAAAATCCCAAATAAACCTACGTGCTGCATGAATTTCTTAATCTTTTGTTTGTTTTCTATTTCTCTATGCACGCATGCATAGAAGATAAATAAGTAAAAAAATAAAAAATTAAGAAATTATTACATTTTTCATTCCATTTGAAAGGGTTTTTGAGGTTTTTGAGTATATTAAAAAATAATACTCCATCTAAATTTATTTTTACTTTTTTTTATTCAAATTTATTCCGAATTTTTTTAGTAATATAACATTATTTTATTTTTTTTACTTTTTTTCTACCCAAAAAATAAAAATTTCTATTTTTATCTACTTTTTTTTTTAAAATTCGTACTCGGTCAAAGGAGCACATAATTTGATGACGAAGGAAGTAGAATTATTAGTGATGAAAAGTGTATAGGAGGTTTTGACCTTTTTATCATATGACTTTACATATGAAGTAACTGTAATTTAAATAAAAATCAAGGGTATTTTGATATTAGTGTACGATTGCTTCTACTAAAAAAAATGATATTTTTGAATCAAACAGACAAAAAAAAAAAAAAAAAACACTCCCTCCGTCCCGTTGGAAGGGTAACATTTGTTTTTTGCACATAGATTTTTTAATATTAGTATTATATTGAATTGTAGTAAAAAAGACAAAAATATCTCTATTAGTATGGTGTAATATAAAAGTAATAACATTTGTGTAATATATTGTGAGTTGAAAGGATTTTTATTATGTTAAGTAAGGATTTTTATTATGTTAAGTAAGGATTTTTATTATGTTAAGTAGGTTGTACAATTACTAAATTAAAAAATGGTAATTTTGTTTTAAGACGAACGAAAATAAAAAATCTTAACCTTTCAATAGGACATGAGGAAGTAGTAAAAAATGTACTTTAATTTATGAACTGAGAGAGAGTATTATTTTTCTTAATAATAATAATCTGAGTATAATACTCCCTCCGTCCCAAACAAGGTGCAACATTTATTTTTGGCACGGGTTTTTAGGTGAGTAGTATTAAGTAGGATAATTTAGAAATTAGGTGACGTGATGGAGAGAGAAATATATATTTTATTATTTTATTTGGATGATGTGAGAGGATAAAGTGTGGAGTAGAGATTATTTATAATTAATTATTTCTTATTTTGGAAATATTGCATAGTATTTGAGACATACCAAAAAAGAAATGTTGTTAGGTGTTTGGGATGGAAAGAGTAACTAATATTGTTGTCGTATACACGCATGTACGCGCAGCTGCGACGGGGGCGGGGTTCATAGCGAGGGACATAACCTTCGAGAACTGGGCGGGGCCGAGCAAGCACCAGGCGGTGGCGCTGCGCGTCGGCGCCGACCACGCGGTGGTCTACCGATGCAACATCATCGGCTACCAGGACACGCTCTACACGCACTCCCAGCGCCAGTTCTACCGCGACTGCGACGTCTACGGCACCGTCGACTTCATCTTCGGCAACGCCGCCGTCGTCTTCCAGAACTGCACCATCCACGCCCGGAAGCCGCTCCCGGGCCAGAAGATCACCGTCACGGCGCAGAACCGGAAGGACCCGAACCAGAACACCGGGATCTCCATTCACGCCTGCCGGCTCGTCGCCGAACCGGATCTCGAGGCGGCCCGGGCCGCCTTCCCAGCTTACTTGGGCCGGCCCTGGAAGATGTACTCCCGTACGGTCTACATGCTCTCCTACCTAGGCGATCACATCCATCCACGTGGCTGGCTCGAGTGGAACGCCGATTTCGCGCTTGACACGCTGTACTACGGCGAGTATTTGAACTACGGCCCCGGAGCGGCGCTGGGGCGGCGCGTGAACTGGCCGGGGTACCGCGTGATTAAATCCGCGGCGGAGGCCGGTAAGTTCACGGTGGCGCAGTTTATATACGGCTCGTCGTGGCTGCCGTCGACTGGGGTGGCTTTCTTGGCGGGACTCTCTACTTGAATTAATTAATTAACTACGGAGTCAAAATCGTTGACTAAATAAGTTAACTTTTTATTCCTTTTCCTTTGTAAGAAATAGAAAAGTGCTGTGTCGGTGAGGCCTTGCAATAAATGCTGTCATGTGCAAATTAATGAATGTCACGATAATTAATTTGAGTGGTGAGCTGGCAATATTATTAGGAAATTTTAAATAAAATATATTGTCACACTCATTTACTAATGTTTATAAGATAAATTAAAATTATTGAGGTATGGAAGGGTCATGTTCTTAATAAGGGAAGGGTTCTTGAGGACATTTTGATTCCATTCATCAATGTCGATTCTTCCATCCTCTTTTGTATCTGCTTCGCTGAAGGTCTGTAACAAAATCATCGATCCACATAGACATGAGGAATTAATATTTATTGTCGATTTTTTTATCGATGAAACTAAGTTTAGGTGTATTGATGTAGCTTGGCGACGATGATTTCGACAATATTGTCGGAAAGAACAAGATCTGATTCATCTAAGAGTGCCAATACCATCTCTTTCAACTGCATCAACAATTAATCAAGTTTACACTCTATATATATATATATATATATATAAGTAATTATTAGAAGTTAGAAGTATATACCTCTTCCCTCTCAACGTAACCTGTTCCCCTTAGGTCGTATAATCTGTATGTAACTGCATGCCCCCATCAAGTTTTGTGTTATCCACTCATTGTTATAAACTGACTGTATATAAATTTAATAGACCATGACAAATAGTTACATAATTTTGGCGGCGAACAATGAAAATACTATTTTTTTTATAAAATAATAATATAAAAAATGTTCATACTTTTAGATATATATTTTAATAAAAAGTAATACACCCCTTCCGCTTAAAATTATATTCCTCAATCCCAGTTAAAATAGTACTCCCACCGTCCCAAACACCATGCAATATTTGTGTTTGGCACGGAAATTTCGGGGGAGTATTAAATATGGTAATTTGAGATAATTTGGATATTAAGTGATGTGATCGGAGAGAAAAATGATTATTTATGTTTTTTATTTGAGTGATGTGATGTGATAAAGTGAAGTATATATTAATATATATATAAATATTATTAATTATTTCTAAATTTGGAAATGTTGCAGTGAATTTGAGACAAAAATATATATATATTGTAGGGTGTTTGGGACGGAAGGAGTATTATTTTTTTACTACAGTATCATATACTAATATTAATAATATCTTTCAATTTTATATAAATTAGACATATCGCATTACAAATATAATTAATTAACTATCTTACGTAATTTTATTAATCAATTAAATATTAATATTTTTTAATATACTATCAAACTCTAATAGATATATTAGATACACATAAAATTGACCTACAAAAAAAGTAATTATAATGAACCCGAAATGTGCCCACAAAAGGCCCAGGACCAAACCCAAACGGTAGTTGTAATACCATACATGGGCCTGGGCGGGTTAAACGGGTCCGGGCCGGATCCGGGCGGCCCGTCGACACCTTGATTTGTCCCTGTGATGATGATGAAGATGTTACTTACATGCGATTTTGTCTGCAAGGAGTGTTTTGGGGTGAAATATGCCTAAAGCTCGAACAAATTCTCCAAATTCGATCACCCCATTGCGTTTGTAGTCGAACAAATCGAATATCTGCATCAACAATAAATTATATATATGTATATATTTAATTTGAAAAAACATGAAGATCGGGTAGTATGATGCTGATTTGATTGGATCAACATATCTTATAGGAGTGACCAAAATATATTTATACATATTTCAACGTATTTATAATACAATATATATTCTATCAATCCATCACCAATCTACCCATTTTGTCATTTTCGTCCGTCCATCACAAATATATCCGTTTTTATTTTTAATAAATATACTTCGACTCAAATATAAAAACACTTTTACCTCTCATATAATATTACACAAATGCCATCAGATAATAATATAAATGTTAAGGGTATAATAATCTTTATATATGTCAATTGTAGTACATAACAATATAATAATAATATACTAAAATCTATTATGAAAAAACAAACAGATACATTGGTGGTGGACAGATAGAGTATTAGCATATGAGATAATGTATAAATAGATTTATATTAATTTTTTTTAAGCAATACAAATCAGACTCAAATTTAGGTAGTCTTAATTTATGAATAAAATCAAATTTAAATATAACTTTATCAAATATAAAAGTAGATATCTGAAATATGTCAACAACCTCGTATACTGATCCCATCGAATCAACGTCATGCTCTTAGCCAAATCAATACAAGATGTGCAGCCAAACATGAGTTACAATTAATATGAAGACGATGTATTACCCGGTCTGCAAACAGATTCTTCTTATTTTTGTTCCTAAACAGTGCTAGTTGGAATTCCTCCTGATTTTGTCCAAGTTATCCATTATTCTGACATTAATGTAATTAAAATGGATTGAAGATAGGCAGTGCAGTACCATGTCGATGAGGCCATCGTCGATTATGGAGCTGCTGATTTTCTTGAACAATCCCAACAAAGATTCCACTTCACTCACACTGACTATTGAGTAATTCAATTAAGGAAAAAACTAATGCTTTCTTTACTAACAGAATTAGCAAACAAGAATCCATTTCCATGGCTGGATGTTTATCGATATATATATATATATAGAGAGAGTGAGAGAGAGAGAGAGAGAGAGAGAGGGAGAGAGATTGTTCTTACAAGGGGTTTGAGCTGCAAGAATATTGGGGTCGTCGTCATAAGGCGGTGGAATATTCATGTGGGTTGTACTTTTAGACTTCACACACCCCATCTATGCCTTCATCCCAATTACACATGGAAATCAACACTAATATATGCCTCCTCTTGTATTTAATTTTGTACTAAAATATCTAAGCACACAAGATCTAGTGATAATTTGTCATCCATTGTGATTCATATTGTTATTTTTGTCTGTTATATATTTCATACTATTCATTTGCTTTCTACACGTAGTTTTAGAAATATTAGTATTATATTAGAATATAGTAGTAATAAAGTAGAAATGACTAAAATAACTTTATTAGTATGTGTGATACAAAGGTAATGACATTTGTGTAATATATTGTAAGTTGTAAGGGTATTTGTAATGTTAGGTAGACAGTACAATTACTAAAAAAAAAAGAAATGGATACTTTGTTATGGGACGAACTGAAATGAAAAAATAGATACTTTATTATGGGACGGAGGGAGTATTATTTTTGTTGTTGAATGAGATTAAATATCTTAATGTTATTTTAAAATTTTTAATTTATAATATTTTTTAAATTTTAATTAAATTAATTTATTATTATAATATTAATTTATAATTATTTATATTAAAATATAATAATTTTTACTTAAACAAAATTATATATATTTTTATGATCATCTAACTAGAAAAAGGTAATTTTGTGAGGAAAATTCTCACTAGGGCTGAGCTAAAGCGTCGGAGTTGGAGGTATCATTTAAATAATAAAAAAAAAAGAAAATATTAGATATAATTTTTACATCCGGTGTGACAACTGTAATTTTCGGATCACTATATTTTGAAATCTTTGTAAAAATATTTTTGATTTCACAGTTTACAATAATCCATAAGAAAACTATATCCATTGTGCTAGACAAATCAATTTTTATAATCTTTATGGCATAAAATGATCTTTTGACTGTTGCAGTTGTGACAGACAAGACCAATGTTAATACTATAAGTTGATATATCAAATAAAAAATACTATCAGCTCTAAATTCAATCTATCTTCTTCGCAAGACCTTCAACATCAGTTATATATGACTTTTTTTATAATCTTTTGATGGGTAAGGTATGAAACTCCACCTCCATAATTTTTGGACATTTTCATGGTACTATAATTCTTCAGCATCTACGCAAACTCCATAGTTATATGTCGAATTGTTTGATCTATGTGCCTCTATGTAAAAATAGTAGTCGATGATGAAACATATTGATATGCGGTAATTTCAACCAACGGCCTATGCGTAATATGCGATAAATTTCTTATTATTTATTTATGTATATGAATAAAATTTTTATTATAAATAAATTATACATAAATTTAACGAACAATTAAAAAAAAATGATATAATTATTCCGAATTGGAAGAGAATTATACATATTTTTTTGTTTATTATAGAAATATTTTGAGACAATAAAAAAAGAACATACAGTATTGTATAGGAGACATGAAAAGATCTGAATATTTTCTACTATTATTTATTTAATTAAATAATAATAATAATATAAGAGATTAAAAGTTTCAAAGCTAATTGGCTGAGGCGAAGAAAAAAAAAATAAAGGCATTTAGAATAACTCTTATTATCTTATCATTATTATTATTATTTTACAAAAAGCAATTAACTTGAGTAATTAGAAAATTAATTTTGTAAAGTATAGTAGTACGCTCTCAATCATTGATATTTATGTCTATTTGATTGGGCACAATTTTTATTTTTTTTAAAAAAAAATGGTTAAAAATAGAAATTTGTAGTAAAAAAAATTAGAAATATTTTTATTATAAACATAATTAAAGTTAGCTACTTTTTTTTTCCCAATTAAAATATTTTTTTAAGACAATTTTAAATAAATTTATATCAGAAAAACAGATTTAGAATATATATATATATATATTTATATAGAAGCAACTTTCATTAATTTTGCTAATATAATATCTTAAATTGAGCCCGTTATAAATATATATATTATATTTTAAATTTTAAAAAGTTGTGGTCCTATCACATCAGATCAATTTTATGTAACTATGATAAGAAAATAAATAAAATTATTTAGTAGGTGACATTGGATTAGAAGACTAGTGTGTTTCTTTGCAATTTGGATAGTTGAGTTTTCATTTAAAGAAACAATGATATATACCTAAAGTTTGTTTGGATAATTAACAACAAAAAATAAAAATAAAAAAATAAAAAAAAATCAATCAATCAAAAATAAAGATAGACTTAGAATTTGTTAGAATGTGTCTCATATGAACATATGGTTTCAATCATATATATTATTTTCTAGTATCTTTTATATAATTCATTGATTCTATTAATTATCTTGAGTTATATATATATATATATATATATATTGAATCTTTGTAAGATTTTCATAAAAATGGTAAGTAAAAGCATGAAACAAGATGAATGTGAAATCTTGGATAGAAAGGCATGGTCGTAATCCGTTTGTCACTTTTGCGGAATGCGGTGTTTATCATTGCAGATCTTAGAAAATACGTACAAAAAATCATTTACAATCAACAAAAAAATTCATGCGAAAACTCTTTAATCTTAAAATGTCTGAGACTTTTGTTATAGTCAATCATCTCAATGAAATAAATATTATCACATCACAGTAAATGAAAGCTTTAATTTTGTTATTTAGTCTTCCAAAAGTCGAAAAAATATGGTCACAATAGTTAGTGTTTCATTAAGGAATAAAAAATTGAAGTTAGATGTCATAGAGATTTAATGTTGAGTGAGAAAATTCAACAGAAAATCTAGGGAAATGAGGTTCTCGGAAAACATTCTCAATCGAAAAATAAATGCTTATAAGGAGACGGTGGTTTGTTTGTTTGGGACAGTGCCAATTTTTATTTATTTATTTATTTATTTCTTCTTCTCTTTTACGCACCAACAGCTATCGTATGGTAATGTCAAATAATCTTAATTTTATGAATTATTACAATATCTACAAGAAATACTAGTAATAGAGTTGATTATGTTCTATTTTTATTAGATTTATAGCATGGGCTAATTAATATTTAATTTTGCCGCCCAGCGCTACCTACGGTAATGTCTAAAGAATCTTAGGATATGGCTACTGAATTAGTATCACAATGAATCTTGCATGATTAAATAATATGACCGTTACTGTATTTTATTTGAAAAAAATTAGTATCGTATTAATTTTTCCATACAGTACCTATCAAAGAAACTAGAAAATATCTTTGAACTTTTGATCAATGCTATTTGGGGAAATCGTTACGATAGCATGTGTTCTATACAAGTATGTCATATGTTCTTCATTATTGTGTTGTATTTATACTATATTAATATAAAATATGTACTATCTGGACTTAATTAATACTCCCTCCGTCCCAAACACGGAAACATTTTCTTTTTAGTATGTCCCAAATACCCTGCAATATTTTCAAAATAAAAAATAATTAATTACATTTAATTTCTATCACAAACACCCTACAATATTTTCTTTTCAGTATGTTACATCACATAATTTCTAAATTATCCTCTACTTAATACTATCTACCTAAAAGCTCGTGCCGAAAGCAAATGTTGTAACTTATTTGGGACGGAGGGAGTATTATTTGAAAAAACTTTAACCCAAAACCTATGTCATTGTTGTCTATGGGCTCATTTTACTTTCACTTTGAACTTACACAGGTCATGTGCAACTTGGAAAATATTTATGTATATTTTATATATTATTTTTTTTTATTTGTTAAATTTATTCTCATTTTTATTTTTAATATGTATATTAAATTTATTTCATTATCAATTTTGACAAAGTCAACAAATCAATATTTAATTATTGTCCTTCATTCAAGTCTTATTTAAAAATAAATACCACTCACTTATTATATTTTCTCGTCATTTACTTTCATTTCTAATTAAATTTCAAAAAATACCTCTAACTAACTCTTCTCTTTTATCAATTTTTTCAATTAACATATTTATTTTTAAGTGTGCTAATTTTCATAGACGAAAAAAGTATTATTTTATATTATTTATATAATATAATATAATAAAAAAATCAAAGATATTTCTAATTTAGAAAATATTAAACAATCAAACATCAATTCATAAAGAAGTTCATACAATAAATCATACGCTTAAAAAAATATTGCATATGGAAAATATTCTACAGTAATATAAACATATTTTTATAGGATGAAAAGAATATTATTTTTTAATTTATATATAAAAGGCAATTATTGTTTACCTTTTTGTAAAAATAATAATAATAATAATAATAATATTTTTTTCAAAAAAAAATTAATATATTATATATATTTTTATTTTTTTTATATTTTTTTATACAATTCTTTATATTTCGCATCAAACAAATATTTTTTTAAATTATTTTACAAAACAATCACAATATTAGTCTATGTTCTCATTTTAATGTATAACTTTTAGGATTCATAATAAAAATATATTTCTTTTATCATCTAAAGTTTGCTTGTCTAATATATTTTTTTACACGATTTTCAATATATATTTTATTATTACCGATACAATTCATTATATTTTTTATAAAAATAAAATTAAAAAATCTTCAAATCAAAATCTTAAATTTATGCTCCATTTTTTTTTAGAATTAATCAAAAAATATTTTATTTTTTAAAAAGTAGATATCACTTTTTTTTTTACAACTTTTTTAACGTATTTTTTTTAAAATTCATGCAAAATCAAATGGACATAAATAGTATTTTAACAAGACATCAGAGTATTAAATTAATATTTAAACGGAAAACAATTTTTTTTTTTTTAAGTAGTAAATTAAGTTAACACACCAAAAGGTAATGATGATTTTCTTTAAAAGTTTGGACTTTTTTCCCAAAAAAAAACACTTTTATCAAAATCATAAAAAATAAAAGTGTGTGTGGTTTGGAGTTTAAACCCAAATTTATATAACTATTCAGTTTACATAATTTCACTAAAAGGATACTCCTTTAGTAAGTAATTAAAAAATGTATTAATAAAAATAATTATTATTTAATAAAAATAATTATAGATTAAGATTAAGATAAGTAAATAGTTTTATTAAAATTAAAAAAATTATAAAATTTAAAATTTAAAATGCGATTAAAGTGCATAATTATATTTTCAAAAATAGAAAGGACAAATTATGTGGGACGGACGAAAATATAAAATAAAGACAAATGATGTGGGACGAAAAAAGTATTATTTTTTTAATAAAATATCACACCAAAACACCAAAAGTACTATTCAAACAAAAAGTGTAATGAAACTTTAATTTCAAATTCTAAATATATATATTTTTTTTATTTAATAATATTACTGAGAAATAAATTATTTATTCTAAATATTAAATTAAATATCTATTTAATTATATAAGATCAAATATTATTTTAATTCATAGGCTATTAAATTCTATGACAAATTTAATTTACACACAAATAAGAATTCTCAAGTCATAAAAAAAAAAAAAAAAAAAAAAAAAAAAAAATTCCCATTCACATGAATTTAATCCTTTTAAAAAACATTAAAAAAAGAAAAGAAAAGAAAAGTCGTTTATAAATTAAAAATGCTTTTTACAGTAAATTATGAAGAATGGGGCCCAAGATCCATTAATATAATAAAGCATTGCAATAACTTTTTTCTTTTTAACTGATGTATCACATCCATTCTTTCTTTTTTAGTTCGAGGAACAATATAAGGTTTGTTTGCATTTGAGTGTATATAATATTATTTCCATTAAATTGGTAAGTATATATTTTACTACTTTTATTGTATAGACAAAAAGTATTAAATTATTATTATTATTATTATTATTTAGATAGCAAAATTACTTATGATCTGAAAATTTTGCATCATTCTTTCTTATGATTTAAAAATTTTGTATGAGACTTTCTTATTATATTTTTTTTATAATATTGCACAAGATTCCATTTTTAGACGATTTATTGCAATGTTTTTTTTTTTAAAAAAAAATACTTTATTCATTCATTAATAAATTTTTTATTTGACTTTTACCAAAATAATTAAAATAAATTAATATTTTATAGATATACAATATAACAAAATAATATAAAAGAGTTTCGTGCAAATTTTTTAACGTATTGTATGCAATAATTTCCAAAAACATGAGAAAACTTTGTGCAACTTTTAATTTCCACTTCTTGCACATCAACTAAACCACTTTCTCCATAAAGACCAAAATTTCAATATCTCTCTTGTCTTCCCCAAAATGGTATTGCAGAAACAATTGATAAACAAATTAATACCTTATTTTAATTAGTAATTAATTGCTTAAAAAAAATTTAAAGTCATTTTAATAATTTTTATCCGAAATGTCATTATTCGGACATCACGCTGGAACCACTAATTTCATTCGAATTGGATAAAATCGTTCTATAAATTAATAAAATTCTTAGATCCCATTCCCAACGTTTTAATTTATAGAAGTTTCACTGTATGTCTTCACCAGCCAGCAGTATACCCTACCCTACCCCACCCCACCCCACCCCACTTATCCTACCCTTATTACCTTCCTTATCCAATCCAATAATTAACACCAAAGCTAAGGCAAGAGGATTCATAAGTGAAAGAAGAACATGTCCCAATAAACAACAACAATGGTTTCGCAATCACATTTTTCCCTAAATAGAGAGCATACATTATAATCCATTTACAGTAACCCCTAATAAACCACAACAACACAACACCGTACCGTTACCGTTGCCATTACCGTTTTCGAATAATAATCTACATTGCGGCTATTGACGGTAGGTCCTGCTCCGCCTCCGCTTCAGGCCGGTCTACAGATGTCTGCAGCAAATTAAAAAATAAAAAATAAAAATCAAGAATCAAGCCTATAGGGGTTGGTGTAAGAATGTAAGATAATGTAATATAGAGTCGCGCTAACCTCGGATGTTTTGGACCTGTGCTGTGAGAGATAACGCTCTAATGCCCCCTTGCCGTAGAGGATTTTGGCGCCACTTCCTCGCTCGTCTGTGCCAATGGATTCCTTGTCCACTACGACTGCGTCGATTATATCATCCCCTGTTCTAACATCCGGGATCTGCAAGAGAAGGCAGCATATAATTTTGGATGTTCTTTTAGTACAAGCTAACCGTACGATTATTTAAGAGATGAATGACAAACCTCATACATAGCATCCATTAAAACATTCTCCAACATGGATCGCAGACCACGAGCACCTGTGTTCTTACTTATTGTTTTTCTAGCTATTAGTCTTAATGCATCTTCGGTGAATTGCAATTGCACCTGAAAGGATGTATTTAGGAATTTAAGCTTTGACACATTAAATTATCGATGCAAGAAAATAGATTTAATGAAAGAGGGAGTAGGAATACATACTCCATTCATTTCGAACATTTTTTTGTACTGCTTCCCTAATGCATTTTTAGGCTCAGTCAAAACCTGCAGGAAACATATTTTATACATTGGTTGAAGTACTTCCGAAGAATTGTAATTTAGTTAAACATACGCAATTGATTCCTTATAATGTTCAGTTTATCAACAACGATAGGAATTGCGAAGGCAAAAGCTTTATTTAATTTAAATTCCAGAAAAGGCATCACATAAAGACTTAGATTTTGACCAGTCGACATTTACAATTACAGAATTAGATTGTCACCTGAACGAGCTGATCCTCAGTCAGTGCTGACAAATTGACAATTACGGGGAACCGTCCGACAAACTCGGGAATTAAGCCATATGCAATAAGATCACTACTTTCAACCTGGAAATCATTACAAGAAAAAAGACAATTACAATCATCACATAAGTATCGTCGGTGGGGCAGCTTCACAAATCACAAGCATGTCAAACACAAAGGCAAATTCATGAGCTCTTAGTAATCTTACAGTGTCCAGCAAGGATGATGTTATGGCAGCACTTGTAACACGGCCTGTTCTCATGTTTGCACGAACAGGAGCACCAAAGCCAATGGAAGAATCATGTCGTCTGAAAGAAATGATCAAAAGCTTAAATTTTGAAAAATACATACATAAAATATGGTAAAGAGTACAACTCTTTGGAATAATGCAATATGACCTTTCCGAGATCGTCTTTTCCAAGTCAATGAACGCGCCACCACATATAAAGAGAATGTCCTTCGTATCAATCTGTTAATACAATAAATTCTATTCATAAATAAGAAACTATAAGCATTTCCGCATAAGGGATCCATTGAAATAAAAATCTCTAAAATTAATTAAATGGAAAGGGAAGAACATAACATCAACAAAAAGAGTCTTATACTCATATCCACAAACGCCTTAAAACATTGATCACTTGTTACGGCTACATTGCAAAAATGGAAACTACTTGAAATAATGAGAAAACATTACTCACCAAACTTTCACCATAACATACACAAAAAATTAGGATTATTATCCAAAAGCTATTTATATATAGGTTCATAAACCATGAAAATATTTAACACTTACTTGAATATTGTCTCCTCTAGGATGCTTCCTAGCACCTTTCTCCGGAACATTTACAATCTGAAGGTGAAAACAATAAATCAACAAAAGGTTTTAGCCCAAACAACTAATTGATTCATCAATGGTTTTTTTTTTAGCTTTGGGTGCGTCTGGAATTCTGCATTAGGTGAAAAACTAGTAAACTTTGAAATATGGCTCGGGCATATCTAGCCCTATTAGCATTTGTTGAGGCCACCGGTTGGGGCGCTGTACACAAAATAAGGGTTTGCGCAAATCCTAAAATAGTAACAGAATGTAAAATTGATTTTTTTGATGTAAACACCTTAGGATTTGCAAAATTGATTTGACTAAATTGATTTTACATTGGTTTTGCACAAATAAGGTGTTTGCAAAATTGAGTTGCGCAAATTGGATTTGCAAAAATTATTTTTCCAATCAATTTGAATAGTAAAAATTGGAGGTTTGGATTTAGAATTTGGAATTTGAACCGTAAAAGTTTTGAATTGGAATAGTTGTACGACGTGACATAAATGCATACTGATGTGATATTTTCAATGTAAAATTGATTTTTACTATAATATAGAAAATGAAATTAGGTGTTTGATTTGGGAAAAAATATTTGGCGAATAATAAAAATTTGGTAAAATCCTCCAAAAGACAAAGCCGGAGAGTAAAAGCAGTGAACTGAAATTGCTTATACATAGAGTGATAAGAATGGTTATTGGAAAAATGTCGTGTAAAGGGAGTTGGATCAAACAGATGATTTGCAGATACTGCATTAAATAATCTTTTCAGCAGCTACTTCAGATACTTTATTCAAATTCGAGGAATTCCAAGCACACGCCCATTTTTTGGATTGCTCAAATAATTAAGTCTTCAGATGGATAATTAAAAATGATTCAGATAAAAGAAACCTTCCTATACAAAAAACAAAAGAAGATTTCACACCAGAAAATAAATTTGAACTATGTGCTTACAGTTCCCTCGAGCATTTTCAACAGTGCTTGCTGGACACCCTCCCCGGAGACATCTCTGCTAATATTGAGACTTTCAGCCTGCAGATGCAACAAGATGATGTTACAGGAATAAGATAAGTAGGATATCATGATCTGTAGTGATAAATACTTGTCTGGGTCACATTTTGACAGTTATAGTCGAGGAGACACCTTCTTGGTAATCTTGTCAACTTCATCAATGTAAACTATGCCTTGTTGTGCAGCCGCCACGTTATAGTCTGCAACCTGAAGTGGAGTACAATCAGCATGACCAGCCAAATAAAGATCAAAAAGGGTTTTAGCCGAATCATTTTCATCATCAAACACAACCAAAGCATGTTAGAAAAACATTCAATATGACCCAAGACTACCTCTGCCACATGTACAAAGTATTGCTCAGGTAGCAATTTGTTTTATATTGTCGAAATCCAAAATACCAATAGCCACGATTTGATACGCGCAAATGGTGTCAATTAAAAGTGAGATTTAACTATACAGAGCTCACCGTCAGCAATTTGTATAAAATGGACTCAACATCTTCCCCAACATATCCTGCCTGAAAATAAGATTAAATTCAACAGGGTTATAAGAATGAAAGTTAAACTTCCAAATTAAATAATGTCATGTGGAAAACTAGTTTTAGAGTAAAATTCATCTATGGGTTAGCCTTAGTAAGAGAAAATCCTAGTATTAAATAAATTAATAAGCATGTCCTACAAAATCTGACGGCAAGATAAAAGAAATCAAAAAATGACTTGCCTGAGTAAGTGTGGTTGCATCGGCAATTACAAAGGGAACATTTACCAAGCGTGCCAAAGTTTTGGCAAGAAGTGTCTTCCCTGTCCTTGACAAGTGACAACAGCACATAGTGAAACAGTAATGATGGATTCTGGATCTTCAAAATTGATGCACCAAAAGAAAATTCGGAACAAGCAATTTAATACTTTCGGGCACATCTTCTACTTCTTCTTGGTTCTAAAAGTATCCCATATATAAGAAAACTATACTTCAACAACTAGTAGAGCCCCAAGAACACTTAAAGGGAAGAAAGGACTTCCGAAATTGAGACAATCAGAATGAGAAGGCAAATGACAGGCCATAGAACCACAGAAATACTGAGAAGATTTCTCAAAAGCCAATAGGTCAATCAAAATTTTAGTAGAACATCACATAATGGAGAAGATAAGCGTACACTGCTCCTCCATCCAGGCAGAAAATACCACTCAACAAGGAAACTATTGCAAAAGTTACCTGAACCAGTAGGCCCCATAAGAAGAACGTTACTTTTCTCAAGCTCCACATTCTCATGATCATTCGCCTCAGCTTTGTCGCCATCTGAATTCCCAGAAGACCTGTCATTCCAGGCACAGAATCGATATACATGATTATGTGTCGATGGCTAACTTGATGACAAGTAAAAATAGAAAAATTCAAGTGTTAACATAAATTAACAGTCACAAAGTTGATATCCCTCAGGCTTTGAAAAACTCCATTGTTACACAACACTCTCTAAGGTCGACAAAACAGCAAGGGATATAAAATTAAGGCATTTTTAAACCTGATCATGAACCGTATCTAAAATGCAGAAACTTAAACAAAAAGGAATAATTGTTCAAAAGGTAATTCACCTTTCTGAGTTATCATTGAATATCCTCTTGTAATGATTATAAACTGCAACTGCAAGAACCTGCAATCAACATTGTCATTATAAATACGCAAAAAAGGGAATATTTGATACATCAAATGGAGGTATAACTCCTTCCCACCCTAATAAGATAAAAACCAGCCATTAATCATTAAGATACAAAATGATATACCTTCTTAGCTCGCTCCTGACCAATAACAAACTTATCAAGTCCTTTACAAATTTCCTTAGGAGTTGGGAAATTCGCCCCCAAATTGGACCCGCCCCAGCAATTCTCCTTCTGGGCAGAAGCAAATCCCCCGCCCAACGCTATATTCTGCCCATCCCCTGACCTGATCACAATACCATCCTTCCCAGGAGGTTGCCACACCTCGGGCGGATCCCCACGGGAGTTAAAGCACCGAACTCTGATTCTGCTGCTAAAGAACTTGGGAGAATTTCTACCGCCATCAATTAAGTCTCCGACAAGAGGTTTACGCTTTGATGGCTTGAAATTTAAGGGAGAAACAGAAAACAGATTGGAGTTGCTGCGAAAATCAGTATCCAGTCCCGCTTGGATATGGCTATGAAACAAGCATCTTAACTGTGAGACGGCCACTGAAGCTGTGTCCCTCGATGATTTCCACCGCAAAGCAGCTGCCATGGTAGACCAAAAGGGTGTAAATCAATAGCTAGGGAAAGAAGGGAAGTTCTGAACCCTAGGCCTGAACTTGGGTCATGGATTTGGGCGACAAAGCTTAGGAATTGAAAGAGGATCCGATCAAATTTCTGAAATTGGGGAAATTTGCTGGCGCAATTTCGGGCTTTCCCGTGAAATCAAGCATGGATTTGGAGCAGATGAGGGTTGAATTGAAATGATCCGTATGAGAATTTTGTAGTCCAAAGAATTTTCCGGAAATTCGAAGAGTAAAGATTGGATTTTGAGGGCTAGGATGAAATTATGCCCTTCGATAGTGTGGATTGAACTTCGAGAATCAGACGTAAAAACTAGTACATAATATTATTAGTATTATTTATATTTTCCGGTGTTTTAACGTTGGGTAACTATCACACGACTCTCCCGTCAATTTAGCAGTATTAGAAAAAACTATTGGCTTATTTAATCTTACAAGAGAAAAATTTTATTGTTTAAAAAATATTATTATTTTAATAATAGTTAGTATTAAAAGTAAAAATAAAAATATTTTTACTCTTGTCTTTATTGTTTTATACGTTAAAATATTTATATATAAAAAAATAATTAATTAATTCATCTCACACGTAAAGTGTTTATTATTATTATTTTTTACAGTCTTATATAATTTGTTATTTTTTTAAAATATAATTATACGTTTTAATTATATTTTAAATTTAATAATTTATAATTTTTAAAATTTTAATTAAGTTATTTAATTATTTTAATTTTAATTTATAATTATTTGTATTATAAAATAATTATTTATCAAATATATTTTACTTAAATTTTTGTTGACATTTTAATGGAATTAAAAGAGTAGTTATTTTATAATTAAGTAACTCAAAATAAAAAAAATATATATATTTTTTGACTGCACGAAAAAGTATAAGTTTTTATAAAAATATATATATTTTTTTTATAGAATATTTATATATAATGAAATAAATATTTAGTAATGCTTAACTGAAAATAAAAAGCTTAAAAATTCTTAGAATGTGTTTGTTTATAAGATTTTGGTTATGATTTTACAATTTTAATTTTTGGGGATTTAGATTCCAATTTTAAATTGGCATTAAATAGATTAGTCATTCGTCTTTATAAATTAGGATAGTCTCATATTTTCTTTTTCAATGGGAATACTATCATCGAAATGACATAAGATAGACAAAAAAATACAGCATCAATAGTATTTGGTAATAAATCATTATCATTAGAATATATCTCATTAAATGTTTTATAAATATCATCCAAATAAAAATAATAATACATGTGATGTTTTTTATAAGAAAAAAACAAACATTGGCTCACATTGATAAAAGTTCTGAAAGTTTAGTTCACTAAAATTGAACCCCTTGGTCTTGGTCTGATACGATATTAAGAAAAATTAATATTTTATTAAAAAAATAATAAAAATAGAAATATTTGTTATTTGTTATATATAAGTATTGACTTTATTAAAATTAGTAATATAGTAAATTTAATTGACATATTAAATAAAAGAAAGAAAGTAAAGGAATAGACTAAGGGTGTGTTTGTTTGAAGTTTGAATTTTGAGTTGGGTTTTGAAGAGTAAATTTGAATTTGAATAGTTGTACGATGTCATTTAAATAGGTGTTATGTGATGTTTTGAATGTAAAATTGATTTTTAGTATAATATAAAAAATAAAAAATAGGTATTTGATTTGATATATTTTTTCTTTTTTAGAAAAAAGTAGAATGAATAGTGGATTAAAAATCCAATCTTCCAAATAAACACACCCTAAATTTCCAAAAATAAGAGTATCAACCATCTTTTTACTTTTATCAGTTTTTAAACTCTGTGTCAAAATCCAAATATTTTAAATCCGCCGGACTGATAGAGTATTATTTTAATATATTAATACAAATATAATTCATATATTATTCTATAAAAAAAATAAAAGTTTATATAATATAAATAATTTAAAATAATAGAGAGTATATAAATATATACTTATATAATTATATAATACTATTATAATATTAAATATATTTAAAAGATGGATTCACTTTGTGTTTGGTTTGGATTTTGAATTAGAATTTGAATAGTAAAAATTTTGAATTTGAATAATTGTACGACGTGATATAAATAGGTGTTAGACATGTAAAATTGATTTTTAGTATAATATAAAAAATGAAAAATAGATGTTTGATTTGATATTTTTGGGAGAAAAAAATTGGATGAACAGTGTAAATCCAATCTAGTCTCCGAACAAACACACCCTTAAAAAGATTTTTAGACTTTTTGAATATAACAGTATCAAAATTCACCAAAAAAGACTGTCCAGACATAGCCATACATTTGGATTCTTAACTTTTAAAATCTCAACAATAATCTAAATTTATGGGCGACAAGAAATGTTAGGACAAAATTTCTTAAACTCCAGAATTTAGAATATTTCTCAAAAACAAAAATGGATAATCGAACAAAGCTCACAAAGTACTCACTTGACAAAATAGAAACATCAGCCTTCTCCACAAAAGCCAACCTAAACAATGCTTGAATTTGAAGACAAGAAGAAACTTTACAGGCATGATGATATGATTTATTTTGTATCGATTGGACTGTCGGGTGATCTGCAAACACAAATTCTCGACAAGAAAATATCAGCCTATAACAATTAAATAAATAAACATATGAAATCAAAATTAAAGAAAAAACATATAGAAAGTAGAGGAATGATCTAGTAGGTTCAGATCACAGCTACTCCCTATGAATATCAACACCATTAGATGTCGATCGTTGGTACAATAATTTGAATAGGAAGAACATGATAGAACCGAGAGAAGGGACAAGATAGGATCGGAACAAATTCGACGAGCACAAAGCTTAACACGGAGACATACATATATTATATACATATCGCGATCTCCATGGAGAAGAAGAAGAAGAATAGGTCTAAATTGAATTGGGTGAAATTTTGATTCAAATTAGAGCTACTCAGGTCCGTTTATGATTTGGATCGGGTTCTAAAGGTCAGACTAAAACATACCAACAGTATCCAGAAACTTCTTAAAAGAATGGAGGTACGGAAAACAAAAATAACAATGGCTTGTCTTCATCGTCAAATTTAGAATCTATATTGCTCAATATAATTTGATCGAATTTATCAATATAAGCAAGCAAGCAAGCAATGATGTACCTCTTTATAACATGCTTCTTCAATAGGCAATTACTCATACAATTTCAATATCTTTCTAATTATGCAAAAGATTGTATGCCTATGAGCTTAGTCTTGTATTTGTCTTATCTTGTTTGCAGAGAATGTTCACCTTTATGCAGTAAATGCTCTTAGAACAAAATCACTAATACCAAACTATGCAAAACTCATACCAAATAAGCATCACGCAAGAAATCAACAATTCCTTAGAATTATCGTTGAACAGCTAAAACATTGAATTAACATCGATTTTCGTGTTTAAAAACATCGAATTTCAATGATTACTTCAATTCCAACAGAGCCTACACAACTCATACCATATAAGCATCACAGAAGAAATTAACAACAATTCCTTGGAATTATCGTTGAATAGCTAAAACATTGAATTAACATCCATCTTCGTGTTTAAAAACTATCGATTTGCAGTGATTACTTCAATTCCAACAGAACCTATCACAAAAATTTACACTCACCAATAGCAGCAATAACAAACCACAGCACGTACATCTGTAAACTCAGATTTTAGGGTTCCTTCAACACTAGAAATAAATGCGAGATTAGATCCGAAAACGAAGAAGACGAAAACTAAATGGAACTTCAATACAAGTATATACAAACGCATACCGGCCAACGGTGGTCGGACAGTCGGCCTCCGGCGACAGAACGGTGGTGGCGGTGGCGGAGCGGTGCTTAGTCTCTGTTGTTCAATAATTTGCAATTCTATTTTTCTCAGCCATTATTAATTTGCAAATTGCAAAAACTAACTGTCCCACATCGACAATGGAAGAGAATGTGCATTTCAGTGCAGCTATATAAAGGGACGGACATTGAAGCTTTAAAAGCATCTTTGCGCTTGGGGCAATGACGCAGCTAGTGAGGTTCTAACCGAGGCGCGTCTATTGCTGGTTGAAAACTATTTCCAAACCCCCTCTTCGGCCCGGGCTTGACTCGGGCCGTCGAGAATTTCTGGAAGGGCTCCTTCTCTGAAGGTAAAGCCCTACAATTCTAGTTTTTAAATTGGTCGACCGGTTCAGCGGTTCAACTCGGTTGAGTTTGAACCGGAGCCTGGTCGACCACGTTGGCCCAGATTGTCATACTGGGCTTAGAATTTTAATTAGATGTAAATTATTAATATAATAATTTTAAATTTATTGATTTTACAAAATATTTGTATTATGTATTATACAATATAATATTAGCCGAGGTCTATTAGCCTTGCTTTATTAATAACAATATATATTGTGTGAACTATTATTATGTATTATGTATTGTTTATATATATTATTATGTATTGAAAATTAAATAATGTCATAAAAAATATATTTATTTATTTATTTATTTTTATTCGGATAATAAAGGATAAACTGTATAATATATTTATTTATTTATGCATAAATTAAATATAATTAATTATTTTTTATTTTAAAAATATTGAAAAATGTTTGCTATGAGAATGTTGTAAAAATGTTTGAGATTGAGGAGTATATTTTAATTATTTAATACTATATAATTTATTTTAAAAAAGAAATTGTAAAAATCTCTATAAAAGTTTGATGTAATCAATATAAACCAATACATTGAGATATATCTGGAAAAGCCGACGTCTATTACCCTTGCTTTATTAATAGCATGAACTATTATTATGTATTATGTATTGTTTATACACATTTTATTAAGATGAAAACCAATTGATTATATGTTAAAACAAAGATTCGAAATTTCAACTTATTGTAAATGAAGTAACTTTTCACTCCTTATAAAGTAGTTGGGAATTCCAACGTCGATATTCAACACATTTGACATTGACACGCTGACTTAACACTTGAACCGCGGCCACATATATATATATATATATATATAATCCCTGGTCATATGATATCCTCAATGGATTTGGTCCCATGAAAGCCTGGTTTCCTTGGAAAATCAAAATTTTGGTGGCCAAAACTCAAAATTATGAATTCTTGGCTGAAATTTCTCTTCTTGGTATCTGAGGAAACAAATGCACCTCAAACATAGGCATAGGGTAGGTGGGTGGGTGGGGGACATCAATGGCTTTCAAGGATTAATGTTGGGGCCAATATTAGTTTTATGTATGCATCGGATCATTCACTCTTCAGTATCTCTCTACAAGCTAAGGAGATTCACACTTTAATATACCATAGGATATATCATTTTATAGGTTTTGTTAATTTGCTGTTGTTATATATATAGGTAACACTTAGAGTCAATATAGCTTATCATCAATTTCCATTTCATGTAGGTTTAATTTTTCATTTCTTTGTATATGACTGCAATGAATTGAAATTTTTTATCCCAATTTGGATTTCAAATTTTCAAAAATATATATATATATATATATATATTGAAGAAGGAGAAGAGGGGTTGAGCTCTGAAGAACAGGTAAAAACAAAGATCATTTTGTATGATCTTAAACCTTAATTACATCTTCTTGTGCTTACTCTTCAATGGTGATTGATCTTGTAGGCAATGGATGAAAAGGAAGACATCTCAGGATCTATTACAGTCATATCTGACGACAGGATCGATAGCTTGTGCCCGATTATTTTCGGCGTATCTTGTGCATTTTTCGCGCTGAGGCTGCTCAAGAAGCTCGAATGCACGCAGAAACACGTCGTAGAATTGAAGAAAAGAAGAACCGAGGAAGCGAAAGCTAATGCAAAAGTCGTAAGCATTTTCGCCGCGCGAGAACAGAGCTGGTTCGATGAAAGAAGGCAGCTCCGGCAGCAAATCGATGCTCTTGTAAACGAGGTTAAACTTGTCCAAACGAATCGCGATGAATGTGTTAATGAATTGCAGATGAAGAAGAATCTGATCGAAGAAATGGATAATAGAAGGCGCGAAGCTGAGGAAAAGGCCGAAGATCTTTCCGAGGAGCTGAAACTTTATGTATCGAATCATCATGGCGTCGAAACGGAGATCGAGCGGGCGATTAGGCAAGTCGAAGCAGCGAAACGGGAGGTTGAATCGGCAAAAAAAATGCTTTCGATGGATCTCGTTAGAATTCGCAAGGATTTGGATCGGAAAGATTGGATTTTTTCAGCTCTTCTGAGGAAATCAAAGGCGGACCGAATGTTTTTACAGGGAGTGTATTCGACAGCGACGGAGAACGGAAGGCGTTCGATTAAAAACACGACGCCGAAGTTCGAAGGGTTCCGGTGCCGGGTGACGAGAATGGAGCTCGAATCGAAGAGGTTTCGGGAACGTATCAAAGGGCTGGATCCCGACGTCGATTTGCTCAGGCGAGATAAAAAACGGGTCTCCAGACGTAAAACGAGAGACCCAGATACAACACATGATATAGTCTTCACGATCGAATCTCCGATCAAGGAGATAAAAGCAGGGACGACGAGCAATTCTGCATCGAACATGGACATCCATTCGCTCGGGGTGTCGTACAAGATCAAGAGGCTCAAGCAGCAGTTGTCCATACTCGGAGCGAACTCGTCGAGCATCGAAAAACAGGTCGATCGGTATGAGTCGATCCAGAGCAAGATGGATGGCCTATACAGGAGAATGGTATGGCAATTTTAATCTTTCTTTACGACTACACGGTGGTATTGTCGATTGGATTGATTTGTTTTGCATTTCATTGCGCGTGCAGCATGTCGACGACGACGACGGCGGCGGCCGCGCAATAGGGATGGAGCAGTTTTTGGAAGAGACATTTGAAGTGCAGAGGTACATAGTTAGTACAGGGCAAAAGCTACAAGAATTGCAAGGTGAGATTGCATCTGGTTTCCCAGACATGAAGCAGTTCGGCGATAGCATTAGTGGTCTTGTGCGAGAAGTTCAGAGAGGGCTGGAGCTTCAGGTATCAAGAATTATTCGAGATCTTCTGTACTGAATTTTATAATTGAAATAAAGACTGACAAAATACGATATAATCTAAACAAAATACACATGTTACTATTGATTGCAGCACCGTAATCATCCTCAGGTCAAATCCTCCAAACCCCACTTCTAATAACCTTATGTAAGGATATTTGTAGTGTTAAACAGAAAATACAATTATTAAAATAAAAAAATAAAAATAAATAATGGATACTTTTTACAAGACAAACCAAAATAGAAAAATTGATAATTTTATTATAGAACAGAAGAATATTTTAATACCAAACCCAAACCAATCAAAATTTTCTCAAACCCATCAAAAAAAACATACTTAAAGAGTGTTTGTTTGGAAAATTTGTCAAGATTTCATTATTCTATCAATTTTTTTTTTTAAAAAAATCAAATCAAATACTTATTTTTTTATATTATACTAAAAAATCAATTTTAAGTTCAAAACATCACATCAACGACTATTTTAATTCAAAATTTTTACTATTCAAAAATCAAAATATCAATTCAAAATCCAAATCCAAATCCAAATTCAAACCGCCAGACAAACAGACAAACACACATTGAATGAACAAAGAATGTGAAAAAGCAAACTCATCAACTATACATATAGTTATATATATTATACATATTTTCACATGATCACAAATAGGAGAACATGAGTATGTGCATAATTACAATGTAACACAAAGTTTCTAAGCAAAGAAGATAAATAAACTTTAGACATATACAGGCCAAGGGAAGAAGAACCAACCTGCACAGTTGACGGACTGCCCAAACTTCACAGCAACTTTGTGCAATCAATGGATATCATATGTACAAGTAGGATGCTAAAAAGCCGGGAAAAGCCAACCGATGGTCCAACCGACGAGCAAACCAGCACCAGCAAGACTCAAACCTACTGCAAACGCAATGGCGCATTTTCTAACGTGGCATCGCTGCTTGCCCTGCTTCTTCTTGGCAGCTCTGTGCCGATTCTTCCTTGCTATTGTGCCATTGTTACGAGCCCAAGGTAGGAAAGATGGTGGGATCAACGGGGGTAGCTGACTTTTGCTCCTAAGATGAAGGCACAATGATTCTAGCTGAAGCAGTCGAAGCCACTGCCTGTAAGCAAAGAGGGATGAGGCCTGTTGGAAGAAGAGATTGATGACGTGGTCCTTTTCGTTGCAGGCTGTCTGCGCTAACTTCTCTGCCTCTCTTGCACGGGTCTGAGAATGGCAGAGTGCTTCTAACAGCTGGGCTCTTGATAGAGCACTGGTTGTTGATTCTTGGGCATCTGATGAATCTGTTCTTGTTGTATTGGAACCTTCTTTGTTGCTGGAAGTTGTATTGGCGTCGTCTGTAAAGCTGAAAGTGAAGAACACATAGCTAGTCTGTAACTTCAATCAGATAGGAAGTAATACTTTAGGTACCATTTATGTCCACCGGCCACAAAAAAAGAAAAATTATTAGTATTTCGCAGAAATGCTTGGTTCATTTATCATTTATGCCCTAATTGACGTACGAGAACAACAACACGGATATAGTTCATGATAAACCTAGCTGAGCTAGACAGATAATTAATTCTTGTTCATGCAAAGGAGAAGAATCAGAAGTACTCTATCCGTTCCTTCACTTTATAATGAACACTAAATGAAACAGAATATGCTTAAACTAACGACACAAAAATCCATACTCCAAAGCAGAAAAAGATATACCTGTAAGTTACACCTGATTCTTGCTGCAAGCAATCCATTAGTCCTTGTTTTGTTTGAAACTTACCAAGGCTCGAAGAAGTAACACTACCTTGAGAACAGTCAGCCGCATTCAAGATAGCTTCATTCGCAATTTGTTCATTTAATTGATCAAAACTATCGACTTGATTATCAATCTTCTCAACGTGGAAGGTTTGAGCTCCAGGGCCATCATTGTCTCTGATGTCGTGAGATGATGTTTGAGAGACCAGAGATGCTAATTCATCTTTATCGCCAGCATGCCACCACGGCTCCGTCTTTTTAAGTCCTATCCAATGCGAATCCACCTCAGATGATAGCTTCTTTGAACGCTCGAGTAGCAGGGAGTCACTAGAAACCAAATCCATCAGATCAACATTAGAGAGCAGATCATCGACAACAGTTGCCTCAAACTCTTGCAACCAGCTATCCTCTTTGTTTTTGCTCTGAGAACATTGCTTCAACATCGCGTGTACACAAGAATCAGCATCCCTTTTGGGGCAAGCAGTGCAATAATCCTCAATCAGTTTGTTTTCTCCTCCTAGTTTTCCATTTAGATCGACATCCCCAGCCTCTGAAAGGTTGGCCTCTGCTCTGAACACATTCAATTGTTCATGAGAGTATTCTCCACCAAGGGCTTGCTGATTCAACCACCATCTAGAGCCGTGTATAAAATCTAGCTTTGATGAATCGCCCGTAAAAGACTTCAGATCATGTCCATAAACATGTGAACCATATATGGACTCACGAGAGTAACCACCAGAATCTGATTTAAATGTAGACATGGGGGAGCAATGGAGCAGTGAAGCAATTACAAGTCTATTAGCAGCAAATTGTTAATTCCAGTCAGAGTAGCCACATTTCCTGTGTCTGCCATCACCTCAAACTAGCTCGACCTGGAATTAATCAAATTAAAAAAAAATATGTTAACCCTACAGGGAAGTGGCAGGACGGGAAAATCAACACTCGATTCCATCCAACACCTCACTGTTAACTCCATATGTTCAAAAAAAAAAATAAAAAAGTTGATAACTAAGAAAATCCACCATTGACAACAACCCAGCGCGCGCGCGCGCGCGCACACACACACACACATATATATATATATATATATATTGTAGCTGCAAAACAATCCAATGATTAACCCTCGCAATTCGCAAACTAATAGCATCACCGAAAACCAGGTAATTCTAGGAATAATTAAATCATGAAAACCCGATCGCTGCACAAAGTAAATGCTAACCGATCAATCTATAGCAACAAAAAACAGTAAGCCGCAGATCTAGCACAATCCAACAAATAAAACTGCTAAAAGACAAAGAAAAATCACAGGATTTTATCAACAAGCAAAGAAAGGACAACTCTTCAGAAGTACCTGACGGATCGCACTCGTCGCCATCTCCCAATCGGAAAAATTAGGGATTCATAGTCGGGATCGAAAGTCTGAACTCAGCAATGGAAAAGACTAGAGAGAGCTCAGCGGTTTGCTTCATAGATTTTTTCTCTTTTTCATTTTGTTTTTATTATAATAACAAGATAATAATAATTATTATTATTAGAAATTCACATTAAAATAGTAAGTCGCATTTCTGAAGTCGCACTTTTCAGCATGAAGAAAAGTGTTATTAATAAATACAAAACCCTAAAATGTAAACGTAGCTTCAACCACGCTCCTGTCTGTCTTCGTCTTCCCCAGGACGAAGATGATACATACATATATATATATGTATATATATTTATATTTTTTAATTAATTAATTGATTAATTCCTCCAGATTTCAACACTGCTTGCCCAAATGAGCATCTCATAAGACAAACAGCTTGTAGCTAGCCAGCAGAAACAAATCGAAAAACCAAAGATTATACTACTATATAAATAATTAGGTATTTGATCAAAACCATAATAATAATAATAAAATTTAAATTAAATACATCTGCTGTGCAAGCCCTTCTTCATATCCATCTCTTTGGAATACTCATTTGAGCAAGAAGAGTTGAATGGAGGATATATCAGTGTATGTATATATCTAAATCTACATCAATCTATCTCTCTCTCTCTCTCTCTATATATATAGTACACACTTCAGCTCTCTCTCTCTCACACACACAGTAGATCTCTCTCTCTCTCACACTAGATCTCTCTCTCTATCTACAGTAGGGTTTGGTGGAAAATAAAATGGGATTTTATGCAATGGAGAGAAAAACTATTGTTGAGAGGATGGGAGGAACGATGCTATCTATTTAAGCACATGGCGGGGAGCAGCAAGTCAAAGTTAAGAGAATTATTATAAAAATTTTGATTTTTTTTTTTTAAATCTTGAAAATATAAAAAAATAAATAAATATTTGATTTAATACTATATAAAAAAAAATAAAAAAAATTAGAATATTGTTGTGTCTAGTCTAACTCTCAATTACGAGATCACCGAGGAATTCTCACAACCAACTAACTTTTCATTTCGGCTTTAATACCATCAATTTGTTATATCCGGTGTAACTTTATATTAGTACCTATTATCTGAATATACCAAGAAAGATGTACGGTATAAGAGGATCTGTTTGGGTAGTAAAAAGCCCCTCTAGAGATATAGTAATATGGAGAAGACAAATTTGTTTCAAACACTTCCGAAATTTTTTCAATATTGAACCTATAACATCGTCGGCTTTAGGTCAAGTATGTATGTTTGCATTTTTAAGTGAAGTTTATACCGTGTGAAGTTAGATTTATCTTAAGCCAATTATATACTCCATCTATCATTTTAATCATTTTTACCGCTCTCATTTAAAAGTATATATTTTTTATTATAGTAAAAATAAGAATATATTAATATCAAAATACTTTTAATTTTTATATAAATTATAAATATATTATTATATATATACATAAAATATTACTGACTATTAAAATAATATTATTTCTTAATCTATTATAAAATCTTAAATGAATACATTTGTCTGGGCAGAGGGAGTATATATATATATATATTTCGATATGGGATGTGAGCTTGTTCATTTTTTTTTTCTAACAATAACATTTGATGTAATGTTTTTAAAAGAATTTATTCAGATTGCGACTTTGAAGTTTAGACATTTTTACAAAATTAATACAAATAAATTTTCAATAATATTGTCTAAGTAAAATTTTCATATTGATGAATAGTATTTCATTTGTCTCAATTCTAAATATATTTTTTTTTATCATTTTTGTCTATTTTATTTAAAAATATTTATTTTTTCTAGTAAAAGTAATCACATATACTAATACTAAAATACTCCAAATTTTTATTTAAATTACAAATGTACTATTATACACAATTATATTTTACATAAAAATCAAATGACAAAAAATATTATAAAACTTCTTATACACTTCAACTAATCAATAAAATACTATTTTTTAAATTTTTTTTTTTAATTTACTACAAAATTCAAATGGGTCGCTTACAAACAGGACGGAAAGAATGGAATAAAATTTTTAATGTAAAAGAGAACCCAAAAATGAGGACAGGAATGCAATAAAACAATTAATTGGATCATAGAAGTATAATATTATATTATTGATTGAAAGAAAAGGGAATAAAAGGTTGATTGGTTGGTCGGGCAACGAATTTTAGTTGTCATCACAACAGAACGGCAGTTATATATAATTCATCTCCACTTCCCAACTACTTGCATGCCTTACTACCCCCAATTTCATATACCATAATAATTAATTAAATTAATATATATATATATATTTCAAACATTATTAAATAAATAAATAATCACAATAATAACCATAAACAATTCACATTTCATTTATCCAATTTTTTTTTTTTATTCCATTTGTATATTCAAATTTTCCAATAAAATTTCACCATGTAAAAAAAATTATTACATTAGAATTATGTGTATATATATATATATATGGATATGACATGTTAGAAGTCTAATAACGACATCAACGGTTCAATTATTTTTGAAGCAATTGCATCAACGGACCTGTGAATATGACATACTTATTTTGCAATTGCAGAATCTAATAACAACATCAACATTTTGACCAAATTTATGTTATTCCATGAAATTTTGCAATGACATGCATCTGTTGTGCAAGTGACAGTAAATGTCACAAAAAATAATCAAGAATATTATTTAACGGATGATATGTATATACAAAGTGGAGGACATTTGTAAAGAATTATGTATGTTCAATAAATTCGAAAATGAACAAGTTCATAAATATATAAAAGGCTGCAGAGAAAGATGTAGAAAAGCCTTTGAAATACTTCAATCTCGTTAAACTATTTTACGAGATGCAACTTGATTTTGAAGTAGAGAAAAATTAAAAGATATAATATATATGCATGCATTATATTGCATAATACGATTGTTGAAGATGAATGAAATGCAATACAATATTGGAATGCTGACAATGCTGATGCAAATCCCATGTATGGGGTAACACAAAGTGTTCATCGTAATTTTTAATTTTATTTTCAATAAATTACAAAATTTCGTGATTGTGAAGTTCATTACCAACTTCAAGCAAATTTGGTAGAGCATATTTGGAAGCGCTTTAGAAGTAACAAACAATTAAAACAAATGATTTAATAAATTTTAGGAAAATTAAGTTCTAAATTTAAGCAATTGTTGGAGGGCTATTAGTCATTAGAGATGTTTAACTTTAATTGTTATAAAAATGTATATATATTTTTATAAAATATCATATCAAAATAATATTTAAACAAAATTTAAATCAGTATTTTAATTCAAATTAATTTCGAACTAATACTAAATAAAAAAAATTGTATAAAATTCTAACATAAAATGATAAAGTAAAAAGTGGATTAACACTACAGATGTTTTTAAGATTATTTGATTTTTACATTGTTAGAAAGAATAGTTCTATAATTTATGGACAGATAACTTAATAAAATATTGATATTATATTAACATTGAATATAAAATATTTGTTAAAAATAAATTATGTGTTAATTTAAGTATAAAATATAAAATACGTGTTAAATAAAAACTTCAATGCAATACCAATACAAATTCGAATACAAATACGTATACGGTATACTAATACGAATACGATGATGATTGATGTCCAGTCCGCCGGCCAATGGATGCGTTCCTCCACCCACCCGACCTTTTTATTTGTAATTAAATTAACTTAGATTCATTTCAGAAATTTGTTTGGGGATGGAGAAGGACAACAATACCGGCGATTCAACAACGACCGTCGCGGACGGCGGCCTTGCACGGTGGCTCGGCACCAGCGTCGCCGCCGCCTTCTTCGCTTCCCTGGAGCGCTGCTCCTGCGTCAACGTCGACGCCGACGGAGAAGACGAGCTGGACGAGGAGGCGAACGATCAACCTCTCATGTTCACCGCTTATCCTTCCTTCGCTTCCTCCACCACCACCACCACCACCTCCTCCGCCGCCGCTAATCGCGCCGGGAATGTCGTCATTACTCCCCCCGCCGTCGAGCGTCTCCCCGCCTGAATCCTGCGGTCAGTATTTGCAATTGGAAGACATACATACGTAGATGCATATCTCTATTTGGACCTAATTTCACTGCGTTCGTTCGTTGTGCATCCTGCTCTCTTTCGAATAACTGATTTGTCGATTTTGGAATTTCCTTTTGTAATTTGGATCTGATCTCAATGCTGCGTGTTGTAGGTAGCGTTAACGATCGTCTTTTGATAATGTTTCTTCTCTCTTCGAATAATCCAAACGATATTTCCATTGTTGTATTTCTACCTTCAATATTGATTCATAGAACCATCTCATTCTCCTGTTTCACAGATCTCCCCCTTCTCCTTTCCCTTCACCTTTACATTCAATTACTGCTATAAATTACAGACCTGCAAATATTAATGAGTAGAAAAAACTAACAATCATCTACTCAATTAACTCAATTTAGATCATGTCTATTTACATACACATATATATATATCTATGTATATATCCTGAGCTGATCTGTTCTTTACATCATCTATTTCTGCACTAAGTTAGCAAATCATAGGTAGACGAAGATAGCATTTCTAAACAAATGCTCATTCTCCTTACAAAGCCTCCAAATATATGTAAGGGATTCATTTTCTCAACTATCAGCTAGTTTTCTAACAGCCTCAGGAATCTATATGTATATATATATATATATAACTATCATTGTCTCAGAGGCATACCGGCAAACCGTAATTTTGGAACGATCGAATCCGTCCATCCCAGCCTGCTGTGAGAATAACCATGCCCCATGTATGAGATTTAGATGAACTCTGGCAACAATTCTTGAGTCGTTTGTATTGAGGTTTGCTGATCGGAGATTTGGCCGCCGCCGCCGCGGCGGTGGTGGCTTTGTCGGGAAGTTTCTCCTCCGGCCAAGTTGCCGATACCTTAGAAGTCGAGTCGCAGAAGTATTCTTGGCTTAAGGAGAATAGAGCAGGCGAAGTGATGGCAGACGACGATGAATTGCTCGATTTCAAACCCGGCCACGGTATCGCAACCGATGCGTCGGCGGAGAAACACTCGAGCGACCTAATAGTATTCGGTTGCGAGATCGAAGACTCCTCCGGATCGGAATAGTTCCATATGCATACATTCGAATCATCCGATGCTGAGACGATATGCATTCCGTCAACGGTAAAGGATGCAGAAGTAAAGTTCCCGGCACCGCGAACGCCTGGAAAAAAGATCGAAAGAAATACGACGGTGAACGTTGAATCAGAACGACAATCGAATCACTGGACATTTCGACGTCTACTATTACGTACCCTTGTATTTAGTAGTCACATTCATCTCATCAATGATCCTAACATTTGAATCAGCACAAGTGACCAAAACTTTCCTTGGATCTCGCGGTAAAAACTGCGATAATAAAAACGAAACCTACATTACCTATCACGGTCCAAAAACGAGCGATCGTATTCGTTAGATCGCGCTAACCTGAAAGCTAGTTATCCGTTTGCACGGCGACTTCTTCGTGGATAGGCACATCTGAGTTCCCAACTGCAAGTGATTATCTGTACAAACGACAACGTATGATCGACCGAACACGAAAAAGGAAAAATTATCGACGATTTTTAATAAACAAGTACCCGATAAGTCGAAATAGCAGCAAAGTCCTCCAATGGAGCCAATAATACCACCCTGTAATCGAATTCGAATTTAATAGGCTGCGATACGGTAACTTTATCGTGATGGTAGTAAATAAGGACGAGTACCCGACCTGACCATCAGGCCGGTAAGCAACAGCAGTAATTATACCCCTTGTTTCGTTCCAGTCGACAACCCTACAGCCGCTGATTTGCCATATTCGAATCTTCCCGTCGATCGAACCGCTGACAAAGTAGTCGTTGTCGACGGGGTTAAATTGAATGCAGGTCACTGCGTAGGATCAAGACTTGTTTTTTAGCCAAAGAAAGAAATGGAAGCAAATCAAGCTGTAAAAAAAAGTAAGTGCATACCGTAATCTCCGTGCGGGAAAACCTTGATGCATTTTTCGACTCCAACTTGCCACAGGCGCACAGTTTTATCGACGGACGAAGAAAGCAGACACTGCGCGAAATCGACGAAAAACATTAACGTTGTACGATACTAGATATGCGGTACTCAATTTGCTCGTGATGGATAGACCTACGTTGTTCGTCGACCACGAAAGATCCAAGATTTCCCCGGTATGTCCTCGGAAGACATGCAATGGCTTTTCGAGAATTCGGAAAATCTTCGAGGGTAAAACGATACACGCCGGATCTTGTCTCCCTCTTACACTGTCGGGGTTTTTAGCTTTTTCTTTCTCCACCATTATCGGTCGCAACTCTAACAAATGATTCAACGAAAAGTAGACACAAGACGGATCAGCATCCGGGATATCGACAGTGTCCAATCTTTCGTCTTCCACGACTTGCCAAACTTTAACCGTTTTGTCTTCGCCGGCGCTGGCGAGGTACTGACCGTCGTGACTGAATTTCATGGCTGTAATAACCCCCTCGTGGGCTTGAATATCTTGTCCGGTGAATAGTGCCGAAAATTCTTTCAATTTTCTTCGATAGTGATGAACCTTAACTCTCTGAATCCTTTGATCCTGGTTGTAACCGTCATTCTCGTCTTCGACATTCCAGCTCATCATGCAAGTCATCGACCTTAATCTACTCAACCAACTATTCCTCAATTTACACCCTGTTATTGTCCCACTTCCATTAATGTCATCGAAATTCTTATCCACATCTCGTTGCTCGTATGAATCCAACCCCGGAGACAAATGCAACTCATCTTTATTACAGGTAGACGAACATTCAACTTCATTACAACTTGAAATTCTCCCGCGATTCTCCATTACTCTATCCATATCTCCTGTCTGAAAATCATCAAAGTTACTACTAGTACTACTAATACCATCAAATGCATCGACAGAATTCCCTCCCATCCATCGGATAAAATCCCTACGACGTTCGGAGACACTTTGAGGAGCAGTTATCCAAACATCATATCCCCAATTTCTAATTACTGAGGAATCAAAAACAGCATCAGATTCCTGCTGCTGCACAATGTGCTCCTCAGCATCAAAATATTTCGATTCGAAATCATCATAATCATCGCCATTGTTGCTGAAGCTATCCATAATTCCTTGAGTTCAATCCATAAAATGAAAAGGAAAAGCTGCAGTAACAAGAACTCTTCAGTCACTATCCAATGCAGTCAATCAATCCCTTTTTAACCATAACAAACTAAATCGTAGAAAAAGACTACCAGACAAAAATAAATACACAAAATTCTAATTATAGTGTTGTATGTGTATGTGAGTTTGCAACCACAGCTAAAGTCCAGAAATGAAAAAGCAAACACTAGATATGATGACAATCGAATTTGTCAAAAAGGGATGTATCCAACATAGATCCCAACGCTACTCAATTCAGTTAGTTGCATTGAACTGAATGAACCTGCAGTAGATGCAATGTATAACAATAACAATAACAATAGCAATAATAATAACAAACTTGCTCAAGTTTGCTTAGACAAGCAGAATATACACTTTGCTTAAAAAGGTGAAAAAACAGAGACGAACAAACACAACACCCCCAAACAACAATTGCTTACATTACCTTGTGATTGATGGCAATGGCGATCAAATTGAAGCAGCAGTTGGAGTGGAGACGAAGGAGAAAAGCGGTGTGGAGCGAAAAACACGAGCAGGAAAATGGAATTGGAATTGGGATTGATGAATATAATAAGGAGAAGATGGGGGAGGGTTAATTTGGGGGAAAATTGAAAAGGGGGGAGAGAAAAATCCTTGATATCCGTGAGTAGTTGGATGGCCCGAGAAACGAGAAATTGGGAGTTTATAGTGTTGTGGTGTGTGGGTGTTCACCGGACAGGCCAACAACCAACCATCGCAACAATCTTCTCATTATTACAGCAGTTTTGTTGTTTTCCTGCGTTTAGTATTATATTTATTAACTCCATTCTCAACCTCTTTGACTCACTGCCTTTCTCTTCCCCTCTCTCTTTCTTCATTCGTATGCATATATATATATATACAAATATAATACAATGTGCATTCATTCTTGTGTATGTATAGTTTTGTAATTTAGTTTAATTTGATTTACTGTTAATATGGTTCAAGTTTGAGGATAGTTACTAGTCTACTATGTATTGATGATTAAATAGTGGATTGAAATTATTTTCAAATGTAGTGTTATATTCCAATTTTTATTTAACATAATTTTGATATACTGCCTCCGTCTCAATACAATAGTTTTGTTTACTATTTTTGTTGGTTCCAAAACAATAGTCTCATTTTCGTAAATAATCATATCACTATAAAACTATCCTTACTTTTTCATTATTATTACACAATTGCCACTATTTTTTACACTAATACACTCACAAGGGCAAAAAAGTCTTTTATCCGTACTTTTTACCCAAACACAACCGGACTATAGTTATGGAACAGATGGAGTAATATTTTTTTGAATATATATATATATTACTAATAATGATGAGTGATGATTATTTCAAATTAAAATCATAAACGAACAGCATCTTGTAGAACTAAAGGTGCGTTTGGTTTTTTACCCGGTGCATATTTTCGGATAACGGTTGCGGGTTCCCACGTTATCCAAAAAAAAAAAAAAGGTGCGTTTGGTTTTTAGGTTCAGTCGGGGGTTTACTTAGTACGCACTTTCGGGTAGCAGTTGTGGATTTCCTCGTTATCAGCGTTTGGTTTACCCAATGAGCACTTTCGAATAGCCACTGCAAGTTCCGCGTTATAACAAAAAAAGGTGCATTTGGTTTGTGACGGGGAGATCATGGGTTCAAACTCCGATCCTTCAAGTCTACCTGTCTCACATGGTTAGTTGTGACTTGTCTTGTCGATTTATTATTTTAATAAAATATATATAATATAGATATTATTTTATAAAAAATAAAATATATATAATTATTTTTAAATTAAAATAGAGAGTTTTGAATATGCATATATATATATATATAAATAGATTTGTTTATTAAAATGTGATCGAAATAAAATTTTTGAATAAATTTTTTACGATATAATAATTTTTTTAAAAAATAAAATAAAATTGAGAATATAGTGTCAACTTAGCTGGAGAAGCGAACTAAACACATCCTTTTGTATACCTATTTTTTAAAATTATAATACTACTATTTATTAATGAGATTTTAAATATATATATATAACATCAAATAGATATTTTTTCACGTAAATTATTATACCAAATACTCTGTATTTATTATAAATTTTTTTCGAACTTCAAAATTTTTTTTTAAAAAAAAAATCCCTTTAATCCTAACGAGTCATTATTATTATTATTATTATTATTATTCTACGTTGTGAGGTTACCAGCATTTCATTTATACTGATAGAAATCATAGAATATTTGTTCACTGAATCTGCATGCAAATGTTTTAAATAATAAATTAGAAGTGATATGTTATGGAAAATAAATAAATAAATTATATAAACAAGTAAACAGTCATATCTAGTCTACCAATAAATTATGGACTTTAAATATATATATATATATATATATACATGGTAATTCCATAATTGTATATATGTGCATTTAGTAATTTAACTACAACTCTTTTACTTTCATTTTGAAATTAAAAAATAAAATAATAATAATAATAATAATAATAATAATAAAATAATCTTGAGATTCAACAACCATACCATTTTAGTAAAGTATTTAATTAGTTTGAATGCTAGTTTGTTTGAATATTTTTTTTTAAAGATGAAATATGTATGTTGCGTGACATGTGAGTGTCCATTCATTTATATTTATATAAATTATTATCATGTTCTTTCAATAAATATTTTTTATTTAAAAACATATACCAATCAACCCAAGAATTCATGAAATGAAATTAATAATTGAAGATAATCATGCCAATTGTTATACTATATAATTATTTCTACTTTGAAAAAAATAATTACATTATATTTTACAATAAAAATTGATTAAATAATAATGATATGGCTATATTTTTTTATATAGCTTTTTTATTGAGAAATTAGATAAGATACATAAAAAGTTCAAATAATTAGACGAAGATCTGTCTTAATTAATTAGACGCAAATGAGGGTTTCACAATATATTCGGTTTGGTCACTCAACATTTTTCAATCGAACAACCTCTTGTAAATATAATTAAAAAAAAATACAAATATACACATATATTAATGTAATATATACATTATTCATTCCTAAAAAATTAATTATTCAATACAAAACAGTTCTCCCTACCATGCACAAAAAATCAATTTATCTAAAAATGCTGAGTGAACAGACTAAAATTTATGTGCAATAGAATAACGAGTTTTTTCTTTTGTAATATAAAATTGAAATTTTTTATTTCAATTATAAGAATTAGTACATAGTTATACAAATTAGTTTTGAAACCTATACAAAATAATGATGACATAATTAATATGTATAAATAAAATAAAATAAATATTATGTATATATGAAAAATAAATGAGTGAATAGAGAGGCTCCAAATGGCCAAAAGCTAATTATATATTTCAAAACTTAATATAGAAACACGTTGGTGTTTTTCTAGTATACTCCTAATTGAACAACCCTCCATCACACTTTTTTTTTTTTTCATTAATTAAATTAATTTAGATTCCCTCCTATTATTAATTCATTGTACATATAGATTTACAGTTTTGAATAAAATAAATTAATTGAATAGCGAAAATTTTGAAAAATCCTCAAATGAGCTCAGTCATAGGACATTTATATTAATTATTGAGAATTATAAAAATATTTTGAAAAATTATAATGTTCCCTCTGTCTCAATACAACAGTCTTATTTATTATTTTTGTCAGTCTCAAAACAATAGTCTCATTTTCATAAATAATCATATTACTATAAAACTATCCCTACTTTTTCATTATTATTACACAATTGCCACTATTTTTAACATTAATATACTCAGAAGGGCAAAAAAGTCATTTACTCTTACTATTTACCAACTACCAATATAATATAATATTCCTTAAATCTCATTACCAATACAATATAAGACTATACTTTTGGGACGGAGGGAGTATTTTTTAGGTTAAATAAATTTTATTATTATTGTTTAAATATTTTGTAAGAAACAATAATACTATATTTTTATTAAAAAGAAAAAGACAAAATCTTTATTTTTAATGCCTTTCTTTTATCTAATACAACTACCAATTACTCAATCCAAAAATTTTGCTTAGTCAATTAATATTGTATAGTACTGTTCTATTCAATTGTATAATTGTTAAAAATTGGAATTAAATCAATTACCCATTATTAGTAATATGACAATTAATTTAATCAATTAACTCAGCTTCCTTGGCTAGTTGTTGGTTCAATTTCTGTTAAGTATCCCATATTGGATGTAATGTTGGGATTCCCCTACATTATAAGGATGAAGGGCTACTCCACTTACAATCAATTGATTTGAAGTTAGAACCTCGGATCCCCGTCTTAACATGGGGTTGGAACCCGGATAAACAAAAAAAAAAAAAAAAAGTTGAAAGAATTTATAATAATATATTAAATATAACTAAAATATTTTATGGTTTAAATTCAAGAACAGCTGCAACCTACTTATTAATATCCAAGTTTGAAATATAGAGTGTTTGTCGATGTTGGGGAAAGTATTTACATATGAAAAAATTAAAAGGGGACAATATTATATATAATTTATTTGTAGTTAGGTTAAGATTGAAGTTAAGCAGACAAGACATGAGAGAAAGAAAGAAAATAATAATAATAATAATAATAATAAATAAATAAATCATGAAACATATTTCTTGTCTGTATATGGTTATTATTATTATTTAATATTAATATTATTAAGTAAGTAATGACTAATGAGAAATGAGGTTAAGAAAGTCAAAAAGCGATTAGTGTGCTTGTTTCCACTTACTCCAACATCTCTTAATAAATTAATTATATAATCATTCAGCTCCCGTGTATTTTGAGTTCATTTTAAAAAAATAAAATAAAATAAAATTATACAATCTTTATAAATAAAATTATTTTTTTTTTGTAAAATATCATATCTACTGCAATATTAAAAAAAAAATAAAATAAAATCACCAAATAAACAAAATTGAGTACTTAAATTCAATAGTTTTGAGTAATTTGTGCGTGTGGGTGTTTGGTCCGACCAAATCATACACTGCTTTAATTCATTTATGGTTAAGTACAGACAACCTCCCTATATTACTCCCAATCAATTATCTTTTACAAATTAATTCATTTTCATTTAAAATTAAATAATAGTAATACTTTAATTAATTAATTAATTAATTAATTAAGTAATTAACACTACTACCATTTAGACTATATATATATTTATTTATTTATACTCCTAACCTCGATCGGTGTTAGGACATGAGTTATTTAAATTAATCTATTTTAGTACTTGAATAATTAATTAAATCACGTAGTCTATTGGTTGACCATTACCAAATAATATATATACATATATATATACATACATCGTAATTGAGTCCGGTATACACACAGCACACACACAAATAAATATATATATATATATTATATATATTGAGTAATTAATTATTATAATCTATTTTAATAAAAAATTGATTCAATGTATCAGTATGTATATATATCCCAACTGATTAAACTGATCATACATATTCTTTAATATATCAGGATATATATATATATATAATTAAGAAATGTAGTATTCGGAATATATACTACTCCATCCGTCCACAAACTAACGTCCTATTTTCCTATTTGGAATGTCCAACAATTATTGTCTTCTTTCTATTTTTATATACAAAATTTACTCTTTTGCCCTTA